TGTACCTCACAAGATTTAAGATTTTGTTTTGAATTTTTAATTACTATGACAACAGTCCTACTTTTTCATCATTTTGAAACCCAAGCATACACAGCATGTCCTTTTTAGAATTTGATGATGATATAATTTCAGATGGAGGTCAGAGATCTATGTGTTACCAAACTTATGATCCACAAATATTCAACCTTATAATTGCTAATGTTATGTTATGCTATGTTAAAGGTTTTTTTTTTTTTTCTCCAACTGATGCCAATCACAACTTTTGACTACTGCTAACATTTACTCAAACTGATGTGATGTCACATAAACACAACTTATTTGGCAAATGATTATTTCTAGAGGTTGTTTATGTTGACATTTCCTTTCTAATTGGTAGGTTTACCGCTGATGTCCGCTCCGTCCTCAGTAGAAACCTCCATCAGCACCGCCTTTGGTGATGGGTGGAAAGGAGGGGTCTCCTCTCTATAGCTGGCTTCTGTCGTGACCTCCACTCCCTCACAGACGACCCACAAGCCCCTGTTCGCTCTCCCAGGTTCACCCTGAGAGAAAATACTGGGGCAAGCGCCTAAAGACATGGACAATACGGGATCACCACAGCCCACAAGCGACTGGAGAGGGAGGAGCCAGTGTTTTTTGTTTTTTTTTCCTTTGATTCTTTCGTATTTTTTTCCAAAATAAAATGGGAGCCTCTCTGCCTTATAGCTCCTGATACTGACTGAGCATATGGAGGTAAGCCTGTGTATGTAAGTGCTTGCCGAGTTTGTTAGTCATTTTTAAACTTTTTCTGATTATTGAAAAGAGGGGGAAGGAAGGATCCACAAAGCAACACGGACAGACTCACATCTCTCCACCATCCCCAAATGTTGCACTTAAGCACACATAATTTACCTCCTCCACAAATGATTTTATGATCTAATAACTTCCTGAGGCACCTTGTCTCTCTACACAAGAATCGATTTATGGATCAAGAAGTGCAGACATTTTCTGGACAATTCTCTTTTCCTGAGTTGTGAGATAAAAAAAAAAGTGGACTGCAGTGCCGCCTTCCATATCTTCTATACCATTATATAAAACGTGTGCAAACATTTCATTCAGTTTTGCAAATTGAAGCCATCCTGATTTCATCTAAAGAATTGCACTTAAGTTTCTAATTTCTATTTTTGTTGCAGTTTTTTTTTTTTTTTTTGTATTTCAGATTTGCGACCTCCCCCATTCTGGTTTTATTCTGAACTGTTCACTTATTAGACCCTGATTCTTAAATGCCTTCTGAACTTTGTCAGTCTTGTCAAGGCTCTCCACAGCTTCTTATTGGCTCTGTCTCCAGGTCTGTGTTACTAATAAAACACTTGTCAGTATCGACTCATGCCTACTGGGCTCTTTTTATTTACATTTGAATTGTTTTGGGGGCATCTTATCTCTGTCAGTCCACAGAGGAGAAGGGCAGATTGCATTTTCTCTCTCTTCAGTGAACATGTTTAACAGGAATTGAGAAGAGAAGTGATGGATTTCTTATCCCATTTTGATTTCTTGTTTGTGATTTGATACTTTGCAGTTGAAGGCATCACGTCCCCCATGAATGTTGATGACAGTTGAAGGCACTAGTCAATGTCCTGTTAGACCTTAGTCTGAGTTTTATTTTAACACAATCTGACCAGAATAACTGACTTAACTGGAACCACAACAGGTGAGCTGATTTGTGCTGTTAAACAAGTCTCTCACACATAAAATTGCAGTCAGAAGCAAGCTATCATTAGCCAAGGGTTGTTTTGTTTTTTTCTATAGTTAAAAATCAGACTCTGGAACTGGACCACAAAAGCTCAGATTGAGCAGACTCCAGAAAAAGTGTTTTAATCCATTTTGTATTTGTATCATACAACATTTTGTCAATGTTTGCTCTTGGGTGTCCAAGGTAACTGCTGAACATTCTACTAAAGAAATACATGTACAACACCCACTGCATGATGTCACTGCAAAGTATCAATATTTGGGTTGATGCCACCTTGTGGTTGTGAGTGGGTGGGCAGTATAGTTCTGCTTTTCAGTTTTTATTTTATTACGTATTAGATGTAAAATGTTACCAGGAGTAACTCCTTGACTAAGCAAATATTTATTTTTTTGTCAGGTCGACATTTTAATTGACATCATTATGCTTACATTGGAATACGACTAGCCAAAATTACTTGAATAACATCCGTATTTAATGTTGTTTCCAAACGCTAGAGCTTGTTGTTTGCCGCGTGTCTTATTATTATTATCTGTGTAGCCTGCTGCAGGTGTTGAGGTTTGAGTTATCTCTTCTGGGTTTTGGCTAACAGGGCCTCGGTCATATGACAAGGGCAGTGCCGACTCACGCCTCAGTCTCACAGCGCTTTAGTAAACAAACTGGAATTATGTCACAAAACACGGGAGGCAGTTGCCGAAAACACAAAAGTAAAGTAAAATAAGCAAATGTGTATTCGTTTTGGAATTATTATTTTTACACTGACGAAGCGAACATCTCTGTATCTAAAGACCACAAAGTAGATCCCCCATGCTACGTCACGATATTATTGTATCCTTCCGCTGCAGTCGCACTAGGAAAACAGCTGGGAGCTAAAGCTAGTTAGCATCGTTTGTTTTTGTCGTGTGTGTCAGCGCTTTGAGTCGACGCTTGAGAAAACCTTTTATTGTTCACCCCAGAGTGACCGACTGAGCGTCTGTCATCTCTCTAACAATGAAGTTCCAATATAAAGAAGAGCATCCGTTTGAGAAGAGACGGTCTGAAGGCGAGAAAATAAGAAAGAAATATCCGGACAGGGTACCAGTAAGTAGCTAATCTCGGCTAGCTTGATTTGTCCGTGCTGTGTTGTTGTCGACAAACTAAGACATCCACTTTATTGATACCCAATTCTTAACGAATAGTTAATTAGGCATTTGTAGTTTGAAACAATATTCTGATTACGTCTAAATAACGTGTTTGCTATCGTTACTTTCTGTTGCTGTATGACTCGTTTGTAAACATCACCTCCGTATGCTAACAGATAGCATAGAGGTTATTCGTCGAGTATTTTTGTTGTTAAATTTATTCTTCTGCGCCAGGTACTTGTGTACAAGTTTTGCGTGTTATATTTTGATCATGCATTCAGTCTTGGGAGTGTAAGAAGCGTGTAGTACCGTAGGAACTGGGAAGTTTGGTTGTGTTGAAATCCTAAGAGCACTACCTTAAAATAGTAGGTGTAGGATTCCTGTTTACGTCGCCCTCTGCCTTGTCTCTGTTTGTCCATAGTCCACTGCGCCTGGCCAGAATACTGCGCCCTTAGACTACACTTTCATTATCACTCAGAATCATATGTCAATCTGGTGATGTAGTCGATTGGAAAACCACAACCAAAAAATCAACTCATTCAAATCAGCTACTTCTATTACTGTAACAACTAACATTTCATATTTGATTATTGAATGTAATCACTGACAAATCAGCTTTACTGTATATTGTAACATGGATATTATTGCATATATTTCAAAGTAATGTGTTTGTTTTTCATAGGTAATTGTGGAGAAAGCTCCCAAAGCCAGAATAGGAGATCTGGACAAGAAGAAATATCTTGTTCCTTCGGACTTGACAGGTAAACATGGATTTAAACTAATTTCAGTGTCTATATTTCATTTGATTGGGACAATATTAATAAAAGATATGCAGAATTGTAGGACAACCAACCATCCAGCTCTCTGTGCGATGTCAGTTGGTATCAGATTTTTGTTCTTGTAACAAAGCTTTATAAAATTATCAATTTTTATTTTTCAGTGGGCCAGTTTTACTTCCTTATCCGGAAAAGAATCCACTTGCGAGCAGAGGATGCCCTCTTCTTCTTTGTAAACAATGTCATTCCACCAACCTCAGCAACCATGGGACTGTTGTACCAGGTTATAATCACACCAATTTTAACAAATACCTAATGAGCAAGCAGCAACCTAGCAGCAAAATACCTGTGTTAATCTATTCAATTTTTACAGGAGCATCATGAAGAGGACTTTTTCCTCTACATTGCCTACAGTGATGAGAGTGTGTATGGGAACAGCCAAAGGGAAATCTGATCCCACTACCATCCCCCTTTTGCCACCACCTTCTCGACCTACACTGTTCATTCATTTAAATATTAAATTCAGCTCAGCAGCCTAAATTTCCCAGACGAAGTAGGTCAAATGCACTTTCACCAACCATACATTATTCCTCTAAACGTTCAAGTCTTTGTAAAGTCTGAATTATATTTTTCTCCATTTTTATCTTCTAATGTGACTGGGGTAGGTGGTCTCATGGCCAGTTTTTGTCTCATAATCATATTTGATAACACTAGAGACATTAGTTATACGATGTTTAAAAATGTCTTAATTATAATTGTGTTTTTGGGTTGGGAAAAATAGTGAGAGTTGGTTCAGGGCAAGTAATTCCTTGTAGCCACCATTTTAAGGCATTTTTAGAGTCTGACAGAATACGAATCCCTGTCTTGCAGCAGTTTGATTCTGAAAAGAAGTGTTGGAAAAGAAAAGTGATCTGATCGAGTTATATCTACCGCTGAAATAATTAACATCATATAATGCTACCCTAACTGAACTTTGAAAGGAGTGTAATAGAATTCAGACTAAATGATCATCTTCTGCTTTCAGTGATAAAAAAATATGTTGATTGCTATGGTAATAATTATTATTGTTGATTTTAGATAGCTTACTTTCTATAGGTATTGTAAAGCTGAGTGCAATTTTCTTTTGTATGTTTTATGTTTTGTTTTTTTAAAGAAAAAAAATAATATTCTGTATACTGCTGCATTATTGGATCTCTTTCTTCACTCATGAACATACAATAAAACTATAAAATGCACAGATTTGTCATTTTTCACCTATGGAGCTTTGCTTTCATCAGACGACAAGAATCTCTGAGACCTGCTTAAATACTCTTTGGAGTTAACAATTATCTAGCTATGATAGCTCCCATCTTTAATTAAATATATAATTTTACTAGATACGAATGTGTGAAATATAATATAATGCAATAAAATATTACTGGTCTATTGTCTGTAACAAAAATCATTTCAATAGTGGATGAATAATTCTAATAAGAGGCTTCGTATTACAGAACTATAATTCCCACAATACAACATGGGCTTCTTCTGCGCTCATACTGGAAGTGACGTTGCAATCACCGGAAGACACATTTCCGTTTGTTTTTATTTTTGAGGACGAAGTTTTAGCATTTACAGTTCACTTACCTTTGCTTAATCACACCAGATTCCCACCGCAAGTCGGTTAAATTCTTTGAAAGAGACTTACAAAGCATCAAAAGTAAGAGTTGTAAAACATATACTTGACTAGCTAACATGCACAGTGATAATGGCGTTCTGTTAGGCTAGCCAAGTAGCTATCTCTCGTAGAGATTTATATTTTATAAAGTTGAATTTTAGCAGCTCCCTATCAGTATGGAGAGTACTTTTAAGTTAACAAATCTCAAACCAACTGATGCCACGTTTACAAGACACTAACTATATTATTATTAGTTCTTACAACTTGCTAATGCTAACTGTTAGCTAGATCGCAGCGGTGTTAAAAGTCGTTATACGCGGATTGTCCTGATTGAGAACTGAATAGTCTTTTGTAATGTTTTGTATACCACTTTAATTCACTGTGTTATCGCCAGCTGGCCCCTCCACTGCCCGTCACCATGCCCGCTCTGTTGGAGAGACCCAAACTGTCCAACGCCATGGCCAGAGCTCTCCACAAACACATCATGAGGGAAAGGGAACGAAAGAGACAAGGCATGCTTATTTTACCATATATATTTGTCATAACCTACGGAAATGCTGTGCTAATAGATTGTTTTTGTCAATGGTTTTCAGAAGAGGAAGAGGTGGACAAAATGATGGAACAGAAAATGAAGGAGGAGGAAGAAAGGAAACGAACAAAAGAAATTGAGGAGAGGATGTCTTTGGAAGAAACAAAAGAACAGGTAAGAAGATCAACAATGAGAGACTTTACTACTTTGCTTTACTCATTTAACCTGCTCAACAGGTTATGAAAATGGGGGAAAAACTCCAGGGGCTTCAGGAAGAAAAACACCAACTCTTTTTACAGCTCAAGAAAGTACTTCATGAAGAGGAGAAGAGGCGCCGAAAGGAACAGAGGTAAGAGTTTAGATTTCTTATTAAAGTCCATTTACTTGCTCACAGTGGTGTTTCTAAATATTACTTAAAACCTATGTGTTTTATGTCCCCAGTGACATCACAACACTGACTTCAGCAAGCTATCAGCAAAGTCTGCCCATGCATGCAGGACAGCATCTCCTTAGCATTCAAGGTAAAATTATTCTCCCATCTTTTCTGTTTTAATCTCAGAATTATTTTTTAAAATTCAGTTCTGATATTATTGTAGGTAGTCCAGTGACCCACAGTCGACCTGGAGCCTTACTTGGAGAACGGAGCAAGCAGCTTTTTCCAACCACTGTTATTCCAGTCAGTTAGAGCTCTTTTATTCAAACAAGTAGCACCACTATTTGAAGGACTGTGAGTAAAATTCAGCTGTGCATTATTTTTAGGGTCGTCATTATCAGACCCCAGGGTTTAGCTCTGGTTCAGCGGAGCACAGCCAGTTCACTGGAGGACAGAGTGTACATGAACCTTATGGTGTGGCACAAGCTCAGCATCCCTCCACATATGCCCCAGGACCTTCTGTACCTGTCAGCTTCGCAAGCAGCTCTCAGATAAGAGGTAAACATGACAAATGGTGACTCAGTGACTGTGAATGTTCAATTTAATTTAGTTTCTTTCTTTATTTTTCAGGTGCATCTGCATTCCAGGCAATGCAGTACCTCCCTCATCAGCAGACCGCATATCCAGTGCACAGTCATTTCACTTCTCAAACTGGTTTGTTGATTTTTTTATTTTTTCTCTCATCAAATTACATTTACGCTATTGCATAAACATTTTTTTTTTTTTACTGAACAGGGTACATTCCTGGAGCAGGTATCCCTCTCCAAAAGCAGTTGGAACATGCTAATCAACAGTCTGGCTTCACAGATGCAGTAAGTAACTTTTTCAAAACCAACTGAAAAATCAAGTTTATTCATCATAATACTGCAACATTGTTGTTTATGTTAATTATTTAATATGTGTTGTCTTTTGTCAGGGTGCTCTGAGACCCATGCACCCCCCAGCTATGCATCCTTCGGCTTCCGGCCTGTTGCCCACGCCATCAATGGGAGTTCAGATTCCCACTGCTAAGGTGAGAATGTAACTGTTACGTTTGAACATGTTTGAACATGACAAACATTAAGGAAGTTCAAAATCAGTCATATGAATTCAGACTCTTTGTCACTCAGAAAATAATATTGCATTACTATGACAAACTAGATGTTACTGCCACTGTTACAGTTTTACAAATTGGTAAATACTGTAAGAGCTCACATGTAATATGGTCTTTGACATCTGTGTCATGTTTTTATGGTCAGGCTCCATTCCAGAGCTCTCCTCAGGGTGCGCCTCGTCACGGTTTCCTCCCTCACAGTCAGAGCAGCCAGAGATTTTATCACCATGGAAAGTGACTTGGAGCTCATTGGAATACTGTCAAGACACAAAGGAATTATGGTTGTCTTTTAAACTCTCTTTAAACTTTGTCATTTAAGCTTATTTGTTGTAGAGTTAATTTAGTTAGCTAATCATGCTCTGTTCTTGTAAAATTGTTTTAACTTCAAATCATGATCAAAGAGCTTTTTTTTATCTCAATTGCAATGTAAAGCCACTGTTTTACTTTTGTAAATATTCTGTACAAAGCAGCACTGCATGGACATATTTCTTTGTACTAATGCTTTTATTGGTTTATATTACTGATTGATTGGGCCTGTTCAGTAGTATAAGGGGTAAGATATGTATAGTAACCTAAAGACCAATGTTAGAGCTGAAACACTGACTGAAAGCAGAAAAACTTTACTTGCTTTAAGATAAATTTAGCCTTAAAGATTTAAATCTGTTGTTTTTAAAACGTTTATGATATTAAAGAAAAAGATGCCACCTTTAACAGTTTTACAGTTTTATTTATTTTGGCCATTGAGAGATTCTGAACAGTTTGGTCTTTGAACAAAAAGTAGTGATACCAAACAACAACAACACAGTTCATTTTCTAAATGGCTCATTCAGAGTTCTATGGTCGAATCTGTCAAAACGTGAATGTTAAAACATGATTGGATTTATTCACATTGAAGCCCCACAAAACAAACAAAACCTTGGTGAGCTCTGTTTTATAGGCCAGTTTAATGAAAGTACCACAAGCAGCAGAGAGATCTGTTTCCTGTAGGCAAAAACAGTCTGATTAGCCTGGCCAGCCATGACTTCACTCAGGGGACTTCAGTCTGAATTTTCCAGGCTACACTCTGGTATGTATGGCACCTATGCCAGTGAACTAACTGTGGCACAAACTGAACAGAATACTGGAGGTGATTTTGAAGCCCTTGGTAAATCAGGCATCTCTTGTTTTTCTATGTATTATCAGTATTATACACCTTGAGTTTCTTATAGTAAGTAATTACTTTTCATTCACACCATAGTTATCTCATTGAATAATTAAATAATCTCTAATTTAAAATAAAAATCAGGTAAGGAGAAGGGGAAATATGAAAAACAGACAAAATCGAGAAAAAGAGGGAAGATAGCATAGATGAGGCAATATCCCCTCCTTTGCCCCAGGTCCAGTGCATCGTGTTATCCCTGAAAAAGAATTAAAATGGAAGATTTGAGATTTAGAGAGAGATCGGGTGAAAAGGAAAATGGAAAAGTAGCACAACGGACAGACTGGACCAGATATTTCACTCTGCTATAAAAGCTTTAATATGAGCAATTTAGTCTAGAACCCACAGTTAGCAGACTTGAAACATTAAAGATCAAATAGTTACAGCCAGTACCTCCTGTAAAACCATCTCATATGAACATATGAGGATGCAAATGGACTACAAAGTTAGACATGGGTAAAAAATAAAACACTTCCATCCCAGAACCAACCCTTTTATGTTAACTTAAATAAAGAAAATATGAAACTGTCATCCCCATAACAAACATGCACACAATACCATTAACAACATTACAGAACATTAAGGGGTAGGCAAATCCGCAGTAACACACAGGACTTTACCAATATCTCCACTATTAAATATAACAGAAAACAAGAAACAAGAAAAAAAAAAAAGCATTGAGATAAGAAAAACAATATTATAATACAAAATCTTAACATTTGTCCCAGTAAAACATCATATAACATATATATAACAAAATGTGCTGTCCAGTTGAGGTACACTGCAAAAACTTAAATCTAACCAAGTTAAGATTACTTGAATTAAGAATTTTTTATCATAATTTGAATAAATTTCACTTGACAAGTAAAATGATCTACCAATGGAACAAGACTTTTTGTATTTAAAATAATATGCTACACTTAAGATAAGAAAAACAACAACTCTTAGTACTTAAAATAAGAAACAAAACATTGCTTGAATTAAGAAAAACACATTGGTAGCTCATTCTAATTGTAAAGTTGAATCTGCTCTAAATTCAAGTCATTCGAACTTGCCTTGATATCGCTTTGTGCAGTGTAAATAATGACAACCTTGGCTGCTGCTCAGAGTTGCCTTCCCCTTTTCACAGCAGAGGCTCACATCACATCACAGAGTGCAGTGGGAGGGCTCATGCTATACCCTGTAGTGTGACACCCAAACCCACATTGACATTGACGCGCATATATTACACAGACAGACACATGGCCTCGGGGGCAGGCTCGGGGCATCTGCAGCACCACCGCTCTGTATTTACCTGTGGGGACTTATTTACCCAGGGCTTTGATGCCGACTGCAGCTTCTTCATCCATTGCATTAAGAACAGTAATCTGAAATCAAGAAATGTTAGTGTGGTTGCTATTTGAACAGCTATCAGTACTCAAGAGATGTTTCACTTAGCCTTGTGTTAAAGATGCACTATGTAACTTTTCCGCCACCATAGAGATCTTATTGGTTTGCCTAGAGTGTTCCCCAGTCTGGTAATGAACTTTGCATTTATTTATTCATCAAATATTTATGTTTGTATTGCTTGTATGTTTGTGTCACCTGATCTGCTTGCCTCCATTGAAATAGACATCTTTAAAGCCATACTTTGGGATATTTTTAGATAAAAAAGATAGACCACTCGAAAAGTTGCATAGTGTGCCTTTAAACTAATTGAGAGTTGAAGTAACTATCTTTCTGGTATACATTGTTTCAGGTAAATTTTCGTTATAATACTGAATTTGGAAGTAATGTGTCATTTCACTTTTGTCTGATACTTAAACCTCAAATAATACCTTTATAGACATTTTATCTTATTTTTATTGGACTGAAAATATTATTGTTATCAGATTACTAAAAACAATACTGAGGTATTATTTTTGTCACCACTTTTTAATTAAACTGCATACTGACCAGGATCTCCTCTCCAGCATCATTCTTGCTCTCGATCTCTCTTCCCAAATCTCCCTCAGGAATCTTCAGGTCCTCTCTCACCTCACCGCTGTCCTGTAGCAGAGAGAGGTAGCCATCCTGGATCCCAATCAGCTGTGAAAGAAAGGCACATTTTTACAGTTGTAATGTTTTCTTTTCTGAACTTGTAGCTCTAAGCTATTTCAAAAAAGAAGTGGTCACTGCCTGTACATAGATTCTTAACATTGTGAGTTTGAAAGCACCAAGACCAAGAATCTCATCCAGCACAGTCTGCATTTCACTTTGGCAGGCTGCTCACATTCCTTTGCAGGGCCGTATTTAAACAGTTGTGATACATTTAAAACTGGTCTTTCAAAGCTGACCTGACTAAAGTGAAAATATTTTGAAAATTATAGTGTATAGTGTAGTGTTATATTTGCCATGTCTATGAATGAGCCTGCACATGTACCCAAGTTGGCAGAGATGCTCAATTATATAAATTCTTATCAGCCTGTTCTCAATATTTTTCTTTTGAAGAGGCTATCTTTTACATGTGCGCCTCCTACTGGTGTAAAACAGCAATGCAGCTAGCTAGGAAACAACAAAAAAAGAGTAGTTAAGTTGTAGGATGAGGCAACCTGAAGTAAGAAGCTTTCTGACTGGATAATTGCCTTTGAACCAAACTATTAAATACATTTCATATCTGGTAAAATGCATAATATTTAAGAAAAACTACTTCCTCAAATAACTGAACTAGTGATTGACATTCATAGATTTTTCTCTCACCTGGTAATCCATTCTCTTTATGTTAGGGACATCCATGTTGTGGGTGGAAGGACAGATATCTTCATATTTTTTCCCAGAGAAGATGTCAATACCAACCAGATGCACCTATAAATGACATTGGTATCAAATACTGAAAGGCCTTAAAAGGTTTACATTTTCATAATGAATAATTTACATTGTCTTCAATTATTTCTATAGTCTTTGGGTCTTTACTGACCTTGGCATGACCATGCTTGCCAGTTTTGGAGGTAGACATCTCAACAATCTTGCAGGGTCTTCCTTTCAGCACAACAAAGCCATTCTTTCGCAGAGCAGAGCACTGCATGGGGTAAGTGGCAGATGCCCCGGCATCACCAGTCTGAAAGTCCAGCTCTGCATCTGCCATAGCTGCTGGAGAGTCACACAGCCTCAATACACCGAAAATTTTTTACACGTAATTAAAGTGAACAGGGTAAGGGTCAAAACATCATGTCTGTACTGTGTGTGGGAGAGACTGGTCTATAATATGTAGGCTATAATATTCACTATAATATAATATACAAATATGCCCCTAACATACATGTACCCTAATTAAATAGATAGGCCTAGAATTAAAATCAAGTTGAGGCACATGCGCAGCGTGGTCAAGAGCGTGTCATTTTCCGTGTAATCCATGCGCAGTTGCGCACTGTCAGCGCTGGGCCAAGGCCCCCAAAGGTCCATCAAAATAACACACTCATTCATCTTTCATTGGATTCATCTGGTTATGGAGACAAAGGAAGCACTTTTCATATGAAGTACAATCTGACATATTGAAAAGAGGCCAGTTATTTTATCCCGCAGTGAAGCAGTGTAATGACTAAGCTTTTACTCGTGCTGCGTTCAGCGGCCATCAGGATCATATGTAACTTTAAATGTATTCTATCATTAGCTCACGCGTGCATTTCACTCGGGATCCATAGATCCTATTAATACACCCGTACTTAACGTTGAACGTGTGCTGCAAGTAGTTCGGATTAATGTTATCAGTTTATTTGTTTTGTATTACACAAGGACTTTGGGGAGCACACATTATTAAACCATGCCGGTGGCACAGGTCCATCCCTGGCTGTGGTTCCAGTGCGTTATACCAGGCTGCCAGGCCTATTGAAATCAATTACCTACAGGCTGTACCCACTGTAAGGTCTGGATAATGCGTGTGTGCGCTCCATGATTACAAACTTACCCTAATGTTAGGATCGTCTCAGCTCCACTCCCGAGTCTCCTCTTTGCCTCCCTGTATCCGAGTTAAAGGGGCGCTTAATTGGGTCTCTGCCTGGTCGTGTGAACACAATGTTGCTCTTTTCATTCAGGCTCAGATTCGCCTCTACGCTTCTATCATCCCTCTGGCCCTCTCCTCCCTGCGCAGAGCGGTGAGGTACCACACCAGCCGGAGTCAGCCACAGGGCCGAAAGAGTCCAGTCCCCGCTATGTTATGTATGTTTGTCTGAGGCCCACTCCACCTTCTCTGTCTCTCTCATCAGCTCCACACTGTCAGCAGGTAGCGTGATCTACAGGCGCTTTCCTCTGTTACTGTCACAATAAAACCCGTGTACTGCTGCTGCTGTGTGGCCTGGGTGTTCTCCTCTCCCAAAACATGTCTCACCCTCATTTTTATAGAACAACTTAGAGTCAGACCCACGCAACGGGGTATTTTAATAGGACACTGCGCAATAACCCAATATAAAGTAGATCTAGAGCTATTTATTCAATTTCTCCCATAAAAAAAATGGCCTATAAACTACTTTTATACTGAAGGCGGTGTCAACATGTTCCTGTTAAATAGAGTAAGAATAACGCTGTTTTTCATCCCGTGTCAATGAAAGAGAAACCTTGGCACTTGGTATAATCTGCGCATGCGTAACTTTTCATTCTAGTGCAGCACGTCTTCTTATTCATAACTTCATATCTGCGACCATACAAAAGCTTTCACCACTTATAATTTATACACGTGATCAAAGAATACTTAGTCAGACAAACTTTACCGATCCACATTTAAATTACATGGACAATGTGTAGGAAAATAAAATGATCAAAACATATCAAACAAAACAAACAAAAATATCATTATTTTGTTATATTTAGACTCCACACACCTTAAATGACCTATTTTATTTGTAAAGCTTTATTCTCATACCTTTATTTGTGTGTTCTTTGGGGTGTGTTTAGAATATATATATTATGTTTAGAGAATATTTAAGGTGGAATCTTTCTGGCCTGAATGCTGAATGCTAATTAAATGCAATCATTTAAATTGATTTTGTTGTGTTGAGTTCAGTTGGGTTTCCGGTGCCTATAGTGCAGTCACTTTGTAGCAGCAGACCTGCAGGTTAAATATAGCGATGAGGTGGGCTACTAGAGTCGCATGACCTATGTGTTTAAGCTTGTTGTTAAAATATAGATGACCTGAACTTTTTCTTCATTTTTAATTTAGTCTTAAACCAACCTCCAGAAAGAGTCTTAAACTTTACAAGCTAGGAGAACATTGTATTATCTGATTGTCAAGAAACATGTAAGCAGATAGGAGCAGAAATATTTGATGTGTAAAGATTAGAGCTGGCTAAATGGTTATTGTGTAAATGCAGAAATGGGGCGACAGGAAGATCAACTGTGACACCACAATAATAAACCTGACATTAAATTATTTTTGGAAATCAGAGTTACTGATTCTTTGCACAGGATCCACACTATCACAAGCCAATGTGCCTGGGTCCATTCTAATAGAATGAAATGTTCATCCTCTGATTACTTCATAAACCTATAAAACGGCAGCAAAGGAAACTGTTAAAATTAATACAGGGTCGAAATAATAGACTATTAAGAGTAATAGGCTGCCAATCTACCAATGTTTGGGCGATACATTTTTATCAGTCTATGTTCCAACAAAGTAAATTCCCAACTGCGCATTTAATCTGCGTTAATTTTCTCAATTCATCTCCTTCTTGACTCTTCAGGTGCAAAAGGCTTCAGAGGGAGAGCCTGGTACAGGTGAAGGGAACTCTGTTTTCTATTGGGTCTCTCTCCTCTGGGGGCGGGGTTTACAGCTGAGCCGAAGCACTGAGAGGTTTCAGGAGGCAAATGGCACTAACACTGCTGTACCTGCGCTCCACCTGTCAATCTTTCCCTCCCAATTGTTGAAGGCTCACAGCCAATTAGACACTGACTTCTGGACTCGTAGCCAATGAGGGCGTGCCTTTCTCTGGCTCTCCCAGGGGATGTCGGGATAAAACCTAAGGCTGCTGTCCTGAAAACTTTTGGGAAGAGTCAAAGGGAGGGAAACAAGAGTTAAAGTCTAGTTTGTTCGACTGCGAGTATGACAGACGCCGAGGCGCAGAGCGCTCCTCCAGCGGCCCCGGGGGACGATAACCCGCAGCCGGAGAGAAAAGTCATAGGTGGGTGCTGCAGGTGGAAATGCGCAGAAAAGATCGCAGCTTTACATCAAATTTAGATCAGATCAAAAATAGGAATTGCATGTACATAAATTTGTGTCGCGGTTCGCTTTTGTTTTCCCCAGTTGTGCCATAATTGAGTTTAAGAAATTCTAATTTATTACGGTGCTGTCTGTTCTGATCAGTTTCGTTTGGGAAGAAACACGTGTTCTGAATGTGATTACTGGTGCTATGTTAAAATTAAATGCGAGCTCTTAAGTGAAATTGTGGTCCTTTTTTAAAAATGAATTCTAATTTGAGAAAATTGCAGCTTGACTTTTCCTGATGAACAATGTGAACATGGACTTCTTTTTAATCAGCTGTTGCGCGCGTCATGGAGGCGGTGTGCTTCTCCCCACAGGTGGAAATGATTGCAGGTCATGGTAGACTTGTCAATTAATCGATTCTATAAAGGTTACTTTTAAAAACATGTCATTTGACCTCTCGGTCACTCAGATTTACTGAAGTAGTCTTATTGCTGTGATCGGCGCCTCTCACTCTGACCTGGTTTCAAAGTGTTACAGTTAATCATTGACAGCTTATGCTGGCCTCTCATTTCTTGTTAATATGACAAAGTCATTATCCTAGGCCCAGATAAGCGATCAGTTTCGTTCTTTACAACTGCATTTGAGGGACACTATACTATACTCACTATGCTATACTCTAAAAGGATTGTGTTTCTGTTTCAGCAACACTGGTCCAAGGCACAGTTAAATGGTTCAATGTGCGAAATGGATATGGATTTATAAACCGGTAAAAAGCTTATCTTCAAGTTAGTGGTTATTTAATATTTGGTTAATAGATTTGCCTTATCATTGTAGGAATGACACCAAAGAGGATGTATTTGTCCATCAGGTAGGTCAGGAGTCCCTTTCATTGAATTAACTTCTCTCCTTACTAAAGCCTAAATCTCTCTCCAGACGGCCATAAAAAAGAATAATCCTAGGAAATTCCTCCGCAGTGTGGGAGATGGAGAGGTTGTAGAGTTTGACGTTATAGAGGCAGCAAAGGTGGGAATTGTAAAAATCATTCATTTTTATCATGAACTTTTCATGTTTTCATACATTTTGCATTTGTTGCAGGGCTCAGAAGCGGCCAATGTGACTGGTCCTGGTGGTGTACCCGTCAAAGGCAGTCGCTATGCGCCAAACAAAAGGCGATTCCGGCGGCGATTCTTTCCTCGTAGTCCTCGTCCTGGAGATCAGCCCAAATCTGCTGATGGGACAGAGGGCGAGGGCACCGCGGATGAGGGCACTAGACCCCCACCTCGTCGCAGAAGACCACGCAGACCAAGGCCACAGGATGTAAGCAGTGTCAAGAGGTTCAAATTATTTTTACTTGTGTTTTGGTTGGCTTCTAAGTAAATGGTAAACTGAACAAGTGTGCGTTAGGGTGAAGCTGTGGAGCAGAATGAAGTAGCCGAAGGAGATCAGACGGAGCGACCAAGACGAAGGTTCTGGCGTCCATATCGGAGGTGTGTCATAATGTCAGTTTCAAAGTGCTCATAATGTGGCTCATGGTTCCTGCTCTTAGGCCCTTCAGACCACGTCAGCCTCAGGACCAGTCCACCACAGAGCAGGCTGTGACTCAGGAGGAGAAGGACTCAGAGCAGGCACCCAAAGAGCCCAAAGAGCTTTCAGATGACAAGCCCACAGACGCTGATCCTCCACACACCAACGGTGACGCCACAGACAGTCCAGGACAGAAGCCACGACGCCAGTCCAGACGCCGCAGACAGAGGAACTCTGAGTCCTCTACCTCTAAAGTAAATTATTAATGCCACTTTATGCTGTGCTGGATGCTTGTGCCAGCCTTGACTGCAACACTGAAATGCTTTTTATTAGAATGATACAGAAAAATCTGCCTCTGAACCTGAAACCCCGCCTCAGACCTCGAAAACATCAGACCTAAAGGCTGCTTCGCAGTCGCCAAAGACTTCTCCCAAAACAACAAAATCGCCAACAGTAAGTCTCTTCTGAACAGTTTTAGGTTGTTTTTAAGTTTGTTTGTTTTTTTTCTCAACAAATCTTTTCTTGCAGCAGACTACATCCACAGAGTGACCATCTATGGGACAGTCACAGGACCCTTGGCATCAGGTGAGTCTCTATTGAGGTGCTGCGGTTCTGATGAGGGTCATGAAGGTAGGATTGCACATTTTTAGAAGTGGCATGTTCTTGTTTTACTTGAACATTCAAAAACTGGAATAGGTCCTTTATGTTTTGAAATGTCAAATATGATACAACTGTCCTGCTTTTTCTTTTTTTCCTCTCATAGGTCCTAGGGTTGGAGACTGAACCCATTTCTGAAAGCCTGGCACTTCTCTCCCCTCCCTGCTCTCCCCCATCCTCCACTTCACCTCACCTCACGATCATCCTTCACCCCTATCTGTGTTTGGACATTACAGTCTAGTGTCTGACAACTAGAGCAGGTGATGTAGGTGGTAGTGGGTGTTGTATTTAGGGCAAAACTTAATATTTAAAGAAAATGGGATAAGAACAATTCTGCTTGGTGGCCCAGTTATTACAACCACTTTAAAACAATTTTCTTTTAAGTGACAAGATGAAACATTGTTGGAGAGATCTGCCTTGATTTTCATTTAACCATTTTAATTTGGTTGAAGTGGGGGATATGCCAAGCAGGTGTGAGGTTGGTGGTGCATTATGAGTCACTTTAGTTCTGTTGCCACCTCAGTATGTCCCATTCCTCAGTTTGAGGGGAGGATTAATGAAAACTTTATTTGTTAAGTTTGACTTTTGTGCTTTTTCTTTGGAGGGGATTATGTGCAATGCTTGTTGTTTGTTATAATAAATCATGTTTGGCACACTTGCATCGCAGCCCTTTCTTTCAATTTAAATAAAGCATTTTATTTCATACATTCAAAATTTGGTTCAGTAACTCAGAAAAATATGATCACAAATGAAGGAAAAGGTTGTGCACACCGCTCAACACACTGAACACCAATAAAAAGGTTAGGCTACCATGCGTTATATACAAAGAATAAAGAGTACACCAAAATTCGGTTGTGCAATAAATCATCAGTCAGAAATGCCCCCAAGTTGAGTGGGAGATATTGAAAACTGAATTTTCTCACCAATTTGGTTTGGGGAAGAATATTTTAGTAAGTTGTAATTTGAAATTCTTCTTAAAAAGCCAGCAATGGGAGCTTATTGGAAATCAAAATAACAAATGTGTTGTGAAATGTTACAAAAAAGGGTATGAGATGGTGATTTTATTTTACAATTCATATTTCTGTGACATTTACAGGCCTGCTTTAGTGCCTTTCTGATGAATTAATATAGTATTCTGAAAAAAATGTGTTTTGTCAATATTGCCCACCCCTACCTCAAAGAATATTTCAAGACCTTGGGTTCTGACAACTTGTTAAAATACAATACAATCAAGAATTCCACCTAAAACAATTAAATCCATTATACTTCTTTTACTATTAAAACATTTAAAAACCCACCAATCATGACTCAGGAAAACATCAAACTGTTCCCATCTTATTATTTTTTGTAACCATGGAGATACACCCAGGTTTTATCATAGAGCTTTTATAGATAAAGTGCAGGAATCAAAGTCAGTCACCTTTCAAAAACACAGACATCACCCTGGAATATCTTAACCTCAGCAGTTAATCTATCGTTTTGTTCTTCCTTCTGCTTTGGCATTACAATTCTCCCAGCCTAAATCAGAAAATATCATCTTATTTTGTATCAACAGTCTTCAGTGGTTGTTGGTGTCTCCCAGATAGGTCAGTTCAGTGCTGTCTTTTTCCATTTCCCCATCTGTATCCATGTCCATGTCTAGTCCCATATCCAGACTGACTCTTCTGGTGGACGAGTGGAAGTTTGATGCAATTTGGTCAAAAGTCTTGCCTCTCGTCTCTGGCACACGGAAAAATGTGAAGATCAGGAAGAAAAGAAGGAGCACTGCAAAAATCAGGAAAGCGTAGGGCCCTGTAGCATTCTGTAAAAGCCACAGAATAAATTTGGTTATGAGTATACTGAAGTGTAATATTGGTAGTATTAGTATTATTTAGTATTAAAGGTTCTATATTACGCAAAATTGACTCTTGTGAGCTTTAAGTCACACTCTGTTACGTCCTCAAAAACATACCTGGAGTCGTGCTTTGTTTCATTCACATATGTTTGAGTAATGCTTTATTGTTTGTATGTCTCATCTTTAAAGTTCAAAATGCTCTGTTCCCACTTATGATGTCATGAAGTGGTAGTTTTCATATTAACAGCTACATTTTACCTTTTGTTCAGTAGTGATTGACAATTCCAGGGATGAAATTATCTAAATGATTCTAGTGAACGTGCATCTAGTTTAAAAACACAGTGGAGCACTTCCTGTATTATCACATTACAGCACAAGGTGGAACAGAGTGTTTTCAGATGGAGAAAAGAACTTGTGCCAAAGCAGGTTTGTGTGTTAAACGTGAATAACACAAAACAAGAAACAACATTATAACAGAGATCAGAAAATAGTCTAATATGGGCCCTTTAATATATTATATTTTCAATACTGCTATTTTAATGCAGAAAATAAAGTAAATAATAAATACAATATTAAAAAAAATATTAAAAAATCTATCCTCAAGTAATTTGTACATACATACAAGATACTGAAGACTTCATAATAGCCCCAAAATAAAGACTATTTTGATGATAAGCAAATTAATTTCAACAAGGTAAGCCCTCAACCACTGATTTCCATGAACAAAACAAAAATAAGAATACAAATATTTCAGAAAGAGTACTTACAGCCACATATTGGAATCCCATGCCGATGATAAAGTTGGCCGTCCAGTTGGAGCAGCCAGCTACAGCCATGGCAGCTGGCCTGGGACCTTGTGAGAACAGCTCTGCCACAAAGAACCACGGGATAGGGCCTGGACCCACTTCAAAGAACGCCACAAACCCAAAAATAGCCAGCATACAGATGTAATTCATCCAGGGAACCTTATCCTATAGAAGATATGGGTTTGTAAAAATATATAATATTAATTGTAGGTTGAACTTAAAAAGGTAGTGAAGAGTTGAAATACTAACCAGTAAAGCAAGAGCAATAGTCATGACAATGGCACAGACGCACATGCCAGCCAGTCCTAACATGTGCAACGTTCGGCGCCCCATTCGCTCAACCAGGAAGAGCTGTTGATTCAATGTCAAGAGTATTACTCAAAGGTCTTAAATTACACAGAATTGACTTGTGTATGTTTTTAGGCATGTTATAATGTTGTCCTCCTCAAAAACATGCCCAGAGTTGTGTTTTATTTCATTCACACATGTTTGAGTAATCCTGCATTATTAGTCTGTTTTCATCTCCAAAGCACAAAATGCTCTGTTCAACCTTATAGCTTTTGTTTAGCAGAGATTGGCAATTCTGGGGTAGTAAATCCAAATCCAAATGATTTTAGTGAACATGTATGGAGTTTAAAAACACAATGGAGCACTTCCTGTATTGCCACATGACATCACAAGGTGGAACAAAATGTTTTCTTTTTGAAAGAAGAACACAGCCTAAATATGCAGGGTTTGTGTGTTAAACATGTATGAATGAAACAAAACACAACTTCAGGTATGTTTATTGATGAGGTGACAATATTATAACCAGAAAATCAGATCAGAAAATAATGTAGTATGGGCCCTTTAAACTATTAAATTTACTTTTTTTGTATAACATTGCCATTATGATTCAAACCTTATCCAGCACAAACAATACATTATATACAAATACAGTTAGGTTAAAAATAAGTACACTTATTTAGTTTAATGGTAAGTCTTAATGAATTTGATATTACTTGACCTGCCAAACTAAACTTGACCCATTTTAAGCTGAAGAAAATGCTGCTATCTTGTTTGCTCTTTGATAACTACAGTTAAACAGTAATAGAACCGCACTTTGATACACTTTCTATCTTTACTCTTACTGTTAAAAATAGATAATACAAAACATCTTCCACATGACATCGCCAGCATTTTTCTCAGGAAAATCTGTGCTTGTTACTGACCGAGACCACAGTGAAGGCACAGTTGACCACGCCCGCTCCTATAGTGGCATAGACTGGACTCTGGACCCCAGCGCTGATGAAGATATTGGTGGAGTAGTAGAAAATCTGGGCAGAGAAGTTAAAGGTGCACTTTGTAACTTTTCAGGAGAGGGATCCAACACCTGCTTGTCTCCATGGAGATTATTACTCTACCAAGAATATTTTACAGTATGGCATTCAGCTTATCTACCTTGCATTTTATTTATTTATTTTTTAATTATAGATGTTTAGTAGCCTGACCTCGCAGCATTAGGATTCTTTCGCATGACGGTAGTCAGGAACTTAATTTCATTTAACCAATTGCTGCTATTTGGTCGTGATGTATGTCACCGCAATGTAATGTGCCGCTAAAGAGGCTAACTGGTATATTAAGCTTTTCCCAAGATCCCATAAGAAGAAGAACAATAATGTCTTTCCCCTTGATCAAATTCACCAAACATTCTCTTTGTTCCAGCTTTAAATCCTTGATCTCGGGAATCGTTGCCAACACTGAATGTATGTTTCCTCTCTGATTGGCTGGTGCCTGAACTCACACTTCCAGGGTTCTTGCAAACTGTCTAGTGTATTTTGATTCCTGACCTTGTCGCTGGAGAGAAATGAAATTGAGAGGAGGCAATAGGTGGCCCCAGCCTGGCTAGATGTTTCTATAGCTAAAAATGGGATCACCTCTCCAATGATCTGAGCCATAATGTGGCCTGGTTCTGTCACCTGGTTATCTCCATGGAGATAAATGTAAGGTAATTCTCTGAAAATTCCAGGCAAAGAAAGGACATCTCTATGGAGGCAAACAGGTGGCAGACCCTGCACCAGAAACGTTACATAGTACACCTTTGCATCAAAGTTTTACATCTGCATAAGGTAAGCACATTGTTAGAAAATTACAAATGAAAGGTCTAAAAATAGCCCATGTTTGTATAGTTTCTCTGAACATAACAAAATGTTATGGGCCAGAGGCGGCGCTACCATTAGGCAAATGTAGGCAGCCACTTAGGGCCTCCGAACCTGGAGGGGACCCCCAAACAATTGCCCTTGCCGTTACAACTAATGGCTGAGGCCTCAGAGCAATTTGATTTTCTTTCAAAATAACATAAAATTAGAGTAGTTTACTTATAGAGATGTGCATTGCTCAAGAACAATGTAGGAAAACAGACAATAAATATAAAAAAAACAAAAAACAAAAAAAAACAACTGTGCATTATAGTGAGGGCCCCAAACTCAAGTTCACCTAGGGCCCCCAAATTGTTAACTCTGCCCAGGGCAGTAGACAGAGGGGACAAAGAGGTCTGTTTTCCCAGGACTCAGGGTTTTAGGGGCCCAGATTTGGACCTTCTTCCTACTAATTTATATTGAAGAGGGGCCCATGTAAGGCTTTTTGCTCTGGGCCCTTAAATTTCTGTCAAGGGGCCTGCTAATATTACTATTACACTAACAATAATAATAATAACAAAATAAGACTATGTACATACCTACCCACATATACATGCATGCATATTTATTGCACTTTACATTCCAACAGAAATCTCAAAGTGCTACAGGAAAGAAAATTTAAATGAACAGTATATTTTAGCAGGACGGACTTACTGCATTGATTCCTGACAGTTGCTGTGAGAGCTGTAGCATGATGGCGATGATCATGGGCTGCCGGTACATGGGAGAACGGAACAGCTCCAAAATGGACACCTTCCGCTCCATGTCCATCCGACGTTTCTCCTCCTTCATCTCGGCCAACATGTCTCCCACCTCCTGCCTCCCCGTCAGCCTCCTCAGGCCTGGACCAAAACACATTATTGGGAAAGAAATGCACAGAAAAAAATTCTCTGCAGTGAATAAATAAATAAATGAATAAAATATACAAGATTTGTGTGTGTGTTTTTTACATATAACTAAAAATCAATTATTATTTGTATCTATCTAAATAAAAACTGCTAGGAAAAAACTAAGAATTCAGTTGTTTCTGTCAAATTTTGCACAAATCTTTATCAAAATCACTACATTTGAAGCTTTATTCCATCTGAAAATCTGTACATAATACTTAACTCTTGAAGTGGTGCACTGTGTTAAGTGTTTTAGTGGAGGGTCCACTGTCTGCTTGTCTTCCTCAACATGTTAATAAACTTATGCACCTTCATAATGACAAATATGTGACACCACCAGGCCAGTTACAGGTCAGAGAGCTCATGCACAGTACAGATGAATGCTTTTAAAAGTATTTCTAAGCAATTAAAACACCTGTAACAGAATCAGTGCAAGAGATAGATGACTTTAATGCCATACTCTGGAGCATCCTGGGCAAAGGTATAACATATTCATGAGACAAATGTGATCTCCAGAATGTCCATCAAAAAAGTTACACGCCGCACCTTTAAGTCGATTTTTTTCATGTGATACTTGTACTCAAGTAACAATATTGAGTACTTTTTCCACCACTGATTATGTTTTCAGTTCTCACCACTCTTGGCATGATGCTCCTGACAACGTACAATGTAGAGGAATCTTGGGCTCTCAGGACAAAACGGTAACAGGGCCATTTGTAACACAGTTGGTACGACAGTTAGACCAAGAAGGACTGGCCACAACTCTGCACTCCCCAATAACGATTCAAGACCTAGGATCTGAGCCATAATGATTTATTAAAACACATGTCACTAAAACAGTCACTAAGGATGATATGATGATAGGAAATGTAGCCATACCTGTGCTAATAGAATACCTGTGACTATAGCCAGCTGATGTAAAGTGCCCAGTGCCCCTCGTAAACTCGTAGGAGCAATCTCACCAACGTACATGGGGGTCAGACCAGAAGACAATCCTACAAAGACAAAGTTCATTCAAGAGTATAATATTATAATATATCAAGTGTAAAATTAGTAGGGATGGGAGCCTTGTCCTGTGCTGAAAATGAGCTTGTGAGATTTTTTTCTTCATATTTTTACATCTACCTTGGATAAAAAGGTTTAAATTTGCTGAGTACCTCCTCTTGAGAAGTTCAAGTAATATCAAAAAGGAATACTACAATTACACCAAAATTGTCAAATTAAACACATAATAAAAAATCCAAACCAATTGAACCGAATGGCACAAATGTATTAAAGATTTGAATCAAAATCTCATCTTGTCTCGTTCTCGTAAAAATTGTGTCTTGTCCCATCTCTAAAAGTGAACTGTACTCACCGCAAAAGGCGCCAATGATAAAACGGCCCAAAATCATCATTTCAAAAGAATGGCACAGCTTGGATAGTCCCATCAGACTCCCACCAATGAAAGCAAATAAATTGTTGATGAGCATGGCTTTCCTCCTGAAACCACACACAAAGATGATAAGTCTTGTGTTAGTGGAAGAACATGAGTAGAACATGGCAACAGTTTTTGGTCTACATACGGAAAAAAAAAATCTATATATATTATATTTTACATGAGCATTTATATAATTATGCCTAGTTTGACACCAGTCTCTTATTATTTTAGCTACTTTTGAGTGTATTATTACCATTTATAGTTTTCCTCTTTGTTTCTACAATATATTGTGAGGTGTGAGCTGCTGTGTTCAAATAATTTCTCTTGTGGATCAATAAAGTTTGTCTGAGTCTAACTTCTCCACTAGATGGCAGCCTCCTTTAACCTGTGTTTTTTTGTTGAACGTTTATGAAGCGTCGACTTCGGAGGCAAATGCGGGAATTGAAGTCTATTTCTTTGCTTATTTAAAGCTTTAGATCACGTGTTGCAAGTCTCGTGCACGTACAATACTGTGTGTGACAAATTACGGGCAGAGTGACGCTTGGAAACACGTTAAGCTTAGAGGTCAGCGTGACTTCAGAGTTTGCCAGTGTTCTTTTTTTTTTTTTTTTTTAATAGGCTCTTGTCCTCAGTCTCCCTCCGCGCCCTCGTCTCCGTCCTGACCCACTGCTCCCCCTGGATCCTCTTTCAGTCACTGCAGGATGTGGCCCGTGTCCAGGTTCAACCCCAGCTCTTATTACTGACGAAGGGGCCTTAAGGAACTGCCCAGATATGAGCCTAATAAGTCAGATCAGGTTATCATTTATAGTATAGCATATATATCTACTTAGCTCACATTTTCCAGGAATATGCATCACCTGAACAGATCTACTTTGTGCAGTGGTGGAAGAGACAACTCAAAGAGTAATGTGTGGTGATTTTATGCTGAATTGTTATAATTTTATGGCATTAGAAGTGCCTGAATCAATTCTAAAAAAAGAAAAAAAATCTGTAAATTTTCATTTATATATTTTGGTTTGGCTCAATGTTGTGTGTTGTACATAGTTAATCTCCACTGCTAAATTTGTGACTAAACCAAATCAGTACAAGCGAAATTCAGTCTAAACCAAAACAACAACATGCAGCAGAAAACCTGGACTTATTCCCAACTAGTTATTCCTTTATTTTATTATTTTTTTTAATAAAAGCCTGAATCAGACTACCCTTAAGACAACAGGCCCAATCGGGATTCTATTTATTTATTGTTTATTTGAATAAGGACAGATACACAAACAAAGATTAACAATTCAGTAATCTGATTCAGGTGTCACAGTGTTTATAGCCAAGGCTAATTCGCAACACTCGTCTCCAGAAAGGCTTTTAAAACTACTATACATTTACTAGAAAGCAATGGGATTGTTGGTTGAAAAAGTAATAAATACAGTGAAAGTGTCAAAAGAATCCGAATATCAAAATATCACACACTTACAAACTCTGCAACATGTGTTTTTAGTAGGAGGTGAACCCATATCACTCTGACAAAACGCAGCAGGAGAGCAAGAATAAAAGTCACTCAGCTATATCTATATTCTAAAATGCACTATCCGTATTCTCTGTTATATCTTTTCTTACCTGCCCAGCCACTCGGACACAAAGCCCACACAGAAGGAGGAGAACATGCCCCCGATGGAGAAGATGGCGACGGAGAGGGACCACAGAGACGTGAGGGTCCCTGTGGGGATGGGCTCTCCATATCGGTGTTTCCATGTGGCGTTATAATCTGCCTCAATGATCTGGACAAAGGAGACATATTAGGCAACTTGATGTTTTGAGCTGTGAGGCATGTTAGAATGATTATCCCTCATCATTAGCTTAGTTGTATTGTGACTGATGTATACATGTTTCAGTTGCCTTGCATTGTCCTATATTTGAAGCTTGAGTGCTCAGAAAATTTCCATGTGCCCCTACCATGAATACTCGCCCACAGCCCTATGCTTGCTTCTTTTTTATGTATTTATTTATGTTTTGACAAATTTAAACTCCACTTTAAATAGGGTTTTCTAGAACACTGTAAATTATTAGTTTTCATATGGGAAAATGCCACCATGAAGATGCAGAAAAAACAGGAGAGAGTGTTTACTGTAGGGAAAAGCCCAACCAGGAACAGGAGATGAGAATTAGCACTAGCTATACACTATTTATGCGTCACATCAGCTGCATTTTCTGCCAGTCACTATACATGACTGCATTGTCCCTGGTAGAATTTGTTCTGCAGTTTTGAACATGGAGTCGGTGGCTGCTTCTATTAGTTTCCAATAAAAAATATGTAAAATAATTCTCAACATAAGTGACAGTTTATTACTCAATACCAGATAAAATATGTATGTCTTCTTTACATTAACTAAGTATCCTCCCATTACCTCTTGTGTTGTAATGTGTTTAACAATGTAAGCTATGTGTGTATTGTATATCTGTAGTTGTAGGTCTAGGCACATGTTGTTGCCCCCAGATGCCAGAATGCCTCAAGGGCAGCCATCAGAAGTTCACCTGACCATAACATAAACCATGACATAAACCATAACATGAACCCACCTCTTTACATTTAAAGTGGGTGAGACACAGAATTTGGCGAAGTAAACTTTGGCACTGGGGTACGTAGTTTTTGTCATAAAGTATCATCAGTACCTCTCATCTTCAATATATAATTACTGCATTTATGTTTATTTTTGTCTGAACACATGACAGTAATGTATAGCAAAAAAAAAAAAAAAAAATGTTTCAGAGTTTGTGGAGTCTTGTGCTAAATTGCTCTCTGGATATCACCTTGACCACAGGCCACATTTACACTGACAGATGAAAATAGAAGTTATTATGACAAATACATACAAGGTTATTTTTGTTATAATAATTTCACAGCTCAGGGGATTGATCCCAGCTCTGACCAGTGCATATCCTTGACCCACCTTGATAATAGATGAATTTAGGGTGTAAGAGATTGGTGATGGTGGTGAAGCCGACGGAGCAGAATAACAGACACTGTGCCCCAGGACAGCTGTGACTATGACTACAAAAGTTGTTTACCGCTGGACTGAATGTATAATGTCAGTGTGACACTTAGAGAGGCTTGTCAAGCTTGTAAAGTACAATACAAATATAAGTTTTATGATTTCATTTTTCTATAATCCTAAATATGAAGTTTCACATGCCGCTGTAGACTGTAACTCTGCTTCTGCATATTTCATTTCAACATAAACCAACAGCTTTTGTCTGGCCCTGTTTCTCCTCAAAGTTTATTTTCTAAACAGAGTCACACAGAGAATGTTGTGGAATTACTGTGTGGCCGTGGTAAATGTCAGTGTGTGAGGTGTAAGCCATCTGACACGGACAGTGTTTACATGAACCACTCTGTTCTGTGGTGGGACGGTACCTTCTGGGGGGCATTGATGACCCCGATGTTGTATCCAAACTCCAGAGACCCCAAGACGGCCGTGAAGACGGATAGAGCAAGAGTTCCAGTCACTGTCTGAGCACATAAAGGTATTTACATTTGTGGTATGGTGCCATTGGACAGTTAATCATATGCACTAAATATAACTGCAATCCCAAAGACCACTCGTCCATGTAACACTGTGAACTTTAACTTCCCTCGAATTTCCCACAAGCCCTGGCAGCTGTCTCTACAATGACAGACAGAGTGACCTTTGGGAGAATAGGTCTTTTCTCTTGGCACCTTATGTAGCTGTTTCATAACAAAGTAGTTACCTAGCAGTCAAGTATTTTGACTGAGATCATGTGGTTGCATTAATGTTATCAAAATTATACCTCTATTTATATTTGGATAATGGGTATGGTTTGATCGTTTTCGCTTGCAGACTCAATGTTTATGAGATTTTATAAGCTAAATGTAAACTATAATACATAAAATATTTTTCTTATGCTAGGCTTTGACACATGTAACGGGTTGCATTTGCATTTCTTTTATTTCAGTAGCTGCTGAACAAATTAATTTAAGATAACATTCAACTTATGTCAACAATAAAACCACATTTCCCCTGCACCGAATAATAGAGAATTGACTTGATTTTAGAACTAAATATATATTTATCAGTGTCAGTATTGTAGTTTGAACTGAAATGACGTTTGGAGGACAGACATTGTTTATGAGGGAGCTGGAGGAACCAGTCATTCAACTGTAGCACGTAAAAAACTGCAGCTCTAACTGCGATAGGCTATTAAGTTGGACAAGGTCACTGGAAACTGTAGAGTTCAGCTCCTATTTACCATGTAAATTACATTATGTTTGACAAAACTGCGCTATTATTAACATGAATATAGATCTTGCTCATTAAAAAGGGTAGGTTTTTCCATTTTGCAAGCATGCCTTATGCTTCAATCCGTGCGTAAAGAGCTCCCGCATGGAAACAGTAACAGACTTACAGCTCATCATTTGCTAAACAAATTGCATTCAAAAGAAAATACCATGATAATGATAATAATAAATAAACAAATAAATGAAATTGCTTTTTTCCTATAATTTACCTCCCCTCCAAGTTGCTGAAAGCCGGCCGGCATGACGTTATAGCGGCTTCCTTCAGCCACAAACGGAGACACTCTCCAAGAAAGTCGTTCCAATCACAGTGCGTGCAGTGAAATACGGATAAGGCCGAGAAAAAAAAAAAAAAAAAAAAAAAAAAAAAAACAATGACCACGAGAGTAACAGCGCGCGCGTCTTTTCCAAGTTGTCGTTGCCTGTTAAAGTGTGAGTTGTGCTTCTGGCCAAGAAAACGCAACACACCCCACGTGCGTAATGGACGGTTTGTAGAGGGGGAGCAGAATGGGCTGATCTTGAGATCCTGTTACAGAGCAGAAAGTGTATGAAGTGTAGATGAACGGGCATATGCCATGATGTGTAAAAATGCCCCTTGGATTAAAAGGATTTTGTTGGATAAATTTTGTCCACTGTGAATTTGCAGCTCCTGCGCAATGCGTCATGTCATGTCTATAGAGCCTATGTGTTTGTAAATTTCAACAGTTAGTATTTCACCTTTAAAATATGATCAAATATAATATTAACAAACTGAAAGTTATAAATATTGAAGAATCTCTGTATAATCCTTCAGTCCAGACGTGATCCATACCAAAAGAAAAATTCAACTGTCAACTGACTTCTTCAGTTCAGAACTGAAGAATTCAGTGGGATGAGCAGCAAAGCTTCACTCTGAAACCTTTGTTCTGTTCACAGAATTGAAATTTTCCTTTGCTATAATATTTAAGAATGGAAATTGTAACAGCAAGTTAGCAAGTCTTCCAGCCAGGCCTAAACCTGAATAAGTGTACAAATCTTTGTGCAGAAGGTCACCAGAATAAAAAACAAATAATAAAAAAAAAAAAAATTAAGTATAATTTGCAGGTTTGCAAAGTTCAACCTTTTATTTACAAACATCTACAGCCCATGTCTTAGGTCACTTGACTCCGTTCATCTTCTATGATGGACCTCAGACGAACCCCAGTCAACATGGCGCGGTACAGTATGACTCACCACTGCTCGTGAGTGCAGCAACCGTCTGTCCCCCCACCCTCTATAAAGCCCCCTTCTATATTAGATCACATACCAGCGGGGTCACAATACGTCCTCATTGCACACAACAAAGCCAGTCCTCCAAAGGCAACAGGTGGGCACTATATTTGGATGGCACCTTGGTTAACAGGGTTTGACTAGAGCAGTTTATTGGCAAGTATAATATTGGGGGTGTGTAGGGGGCGTTGTCGATAGTGAGAAAAATTAGTCACTGGAAAGATATACACTATAAATACATTTCTTAACAATTCTCTCCCCTTAGAGACAGCCTCTGCACTCCACAACTCATCCTTTTGAGAAAAAAAAAAAAACAGGAGGAGAAGAACTTGACACCGCTCATTTTTAAGACAGGGGCCCCCAGCCAAGTCATGTGTGAGTGTAGGACTAAATGTAGAAGAAACCTTATGCCATCAGGCGTGTAGACCTACCATCGTAGTTTTAGAGTTAAAATTATGCTATTTTACATGTAATAACTACTGATGGCATCCCCTAGAGCTAAAAACACAAAAGGCTATAAGGTGAAAAGAATATACAAAATAGTTTAATAAGATGTTAAGATTTCAGGAACATTACTCTTGAATGCTTATATTGCAAAGTCAACTAAAGAAGGAAATAATATTAAGGATCCAACTGTGATGAGAGAAAAGTCAGAAGATGTAGATTTGAAAGGTAATGTGATGTTAAAACCATGACTTTGTATGCTGTTTGAAGTAATAGAGTGTGACTGACCTCCCCAGCCTACATAAATATGTCCTCCATTTCCCAACCTGAAGGGGGTGAGCTGGTTCAACACACGTCACAGTGAGTAAACTCATGTGATTGGGACAGGTGTACACTGCATGACCACTGTAAAAGACACATACGTCAACACATTATTAGTAGTCCACTGTGTAATTATTTTTCAATTAGTCCATATAGGGATTTAAATGCCAATATATAATTAGAATTAATAAAACAGATAATGGAAAGCAGACATTTATTCTTGAATGACCTTTTGCCTTGAATATTCCACCGTATGGCATTAAACTTGTACTTGCACTGGTTCATTACAGGTGCTTTGAAAAATACCTTGAAAATCTGCATTATCTGAGTGTAAGTGCCTACTTGGCCTGTTGGCCACTCCATGAAAATAAATAGGTTTAATGCCATACTGTTGAGCATTGTTGCAAACCAACATCTCCATTGTCACAAACAGCTGGGAGACCCTCTACCTGAAAAGTTACATAGGTCACCTTTAAAAGAGGGTCTATCTCTATCACAATTAATCATAAATGTTAAGATATGTGTGTTTGGTTTTCTGTCTAATTTTTCTGTCCTTAATTGTGGAATAAGGTGAATTTAAACTGTATAAATGTAAGCACATACTTCTGTGTGAGCATCAAGAAATCATCAGCAATTAATCACTATGAATTAGATGCCATAAAATGTAGATTAGTTTTGTTTAACCTTTGTATAGTAACATACAATCTTGCTTTTTTTTTTTTCTTTTTTTTTTACTTACAATAATCTGTTTACTCATGCACTCACCCATGTGATGATTTTTCATCTGCAGTGTGCCCCTCCTCCGTCGTTCCAGTAAAGTTTCGTTTCGTCACAGTCTGTAGTGATGCATTTAATACCCATCGTTTTTCAGCCGATATATATAGTACTTGTCTCTAGAATTGTGTATTATTTATGGCAAACATTAAATCGTAAAACGATTGCAATAAACCGTATAGTCTTATAAATTTTACGGCTTTATCTTTATTTTTTAAACGAACCAAAGCATAATCCGGTCCCCGTACATGTTGTAAAGATTGAGTAAAATCCTGCAGTTGTGAGCGCAGCTCGTTGTCATACAGTCTAGGATCGTGCTTCGCCGTGCAGGCAAAGCGGAGCAGCGTGCCTTCTGATTGGCTGGCTGAGTCTGTTAAATCGCTGCACTTCCCCCTTCTTTTTGTGGGAATCCCCAAACAACGTGCTCGGCTGGGCCCAAAATATTTGGGAATTTACAGACGATCTATCCCCAGTCCCACCACATCGAAGCGTTGATCATCGAGCAATTTGGTTTGTAAACGACTTTAGTGTGATAAAATGTGTACATGTGATTCATTGCGTTTCGTGATACTTTGCATCATTCATTGCGTCGTTGCGAGGAGTTTGCGTTAATACGTCGAGTGAACGTATGCCTTGTGACCGCCGATTGAATATAATATTTTGTAGGATCTAAAAGGTGCATTAAATGTAATTTGTTACCATACAGTTTCCATATAATAACAAATTGTGTATGCAATGTCGAGACGATGTAAAGTTTCATTTGAATGAAGCTCTTGATATAGGCCGCCCGAAAGAAAATGGACGTCAAATGTTAGCATCACAATAGCATTAGCATCTTGCGATATTTATGAGGTTTACAAACTGTGTCTATTTTATTTTGCCAATTTAGAAGTATTTAAGGTTTACTTTTCCTTACATTTAGTACATTTAAATTCGAAAGATATTGTTTTTACTCTTCAAAGTGCGAGTGAAATGGCTGGCCTTTGTAGTTGCACTTCCTGTTTTCGCATTTTCAGCAACTTTTCCCCATGTTTTAACTACATGTTGCTCATTAATTAGTAATTGTATTGGTATATTTAAATTACCATTTTGACCACTGTTTTTATTATTAATAGTAAGGGGATGATCCCATTTGTCTTGACCCGGTTTAAGGAGTCTTTTTGTACTCACGCCAAGTATACCAAGTAGTACATGCTTTCTGACAGCACAAATGAAAAGGGGTTACTGTTGTGGCGTACTGTATAGATGAATGTACATGGGCTCTGTTTATGGACCTGATCATTCAACCGTGATGTTTGTGGATTTAGTAGTCTTTGGGTTCAATTATACAGGTACATCATGACTTTATTTATATATATATATATATTTTTTTTTTTTTCATTCAGTGTTGGAGCTATGGATGAACTGACACCCAGCCAAGAAACTACTTTCTTGGAGCTGTGGGGCAGTATGTAAGTTAAGCAACTTTTGTTTTAAAAGCCATATAACATAAACAGTTAATTGAGATGGTCTGAATTTTTTCTGTCATTTTTAGCTCTACGCCGTCAATCTCCACCATGGCCACTGATGAGGAACCCTGGCCCACTGTACTTGTTACACCATTTTCTTGAAGAAGAAATTGAACACTGACAAAATGCTTGGATAATAATGATTCATTTAATCTCTTACAGAATTTAAATGCCCTGGCAAATGATTTTGATGAGCGTCTATTTGAGCTTTCACAAAATGAAATTCCTCCCAGTATGCCCCCCTCTGCGTCCTCTGTGCCAGAGACCTGCGACTATCCAGGGGAATACAATTTTACCCTTCGGTTCCAAAAATCAGGCACTGCTAAAAGTGTTACATCCACGGTAAGTAATGATGAGTGACGTGAGTAGGCTGGAATTTGTGGATTGCTTTGAAAAGTCTACATTTCATGTACTAATGAGCACACACTTCAGCGGACAAAGCACTGATAAAGTTTTGTTTAAATTTAAAACTTTTAAAACACAAAATTGGTGTTCCACTGTAGTAAACTTAAGCTTAGTCTTGGAAACTGGAGGAAGGATGAATTGAAAATGGTCTTACCTTAAAATAACGTTAAAATTCATTCTTTCGAATCTCCACATCCTCATTCGTCTGGAATCATTCATTGTGACGATTCGCTAAATTCACAGGTCTGTAGTCTGTCACTGCTTTGGGAGAGCCAATGGCATTGACTTTTTCTGGGTCACTCCATTAGCAGCCTGCTGCAGTTGGTCAATGTAGGTGAAGTAAGTGTGGTCTGCACTATGCTCCACCCCTGGTCCTGGGCAGAGCTGAAGTCTGGTTGTAAAGCACCGCTCCAACATGACGGGACATGTTCTGCTTGGACTTCCTCCAGCGCTCAAATGGTTAAAAATGAGATGAGGGAAGGTATAGCCTCCATTTCATTTACTAGCTCTAGTCGTTAACGTGTTAACTTTTGTATCCTTTTTTAAAAAAAAAAAAATTCTTTACTTTGATTGTAAATAGTAGGTTTTAATTTTTAGTTTTAACCTTTTGCACCTTTGCTGGACTGAAGACATTTTTTACATCTTTGCTTTAGCACATTTTAAAGCTATGTTTGTTTGTCCTTGTTTTTTCTTCCAGTTCTCAGAAACCTTAAACAAACTATATTGTCAGCTGGCAAAGACGAGCCCAGTTGAGGTTTTGGTTACAAAGGATCCTCCATCGGGCTCTGTGTTAAGAGCCACAGCAGTTTATAAAAAGACAGAGCATGTAGCTGAAGTGGTCCGTCGATGCCCCCACCACCAAAATGAGGATGGTATGGAACAAGCTGTCTTACGTTTGCATGTTTTTCTTGACTGAAAAGAAATACCTTTTTTTTTCACCAGTGATGGAATATAAAAGCCACCTCATCCGGATCGAAGGCAGTCAGCTGGCTCGTTATTATGAGGACTTCAGCACGAAGAGGCACAGTGTGACCGTCCCCTATGAACCCCCACAGGTGGGTCCTGTGTAAATGTATAAAGTAATAGAGGGAAGGCATAGATTTTATGCAGAACTCATTTAATTAGTTTCTTTGTATTTTAGCTGGGCTCGGAGAGGACCACTATTCTGCTGAGTTTTATGTGCAATAGCAGCTGCATGGGAGGCATGAACCGCCGTCCCATACGCACTATTCTTACACTGGAGACTCCAGAGTAAGTTTTATTTTCTATTTAGACATGTACTTTGAATCTCTACAGAAAGTTTTTGATGGTATTTGTAATACCTTATGTTTTTTTAGTGGGCTGGTCCTAGGTCGAAGGAGCTTTGAGGTGCGTGTCTGCGCATGCCCCGGCAGAGACCGCAAGACTGAAGAGGAGAACCGGACCAAGTCTCAAACTGGCACAAAGGACACAAAAAAGCGAAGTAGGTGTTTGTTTGGGGTTCTTTGTAACAGTGCTTTAATTTCTTACTTCCATGCTGATATGGCCATTTACAATTTTTCATGTACATTTTTTGCTTTGAAAAGAGTCTGCCCCAGCTGTGGAAGTTCCTGTTAAAAAGACAAAATCTTCAAGTGGAGAGGATGATAAGGAAGTTTTCATATTGAATGTGAGTTAAATGCATATAACTTTCTGACATCATTACTGTCTGCACTTGGATTACATTCTTTCTCTTTTTTTTTTCCTCCTCAGGTTCGTGGACGCGAGCGTTATGAGATGCTCAAGAAAATTAATGATGCTCTCGAACTGCAGGACAAAGACAAGTAAGACCCATGTAAACATTTACAAAACTGTACCTGAACCTTACATGCAAATGATACACAAAAGAAGCATGTTATAGAACTAAAGATGCTTTTCTAGGCTCTGGGTTGTTGTGTGTTTTATTTTATTTTATTTTATTTTTTCCTTTGGTTATGTAAGATTTTGTCTTTCACCAGTATAGATATAGATGGATGTATATTGTAAAAAAATGCAGATCTTCCCATCAAAATAAGACTGCTGTGTGCATCTTGTGTAGAGTTTTATTATCAGTGTACTACAAACACTGGAGTGCTTTTGACCGGCTAGTTGTGAATAGCGTTAAATAAAGTTAGGAGTCAGTTGGAACAGATCAGTGCACAAAGAACAAATTAAGCTTTAAAATATACAGTACCTTTGTTTGTATTTATTTATTTACTTTTTTGTTTTGTTTTCTACAGTAAAAAGAACAAAGCTAAGGTGAACGTGCCTTGTGGGAAGAAACTCATGCTGAAAGGTGAGAAGAGCGAGAGTGATTGAGAAGCCTGCCCCCGTTGGACAATTTATGTGCTTTTGTTTTCATCAGGTTATTGGCAAACTGTAAGCTATTGCCTCAACAGTATACTGACTAAGGAAAAGATGAGTATGAAAAACAGCCACTGCCCGATTATGACTTGAATTAATGTTGCCTTTTGTGAACACTACTGTACCAGAGTCCAATTATGCTGGACCAGTGGTGACATTTTATTGGCTTTAAAGGGGCTGTACCTTTTTGTTTGTATTTTTTTTCCATGTAAATTTGTTTTGCCTCCAGTATAGAATTATCATTCACGAGCCAATACGAAATGCTGTTGCACTGTTGGCATGATAGTTGTTAGCAGTGATGTGGCAGCAAAACTTACTTGAAATGCTTTACCAACAAAGTGAGGAGTACATATGGACCACTACTAACAGTTTCAAGTGAACTTCTGTTTTTCAAATTAAGACTGTAAAAATCAAGTACAGCGCCTGGACTGTTTTTACACAACCAACAAATATACTATGGTTGCCTAAACTGTTCTATGCAGAAGATGATTGACATGACAATAATCACATTTCACTGGACATTTTAACCACAAAATCAAGCATGTCTGTTTTTAAAGGAAATTTCTCCTGCTTATTTAGTTGTATTTTTGTTTTTTTTAAATCAAAATCATGAAATATGTCATATCCTTCATCATTTGTATGATTTAATACGATAGATTGGACTTTCGATGGGTTGGCTGGGACACCCCATGAAATTGTCAACAGTATTATTGCCTAGGGATTAAGTAAGCTTCTGTGGCGGTTGTGGAGCTATGTATTGGGGGAAAAAAAGTGTCTTCATTAAGAAATAATAATAAAAGTGCTAGTCATAACCTAAATTCAGCCAGCCACAGACTTGAGTCTATCCCCTTAGCACTTCACTAGTGAAACTGTCCAGCCACTAACTTCTTTATGCTGCCAGCTGCTTTCTTTATGCTGCCAAGTATATTTTAAAGGCATTCCTTTTTATGTAGAATTTTAGACTTTATTTTGGGAAGTTAGTTTTTATATAAGATCTTTGGTTCTATTTTTTTTTTTCCTTATTACTATTTTGTATTAATCCATTTTTATAACTGGTGCTAAAAGCCCAATAAAGCTTCAATGTAAACATTTTCCTTGCATTTCTATTCATTCTGCAGCTACCAATGCGTATGTTAGAGTTAATATTTTTAGTTTTGAGATCATACAATGTTTTACACTATATTTAAATATACGATTTCTTGGTATATATGAGTATAAATGATTTTAGGTGTGTTTAATATGGTTAGAAAGGCTGAAATGTTGCACTTTCTGCTTTAAAATATCCACAGTCCACACAATGTAACATTTAATATGGCTTTGTATGTTTTGAGGTATTCACCCATAACATTTTCACTAAACATGGTAGAAAACTCAGATATTTATAAATAACTTTCTAGAACCAATTTATTTTAAGCAGAACAATCTTCAAACTCCTCATTCACATTTGGCCCAGAGATCTTCGTCACCACATTTTAAGGATACCTCTACCTTGATTATCTCAACACAGCCAGTCACTTTCCTTACGTCTGGTGGAAAAGTAGCCCACTTGGATGTTAACCTGATAATGAATACAAATTAATCTTGTGTTTAGGGCTGTGTCCAGTCAACTGAATTTTAATTGAGATTCAGATTTAGTCATTTCTAAATGTCAATGATGTGCTTGGATGACTTTTATAGAAAGGTCAAAAGCTTATAGTTTGGAGCTGAGTTTAAACTTTGTGTTAATTGGCGATGAATAAAAGAGTGTATTGTTTCTGTTTTGGATATTATTATTGAAAACACTTTTCTTAGACAAAGATTTCATACAGATCATTGATCAATATGAGAGGGAAAATCACTTTATTCACTTTAATCACTACTTTTTTCATTCATTTTATAGCCTATCCTATGTATTAATTAAATAGTGTTTAAATGTGTTTAAATTACATGGTTTACATTAAAAGATCAGATACTTAAATTACTATAAATTATTGCATTATTTGAACTGCATTTCTTATTTGTTGCTTCCATGCCTCACAGTTGTTTTCAGCTAAGTGAATTTAAAATAATTCAGTCCATTTTATATAATACATTTGTAGTTGCAGCCTTATGAGTTACTTCTGTATTTATGTGTTTGTTTTTCACATCACACGCTAACACCTTTATGTCCCTTTTCCTTCATACACAGTACTTTGCATGGCAGATAGGTGAAAATGCAAAACAAGTATCAATGTATCCTTTTGTACAATGTTTATATTTCCTGCACTGGGCCAGCTCTATATTTTCATAATACAGTCCTGACTTGTCATTTCATTTAGACTGGATGTGGGTTGAGTCTGTTCAGGTCTTAGGATTTTCTTTGGTTTAGAATTTTTAAAAAGTAAAATATAAGGTGAAGATTTCTCATTACAGAAGCCCATAATGGCGAAAATGTCACCAGTGGACGTCTGTGTTTTCTTCATCTGGGGTAAGTTTTTGAGTTGATTTATAGTGTTAAAATGTTGTTTAAGAATTTTCAAAAATGAAAAATGCCATGTATGATTTCTTGTCTTTTGTGTGTGTTTTTTTTTTTTTGGGATATCCATTTATTATACTTTCCCTCCCCTTTTTTCAGTTATGGTGTTGACATGGGGCTCAGCAGAAAGAGAGTACTTTCATCAACTTAATTATCAGACCTGGGCTGGTGCGAGAAACCACTGCCAGGTACATTAAATATATATGACCAGACAGGCAGGGGTTAATAATGTTACTTGTAAATGTATTGTAACAAAGTTTGTTTTGGGGTGTTACCTTTTAAAAATGTTATCTTTGAGATAGCCCTTGGAACCAGTTTTCTTTTATTACCTCCGCCAAGGAGGTTATGTTTTTGCCGGCGTTTGTCTGTTTGTTTGTTTGTTTGTCTGTTAGCAACATAACTCAAAAAATGATGGACCGATTTTGATGAAATTTTCAGGATTTGTTGGAAATGTGAAAAGGAAGAACTGATTTCATTTTGGAGGTGATCCGGAAGAAATCCTGGATTCTGGATCACTTTGAAATTTTAGTTAACATTGTGGCAAATGGGGCCAAAAATTTTGTTTCTCAATATCTTGATTAATTATTGACCAAACCCCATGAAATTTCACTCAGGGATGGACAATCGGATCCTCTTTCATATTCCAAATTGAAAGATACGAGACAAATATTTATGGAAAACACAATTAATATGAGGGGGACTGTAGTCCTTGGCGGAGGTCTGCGCTCTCTGAGTGCTTTTCTAGTTTTTCCCTTTTTTCCCAAGAAATATAATCAATAGGTGATTTTCAGATGAATATGACAATGTCCTACTCCCAGATGGGGGTCAAGCCAGTTTGTTTTCTCTGTTAATTACACTTGACTTTGTCATGAAATGTCCAAAAAATAAATGCACAAATATTATACTTGATAATTTCTATCAATGACTAGATCCAATTTACTGTACTGCAAAAGAAAAAAAAATCTGTATTTTAACAATATTAATTTTAGCAGTCCCCAATCTGGATTAAATATTAAATGCCTATAGACAGGGTGGTCAAACTCAAATTCACACAGGGTCAAAATTAAAAACTGGGACTAAGTCATGGGCCAAAATAAGTATTTATTGAAAGATTTCAATAACATCTGCATGGTTTCTCTTCTTTTGAGATATGCAATGTTAAAAATGTTTCTTATTAAATAAATGTTCAATAATAGTTTTGCTTAAATTTTGAATCCAGAACAAGCATACAATAAAAATATGATGTGTCCTCGGGTGCGCCTCCTCCGAGTCAGAGAAAGAAAGAAAGAATAATATTCTGATACGAGAACAATGTTCTGCTCTTTTTTGGCCAACAAACTATACATTTTAGGAAACCTCTGGCGCATTGCTACGTCATGGCGAGGGACCTTGGTCACTATGGGCGAGTCACATTGCACCATTTCACTTTCTGGCCACTTGAAGCATCGCTTTGCCGTACCAATAGGCCCTCGCCAGCCTCTGGTGCTCGGGCCTAATAATAATAAAATTTTAAATAAATAATGTCTCTATAGTCTATCTGTAGCTGATGGCCCAGCTCTAATACATATCTGAAATTATCTCGCGAGCCAAACATAATTATATCACGGGCCAAATTTAGCCCCAAGGCCTGAGTTTGACATGTCTGCCTATAGAACATTGTGACATGATTGTGTCATCTGAAACCCAGCAATTGTGAAGCACCTTTGAGTTGCTATGAAAAGTGATTTCTCCAGTAAAATCCAAATTATTATTATCATTTGACACAGGTTTGTTTCAAGGAACTTGTAACTCTGACTCCTGAGAATATCCAGATTGTTGTGAAGAACCTTTCCTCTGAGTTCTGGACCGGCCTCCGCAAACGTGCCGTCAACTCCATCAACCAGTCCACGATCTACCCCTTTGACGACAACTCCACCTTCTGGTCTCGTTGGGCCAACGGAGACCCCCTGACCTTTCAGAACTGGTACCCTGGATACCCCGTGTTCAAATCCCCTGAGCCCAAACAGAACTGCTGCAGCTGCTCCTGTACCTGCCCTGCCCCGCCTACCCCGCCTACCCCACGTCCTACGACCGCCGTCACACAGAATGTTACACCTACGTACAACTCATCCCTCTTCAACATGACCATGACGACACAGAGAGGTGTTTTTAATAGTAGTGTAATGGCAAATAACTCTTTCCTAGGTACTACTACTTCCCTAGAAAACACAACTTTACCAGTAACAAGTGTGGGGACAAATGACTCTCAAAGTATTCCAAGTACTAGTGTAAATGGCTCAGTTGAAAATACTACTACAGTTACAAGTATGCGTTCTTTATATGTTCTAACTGCCACTACCCAAAAAGTTAGTGTACAATTAAATTACTCTGTTGTAGGTACAACTATACTGAGGACTGTTTCGCCCCCATTTACCTCTGCTGTAGTCAGTCCCATAGAAGCTGAGTGCATGAAAACACCAATGCAGTACCAAGATCCTGAGCCTGAGCTAAACAAGAACTACATAGAGGATCCCTGCGTGGCTATACTCAGCTTTGGAGCTTGGGTTGAAAAAAAATGTGAGGAGCGTCTGCCCTTCATCTGTTATGAAGGTAAAACTCACTGTCAAAATGCCTGTTCTAGTAATAATTACTTATATACAACCAACTTTGATTCAAAGTGATTAAAGGTCCTATATTACACAAAGTGGATTGTTGTGAGCTTTAAGCTATATTACAATGTTGTTACCTGGTAAAAACATACATGGAGTTGTGTTTTGTTTCATTCACACATGTTTAACACACAAACCCTGCATATTTAGGATGACTTTTTCTCTCAAATATAAAATGCTCCATACACCTTCAATGGAATGATTTGGACCATGGAATTGCCAATTTCTACTGAACAAAAGGTAAAGGATAGCTGCTAACTTGAAACTATACCACTTTGACTTGGAACAGAGCATTTGAGCTTTTGAGCTGTAGACAGACTATTATAAAGGATTACTCAAACACGTGTGAATGAAACAAACAAAAACACAACTCCAGGTATGTTTTTGATGAAGTAGCAGCATTATAACATGGCTAAAAGCTCAAAAGAGTATTTTTTGTGTAATATAGGACCTTTAAGCTAATTTACATTTCTATGGCATTCAGCTAAAGCCAAGGGCCTGTTTCTCACCATATGTTTTTATGAAATTACAGACAGGTTCTATGGCCATGTAAATGTGACGGAAATAACATCTGAAAGTGCTACCTTGACATGGGAGAGTGGACCCGGCGATATTGAACATTACCGTGTGAAATACAATAATAAAACAATTGAAGAAAACATCACAGCATTGAATACTTCCCTCAAAGATCTGAAAGCTGGGACCTTCTACTCAGTGAAAGTGTTTCCTGTGAAATGTGGGCGACCCCTCTATCCAGAGAATGGCACCTTCTACACAGGTATCAACTGGTCTTCACTCTGTTTCAGACTCAGGCCATAGACTGTATATATAAATGGACAAAGCTAACCCTCTAACCACCGCGTTCCAGATATTAAGTGTTCATGAGGCTGCTTTTGCCTCCATCGACTCTGGCTACAATTGACTTTGCTGATAAATTGTCACCCCTCTATCTCTGTAACTGCTGCGATGAGCCTCATCATTTTGGTCCTAAAATCTGCTTATTAACCTGCTCTACATCATCCTAGTGTTTTTATTCAGCTATTTTGCATGTAAATAAACTCGCTCCAAATTTGCCGCTATAACTGTTAGCCTCGTGAGCTTCATTTGACTGGAGCTGAACGCTATGAGTGACATAGCACCCCCTTAGTTAATTTCTTTATACTGTCTATACTCAGGCAAACATTTTTTGATCCAAAGAAGAAAACTACTCGAGCTGTAGTCGACTCAAGACATGCCCTGCTGATTGCTTAGTTGACTTAAAGGGGGCATGACAAAACTCTTAAAACATTTGCGTATTTCTATATATCTCACCCAAACTGGACTCACAAGACTACACCTGCAGGGGAGTTCATGCACACTTCACTGGAGTTCATGCAAATACAACTATGTATTAAAACAGATTAATTTGTATATCATGAGTTTAATCTGCCTTTTTTGGCTAACTCTCTCACTACCTTCTCCTCTTTGCTGTTGTCCACACAAATCCTCATAATCTATACATATAAAATCATTAGTTGACAAATTTTTGTCGACTAAGGCAAAATACAGCCCTAAAAATTCCTTTGCACTGTAGCATTTAATTAGAAAGAGATAGAGAGAAAAAAGCAATAAAATTCAGAAAGAAGCACAGCACATGAAAAAAAATACTACAAGTAGCATAAAACAGTAAATATAAATATATTTACTAAGAGGTAGCGGGGTAGAGAAAAAAAAGCAAAGATGAAATGGTGATTTGTAGTGACATAGTGTTATCTATTACAGGCTGAGTTGCACAGTTGTATGGACTACACTGTAAAACTAAAATCTAGCCAAGTTAATGATGATGACTTGAATTAAGAAACTTTTGTCATGATTTGAATAAATTTCACTTGACGAGTAAAATTACCAGTGGTGCAAGACTTTTTGTGCTCATGAAAATACATCTTGCTACACTTGAGATAAGAAAATCACAATTCTTGGCACTTAAAATAAGAAACTAAATCTAATGTTGCTTGAATTAAGGTAAACACACTTATTCTGTTAGTAGATAATTTAGATAATTTTACTTATCAAGGTTGAATCTCCTCAAATAAAGTAAAATTTTCTTCATTTAAATCATTTTAATCTACGATCTAATCTAAGATATTGCTTTTTGCAGTGAATGTTTTGAGTTTTGTACTGATTTGTTTTTGTGTGTGTTTTTCTTCAGTGCCAAACCCAGTATCAGATCTCCAGGTTGTAAACATGACTGAAAGATGTGTGTATCTGAGGTGGAACGCATCTGTGGACAAAGTGGACAAGTATTTGATCCACACAGAAAAAAAAACAACTGAAACTGAGAACACAGAAGTAAACATTTGTGATTTAACCCCAGGGAATTTGCACAACTTCAAAGTCCAAGCTGGAGTCAGTGACAACTCCCAGTGGAGTGCGAACAGCACCATCTCTGCATATACCAGTGAGTAAAACTGATCTTACTCATCTTTTTAAAAACATTTACAAAGGCAACTTTTTAGAGATGTACCACTGGGAAAGCAAACATTAATGAATTGTCATTTAAAAGTGATTACAGATAATATATTATAAACCTGTGTATATTTGTAATGCTCTGTTCATTGTAAAGAGACACGCAAGTGGAGACAAACAAAAGAATATCATGTGAAATATTGTAAATTGGGGTCATGTTTTGAATGTCTGATATGCATGACTATATGCTGTGCTTTCTTACATTTGTAAGAAGTGTTCAAATAAAGTAACTCTAATAAACTAACTACATGTTTCACAGTCTAAATATAGCATGAATATGGACTTAATTCAGAATGAACAAATAATTTATTAAGAAAGATTCACCTTCGTTACTAATTCATTAATATCCTAATTCCATGAATCATGAAAGGTGTCTGTCAAATACTTTTTTCCATGGAAATCTTACTGCTTTGGCTGGAATGTTTCACACTATGGCATTAAACCTTTCTCTCTTCATGGAGACCAAACCAGACCACGTTACAGGTCAGATCTGTGAAGAGGAGACCCCTGCTCTTTGTAAGAATGCTTGTTTCTTTAGGTATTTTTGAGCTACAAAACCAACTGTAATTCAATAAATGTAAGGTAAAGCTGTTTAAAGTCATATTGTGGAGTATTCCAAGCAGAGCAATGACATATCTGTAGAAACAATCAGGTGACAGACCCCCAGTCGAAAAGTTACACAGTACACCTTTAATAAACATCTGTTCCTTGCTTATCAAGTTGATGCTCATGTTGTGTTTAGGCTGTTAAATGTGTAGTTACTATAAAGAGATACCATATTTCATTTTGAATTGTTAATTGCTATGGCAACTGTGCTTACTCTGACACATTGTATTGTATTCCCTTTATAATTGCTTCATTTTCTCATCAGAGCCTGCAAAAGTGTCTAACCTACATACGTCAGAGATCAAGGATGCGACTATTACTCTTGAATGGGACAAACCTGAAGGAAATGTCTCAGATTATTTGGTAAATTGGTCTTACTACAATGGGTAGGTAGAGTTTATCTTGGTTATTTATGCATATCTCTTGTTATTTGGTTTATAACATTACAACGCTTTATTTTGTTTTTCTACCAGGACAGATATATCATGTGATAAGGAAGAGAAAAATACTATATTCATAATCAGTAATCTTCCCAGTGGCACCAGGATTAAAATGAGCGTAATCGCACGGGCAAATCACACTCTGAAAGGAGAGAGGGTGACCGTGGTCAACTTCACAGGTATAAGATTCACATCTGCCATCTACTGGTAAAAAAAAATTCAAACAAACAGAAATGGTAGATTTAATGCCATACAGAGGAACATTCTAGTTTTAAAAAATGCATTAAAGGTTCTATATAACACAGAGGTCTTCAACGGGGGGATCACAAAATCTTTTATTGATTAGACTTTTTTTTATATTTCTTAATTTTTGAAGGATGAGGATGCACTAGTTTTCAGTGGGTTCTGTCTGTGTGCTTCTTCATCATATCTGTCTCTCTCTCTTCATTCCCTTGTCTCTTGCTCCCTGTCAAACTGCAAACACGTCAGCCTGGATTTTCTTCTAGGCTACATGTGAAGAGGTCTGTTACAGCTTTACTTTTTCACACAGTAGAACTTATGCTCCGCACATACTACCGCGCATCGGGAAAGGGTCAGGCAACTTCACTCCATTCTGAATTCGCTTTGGTCAGAGGCTTATTTCTGTCATGGACTTGTCATGACTTGAGTCTTAAACTGGAGATGGTGCTAGTTTCAGCTCAGGATTTCAGGATAAACCTGAACTTGTTAAGCAACTTAGATGGAATACCCCCTTAGTATTGAATGTGCAATAAAAGAGTAGCTGTTTATACACGACACTAGGCCCAGTTTAGTATAAAACACAATTGTATGCATATATATATATATATATATATATATATATATATATATATATATATATATATATATATATATATATATATATATAGTATATATCATATTGATATATATATATATATAATATATAGTAGCCCTTTATGTCTACATTTCCAAAGCTCAAAATACCTATATAGTGCATATACCTTTATTTATATATGGCAATATATGAGCATTATAGTTATATATTATCATATGACATATATAATATAATATGCAATAAATGTGTTAATATATATGATCATATAACATTTCTCATATGGTTTCTCTTTCACTTTCATCCAGCTCGGGCCCTCTACCAGAGGCCTGAGAGTTCTGCGCAGTTGCTGTTCCCAGTACTGGACTTTTCTGGACTGAGATGTCTGTTGTTTTTCCCGGTATCTGTTGTAGCCACTCTTCCAGTTTGGGGGTTACAGCCCCAAGTGCTCTGATCACCACAGGCACCACTGATGCCTTTACTTTCCAGGCTCTCTCCAGCTCTTCCTTGAGCCCCTGGTATTTCTCTAGTTTCTCGTGTTCCTTTTTCCTGATATTACCATCGCTTGGTATTGCGATGTCCACCACCACGGCTCTGCTCTGTTTCTTATCCACCACCACTATGTCTGGTTGGTTCCCCATCACCATCCTGTCAGTCTGTATCTGGAAGTCCCACAGGATCTTGGCTCGGTCATTCTCCACAACCTTTGGAAGTGTTTCCCACCTTGATCCTGGGGTCTCCAGCCCGTACTCTGCACAGATGTTTCTGTACACTATGCCCGCCACTTGGTTATGTTGCTCCATGTATGCTTTCCCTGCCAGCATCTTACACCCTGCAGTTATGTGCTGGACTGTCTCAGGAGCCTCTTTGCACAGTCTACACTGTGGGTCTTGTCGGGTGTGGTAGATCTGGGCCTCTATTGCTCGAGTGCCCAGGGCCTGCTCCTGAGCAGCCAGGATCAGTGCCTCTGTGCTGTCTTTCAGACCAGCCCTCTCAAGCCATTGGTAGGATTTCTTGATATCAGGCACTTCAGTTATGTTCCGGTGGTACGCCCCATGTAGGGGCTTGTCCTGCCATGATGGTCCCTCCAGCACCTCTTCCTCTGGACCCCACTGTCTGAGACGTTCTCGGAGCACCTCATCTGTCGGGGCCTTGTCCTTGATGTACTCAAGGAGCTTGGATGTTTCATCCTGGACAGTGGTTCCCACACTCACTAGTCCTCGGCCTCCTTCCTTCCGGCCTGCGTACAGTCTCAGGGTGCTGGATTTGGGATGGAACCCTCCATGCATGATCAGGAGCTTTCGTGTCTTAACATCTGTGGTCTGTATCTCCTCCTTTGGCCAGCTTACAATCCCTGCAGGGTATCTGATCACTGGCAGGGCGCAGCTGTTGATTGCCTGCGCCTTGTTCTTGCCATTGAGCTGGCTTCTTAGGACTTGCCTCACTCTTTACAGGTATTTGGCTGTAGCCGCTTTCCTTGTTGCCTCTTCGAGGTTGCCATTTGCTTTTGGGATACCAAGGTACTTGTAACTGTCCTCAACGTCTGCTATTGTTCCCTCTGGGAGTGACACCCCCTCTGTGTGGACTACCTTCCCTCTCTTTGTCACCATCCTGCTACATTTCTCAAGCCCAAATGACATCCCAATGTCTGTACTGTAGATCCTTGTGGTGTGGATCAGTGAGTCGATGTCTCGCTCACTCTTAGCGTACAGCTTGATGTCATCCATGTAGAGGAGGTGACTGATGGTGGCCCCGTTTCTGAGTCAGTATCCATAGCCAGTGCGGTCGATTATTGTGCAAGTGTCCATCAAATGTATACATATATATATATATATATACATATATATATATATATATATATATATATATAATTTTTATTTTTTTTCACCTGAAAAGTTACACAGTGCACCTTTAAACATAACATAAAGCATAAATTTATTTCTAACCCTTTGCTTTGCAGCTCCAGAGAAAATTACAAACCTAAATCTTACTAGCACAGAAGACACCATCACTGCCGAGTGGAAATACCCTGCAGGGTCCCCTAATTTTACTATTGAACTGGAGCATGAAAATCAAGTAGTTAAAACAGAAAACATCAATAAAACCAGTGTGGAGTTTCGAAATCTGAATGGTGCAGCCAACTACACTGTGACGGTCCGCAGTGTGAGCGGAGGGGTACCAAGCGATGAAGTCAAAATGTCTATCTACACCTGTAAGTGACTCTGTCAGCTCGTGGTTTTCAGATTCTTGAATGTGATCATGTCATACTAGCAGGTGGAGAAAAGTAGCGAAGTAAAAGTAGTAAAGTACTGTGCTTAAGTGTACATTTTAGGTATCTGTACATTACTTGAGTACATTTTAAAGTGGACACTTTTTATTTTTACTTCACTACATTTGAAAGCAGGTATCTGTACTTTCTAGACCACTACATTTTCAGACAGAATTGAAAAGTAAAAGTATTTTTTATTATTGTATGAGACCTGGTCAAAGTTTATTTTTAACACATTAATACAGCTAGAAAAATCAAAACAAAACAAAAAACATTCAGTTGTTTCCACTGAACAAAATTCAGCACACCAGGTGGGGGATGAGAGCCAGTTTTCCTTATTGACACACAGCACAAACTAAAATTAAAACATTTATCTTGATTTAGTAAAAGTAAAATGATCTACCAGTGGAACAAGACGTTTTGTACTTGAATATAAAAATGCAACATTTTACATAAAGATTAAAAAAGTTAAAACAAGAAACTATAGCTTCATAGTCCAATGGGGTACATTTGGACTTTCAATAATTTATGTTATTAGTAACTGTTAGTTATGCATGTTGTGTAATTAATTCACCAAGTTATAAATGAGCAATTGAAACTGTCAGGTATGAAAACAAACTCTTGGTCTGAAAAAAGAACCTAATAACATAAACTATAGCTTCAGTAGTGTCATTATTCAACCCCAAAGACATGACTGTTTTCTGTTAAAAAGACATTAAGCCCTAAGATTAATATGAAATGTGTGATGGAAATGTATATTGTGGAAAGATTTCTCTCAATCAGTCTTTGTGTAAATGAATGTGATTTCTATCTGAGACCCAGACCAGTCATTAATATGTGTAAAGACACAACTGTCCCCACCCTCAGGAAGACATTTGTTGTACTACCTCTCCTCAAATGTTAATTAAGTTGATTAGCACAAGTCAAACAAAAAGCATCAAAATAGGTAGCAAAAATACCAAGAGATTGGTGTCAATTAAGTCATAATTATATAAATGTACATGTATAAGTAAAAACAAACTATATAGAATACTAATATAGCTCAGAAAAAAACTAAAATGTTGCTATTTGGTGCAGGTGTTCCAATCAGTGAGAGCAGGTAGAGGGTACTCATGGAAAAAGAATCAAAACTTTAAACACAACGGAATCCATTCAAAAATATAGTTAAAAGGACTTTATTTAGATGGCCAAAGTCAACATGTTTCAACCAAACTGGTCTTCATCAGGGCTTGAAGCCAAGCTTTGGCCATCTAAATAAAAGCCTTTTAACTATATTTTTCCTCATGTGATTTTTACTTTTTTGGAGTTCCTGGATTTTGTTGTGTTTAAACTAATAAATCTCAACTATACACAAGAGGTCATCAGGAGAAACAGTGATTGAAGAGTGAGAAACAAATGTTTTTAATCATTCTGAAACTCATATACAGGCCCCCATCTGACATCATTAAAATTGTGACACCACCCACCCATACTCGCTTTTAACACTGTGTCTTTTACATTTCTTCGTTTTTAGTGCCAGTTACTCCCCGTAATCCTCGACTCAAAACGAAAAATGAAACTCACCTCACCTTCACGTGGGACCCCCCTCCGAATACAATGACAGTTGTCTATAAGGTGACCCTGAACTCAAGCTTCTGGAGCTTTCATCAGGAGAAGATTTTGAACAATAAGACAATGTACACTTTTGAGGGTTTGAAATCAGGGACCAACTACACCTTTACGGTTCAGACCAAAGCTGCTAAAGAGCTGAGTGAAGCTGCAACACTGAGAGCTCCTACAGGTGGGAATCTTTTAATTACCCAGTCTATATGTGTGTATGACAGGTTTTGACGATTCTCTATTTTCTACTTAATTTGGTGCTATAATACCTGCTGTAAACATAAATTATAGTTTTAAACGAGAAGCAGTTTGTGAAGAAAAGTTTAAATATATGTTGAAAATTACTGTAAATTCTGTTTTAGAAAGTCTAATATTGATGGCATCACACTAGGGAGAATTCTGAACAAAATTACAAAACACATTTTTCTGATACTTTAAACATGATTACAACTAAATAAATGTCTTTTGTTATAATTTTATTTGTCAAATAATAATCTCTCTGGGTTTTGGCCTACTCTAAATAATGTTTGCTATGTAAAAGTTATTCCCTAGTATGATGTGATGATTTTCAGCCAGGAAGTAAAATTTTAAACCTTACATCAGACTGGGAAAGAATGTGTAAAACATTTTGTAAAATCCTAAATATAATGATTGTAACTGTGTTTTAGTAAAATTGTGTTGCCCAACCTGTCATATGCACTTTAATATGAAACAGAATAACTCAGTTTGTTGATTTATTTTGATCAGGGGTCTCCAACCTTTGAGCTACCTTTACAAAATGAAAATGCCTGATTTAGATGCTCATTAAATCTGATCCTGCCTAACCAGCCAGTCCCTTCTACATTCTGTCTGAATCCAAGCAGCCATGTTTGTTTTTGACATAAACGGACAATGCATCTCTCTGATTGGTTAATCAACCTGTCACTCACATCCTCAGCTCCAGATCCAGTCATCTTTGTTTTGTCAAAAACAGTATGAATGAATAGGAAAAGGATCAAATACTGGGCCCATAAAACCCTCGAGCACAACATTATAAACCCAGACAGGTGAAGTGATACAACTGTCTCACTAGTTAAGAAAGACTAGGCTGTCTCAATCCAGATAAACTAACTTATTTTCCGGGTTATTAGACGCGCTCTTAAGCCTCTAACCCTATCAAAAAACGACCACGCGCCCCACAATCCAGAGCGCCCTATACACAAATCCACTCGGGTGTCCCAGCACGACTTCAGTAAACAAAGCTACACCACCAGCAGTGCACACAAACACGCACGGAGCAGACAGCGACCGCGCAGCGAAAAACACCAACAGCCACACTCATCACTCCACACGGATGAGGAACAGAATGAAGGAATGAACCGAAAAAACCAATGCAATGTGCCGCTTCTAGCCACAACTGAACAACTGAGTCACTGCAAACACACCAACAATCCAGCGGTCCCAGACAGCACCCTCCCTACACGCCACAACTGAACAAAGCCCAGAGTCACCGTGAACGTGCCAAACAAAGTCCCACTGACCCATCAAACTGTTGTGTTTAGTTTAAAGTCCGGTGCGGTTTATTTGTGAAAAAAGTTTGAAAATAGACCATCTAATGACAGTGCGTCTTATAATCCAGAGCGCCTAATAGCCCGGAAATACAGTAATCACGTGTTTCAGCTTCCTGTTTATAGGTGACATTTTGAGGATTTTTCACCATTCAGAAGACAGAATATTAAATTTTTTAATTGTTGATTGCTATGGCACTTTTTTTCTTTTTTTTTTTTTTTTTATCACTCCAAAACCCTTGCACAGCTGAAGAGAACAAGATGAGCGTGATATGTGTAGATTCAATAAATCAATAAAACTCTGGCTCTGTTGGTAACACTTCCTGGAGTACATGCAAAACAATAGAGGCATTTATATGAGCAAAAACAGGGCTGGGGTTTTCCACTCGTAAATTATGTTCTTACTTATTATTATTATTCTTATGGATCTATTTCATGGTTATTTATCTGTTTTTACACTGTTGTTTTTAAATTATGCTTTCATTGTATTGAATTGTAGATTATTTATTTATTTTTTTGCTATATGCCGCATTTTGGAAACAGTTTTTGTTTATGAAATATGCTCTAGAAATAAAGTGCATTGGGTTGTATTGGATTACTTACTGCTTTGTATTTTACCTTCCTCTTTAGATCCTGTTCTGAAGGAGATCACTTTGTCCATGGTTTGCTCCTCTAAACAATCTTTGCTCTGTGATGCCAGTAACACGAGAGACATCGCGCTTGAGAAGGTACAGCTCTGAAGTGGTCAAGAGATTTACAATATTTAGATTTACAAGTTTAGATTTTTTTTTTAAACTCATCTTTACATTTTGGATTTTATTTCAGTTGAACTCCCTCTTTGAAGCTCTGCTGGGGGACAGTGTTGCCTGGAGTCTGAAAAAACAGGAGTCTGTAAACCCTGGAAACTAATATACAGTATGATTGTTTCCATGGGTATGTTTTTGCTTCGTCTATGTTCCATTGTGTGACACTAAACTTAAAGCATGTATCTCCGTGGAGACCAGCAGATAACACCATCAGGCCAAGGTTCTGTGAATGTATACGGGAGAGTAAATGGAAGTTTTTGTATGTTTCACTGTGACTGCGATTAGAGATGCACTGATTCATCTTTTTCTGTTCCTATACCGATGTTGATATTTTGGCAACTTCTCTGGTGGAGGGTCCCGCACCTGCTTGTCTCCATGTTATTGCTTTGCCTGGAATGTTCCATGGTATGACATTAAACATATTCATCTAGCATGTATTAATAATAGATGTTTCTATACATGCATTCAGAATTTTGGACATCTGGTCATCGCGTAATGCATACTGGGAAGGATCCTCTGAAAAAGTGAGCATCAAACCGCCATGTTTGTTTTCCCAGTGGGATGAGTCTATTGTCAAAGCTGATCTTTTCAAGTCTTTTGAACCATATCACTTTTGTTTCTGGTTCTGATATTGTCATATTTTAGTTATGGGATTCGGACATCGTAATTATGTGATTGTTGAATGTCCTAACAGTGGAAAATGGGCTTTGGAAGTTTTCTGAACTCCATAAATGCAAAAGGGAATCAGATCTGTGTGACTGCAAACCTCCATTCAAACTGTTTCCCTTCCCAACGGAATTGGAAAAATAGTGAAAGGTGAAGGTGATGGACAGTACTGATACAAAGGAAGGACGAAAAAGGTAACCTTTGGCTGCTTAAGAAATCATCCCGAGTTTGCAGCAAACATTTTGTTTGTGGAGCGTCATCAAAGCAAAATCCCGATCCCGGTTTGATGCACACTTTTTCGGAGGATCCTTCCCAGTATGCATTGTGCTATGACCGGAAGTCCGAAATTCAGAATGCATGTATTGCTCAAAAATACATTAATTCCTTCTGTGAACAGGGGTGACTCTCCACCGATCTGAACTGTAATGTAGTGTTGTGCTATAACCTGCTTGTCTCGCTCATGATAGATCTATCAGTACTGTGGAACATTCTACACAAGCAATAGCATTTCCATGGAGACATGCAGATAGCAGACCCTGCACTAGAAATGTTACACTGTGCACCTATATCTGCCCAAACCTGATATCAACCAGTACCAAAAATATACATTTTATTTCCTTAAAATGTTTCAAATTTAGAACTGTTATTTATCATTTAAAATAACAACAAAACCGCCTTGAAAAAAAAGTTAAATAATATGTATAATAAATTTACTCTGATTTATAGACCAAAATAGAAACTGAACCGATACTTTGGGACCAATATCTGATATCTGATTGATGCATTCCAAACTGGATGTAGTCTGGTGTTTCTTGGGATCCTTGCATGTCATATGTGGGCGATGTTTTGAGTAGATTTTTTGGTAAAATTTAATAACTAATTTAATAATTGTGAGATAAGTAAGTTTAGTGCCATATATTCCTGGCAATTTAATGGTTAAAAGTGGATGGCTTGCACTAGAATAGTTACACAGTACTCTTTTAAATTACATATAAGTGTGGTGAGTGTTTATCTATAAATAATTGTTCTGTTTTATACACAATATACATATGTTATCTCATTTTCCTTGTTATTTTTATTAGGCCTGTCACAAAAGCAAATTTTTAAGTGTGGTATTTTGAAATAAACATAGACGATAAACTTTAATACTGAAACAACGCTGTAACGCAGAATTATCCACAAAAATATTCAAAATGTACAATATTGTTAAAAAAGCTAAAAATCTGATGAATAAATAGCAGAATACAACACTTAAGTAGTTAGTTTGTGTCTATAATGACTCAGAAGTTAATGAGAAGTTCATAGTTTAAACTTCTAAAGATTAAATCTCATCATAGCACAGAAAATTGACCCCAAAAAGTTATTATCGTGACAGGCCTAGTTTTTATGTTGTGTCATTTTCAATTACATATTCCACAATAAATAGAACAGTCATAAAGCTTTGTATCTGAGGTTTCATCTTTCACCTTCACCTGATGCTCTGATAGTCACAAGATAAAAAACTGCCACAAAGATCAGATTATTGATAAAATAGTTTAGCAAAAGAAGAGAAGTACAGCCCTATTTAAATGAGGACTGTTACACAAGTTTGCAAATGCTATTATAATATATACTACAAAGAAAACAAAACTAATGTAAGTGATAGAAAACACAAGTCTAAACATAACTCACCAACTATTAATACTCTGCAGCTGATGGCTTCAGTGTTCCCTGGGGACTGTAGGCTATTCTCTGTCTTTTTAGACTTTAATCTGAGCTTTATTTAACAAAATTTGACCAGAAAGAGACAATTTAGCTGGAACTGAAACAAGTGAGCTGATTGGTGCTGTTAAACAAATCTCTTATGCTTGAAATGATTGCTTTAGCCAACAGTTTTTCAGTTAATCACTCTCACCGTTTGTTAAAAAAAAAAAAAAGTTTTCAGACTATAAACTATTTTAGACTTTCAGACTTTTTTTTTAAATGAATATGTGCATTGTGTTTCCATGGTAACCCTCAAACTACTGGAAATAGCCTTACATGAAGAACACCCCCAGCACCATGTGGTCTGCACAATACAACATCAATGTCCATTCAGAAATTTCAGTTTCACAGGTTATTTATTTATTTATTTATTTATTTATTTATTTATTTATTTATTTCAAAGAAAGGAAAACAATTACATGATTTCAGGCCTTTCTGAAACAAAAACATAGGCCCACCCAGGTGCACTCTGAATCAACAACAACAAAAATATAACAACAAAAAGACATAAAGAACAGAAAATTAGACAAACAAATGACCAACATATAATATGAAGATATCAAAAAGTATTTTAAATAATACAAGAATACAGAAATATGCAAATAACAAACAAAACAAAAACAAAACAGAAACAACAGAAATTAAGATAACATAAATATAAGTGTCAGCTGGTAATGCAAACACTAGGGGGGGCTAAAAAATAGTGATAGGCCTAAAGAAGAAAATAAATTCTGTTGCTACTGTTTTTGTTTTTTGTTTTTTTTAAATATATATAAATAATAAATATAAATAACTAAATAATAAATCATTATATAAAAATATTATTAGTAGGATATTATTTTGTAAAAAGAAACACTCACTGAGGCAAGACTAAACTGAATCTGAATTTATTACAAATTTTGTAACATGGTGAGTATAATTTTTTTTTCAGTACAGGTCCAATCAATACATTTGGGACTTTGGACATACTTTGGCTTTTGACTCAAAAAGACTGAATGAGTCTGTTTTGGATCAACAGAAACAGACAAAGGGGTAGAATGTACGTGTTTTCAGTTTGTTTACTTTGGGATTAACAGAGCATTGCATTTGAACTCAGCATTTGTTTTGTAGAAAAATAACACTTTTCCAACAATGTATAGCACAGCTGTATTTACCAATATGTAAAAGACAAATACAAGACAACATCTATTTGCTCCTTTATTTTCTACTATAGCAGTCACATGCTACAATCAGAAGCACAGGCAGAAACAGCTTTTTATTAGTTACAACTAAAATAGAATTAAGTGACGCATAGGCTACACTGCCCGTCACTTAACTCACTATTAAATAACATCTCTAGTTATTACAATATATATTTACTATAGGTTACATACAATATTTTAGTCTAAATATTAAATACAAAGTTTGTAAAAGTGCGTACATGCATTAACCAACTAAGAGAATATATAGCCTAGGTCTGTCACGATAATTACTATACCCATTTATTGTTCAATATATGAAAGATGGAGCATTATTTATTTTAGGTTTCAGGGTTTTTTTTTTTTGCCTCATGATTAAATTTGAACCACAGATTGAAGGTTGCAGCTCATGTTTTTACCAGTATTATAGATTTAGAATATTTTCTGTAGCTTAAATCTGCTCTTGGGTTCTTGTGCCAGAGTTATAAATGTTTTTCAATATGATTTAACAATTAATCAGCTATTTTTACTTCAGCAATATATCGTGCTTCAAAATTTTGTATCGTGACAGGCCTATGGATGTCCAGAGCTTTCTCATGTTTTACCACATTTACATAATTGTGGCATTTACTTCAAAAAGTCTGTTCACATATTACACTGAGCAGTTTGATCTTATCTGTTACTTGCCAGCGTTACATTATTAAAGGTGCCACTCAAAGGTCCTATATTACACAAAATTGGTTCTTAAGAGCTTTTAGCCATGTTATAATGTTGTTATCTCCTCAAAAACATACCTAGAGTTGTGTTTTGTTTCATTCACATGTTTGAGTAATCCACTATAATTAGCCTGTCTACATCTCCCAAGCTCAAAATGCTCTGTTCCACCTTGTGATGTCATGAAGCTGTAGTTTTCAAGATAACAGCTACTTTTTAAAATCTTTTGTTCAGTAACGATTAGCAATATAAAGACTGAAATTTTCCAAATAATTCTAGTGAAGGTGTATGAAAAAAAAAAAAAACACACACAGTGGAGCATCTCCAGTATTAAAACATGACATTACAAAGTGGAACAGACAGCTCAAGCTAAATATTTGTGTGTTGAACAAGCTTGATTGAAACAAAATACAACTCCAGGTATGTTTGTGATGAAGAAACATTACAGCATAGATCTGAAAATATTGTAATATGGACCCTTTAACATTTGTGGCTAAAGTAATTCTAGATGTATATTACTTTAATTTCTTTCTTTCTTTACTACAGGTTTACAGCTTGGATCATAATCTGTCCCATGATCCTTGAAAATTGCCCATTTTACTGAGACTCTGAGGTACAATTCTCATGAAGGTATTCCCATCCAGTGGCGCAAACAGCGGGTACAGCTTTCCGTTGAAGCTCCCGTTGTTAAAAGAGTAGATGTGTGATTTGGTCTCCGCATTGTAAAACGAAATCTGCCCTTCTTTGTAGTCTAGATAAATCCCAATCCGACGTGGAACCAGTTTGATCGGTAGCTCTGTCTCTGGTTTGGTGCATGCGTAAAAATTTTTAGAACTGCGCCAAAGCACCCAGTATCCCTCTTTCGGACTCATGGAGAACCGTCCCTGTCTTCTGGAGTCGGCTGTGGTCAGTCCCACTCTCCACAGGCCCTTGCTGCCTATGTCCACTTCCCAGTAATGGCGTCCGTAGCTGTATCCTTCCCACGCCAAGACGCAGGGTAACGTGTCAAAGCGCTGGGCGTTTTCAGAGACGTTGGACATGGACTGGGCTTCTTGAACTGTACGCTGGTCATCTGACAATTCCAGCCAGGGATTGTGGGTCAGAGGGTCGAGTACCACATCGGCTGTGAGGAGAGACACCGATGGTTAGTATGTGGACATGCATTTGAACATGCATTTGAACATTTCAGTGATAATATTTCAGCATTCATTTACCAATATATTAAAAGTCCCATATTACACTATTTTCTGATATATATATTATAATGTTTCCTCATCACAAACCTGAGTTGTGTTTTGTTTTATTCACACACACATATTTAACACACAAACCCTGCATATTTAGGATGATTTCTTCTCTCAAACAAAAAAAACTCTCAACACACCTTCACTAGAATTATTTGGACAATTTTAGCCCTGTCTCTACTGAACAAAAGGTAAAAAGGTAGCTGTTAACATGTAGGCAGACTAATAACAAAAGCTAACTCAAACAAGTGTGAATGAAACATGCCGCCGCTCCGTTCAATTTCATTTCTCTCCAGTGACTAGATCAGGAATCGGAATACACTAGACGATTTGCAAGAACCCCAGAAGTGTGAGTACAAGCACCAGCCAATCAGCGAAGAGCCTTATATTTTGTGTTGGCAACGATTCCCAAGATCGAGAATTTAAAGCCGGAACAAAGAGAATGTTTGGTGAATTTTATCAAGGGGAAAGACGTTATTGTCCTTCTTCCTATGGAATTTGGGAAAAGCTTAATATATCAGTTAACCCCGTTAGTGGTGCATTACATAGATCACGACCAAATAGTAGTGACTGGTTAAATAAAAAAGTACCCGCCTACTGTCGAGCGAACGAATTCTAATGCTGTGAGGTCAGACGGTTTCCACAAAGTGAAACCGGCTGATGAATCAGGCTAACATTACACAACCCAAGATATTTTTTTTTGAGGAAGTAACAACATTTTAACAGGGCTTAAAGCTCACAAGAGTTGATTTTGTGTAATATTAGTCTATTTTATTTACATTTTACATTTACAGTAAACTAATAAATAAATAAATACATCTGAGCCTCACCTGCCGCACTGCAAATCCACATCCACACTGTGAACACAAACATGCATTAGAAAAACTTGTTTGGAAAATCATTAATGGTTTCTATAAAAATGATTTATACCAGAATTGGGAATGTATCTTGGTATTCCAGCTTCCCAGATCTTTTGCTTTGCTGGCAGCCACAACTGAGGGATCATTTCCTGTAACAAGCAGATAGTGGGTTATCTTTAACCTTAAGTCACAGTTATTTACAGTAAAATGAATGTCAAGGATTCAATGAACTATAGTACTCTTAAAATCTGATTTACAACTGAACTTTGGGCATATAAACATCATTCATTGCCATTTTCTATCAGCCCACTCACTGTTATCAGTTGGCAGAAGCCCAGATCACAGTGGGATTCTGTGGCTTTATTAAAGGTTCGTATGTGAATATTGTCTTTATTGGGTCAAATGATGGGTTGGATAAGATGGTTAAAGGTAATTTTTTCAGTTTAAGCTTCACACATTTCAATAGGGCATTATATTAGCACTCACCATGCTGTCTTCTCTGAGCAGGGACCATGTAATAAACTCAAGCAGTGGAAGCAGGTTTCCCAGTCGTCTCTTTTTGAGGCCCAAGAGCCGAAGAACGCGGCCCAGCTCTTCACGGGGAACACCACAAGTCTGAAAAATGAATAAATAAATAAACATGCTATAATTTTGCTCTTGTTTCTTGGCTTTTTTATTTTGTTCTGTTCATTCATTTTTTTGTGGCTGCAACCTTACTCTGAAACTATGGGGATTAAATTGTATTGGTCAAATAAATACTGAGAATGTCAATAAAATTTATCACTAAAAAGGTTGATTCCTTATGGTGAATATTACACTGGATTTGGGAGAATGAAATACTGTGATTTGCTGCCAAGTGAGCATTAAAGGTCCTATATTACAACAACAACAACAACAACAACAACAACAACAACAACAAAAAGATTCTTAGCTCCTCAAAAACATAGCCAAAGTTGTGTTTTGTTTCATTCACACTTGTTTGAGTAATCCTTAATTATTAGTCTCCAAAGGTCAAAGTGATCTGTTCCATTTTGTGTTGTTATATAGTGGCAGTTTTCAAGTTAACAGCTATCTTTTACCTTTTGGGGATTTCTAGGACTGAAATCATCACATCACAAAGTAGAACAGAGTGTTTGAGAGAAGAACTCAGCCTAAATATGCAGGTTTGTGTGTTAAACATGTGTGAATGAAACACAAACACAAAACACAACAAAGGTATGTTTTTGGTGAGGAAACCACATTATAACAGAGATCAGGAAATACCCTAATATGGGCTCTGTAAAGCTGGAGTATTTACCTCTGTAGCCTCTTGGAGCTCCTTGGCCCATCCCATGATTCTGGTCTGAGATTCCTCTTTCGGGTTCACCTCCTTATCTTGTTTTCCTGGACCTTCACCTGCTTTACGGCTTTCCTTCAAAAACTAAAAACACAAACCTTTAAGCAACAGGACTTATTTTGATCTTAAAGGTTCTGTATTATGTAGAATTAACTCTTTTGAGCTTTTAGTCATGTTGCACTTTTGTTACCTCCTCAAAAACATACCTGGAGTTGTGTTTTATTTCATTCACACATATCTGAGTAATCCTGTATTATTAGTCTTAGGCTCAACATGCTCTGTTCCACCTTATGATGTCACGAAGCGATAGTTTTCAAGTTAACAGCTGAAGTTTAAAACCACAGCAGAGCACAAATGACAACACAAGGAGGAAGAGAGAGTTTTCAGTTTGAGCTTAACTAACTCTTAACTAACTAAATATGCAGGAATGAATGGCTGAAACAAAACACAACTCCTAATATGTCTGTGATGAGGAAACAACATCATAACATAGATCAGAAAATACTGTAATATGGACCCTTAAAAAGACAGATGTATTGAGCAGTTACCTTATCAACATGGCAAAGCTCGTCAGCCCACTCCAGGATCAACTTCCTGCTCTCCTCCAGACTTCTCTCTGTCCGCTGATCTGGTGTCTCTTCTTTTTGACTGGTGCCCTCACCTGGGTCAGGTGTACCCTGCCACACAACATACACTCATATTTACTTTAAAGGTCCCATGTTACACAAACTTGATTCTTGTGAGCTTTTAGCCATGTAAGAATGCTGTTACCTCGTCAAAAACAGACCCAAAGTTGTGTCTTGTTTATTTCGCACATATCTGAGTAATCCTGTGTTATTAGTCTGTCTGCATCTTTGAAGCTCAAAATGCTCTGTTCCACCTTGCAGAGATGGACAATACCAGAGCTAAAATTATCTAAATGATTCTAATGAAGATGTGTCTCCACTGCGTTTTAAAACACAGTGGAGCACTTCGTGTCTTACTTCATGACATCACAATGTGGAACAAAGTGTTTTCTGTTTTAGAGAAGAATACCCTAAATATGCAGGGTTGCGCTACTTGGGGTATGTTTTTGATGAGGAAACAACATTATAACAGATCAGAAAATAGCGTAAAATGGGCCCATTGAGCTGACTAATTATTATGCAATTTATTTCCTAATAATTCCCAGCAGACCAGCGCACTGTGGCAAGGGCATTGAACTTCATAACTGCTTTGCCACCCTAATTGTGTGAGGTCACTGAGCTGTAAATGGCAGTAAAATCATATCAGGATTACTCTCACGCACACCATTACACTGATTCCATGGCAACGCTAAGATTTACTTTGCAAATTATTAAGTACTAATGTAGTAGTCCCTCGTAGACCTGTCACAGTAACAAATTTTGATATATTGCTATACTGCGCTAAACAAAACTAATGAAAATACTTTATGCCACTGATACAATAACAATAAATTAAGATTATCCTTGTAAACTGTTTTAAATTGGCAATATCATTCAAAAGGCACAGGCTGCAGCAAATAAACAGTAGAACAAAGCAATAATTTGCAACAGAAGTTAGTTTTTCCACCCTCTACAGCTCAAATCATATTGTATTACAACAAAAATAGCTCAAATCTCCACAGTTTTACAAATAAATTGTACATACAATAAATACTGAGCCCCAAAATATGTTGTTCCAGCTTTCATATATTGTAAGAGAAATTCATGTAGTAAATATTGTGACAGGTCTAGTCCCACAAAGTGTTCAACCAAATCCAAATCCATGTTATTTTTATAGCACATTTTACAAACAAAGCAGTTTTCAAAGCGCTGCACAGAGATCATAAAAACAACAACAATGAAGTATAATTACTAAAAACATGATCATGCTAAAAACTATAAAACCAGAAACAATAAAAACAAACAAATGCAACTGTAACTTTATAAGTTAAATTCACCAAAACTAAAACTAAAAAAACTAAAAAAAAATTATAGTTTTACATGAATCAAGAAGCAATTTGCAAAGAAAAGTTGAAAAATATGTTGAAAATTTCAGGAAGAGTTCTAACACCACACTTTAGGGAGAATTCTATCCAAAAGTGTCCAAATTGTGAAAAGAAAAGTTAAATCTTTAGAAAAATCTTAAATTTAATTAAGTGTGATTTGAAGAAATGTGTGGTCCAAGTTCACAAACACATGTATAGTTAATAACATCATGGGCCTACCTTACAGACTTGGTCCACCTGCACCTTCCAGTGTTCGATGAATTGGACACACTCCTGGAGACTGCGTAGATCTCCCAGACTCTGTTGGTGTGAAAGGTGGTGTGACACAAAAACATTTAGACTTAGACTTAGACAAACTTTACTGATCCACAAGGGAAATGATTTGGACACAGTAGCTCACACATCACAAAACAATAACAAAGAGAAAAAATATAAAAAAGTAATATAAAAAAAATATCAAGAGTCTGGTGAAATAAGGCATAGTTATATAGATGTATGTGTAAAAGTGAAAATAAAATAAAATAGAAATAACTAATAAAAATTGATTGTAAGAAGAACAGTGCAAAGATGATACTGATTACTGACAGGACATAGGGTTATCTGTTACATAATGGTGAGATGTTGTACATGAACAATATATTAGCCTAAAACCATTATCATTATTATTATTATTATTATTCATGATTTTTTTATTTGTTTATTTTTTTGTGATTGACTGTAGTTACCTGTGAAGACTTGGAGAGGGTGCCTTGTTTTGTTCTGCTCGCTGGAGCGGAGCTGTGAGCCGGAGCACTGTCCTCAGGCAGTGACCACCGGACCACACAAATGGAGCTGTGTGCAGAGCCGTCGCCATTCAACGGCCCACGGAGTCCTGCACCAGACATATCATCAATCAACCACAGCAGCCAACTATTATTTAATCACAAACACAACATTTAAATGAAATGATATTATAATTATAGCAACTGGGCTTACTTACTTCTGTCAGACTTCAGAATGCCTTTTAGCGCCATGGCACTTGGTCCCAACACTTACAGATACAAAAAGATGAAAAAATACATTAGGTTTCATTTGAGTGTCAAAGTCTGGATCCTGCATCATTGTCCATAGCAATATATAATACATATAATATGGCTATAGCTTGCTTATATTTACTATATGTATATATATACATATATATAAAGACACAGAAAAAAACACAGATTATGTCAAATTACAGTCTTGTTTTACAAAGCACATACTACTACTACTACTACTAATACTACTACTACTACTACTAATAATAATGTTTATTCAGAAATAACAATTGAGGGAGATTCAGTTTTTTGGTGAGTTTAGTTTCCTCTATGCTGAAATATATTTTTTATGTTTCCTTTTTAATATTTATTTTGTTCAAATTTTTCTCAGATAAGGACATAAGGATCATCCCTTAAAGTGGCATCTACACACACAGAATTTTCCAGTGTTCCAATTTTACAAGATTTAATCAAAAAGAACATTTTAATATAAAGCAAGACATTTAAACATAGCTCTATTAATTTTAAATTTCAATTTCAATTTTGTCAATTTTTACACAAAATAGGTTTTTATATTTATGCAAATACACAGAAGAAGTTTGATAACTCTAAATTTAAGATTTTTTCCTGTTCACCTGCATCATCTCTTAATTAAACTACAGTAAATACAATACAAATTACATTCGCTGTCTTATGCCATATATAATATAAACCTAAGTAAATGAATGAACATAAAATAGGATAAGTCAGTGCCAATGTTTCTCTTTATATTTTATACTGGTCTTGTAAACTATTGTAAACATATGTATTCTAAGCTCCCGAGGTAATAAAAATCCAATCAGTTGTAAATTACGTAATGGTCAGTTGTTGTGGGCCTTACCTGGAGGTGCAGGTGGTGCAGCTCTGATGACTCCTTAGAACTGACAGCAGTCTGAGTGTCTCAAAGCGTTTTGTTCACCTCTGTGTCTCTCTTTCCCTCCCTCCCTCCCTCCCTCCCTCTCTCTCCCTCCTTCTTTTTCTCTTTCTATTTCCTCCTCTCTCCCTCCCTCTCTTTCTGGACTCTAGACTCTTTTATAGCTTTATGGATGAAATAAGGAAACCTTGGGCTGCCAGGGCATGTTTGCTGAGGGCATCCTACAGGAGGTAAACCTTTCAACGCTGATAAATCTTCATTTTCCAGAAGTTACACACTAGCAGTTAGTGCAAAACGTGTAATCACGCTAAAATAAACTATGAGCTACTTTGTGACTCACTGTTTCACATTTGGCACACATGGACTGTAAATATAAAATATACTCTAAATGTTGATATTATTGGATGAGAATGTTTATATTGTGCATTTTCTGTGATGTGCTTTATTTGAAAAGACATTTAACATACTCATAATATTTAATATATTATAATATTTATTTACAATTAACCCCTTAAATTGGTCATCATTAGGAGAGCGGTCCCACTGACCCGCAGGCTGGCAGTGTGATTCTAACTCCCACAGATGAATGCTGTATTTGTGTCCATGGGCAAGACACTTAACTCCCCTCACCCCAGTGTGCGTACAATGGTGTATGAATGCATGTGTGAATGGGTGAGAGGTTCCTTAATGTAAAGAGCTTTGAGAGCCTTGAAGGTGGAAAAGAGCTAAAAGAAAACTCCTCATTTGTGGAAAAAAAAAAAGCTACTAAAATAATTCCAAAAATGACACGTGTACTTATTTTTCTCCTGGTTTTGTCATTAAAAAAAAATAAAAAAAATCCTGATTTGGTAAGATCAAGGAAGCAGGAAACACAAAACACAAACGCACAATTGTCCAGTTTCAATTATGTTTATTGTAACCTGTGATAGTATTGCATCTAAGTAATAAAAAAATCCAAATCATTTACTCACACTTGGTTTTTGATTCATAGGAAATGGATTTTACAAAAGTGGCATTGGATCTTCTAGTCAAAAATCTGCCACAGTAACTTAAAAATATTTACATACAAGTATAAAAAAATGTTTTAATATTGTAACTTTTTGAGTAACTTTTTTAGTCCCCAGTCCAAAATTTCTTAAAGATTCTTAATTCCAGTTTTTGAAAAATTGCTTGAAGATAATGGTCTCTTTTCCTTGAGGCAGTATCTCAACCTATTAAAAAAAAATGTACTGTGTTTTTCTGTAAGCATTCCCAGTAAAATAAACCACATTATGTAAATGTAACTGAATGAAACACTATATTTAGAAAGCAAAAAATATTATTACCTGTGTTTTCATTCGGGGATAGTTCATGCGTTCAATAAAGTTATCAGCAATTTGGAGTGCCACTCTCTTTTCTTCAGCATTTGCACCATTACCTACAAGTCAAGTTTCAGAAAATAAAACACTGGATCATTAATCCAATCAGGTATTCAGAAGTCGTCTCGTATGTTAGCGCTGTGTAGTTTTACCTTTCCAAACAAAGATTTTTCCATTGGCTCCATTGTCCAGGATGAAGCAGTCATCACGCACAAGCAGCTCCTTGGCAAACGGGCTCTTCTCTGACACTTGAGTTGTTTTCATCGATCCTGTTGCATCTGACACCTGTAAACAAAAGGCAGCTGATGTCATCCACATTGCGATGCTGACTGGAGGCACTGATCCGTCTGAGGCTTTGTCAGATTTGTCAGATCTGTGCTTTATTTTAACACAATCTGATGACAAAGAGCTGATTTAGTTGGAACTACAATATGTGATGTGCGTAAGATCCCCATTCAAGTCCAAATGTTAAAACTGCAGTACCAGTAGATTCGATAGTTCCATTTATCTGTGATTGACACTGTACCTTGTAGAGAGAGGCAGAGTTGGAGACGTCGGCTTTGCTGTCCTCCTCTGGTGTGCTCTCGGCCAGCGGCGGCATCTTCCCCAAAACCTACACCACAAAATAACAAACTTTGGTAAAAACTAACTTCATACTTTTAAATGAACATCTGGGTGTGTTTTATTTAGTTTTACCTTGAGCATCTCCTCTGGCTCTTCCCCCTCGCAGCAGTCCACTATTTTGGCTTTTCCATGTCGATCTGTGTCACGGATGAGTGATGCAATTTCTCTCACTTTCTGCTTTTCGAAGATATTAGCCTGAGAGCCGATCCAGGAGATGATAGTCTGGAAAGTACATTATGTTAGGCTAAAACCTCTGAACGGAAACTTTAAATGTTTTTCAGTAAAAAACAGGTCACATGTTATTACAGGGCCCATATTGTGCTAGTTTCTGATCTATGTTATAATCTTGTTTCCTCAACAAACATACCTGCAGTTGTGTTTTGCTTCATTCACATGTTTAACACACAAACCCTGCATACTTAGCCTCAGTTCTTCTCTTTATCTGAAAACACGCCACAATAATCCATGCACTTTCACTAGAATTATTAGGATGATTTCAGACCTGGAATTGCTGATCTGAAGCTTAACTTAAAAACTACTGCTTCATAATATCACAAAGTGGAACAGAGCATTTTGAGCATTGGAGATATCAACAGACTAATAATAAAAGGTTACTGAAACATGTGTGAATGAAACAAAAAACTCCATTCATGTTTTAGAGGAGGAAACATGGGTAAAAGTTCACAATAGTCCATTTAGCGTAATATGGGACCTTTAATAACTCATTTGAATTATGTATTTTTTTGCTTGCATGACCACAGATAAAATACTTTGACATACATAGTAACAGTAATACATTCATCTTAAAAATGTGCTTTAAATAAATAAGACCCTGCCTAGACCAGTAACGCACTGAGTCACAGTGACCAGTAATACTGACGAAGGAACTGTGACATAAGAGTTAGCTGGCACACATCTCTACCAACTCTCTATGACGTACAGTGACTGGCTACAATTAGTTTTCAAGCAAGAGTAGAGCTTTAATAGCTGGCACAGTTGAATCAAGGATACTGTTTTTATCACATACATAAATGCTGAAAAGATAAAATTGTCAAAAACATATTGTTGCTTTGTGGCCTTTTCACTTTCACAGCATTATTATATTTTTGCTCTTTGTTATTATATTATATTGTGTAACAGGTGTAAATAGTCCATATGGTTTGATATAAAAAAAAGTCTGAGGAATGCAAAAGAAAGCTCATTATGTTAAATTAGAAGGTGGGAGTAGGCTTAAATACGTTTTTCTTCTTCCCACTCCATTTTGGTCAAAATCAAAAATAACGTACGTATTATTTCCATGCTTTTTATTTGTTGTACTTTTTATTTTTGTTGATATGACCGCACTGATATCAGTATTGATCTTATTATGTTCTACTGTAAAATTGTTCTAAAGTAAAATGTTTACCTAAATAAATAAATAATAAAATAATACTGTGACGTGCAAGTTACTAATTTCCCTTGTGGATCAGAACAGTTTGATTTAGTCTAAGTCTAACATCTCAGTTCATCATCGTTTACATGTCCTAATTTAAAACATCTCACTCTCCTCCACCCAATTACCAACTGCTTCTCTTTCTCTTTTCATCCATTACCGGACTTTAACCTCCTGAACTCAAAATGCGTCACAAACCCTGCAGTATCTGTAGTCTCTTCGATAAGTGGCTGATCATTTGCATCATTTGTCTCAGTCTGCTGGCTCAGAATTCCTATTGCTTAATACAGTGCGGCTTTCCACACTGGGTACATTTATGGCCAGTGAACAATAGATAACTAGTATAATAAGATGACCCAGTTGACACTTTACAGCTGATTCCATGGTAGTGAAAATCTGCGTGAACCACCTTCTCAGAGAGTTTGAGCTCCAAGCCTGACACAGTTCAGATACCAACTGCTAAAAACCGTAGACTTGAAAATTGTGGGGTTTTTTGTCCCGCAAATGATTGTGCAATATTGTACATGTATTAACAGCATTTACCTCATTGTCAAACCATCAAAACCACCAAAAACACTATGATAAGAGCCTCTGACTTTTAGGGACGTAGTGAGGACTACGTGCCTAAATGTCTGGAACCGTTTTCTGGCCAGAGTCTGGATGATGGTTACGTAAGTTTATAATTTTGATAACTATGATTCTGTTTATATTTGAACGATTATATCTGAAGTGCCCTTCTTTTATTTCTGCACTTGTTACATTATTTCACTTTTTTACATAATTTTCCTTGTCAAAACCTGCAGAGATGTGAACAATCAGAAAGAAAGGCAAAGGGATCTGTTGCCCTGGAGTTTTAGGGACCCAGAATTGGACCCTCGTCTTTTAATTTATATTACGGGGTGGCCCATGTGAGGCTTCTTGCCCCAGGCCTCCAAATTTCTATCGATAGGCCTGTAGATAATTATCATATTTTTGATGTGTGTTAAAGGCATGTACATGTAAAGCTTTGAAGCTTTTAATTTGAAGGTGACCACGTGCTGCATACTAACATCTCCGAGGTCGAGGATGAAGCAGTCCCCCTTGTTGAAGCTGACCCAGGAGAGCTCCACCTCCTTGGCACGGATGTTGCGTTTTCCTTTGATTTGGTACAACCTGTGTACCGGCCCCGAGCCCTGAGTCCTCCTGAAGCCGGACTCCACACCACCCTCCTGTGAACAAACCCATGCTGAGTTAACTTAAAGCTCCTTATATTACACAAAATTGACTCTTGTGAACTTTTAGACATGTTTCAATGCCGTTATTGCATCAAAAATGTACCTGGAGTTATGTTTTGTTTCATTTACCAATGTTTGAGTAATTCTGCACCTTAAAACGCTCGGTTCCTTCTGACATCACAAGTTGTTTTCTTTTGTTTGAGAGAAGAACTTACCCTAAATATGCAGGATTTGTGTGTGAAACATGTGTGAATAAAAACAAAACACAACTTCAGGTATGCTTTTGATGAAGAAACAACATTATAACATAGATCAGAAAACTATGTATATAGGGTTTGAATAGCATTACCTACAGTACCTTTTTTTTGGAAATTTTTGTGAAAATTAGGTGTATTTTCAGCTTTGTGTTAAAAAATATATATATATAAAAATGGGCATGTCCTGGCTCTTGTGGCCTCTGCAATTCCAGGTAGTTGGTGACATCACAAAAGACTGCATTGATTACAGCCTGCCGTTTCTGATTACAAACACTTAGCTGCAGGGGTGGAGTCTGAAATGTGCATAAGTTGTTCGACCGATCACATGGTTCCTTGTATGTCCACACTCCGCCCATCCTCCCCCCTCACTCTCCTGGTACTGGCAAAGTTAGCAGCTCTAACTAACTGTTTTGTGGGTGGAGTTTTGGTTGTTTAATCCCACTTTAAGGTCAAGGCTGATACAGGCCTCTCCACACTGCACTCTATGCCCGGTTAATAGTACTGTGGCACGGAGGCTGCACTATAAAGTAATAAATGGATTATAATGTATTATAAAGGAAGATAAAATCGACATATATCTGAATACGAGATTAGTGTGTGTTTGTTTGCATTTGTGTGTCTGTGTGTATATGCATGCGAGATCAAAACTATTAATAAACTCAAAATAATGCTGACCTTATAGCTGACTCCTCTGGGAAACAGGGCCATGAACTCTGGTGACTCGTAGCTCTGTACCTGCCTGTGCTGCACTGGGTCTCCCCCTAGGTAGTTATCCAGCTGAGTGGACAACATCGCACACGCCACCTGCTCATCACGGGATGACTTCTCACCTGCACACATGTTTATATTTACAAGTTTCCCACATTTAAAACCATGTGAGTGTTCAGATATCGGTGTACTAGTAGATATGGTTTGACATGACAATTGTCGGTTGTCCGATCATCTTTCACTCTGTTTAACTCGTGAGCTTTAAGCCATGCTAGAATGTTGTTACCTCATCTAAACATACCTGGAGTTGTGTTTTGTTTCATTCACACTTTTTTGTTAATCCAAAGAGCAGGAATCTGTTCCACCTTGTGATGTCACGAAGTGGTAGTTTTTAAGTTAAGATCTACCTATTACTTTTAGTTCGGTGGAGATTGGCAATTCCAGGATTGAAATTATCCAAATAATTCTAGTGAAGGTGTATGGAATTTAAAACACCCCATGACATCACAAGGTGGTGGAGATTTTACAGAAAAAAAACTAAATGAATAGCCTAAATGTGTAGTGTTTGTGTGTTAAACATGTGTGAATGAAACAAAACTCCAGGTATGTTTGTGATGAGGACACAACATTATAACATCTCAGAAACTAGCATAATATGAGCCCTTTAAATTGTAATAATTCAACAACGATTCTGTTGATTTTATGCGCCTGGAGGTCAATAAAAGATAATAAAATGTGACTAAAAAATAGGAATTATTATAAAAGTTAGATTATTTTGGTGCTAAAAATATCCTTGATTCCGTGTATGACCAGCCAGTACCACATGCTTTGAAAAAACGTTACAAAGACGAGTGGATCTGGAGCTGTATCCTGTCCCCTTGATTTCAGAAGGTTTGATTGACAGGTGGATTAACCAATCAGAGAGATGCATGCTCCGTTTGCCTTAAAAAGAAACATGGCTACTTACACATAAAAAAGAGAAAAATATACATAAAAGACTGAGAAACTGTGTGGATTTTTACAGAATTAACAATCGAAGCACCAAACTATCACTTATTTCAGGTAGAAGATTTTATATGTTTTGTTCCTAATGTTGATCGAACCTAGTGTTGGTTCAGATCATCCAAGCCATGAGCTGAATTTTGACACCGAAAGTTCCAGTGAAGCTGATCGATCATAGTGATGGATGAAGTGTTTAAATTTGAATCCTGTTGACGTGGAGCAGAGAGGTTAATCCGTCAGTCACACACATCACACTGACCCAACTCACAAAAGGTGAAAGGTCATGGAAAAACAGGCACAAAAACAGAGGGTCTTTGAAGAGGGGCCAAATAGAGCCCTCTCTGAGCAGTGACAATCATCTCAGTGTTACCTAAGCACCGGATACATGCTGGAAACAACAGGCCTGTGTGAGTACTGTAACAGAACTCATGTATTTTTAATGTGAGCCGCTTCCCTGTGTCATTCGGCCATCGTCCCACTCTCTGGAGCTAAGGGTCAGCTTTGTGTCTCGTGTGTCATCAGTGTTAATGTCACGCTCATTACCTGCTCACCTGAGGACTGGGGGCACGCGCTAAAGACCACTGGACCATGGCAGATCATTCTACTATCTATTACTATTAGACCTGTATCGATAACAAATTTCGAAGTGCGATATATTACTGAAGTAAATAGAGCAGATTTAAACCACAGTTCTAAATCTAAAATACTGGTACAAAAACAACCAAAAAAACTGACTACTGACTAATATTCCATTGACTTACATTGGAATATTGTCGCCTCTCTCTATAACTGCTGTCGTGAGCCTCGTCATTTTGGTCTTAAAATGTTAGTATTAATCTACTTTATGTGATCCTGTTTTGTTTTTTTTTTAAATTGTGCGTACAATTCATTTGAGTGGAGTTGAAAGCTAAGGGTGACATCACACTCGCTTAGTCCACTTTTTTATACAGTAAAAAGTACACACGATAAATATTTACCCCAAAAAATATTGTTCCAGCTTTCATATATGATAATAAGATGATATAGTAATTATTGTGATTGTGTAATTGCTCTGCATGGCTGTTATTTATAGACAGACAGATAGATAGATAGATAAGACCACTGATCCCATAGGCAACCCACACAAATTCTAATAAACTGGTCTTATGTTATTGACGAGACTACTGGTGTTTATTTTGTTCAAGCACATCTCTTCATCGATACGTAAGTTCTGCAGTGGTCCTTGGACATATACAAGTCTGTGTGCTTTTATACTTGTTCTGAAGATCATTCTAAAGCTATTCAGGAAAAGTTCATGTCTATTGTTTACTTACTGTTTACTTACTATTAGTATCTAGTTTTGATGCTACACAGCAAAAACTGGAGAGTTAAAATTTCAGGGTAAAATATTTCAGAGTTGTTAACACAGAAAGCGTTATTTAAACTATTTGAAAGTTAAATGGGAGTTAGAGTTGTTGTTATTTGCCAGAGTTGATATAGTTGAAGTTAATTTAGCTTCCCCGACTGTTAATTCAACTTCCCCGAGTGTTAATTCAACTTCCCCGAGTGTTAATTCAACTTCCCAGAGTGTTAACTCGGCACCGCCCACCCACCACTTCAAATTCCCGCCACAGAAGACCAGTTTGAACCAGTTTGAACCAGACAGACAGTGGATTTTTCACTTTTACATGCAGCTCTTTTTGGTAAGTGCAATTTGATTTAAACTATAGACAATATTTTTTATTTTCTTCACTAATTAGAATTACAATTATAACTGTATAGGTTGAATTCTTTATCAGAGAAATTGCTAGCAGACGTAACTATAACCCATGGTCTTTTAGCTCTTTGCTTATGTCAAGGACAGTATTCTATCCTGCATATTTTAAGTAAGCTATTAAATAGTTTTTTATTCGCTAAATTGGTGTCTGTCTGTCTGGTGTATGTTGTATGTTGTAGCTCTCGGTAACATATGTTTCTCTTTTTGACAGATAATAGAAGCAGCTTTAAAAGAAAAAGCTGGTGGTGAAGAAGTGCTAAAGGAATACCAAACAACAGAAACCCTAAGTCATACTACAAGAAGGAAGTTATTTAATATACTGGTTTCTCACATGATTCAACACCATGGGTATGTTTCTGTTTGTTCACAAAATTGAATAAATTATTCTTAATGTCTCTAATAAGTTGAATTCCTGTTTCAGTAACTTCCCCTCTAAGGCTACTCGGGAACAGTCTGCCCTTGGGATTGTGATGGCGTTTCCTTCTCTCAAAGATCCATATGCCAAGAAAGGCTATGTAAGAATTATTTTGCTTTCTAAGCAATGTAAATTGTGTAAACATTCAACATTAAGTTGTATGGCATCCTTTTTACTTTTAGGAGCACCTCTATGATGCTGCGGGTGGATCAGGGTACATCTCAAGGCTGAAGACAGTCCAAAGGCGGAAAAGGCAAGTGACTCCTCAGCCACCGGACAGCCCTGTTGACTATTCTCAAGGAGTCCCAACACATCAGAGGACTGTTCAGGTTGAACAACAGCTGAACGGTGATGCCAAGAGTCTTCAGATAATGATTTGTACATAATTTCATCTTTTACAGTGTTTTAAAGAAAATAAAGGCTTTACATGCAATTAATGCGTTTTTTACAGTGTACCTTAATTTACACCTCACAGTGTGTAGTTACAACTCTCCAAGATGTTAAATTAACTCAAATTAAGTGTAAAGTGTGTTGTTTAGCTAAAACAGTATAACCCTACAAAGTGTTAACGCTTTACTCTCAAAATGTTAATTTAACTCTTGATTTTGGGGTTAAACAGTAACTTTGGTCCAGTGTTACATAATTATCATTTCCAAAAGTGTTAAATTAACTCTAGAACAGATTGGACTCATATAGACTCTGAGAAAATGTTAAAATTAACTCTGTGAGAGTCAATTTTAACACTCCACTTTTTGCTGTGTAGTTTTAGTATCAATTAGTGTCTAATAGGGATGTAACAATAACTGAAATATCGTGATATTGTATCATCAAAGTTCTCACAATAATATCGTGGACCATCACAATATATTGAATTACAAGTCTCTTTGCTTAAATTAAGAGTTATGGTGCAGCAATAGCTAAAAAAAAAAAAAAGACAGAGGGAACTACATAGTCCATTTCAGTGCAGACTACATGAAGAAATAACAGTTCTAAGCACTTTTAAGTCTTAGTTCTTTGGATTAAGTCTTGTCAAGGCATTTTAAGAGGAAAAAGTAGCATATTCACAGTTTTGTTAGCCTCCACAAAATATCGCAATAAATATCATACCGTGAGATTTATAACATGAAAATATCATACTGAGATATTTGGATATTGTTACATGCCTAATCTTGAGCCTTGCCACCATATCGTGAGCTTTCCCACGATATCGCAATAAATATCGTACTGTGAGGTTCATACCATGACAATATCGTATCGTGAGACTTGGATATCGTTACACCTCTAGTATCTGATTTTGAAATCACCAGTACATCCTGACTTAATAGATTTTATACCTGGTTAATTTCATGAGTTTCTTACCGATCCACATGTGGAGATCGGCCCCGTTCTCGGCACGGTTTTGAAGCACCAGATAAGAGTCTCCATTATAAAAGGCTCCAATTTCGGTGGGGTCCAGCAGCACGGCCTTCATCTTCTCCACCCTCCACACCCACAGGCCCGGGGTCCGGACCTCTGGACCAAACTGACCTGGGACTGCCTGCATCGGGAGCATGCTGCACAGAAATATACAAACATTAAAGGTTAAAGTTACTCAAGTAGGCTATTATTGCACGGACTATTACACTATTTTCTCATCTTTGTTATAATGTTGTTTTCTAGTTGAATACAGATCTGGAGTTGGGCTTCGTTTCATTCACACATGTTTAACACACAAGTCCTGCGTATTTAGGCCAAATTCTTCTCTCAAATGGAAAACACTCTGTTCTACCTTGTGATGTCATGCAGTAATACAGGAATTGCTCCACAGTGTTCTTAATCAGTAAATTCACTAGCATTGTTTAGATCATTTCAACCCTGGAATTGCCAATCTCAGCTGAACTAAAGCTAAAAGGAGCTGCTAACTTGAAAACTACCACTTCATGACATCACAAGGTGGAACAGAGCTTGGAGACGTAGACAGACTAAAAAACTGGATTACTGAAACATGAGTGAATGAAACAAAACACAATTCCAGGTATGGTTTTGGGGAAGTAAGAACATTGTAACATGGCTTAAAGCTCACAGAACGGGAAGATGAATTAGGAAGTGCAAAAAAAGAAAGGGTATGAAGTGATACTGGGCCTGGCATGACAAAAAACAAAAACAAAAAAACCAACAACAACAATATATTACTACAGAAATATTGCAATAAATAGTAGTTCAGTAAGATAGTAAATCCTTTTAAACCATGTTGTAAAGAAAAAATATTATCTGAAATAATATCATAGCACACTGAAACACATCAGTACACAATTAGTACTAATAACAAGTATTATTCTACTTTCTGCACCTCAAATGTTACAAAAAAGGAGTAAGTACCCCAGTAGTGCAAATAAAAAGACCAAATACTGTATATTGTGTATCTTTTATTTATTGAATTGATAGTAATTGTCATAAGAGACGTAAGACACATAAATAAATAATATTATATTTAGGGGTGTCAAGTTATCGCGTTAATTGCGATCAATTAATTACAGTCATATTTAGCGTGTTATGTTTTTTAATGACGTTAATGTCATTTTTAATCTCTAACTTTAGTGTTTCTATATGCGAGTTGCTTTATTATAAAACCTGTTTTTATGTGTGTTGTTGGGACAACACACACACACACACACACACACACACACACACACACACTTCACACAGGGTAATTCCACTCATTGCCGGAAACCCACACAAAACGCGCGCAGTAAGAGCGATGTAAACATCATGTTAACGCTGGCGGCGTCAGTCACACAATGGACGAGGTCGAAGAGCCAGTAGAACAGAGGCAGCAGTGCACAGGTAAAAACGCATTCGTGTCTTGGAAATTATTCTCCCGACGTGAAATATAAAAGAAAATAATAAATATAAAATCGCCTACAACTTAAATGTCACTGGTGAAAACAACCTGCATAGGTTCATGATGTCTGCACTACTGTCCTATAGTGACCTGCCACATGAGGGGACACGCACACAAACACACACAAACATACAAACACAAACACACACCTTCATCATCGTCATTAACCTGAGAATGCGTGGACCACGTTTCCTTCCGTAGACACTGCACGGACACCGACGTGCTCCCGTGCGCCGCGTGTGGATCGTTTTCTCGCGTACGCTGCGAAAACCGCGCTTCCTCCTGTGCGCCTCTAAACCAGAACTAACACCAAGTCTAAAACCAGGACTAATCCAGGTCTAAACCAGGACTAAACCAGAACTAAAACCAGAACTAAAACCAGGTCTAAACCAGGTCTAAACCAGGACTAAACCAGGACTAAACCAGAACTAAAACCAGAACTAAAACCAGAACTAAAACCAGAACTAAAACCAGGTCTAAACCAGGACTAAACCAGAACTAAAACCAGAACTAAAACCAGGTCTAAACTAGGTCTAAACTAGGACTAAACCAGAACTAACACCAGGACTAAAACCAGGATTAATTCATTCCAGGACTAAACTAGGACTAAAGCAGGTCTAAACCAGGACTAAAACAAGGACTAAAACCAGTGATCTCATATATAAAGCATTTCTCTATGAATAATATTTTTAATATGGTTAAGGAAAGACTAGACTTTTTATTGTCTTTAAGGAGACAAAGGTTATTATGTTCAGATTTCCTCGTCTTTGCTACTTTACAGCAAACAGTTTCTTATTCATGGAGACTTGGGCTCAACAGCCAATTTGGAGAGATTTGTTAAACAATAAATGACTTTATAAAGTCACTTTTTTTAATCTATATCAGTCTTTTGATCTGCCACAATAATGTAATAATGAATTTAAATTAAAATACCTCAAATTGAAGGCTTTTCTCAGCAATTTTTAGGTGAGATTAAAATGAGATTAATTAGATTAATTAATTACAGATCATAATTAATTAATCTCTAATTTTTTTTAATCGCATGACAGCACTAATTATATTACCAGGACAGTTCTTAGCTCATCGAATTGTATTGTCTTAAATCACTCTCAATTTTGTGGGTTTTGTGAAGAGTGTAATTACACCAAGTCTTGACACATAATGAGGTCTTGTATTACGGGGTAGATTACATCACTTTTATGTAACTTGAACCCAAAATGTCTTGATCTCATTGCAAAAAACAAGGAGTGGCAATATACAAGCTGTATCATGCTACAACTATGAATGTGAGTTTAATATATGCACTTGACCTGTCACTATGACAAATTTTCAACTATGATATATCAATGAAGAAAATGTAGATGATACACAATAATATACTGAAATTAATTTATGCCACTGACACAAAAACTCAAGAGCAAATTTAAACCACAAAAACTATTCTAAATCTACAATATTGTTAAAAAACCTGAGCTGTAATAAATAAACAGCAGAATGACACACTTTAGTACTTAATTTGCATCTGTAATGAGTCATGGAAGTAATTACCGTATTTTCCGGGCTATTAGGCGCTCTGGATTATAAGGCACACTGTCATTAGATGGTCTATTTTCGAACTTTTTTCACAAACAAACCGCACTGGACTTTAAACAAAACACAACAGTTAGATGGGTCAGTGGGACTTTGTTTGGCGCGTTCACTGTGACTCTGGGTTTTGTTCAGTTGTGGCGTGTAGGGAGGGTGCTGTCTGGGACCGCTGGATTGTTGGCGTGTTCGCAGTGACTCAGTTGTTCAGTTGTGTCTAGAAGTGGCAAATTGCACTCACTTTTTCGGTTCGTTCCTCAGTTCTGTTCCTCCCCTTCCCCTTCCGTGTGGAGTGATGAGTGTGGCTGCGGGGTTTTTTCGCTGTGCGGTTGCTGTCTACTCTACTCGCTGTCTCTAGTGTGTGTTTGCGTGTTCTGCGGGTGATGCGCCTTTGTCGTGCTGGGACACCCGAGTGGATTCGTGTATAGGGCGCTCTGGATTGTGGGGCGTGCAGTCGTTTTCTGATGTAGTTGGAGGCTTAAGAGCGCGCCCTATGGTGCGGGAAATACGGTAATTCATCCTTCTATAGCGTAAACATGCATTATATAACTTTTTCACCTGCTTGTTTCTATGGAGATGTCACTGTTATGTCTGGAATGTTCCACAGTATGACATTAAACAGCTCTACTTTACATTTGTTCAATCACAAGTAGTTTTATAGCTCAAAACTACAGAGAAAAATAAGCATTCTGACTGTGAGCAGGGTCACCTCTCCACAGCTCTGTTCTGTAACTTGGTCTGGTTTGGTTTAATGCCATACTGTGAAACATTCCACACAAAGTAATAACATCAAGCACAGTAAACATTAAAATCTTATCAAATAGCCAAAAAATAACCAAATATTTCCCAGTAGTGCAAAGAAAAAGTATATATGATAAATACTGACCCCCCAAACTATATGAGTCCTTGATAGCTTTCATATATTGAACGATAAGTCGATATACTACAGTAGTAGTAATTATCGTGACAAGCCTATATGCAGGGTGACAAATTTATTCACAGAAGGAAATGTTCACAGTGAAACCAAACCACAAATTTTGTTTCCTCTTCATCCTGTCCCAGTTTGATTAAAGCTGGTTGAAAGAGTTAAAATGAGGTGATAGTTTATGTAGCACAACCAAGACCTTAAGATCTATTGCCTTGATTAGAGAGATGTAGATAGACAAAAGGCTTTAGACGGGGTTATCTCTGAGATACCTAGAAAAGCGCCAAGGCGTAACTGCGACCAATAAACAAATGCAGAAAGACAACCCCACATTAGCATGATTAGTGGATTAGTGGCACATGTGTTACTTAGCCTTAACAAGCTCTTGGGAAATGCTTATTCTTGGTTTAATTTATTTAATTTGCTCCAATTTTGAAATTTTACATAACAAAACCAAAACAAACAAACAAACAAAAAAACAAAAACAAACTCCCACACCCCTCTCTCCACACTCAATAAACACACACACACGCACAAAAACCAAACAAAGCAACTGTCACTCAAATCCGATCTCGTCAAGATGCTGAAAAAATTATCCGCTCAAATTCTCAGAAGTTATTCTAAGTGATACAAAGTCAGCAGTACACAGCAATTACAGCTCTAACTGTCACAAGTGTGAAAGTTCAACTATAGCTCCAGCTCCTTTCCTATGTTATTTCCCTTTCAGATAACATTATCAGTATAATTATCATTATCTAAATCCCTCTTGTAGGTGAGTTTACAAGAATACAAGCCAAGACCTGCCCAGTCCTCCTGTTAAAGTGCCCCGAGACCTTTGACTGAGACACAAAGGCAATTGAGAAGCGCAGTGTAAATGTTACTGTGTCAAAACTTTAATTTCATTTGAGATCAATAAAGCATCTCTCTCTCTCTCTCGCTGAAAATTTGAAGGCATCTTGTAGGAGAGGAGGAAGATAACAGAGCAAGAACCTGTAAGGTTAGAGTTACCGTGCTTTGACAGGCAGGGTAAAAGTAAATAAAGAATTGCAAATAAATAATTAAAATAAAATTCCTCCACTTAACTGCATAATCTCATCTGGTACTTGCACTTGAGGTAAGGTCCATTCTGACTCCATCCTGCGTCCCCACGGGTCTGTACTGGCGTTAGTGTTATTGTGAGAGTGTAGGGGCCTGGTTCGCAGTTGTGTTTGCGCTCACCTGTCCTGGTTAGCTTATATGCACCAGGTAACAAGAGCCGGTGTGATGAAAGCCAAACCCGCAGCCGTGGATACGAGGCGGGCGTTGGGGGGTGGGTAGAGTCGGATTCCTGGTTCCTGGCTAAAGCTAAACACCAGACTGATAATTACTGGGAGAGCCAATCTTTCCAATGACTTTTACTATAATGACTTAACTAGCTCCAATTGTGGTCCATCACTGCCAAAAAAAAAAAAACTTGTTCGATTTCACTTTTAAAAGCTCATCTTTGAAAATGAGGTAGTACAATGAAAGTGTTATTTCTATTTTAGCTCTGTACTATATCTGTTTGAGACACAGGTTCAGAGGCAGTTGAGTCATTTATACATCTGGATCAAGTGGTATAAATGCTTTTTAAACTAATATTTTTAATTCATTTTGACTTAAAGGTCCATTGTACAATTGCCACCTGCTTGTCTCTATGGAATTATTATGACTTTGTCTAGAATGTTCCACAGTATAGATTAAACCCATCTATCACGAGGGAGACAAGAAGGTTTCAGAACTACGCTACATTACAACTCAGATCTGTGGAGAGGCGCCCCTATTCACAGAAGGAATTACTGTATTTTTGAGCAACAAGAATACAATAATGGATATGTTTAATGTCATACAATGGAACATTCCAACACAAGACGAGACAAAGCAATAACATTTCCATGGAGACAAGCAGGTAGCGGAACCTCAGCCAGAAAAGTTACACAGTGTACCTTTTAGAGCAGACATGTCAAACCCTGGCCCGGGAACCAAATTTGGCCTGCGATATAATTATATTTGGCCTGCAAAATCATATGTGTATCAAATCAAATAATAATCAAATATGTATTAAAGATGCTACACATGGGCTATAGAGAGATTATTTATTTAGAATGTTGTTATTATTTTATATGCTTGTTCTGGATTCAGTGTTTAAGTAAAACTATTATTAAACATTTATTTGAATAAGAAAATGACATATCTAGAAAGAAGAGAAAACATGCAGATGTTGTTGAAATTTTTCAGTAAATATTTAGTTTGGCCCACGACTTAGTCCCAGTTTTCAATTTTGGCCCTCTGTGAATTTGAGTATGACACCCCTGATTTAGAGTTAAGTAAAAAATGATTTAAGCATTCCTATTACCTTTGGTCCAGATATATAAATGAGTCAAGTGCAGGAAGTAGAAATGCAAGTTAAATGACAGATAGATAAATTCACTTTGGTAGCTAGCAGGCAAAACATCTCCATGGATACAAACAAGTGGCAGATCCTCTACCGGGAAGGTCACATGGTGTACCTTTAATTGCACATATTAAAACGCCACACACTGAACCTCTTGAACCTGCTTCAGTGCTTTACCGTGATTATAAAAAAATAATGAAATTTGTACTTAGTTATTTATATTTTCATTTACTTTAAGACCAAGGTTTAACTCAGACTATTTTGTGAAATATAGGTGTAAATTATGAACTACACTACTACTACACTTATAATACCCTTTTAATCACCTCTCCCATCTGCAACACTTTTGCAACCGCACGACTCACAACCTCCACCCCAGGTTTGAGGAAGTAACTGTCAGCTTTCTAAATAACTACAGTTACTAAGACTGAGATGCTGCTCAGTGACAAAAATATGAAACAAAAAACTAACTAACCAAAAAGCAAAAGTACTGTCATGCTCCCTAGATTTCCCACACTTTGTTGTTGTTTTTTGTTGTTTTGCAAAAGTACGCCATGAGTACAAATGATTTTAAAAGGTAAAAAACTGACAAGAGTTGCATGAATGACTGACTTCATTGTGCTACTTACTGCCGCATTCTTTCACTGAATTCAAGAGGAATTTGACAAGTAAACAAAAGATTGAATGGGACAATGGCTGTAGGCAGAACAGAGAGCAGAAAGAGTAGAATATAGCATATGTTTTACCTTTCAGACTTACCTTACAGAGAAATGAAACAGATGTGCGAACGGTGAGCTGAGAGTGGAGCCTCTGGTACAAGATGTGACTTGTGTTGAGGACAAATTGTGTTTTTTGCAGACAGCCCCAGATGTGCTTCCTATAGATTTTGCTGTGGCCCTGCCCTCTGACTCTGAGTCACAGCGCAAAATGGAAAAAAGCGAGGAAATGTGGTTGAATCAGCTGATAATGACTTTACACTGTTATATTTAAACAGTGATTTTAAGGGTCCGTATTACTTAATTTTCTGATCTACGCTATAATGTTGTTTCCTCATCACAAACATACCTGGAGTTTTGTTTTGTTTCATTCACACATGTTTAAATCACAAACCCTGCATATTTCTCTTCTCTCAAACAGAAACACTTCTTATGATGTCATGTAGTGATACAGGAAGTGCTCCACTGTGTTTTTAAACTCCATAAACCTTCACTAGAATATTTTGGATAATTTCAGCCCTGAAATCTCTACTAAACAAAAGGTAAAAGGAGCTGTTAACCTGAAAACTACTGCTTCATGACACCACAAGTTGGAACAGAGCATTTTGAGCTTTGGAGATGTAAACAAACAAATAATAAAGTAATGCATGTGTGAATAAAACAAAGCACAACCCCAGGCATATCTTTGAGGTAACAACATTACAACATGGCTTAAAGCTCACAAGAGTAAATTTTTGCATAATACGGGACATTTAAATAAAACACACTGAGCACATTCTGGAGATGTTTTTGCTTTGCTTAAAATATTTCACAGTATGGCATTAAAAGTATCTATTTCCATGGATACAAGCAGACAGGGATGTAGTACAAAATTCTGGGCCCACCAAGATGATTAGTAATCATCTTGGTGGGCCCATATTATTAGCCTGATTCATCAGTTGGTTTCACTTTGTGGAAAACATCTGAACTTACAGAATTAGGATTCGTTCGCTTGACGGTCGGTGGGTACTTTTTTAATTTAACCAATCATTGCTATTTGGTTGTGACGTATGTAATGCGCTGGAACGCTCAGTGGTGTCCAAGTAATTGCCGGCACAAAAGCAAACAAAGCAGAGAGTGAAAATCCTTGATCTTGAGAATCGTTGCCAACACAGAATGTATGGCTCCGTCTACATCCATCCATGTGACGTCATGGCTTCACAGCTCTTTGCCGACTGGCCGGTACGAGGTCTACAGGCACTACTCCGGAACAATGGAGGCTGGCTTCTTTTAAGGCAATTGGGTTTAACTCAGGTGCTAATTACAAAAACAGTCCAAACATACATTACAAAAATATAATAATTTTAAATTAGCAGTGTCATTCTAAATAGAACAGTTATTCCTCCTCCAAACAATGACCTTCTTAGGTCTCTGACTGGAGAGAAAACCACACAGAGGGTAATACAGTCATTTTAGAATTCTTTTACAATTTAAATGACTTTACTTTTACTATTTCCTTTTCTTTTCAGGTAACTTCAATCTGCACCTAATTTTCAATAAACATTTCTAAAACTTAGAATTTATTGACTGGCTAATTACACAGCACTGACGAGGTCTACAACTTCCGGGGTTCTTGCAAACAATCTGGTGTATTCCGATTCCTGACCTAGTCCCTGGAGAGAAATGAAACTGAGTGGATGCATTAGGTGGCGCCAGCCTGGCTACCATATTATATGTTATATGTTGAAAATGGCATATTACAGATTTTGTGAAGGGCCCCTACCTGCTCTGGGCCCTGGGTAAAGAGTACCCTTACCCCCCAGTCCAATGTCCCTGCAAGCAGATAGTACTACCAGGCCAAGTAATAGGTTATATCTGTGGAAGGAGACCCACTCACACTAAGAATGGATGTTTTTGAGCAATAAAAATCTGGATAATGAAAAAAAAAAAAAGACATGTTTAAAGCCACATTCCAAGCCAAAATATAAACGGCATGGGGACTAGTAGGTAGCCACTCCCCCACTAGAAAAGTTACACAGTCTACAGTCTCACAGTGAGTTTATAAAGTTATGAATTGTGATTGACATCTCCTTCCTTTTGGCAGTAGATTAATGAATTGGATTGTCAAATAAATAAATAAATAAATAAGTAAAATATTATAAATCATTATAAAATGTGCCCTGTGTGTATTAATATGATTGCCAATAAAATAATTAGGCAATGAATTATTGTCATTATAATTCATTATAAACAGCGATTTCACAATTACTTGGGCAACCCTCCATAAAACAGTCATCAGGCTTCCCTCTGTCACACACACACACGCGCACACACGCACACTGAAGTAATGTATATAACACTTAGCCTGTGAGTCATATTTTCCACACAGAGGCCGTATTAGTGGGCATGTGTCATGGTTTGTGCTATTGCAACCATCTAACAGCCCTGAGGTATTCTGGGTAAATCATATTGCGTTTCATTACTAGTTTAGTGCATCAGTGATCAGCAAAACACTTTCATATGCTCAGATGAACTGGCCATGGGCTAAATATTATGCTTCTTAAAAGTAAATAATGGCAATATAAAATAAAATAAAGTTAGAAATTGATCTAAGTACAATACCTAAGTGAGTTGGTGACATTTAGGGACTGGAAATCTTTTGTCCATTTCCCAGATTAGTTTGTGCATTTGCACCAGCCCTGAGGCATTCTGGGTAAACCACATTGAGATTCATTACTACTTTAGTGCATCAGTGATCACCAAAGGACTTAGATATGCTCAGATAAACTTGTCATTGGCTAAATATTATAGTTCTTATAGGTAAATAATGGTAAGCTAAAATACCTGAGGGTTGGTGACATTGTTGGTACGACTGGAAATCTTTTGTCCACTTAGATTTGGGTCATTTTGGTACCAGTTTTGAAGTTGAGATGTCTATACTTTCTCCCAGAGCACTTGTCTTTGATTTAAATCACACTGGACTGTTATCTTGTTGCAGCATCTACTCAGACAGGCTCATCTCGTGGATTATTGCTGACTATGGTGATTTGTAAGGAATGAAATCACTCACGTGTGAAGAAAAGTACCCCCTACAGGTGAAGTTGAGGCAGTGCTATAAGTCTGCTCCGTGGCTTTGTAGTAAAGTCTATGGCAATGTCTGGTGGATCGTAATTATAATCTGTAAGAATAGGCATACTTGTATATACTAAATACTGTCTGACACTATCCGTTTTAAATAACCCATTTAGAAAAAAAAAAAAAAAAAGTTATTCACCTTTTGAGACGATTAAATGAATTACTCAGGAAACTCAACTTGTTCCGAAAAGGCCTAATGTCATTGTCAACAACTACTGATTTATAGGCTTTCTAGTCAGGTCGGACATTTTATTTGTGACTATTTATGGAATATTACACGAACGAGCAACAGCGACCTCTTCAGGCCAGACTCAATCATTTCATTTGAAAAAAAAAAAAAGTCAAAAAGATATAGTAAAACGTTTTTATTAATTTTTCCAAGTCCAAAAACAAACAGAACAGAGACACAAAGAATGAGATTATGAGCTGATTTCTATACAGTGGCAATTAAGTTAAACCTTCGTCTTTGCCGAGACATGTCAAGTCTTTCTTGAACCGTGCCTGGCCTGGCACTCTCACATTCACACTGCCAGGAGTCCCGATGTCCCAAACTCACTATAAACAGCGCACTTAAGACAGCAGCAGTGGGTGCAACTGGGGGAGACTATGGAAAACATCAACCCTCCAGTTTAGTAAGTGCAGTGACCGAACCAAACTGTCGATTTAAGGCAGTCTAACTGAAAATGAAAGGCTATTAAGAATTGGGTACCCAACTACAGGACTCCCAGTAACATCAGAAACACCCACCCCACGATTTCCCTAGTCACAGGTACAAACATTCGTAGAAAAAAAAACAAAAAACAAAAAAACACTGATTTCAGAAATTGGGACCAACAGTGGATGAAGGGGAAGAGGAGAACCAGCCAATACTTCATAAAAAAGGAAATAAATATGAGTCACTTTGCAGAGGTGTTTCATTCAGACAATGTTTTCTGATGGAAACTTGACTGTTACCCTGTTGTGTGGAAAAGACGATGAAATGGCCTTTGGCATTCTAAAAATGCAAGGCAAAATTAAATGTTTTGGAAAGAACATTAGAAAAGAGTTATCCTATGGTCCCCTGACCCTTCATTCACGGTAGAGAACATGGGCCTCTTGCCAACAGATTTACAAGTCACCAAAAGCAAACAAGAAAAACAAAATTCTTATTTTGCTCTATTTGTATTCACACAGAATAATAGTTATTTGTCTTAAATAAAGTGAATTTCCCAAATAAAACAAAATGAATACATGTCAGCTATCAGAAATGGGGCAACAATTATAAAGCAGAAGGATTTTGAAAAAGATCAACCTAAAGCTTGATTAAACTGTATTAACATTTGCTACTCATGCAAACAGTAACAGAAGCAGCAACTTTGTAATCCACAAGCCCCATTTCTTTCTAGAATCAAAATTAAAGACAGAACAATCATTCTGACTTCTATTTTCATATAAACTTTTTTATTCCCATTGTAAAGGGAAGAAATATATGGAAGTGTTTTGTTTTTGCTTTTGATGCAAGACAGGAGGATGCTGGTAGATGTAACGTGACATCTTGTAGGTGTTTTAAGGGTGAGAAGTAGGAAGAGCAATGCCTACATACACTCATGTAGTTTATATGGTCTGTATTGACAAGCCCAAGCCAGTGTCTCTCTCCAGTTACTCCTGAATCTGTCATCATTGAGTTGTTGAACGTATTCTTCAAAAGTAACAGACAAATATATACTTCTGAAAACTTCAAAAACGCAAAAGTTTGGATGTCTTATTTTACTGATTCTTGACTTGCATCAGGTTGGTTTGGCAACATAGAACACTGCTGGAGAACAGTAGAGAGACAGGCTGCCGTAAACTGTAAAGTTAGACACTTTGTGCATCTTCCTCTGCATTTCAAACCCTCCTGGGCCTGTAGTTTACAACTTCAACACCCCATGTGAAAATTGAAAAAACTAGTTTCAAAAGGCAGCCTTTTTTTCTCAGGCAAAGCAGTTCAAGTCTTTTTTTTTTTTTTACATTAAAGTTTCAACTACATTTTATTCTTCAGACTGGGCTTCTCGTCCTACAGCAGGCTCAAAGACGCTGTCCTATTTGTGGAGAGAGGCCAGGGAGGTGGGGGTCCCATCAACCATTTCGGCGCCACTCAGTTGTTCTCCTCATCGCTATCATCAGGGCTGATGGCCGGGCTGTAAGTGGGCGATGTGGGGCTGTATCCAGGCGATGTGGGGCTGTAGGTGGAGCCTTTAGGACTGGTGGGGGAGTAGGTGGGGGAGGTTGGGGAGTATTTGGGTGAGGTTGGCGAATAGGTAGGTGACGTAGGAGAATATTTGGGGCTGGTGGGGGTGTAGGTGGGAGATGTGGGCGAGTAGGTGGGAGAGGTGGGGCTGTATTTGGGTGTAGTCGGTGAGTAAGTCGGAGAGGTTGGTGAGTACTTGGGCGAAGTGGGGGAATATTTTGGTGATGTAGGCGAGTATTTCGGCGATGTGGGGGTGTACTCTGGAGAGCTGGGGCTGTAGGACGGAGAGGTGGGGGTGTATTTGGGAGATGTGGGTGAGTATGACGGGGAGCTCGGGCTGTATGACGGTGAGCTGGGGGTGTAAGTCGGAGACTGCGGCGTGTAGCGCGGGCTGGAGGGCGAGTAGGATGGTGAGGTGGGGGAGTAGGAAGGGGAGGTGGGGGAGTAGTTGGGGCTGGTCGGAGTATAGTTTGGAGAGGTGGGGGAGTAAGAGGGGGACGTGGGTGAGTAAGAGGGGGAAGTGGGAGAGTAACTGGGCGATGTTGGGGTGTAGTTGGGCGACGTAGGGCTGTAGCTGGGGCTGGTGGGGGAGTAGGAGGGGGAGGTGGGGGAGTAAGACGGAGAGGTGGGGGAGTACGAAGGGGACGTAGGGGAGTAAGAGGGGGACGTGGGAGAGTATGAAGGAGAGGTGGGGGAGTAACTGGGGGAGGTGGGGCTGCTGTAACTAGGCGACGTGGGGCTGTAACTAGGCGATGTGGGGGAATAAGAGGGGGAGGTGGGGGAGTAGGAGGGGGAGGTGGGCGAGTAGGAAGGGGACGTAGGGGAGTAAGAGGGAGACGTGGGTGAATACGAGGGAGAGGTTGGGGAGTAACTGGGGGAAGTGGGGGAGTAGGACGGGGATGTGGGGCTGTAGTTGGGGCTTGTGGGGGAGTAAGAGGGAGAAGTTGGGGAGTAGGAGGGAGAGGTCGGAGAATAGCCTGGACTCTGAGGCGTGTATCCACCAGGAGAACGTGGCTCGTAGGCAGGAGAAGTGGGAGAATAATTGGGAGACATGGCTCCTCCTGGAAAAGAAGGATTGTTAAAAAATGTGTGCATTTTTTAAAACTTTGCTGCATGTTTTTCATTTAACTTGAGCCTAACCTGGAGAAGGAATGTACGGGCTTGCAGGGCCTGGTGACCCTGGAGAGCCTGGAGTGGGGGACCAGGCGGGCGAGTACCCAGGAGAGTACCCACTGGCATCAGACGCTCCACTGGGTGAAAAGCCTGCTGCTCCTGGAGTCATGCCACTTCCTGTTACGGCACAAAAGGACAGAGCTGAGTAAATGAATCTGAGAACAGCATTACAGACGAGCTGGAGATCCACTTACCAACACTGGGAGACCAGGCTCCATAGGCCGGGGTGGCTCCTGTGTTCCAGGGGGTCATGGCAGGTGACATGCCGCTCATCGGACTAGGCACTGAGCCAAAGAACATTCCAGTGGCTGCAAATAGGATTGGTATCAGTACACAGATATAAGCAATGCATTGAGTGTACATCAGTACGCATATTAAATTCAATTAAATATGTGAACAATGTATGGAAATACATATATTTCACTTACGTCCAGCCACACTGATGCCAGGTATATTTGTGGGGATTTCCATGCCATATTTGCACTTCTCAGCATCCAACAGCAAGTCAAAGCAGCCTGTTCCTGCTGGAGCAAGCTGTCCAAGCATGATGTTCTCAGACACACCCTTCATTGGATCCACCTCACCATGAGACGAGGCCTCCATCAACACATCCACCTGAAAAACACAGAAACAATACAGAAACAATACAGTTACAACAGAGTCATTTCCAATGTGAGAATAGTTTGATTTAGTCTTAAATATTGAACTCACAGTTTCCTCAAAAGAGCATTTCATGAGTGGGCCTGTGTCCTGCCGATTGATACCGTGACGTGTGATGGCCATTAAATGCCCCCTGCAGGTCATGGTGTCACAAAGCAAAGCCAAGTGACGATAGTTCACATAAGAACCGTCGAAGGAGATGACGTGGTACAACTCTCTCTCCAGAGCCTTACGCACTGCTTCAATTCCCAAAACCTACACAAGAACAATCCAGCAGTTAAGAATTTGAACTCGATATAAACTTGTTTGTTTTTGTTTTTAATACCGTAAAGATCTCCACAATGTCGTTGGAGGTGGTTCTGACAGGGTCTACGTCCTTCTCACTCAGAACTCTCATCAGACTCACGCCGTCTGTCTCTAGGATCCACTCCTGCAGGGCCTTGAACTCTCCGTCCTCTGTGATGATGATCTTCTTCTTGTTGTCTGTCTGAGGCAGATGCATGTACACCTGGGGAACATGGACTTGAGTTTAGTTGCATTTAAAGTGAGTTATTTGTATTTGTGGTTTGTCGACTGCTGTACCTTGCTGATCTGTTCAATTCCCTGAAGAGTCATGTCCGTCAGCATGTTGGACTCAATGCATCTCAGAAAAACATCATCATCCATTTTATCCACCACCTCCTCATCCTTTAAGTAACACATTGGGTTAAATTTAGTGAAGATTATGGCATTTGTAAACCGTATTTTTTTTTAACAGTCACTTACGTCTTGGAACTTGTTTTCATCGCTGTTCATAATTCTTATTCGCAACACCAACTTCTCAGCATTGTCGTCATTGAAGATACAGTTCAAATCATCTCCAAAACCTTTTCATAAAATAACTATTGATCACCATTGCTTTAAAAACTAAAAATAATAAAACAAAATAATAAACATAATCTACACATTTTATTCAGACACCCACCTGCATTGATCTTTTCTGCGATCTGCTCCATGGTCAGCTTGCGATCAGTCATGTGTTTGCGATCGAGCTCAATGCGCAGCAGCCATGGTGAAATACGAGTCACATCAAAGTCGGGCATCTCATAGTACACGTTCACCCACTCCTGGTCCTCTGCCACCACCGTGTTCTGAGGGTTGGGGTCATAGTAGATGGCAGTATTTGCAGTCACCTGAAACAAATTGATTCATATCCATTTTAACATTAAGGCCAGAGGTGGGAGAATGTGTCTATAAATGGATAATATCACAAGAGCCATTTTGGAAACAATTACTTTAGATACAGTAGCCAGCATATTAAAAAACAGTTTAGGCTGCAAAAAAATCTATAAAACTATTTTGCTGTGTAAATTTTCAAATGAGGGTATAAGGTAGTACTTGTTCCAATATTGCACCAAAAACTAATGGTAAAATGGTCTTAGCAAGGACACCTCTAATTCATTGTTGACATTACTCTGTAGTTATCGCTGGCGTCATCCAAATATTACAGAACTTGTCCTTCTTTAATATTATCAGTTGCCTTGGTCAACTTGTCTCACAGAAGCCGGTGTGTTATGTACTTCTTATTTTAACTTGGCCAGTTGATCTCTACCACTGATGACAATATTTGTGCTAAAACGCAACATATAGAGGGACAGAAGAGCTCATTCTCAAACAGGCTCCGACAGCTCTGCTCAAACAGTGAGAGATACAAAACTATATTCATACCAAACTCCATACAACTATGCAACAACTCGGTTGTTGACATCACCTGCTTGTTTCTATGAATATGTCATTACTCTGCCTGGAATGTTCCATTAAACAAATCTATCTTACATTAAATTTCAGGTGCTTCTATAGCTCAAAAATACCTAAAAAACAGGTATTCTGACTGTGAGAACGATTGTCTCTCTACAGATCTGATCTGTAACTTGGTCTCCATGCAGACAGAAAGGTTTAATACCATACTGTGAAACATTCCAGACAAAATAAGAGCATCTCCATGACAAAAAGCATTTGACAGAACCTCCACCAGAAAAGTTACACAATGCACCTTTAAATATTATGGCACACTTACCTTTCTAAGTGTTGTGTGCTCTAGTCTGCAAAGAATGTCCTTGGCGCGCTCAGCATCTCTTGCTGCTTGTCCCAACAGGAACACAGTCAGTGAAGGAGTCTTGGGCCTCTTCGAGATGTTGATCAACTCTTTTAAACGAGGCACACCCAGAGTTACGTTCTTGGCGGACACACCAGCGTAATGGAAAGTGTTCAGTGTCATCTGAGTGGCAGGCTCTCCCAAAGACTGAGCAGCCAGGGCACCAACCATCTCTCCGGGATGAGCCTGGAAATAAGGGAAAATACATGTAGTTTTATATTTATTCACCCTCATAATAACTATATTGACTCATCGTTCAATATATGAATGCTGGGACAATCATTTTTAGGGCTTAATATTTATTGATTGTAGTTTCTTTGCACAAATGAATGTTTTCTGCCATTTTTATGTGTTATCATAAGATCTGAGTTGTAAAAAGTATAATAAATAACTTCTATGCCTTTTAATGACAGTGTCAATAAAAAAATGTTTACTGGGATTATCTATTATCTTTAATTTCGTTTCAAAAATTAGGAGTTTTCTTAAGACTTCTATTATTCAGATATTTGTTTTAATGATACGGGCCATATCAAAATAGTTTACTGGGATCATCCTGCTTTATTTTTTCTTGTGTCTGTGGCATTAATTAGTTTAAATATTATCACTTATTTAATATAATAAATAAAAAATTTATATTTCTCTGTAGCAATATATTGTGATTCAAAAATTTTTATTCTGACAGGCCTTACACTTAGAATACAGTAAAGTTGAGTACATACGATTGACTGGTTGAATTTGGTCTCGATCTCTCCCAGCAGCCAATCGAAAGCCTCGGTGGAGAGACGGAACTCCTCTGTCATTCGCCGGGAGCAGAGGGTGGAGCGCAGGTGGATGTTAAAAAGCAGAGTGGCATTTTCTTGGGCCTGTCTGCTCAGAGGGTCATCGCCGTTTACAATGATCAGCTTCTTACTGAGATCCTTCAGCCCTGAGAATATGAAAAAAATAGGATCAAGTATTCATAATTAATCACCTTGAGATGATTTGAAACAGTTTGTTTTTTTTGTGATGGGGGAATAGGGAGTGCATACATCAAGGTTTGAAGGGGGTGATGGGACAATAAGAATGGCCTCTGTTCTTATATGGGAGTGTATATTCCTGCATGTGTGTGGTGAGTATGAGTAGATAATAAAAACAGAAAAAATAAAAATAAAAAATAAGAGGGAAAGGGGCAAAAAATTAAGAAACAAAACTAAAAAATAATTGAGTGAGGTTTTAATTTTTTACGTTCATTTTTTACCATGCCCTTTTCTCCTTCTCTCCCTCTCCTTCCATTACCCCTTTGTATCTTTTGTATTTTTTGTTAATTATTTTTTTGCAGAAACAGTGTCTTACCGTCAACCACTCTCAATGGATGTAGATCTGTTGGGGTTCGTGTGTTAATACGGAAGATCTTCTGAGCATTCCAGATCATTCTAGCCAAATTGCAAGGAAGGACCACCTGTACAAAAATTTTTTTTTAATGAATATTACATTATTATATAACACATTATTTAGTATTTATTACAGTTTGACACAACACAGTAAATGATGACTGAACAAACCTTGCTGTCACCAGTAGGGAAAATGGCTCTGAGGACATCGCGATCTTCTCTCATCTTTTCAAACTCTCTTTCCAAGGCACTCTGAACATGGGCATTGGTCAACACATCTTTTACAATATCTTCCTGTAGTGTCCGCCTCAGTGCTCGCTCATTGGTACAATCAAATCTGAACCTTAATAAACAAAATTAAGTTAATTAAAGCAATAGTTATTTTTGTTCAAATAATCTATAACACCCTTTACTTACTTCTTTTCAAAGGCTTTGTGTGAGGGCTTAACTGTTGCTAAGTTTTGAAACTCCACATTCTCTCCAGCCAGTCCGTCCTCACCATAACGCAGCTGTACCACTTGGTTGATTGAATTTCTGACAGTGCCGTCGTACTTTACCATGACCGACTCCATAGATTTGATCAGACGACGCTGGATGTAACCTGGTATAACAAAACAAATTTTAACTAAATGTTTAAGAGACATATCAAATTGACACCATGGACTGTATAAAGTGGACCGAGGGAGTGTGGAGTCACTCCCGACAAATAAAGCTGACAGGGCTAGCAGTTATATGAGAAAGTTTGGAACAGACTTCCATATTAGGAATAGGAATTTATTTACGGACAAAATAGTGAAATAAAAACACCAGGATCACATAGGGCGGCTTAATAGGAACATTTTAAAACCAAAATGTCGAGCTCACTGCAGTAGTTGTAGAGAGAGAGGTGAGAATTTTTAATGTGAAGTCAATTGGATTTGAATTCACCCTCATGCTCACTTCCCATTTGGAACACTGTGGCTTTCAAGTTAGCCATGTCACAGATATACACGTACACGTACATGTTCAGGTACACGCACAAGCACAAGCACAAGCACACACACTCCCAAGTACCTACCTGTCTCAGCTGTTTTGACAGCTGTGTCGATCAGACCCTCTCTTCCTCCCATGGCGTGGAAGAAAAACTCAGTTGGTGTCAGTCCAGCCAGGTATGAGTTCTCTACAAAGCCTCTGCTCTCAGGACCATAATCATCCTTAATAAAGTGGGGCAGTGTGCGGTGTTTGAAGCCGAAGGGGATTCGTTTACCCTCCACGTTCTGTTGTCCCACCACAGCAATAACCTGACAAATGAGGAATTGTTTTAATGTTGAGATCCACAATTGTAAAAATGAGGTGTGGGTGTGTAAGTGGGCAATATGCAAAATAATTAATGTAAAATTTTTGTTAGTTGTTAATTTTCTTTGAGCCAGATCATGATTTTGAGATTTATCAGGATTCACGTAGACTTAGTATTTTTATATACAACAAACTTTATACTAAGTGTTAAATAAAGTCATCTTCTTGTTCTGAGTGTTCATACTTCAATATGATTGGTTCATTCCAACTGTCACTCAGAGCCTTAGAAAGTTTTACCCACCCACTCATAATGGTCAAAGGGTTTGTATTCAACTATAAAACTGTAACCGCTTTAAACAGGTAAGCACCGAATCAATAAATTTTTTCCCCCATATCACCGAGCCCTCATGAGATGTGTTTATGTTGACAGAGAATTTACCTGTGAGATGTTAATTTTGGAACCCTTTGAACCTGCCACCACCATGGACTTGAAGTTGTTGTACTCAGACAATGACTTCTGGGCAGAGGATCCAGTTTTGTCTCGAGCATCGTTGAGAATACGATTCACCTGGTTCTCAAACGTCTGCCTTAGTGTGTTACCAGGAGTTGGTTCCAGTTCGTTATTGTGAGCTTTTTCAATAACCTGGAAGAAGACAAATATATTTAAACCTTAGTGATAAACATTCAAAACAGGAACTATAACGGTGTGTTATACTTACTTCTATCACGTCCTGTTTGGCTTTCTTGATTGTATTCTGAATGTCAAGATATGTCTTTGCATCAGCAATGGAGTCACCAATACCGATTGAATGACCTGAGCACCAATAGATAATGTCAATACAGGAAATTGCTTATAGCAACAATCTCAGCACATAGTTCCCCTGGCCCCACTTACCCTCAATCAGAAGCCAATTGTTGACCACAGTTTGAATGTTGGAGTAGAACAGTCTGGTAATATCATGACCCATCTCCAGATATGAGATGTGGACGAGAGAACCAGCTGAAGTTCCCAAGGATTTCTTGCAAAGAATTCCCATTATCAACTCGCCGTTCTCCACAATAACCTAGATCAGAGGTTCATAATACAAGTCAGTTATACTTGTTTGTAGTTGATCAGCAGTAGGTTTTATGTAACATTTTATGTACCTTGGTGTCACCAGGTGAAATGTGCTTGTATGGACCACTATCTTCATCATCTGGATGAGTGCTGTGTGTACGGATGACATTGATGTGTCCAGGAATGATAAGGCTGAAGATCTGCTTTCCTGTCCACAGAGGACGAGGTTTGAGAATGGCAGGCTGGGGCATTTTACCATCCCAGGTGGACAAGAACATGAGAAGGTTCATGACTTCACCCTGAACAAAGAAATCAGAATTAACAATCAATTTTGTTGAGAGAGAACAGTAGGCAGGTTCATTCAGGTTCATACCCGCTCTAAGAAGACATCTCTTTTGGTAAATTTGCGCACTGCTGTGAGTGTGTCCTGCACAATACCCATGACGGGTCTGTTGGACTGAGGTGTCACAATCATACGGGGCACCATGGCCAGCTCCTGGATCTCTGCTCTTGTCTCCAGAGACTGGGGCAGGTGCAAGTTCATCTCATCACCATCAAAATCAGCATTATATGGTGTGGTGACACTGGAAGAAGAAAGTGGTGGTAAACCCTTTGTCCAACAAGATACTTCACAAAAGCCAAGACTTTTATTTAGTACCTGAGATTTAGTCGAAATGTTGACCACGGAAGAATTCGTACTCTGTGCCCCATCATGGACATTTTGTGAAGTGTAGGCTGACGATTAAAGATGACAATGTCTCCATCGCACATGTGTCTTTCAACCTATACAAAAATAATCATCATAATTAGGCACAATTGTATTGTAATGTACCACCACTGCTGCCAGTGGAAACTTACCTTATAGCCAATCTGCAAATGAAGGTCACTTGGTTTTGGGTGAAATCGCAAATCAATTCTGTCTCCATTGTCTCGAATTATGTATTTGGCTCCTGGGTACTGACTGTTTCCTCTTCGCACCAGCTCTTGTAATCTGTTAGATATTAAAATAATTGAGTCTAAAAAAGGACTTTTATGAAATTGTATTTCAAGAAATGGGACATACCTGTCAATGTTGAAGGGAGTAACAATTTCAGGAAAAGTCATGTTGGCTGCTATAGATCTTGGGACACCGACTTGGTCAATTTGCAGATTGGGATCAGGTGTAATAACAGTTCGAGCAGAGAAGTCCACACGCTTGCCCATAAGATTACCTCGGACTCTTCCTTCCTTTCCCTTTAGACGCTGCTTGATGGATTTTAGAGGGCGACCAGATTTTTGCATTGCCTACAATAAAAACAAACAAAAGTAAGCCATCACTACTAATTTTTCATACTGACAAAGTTTTGTATACAAGTGTACATACCCTGGGCAGTCCTGGGAGCTCATTGTCCACCATGGTGGCTACATGGAATTGGAGAAGTTTAACATCCTCAGCAATAACATGAGCTGCAGCACCACTCTGCTCATTTCTTCTAAGCTGATTATTAATTTTGACAATATCAGCCAGTTTATGGGTCAAATCATCCTTTAAGAAAGACACAATTCATTTAAATTCATTTCGACTTTTAGTTATATGAAAATATTTCGAATACTGTAACTGTACCTGGTTGCGTGCGGAACCCTGCATGACCACAGCAGGACGAACAGCCAGTGGAGGCACAGGCAACAACAGTCACAATCATCCATTCAGGGCGAGCAAACTTCGGATCCATACCCAAGATGATGTCCTCTTCATCTGAGATGCGTTTGAAGATTTCATGGACACGCTCTGGACTAAGAAGGATTTTTTTCTCCTGAGAATCTTCATTCACGTGCTTCCACTCAGCATACAGCTCCAGACCAGATCGCCTGATGCGTGGCTGGTAACGCCCACAGCCCCCATGACCCTATATGTAATGTAAAAATAAAAGTTTACATTTTGCTTTCAACTATAGATTTGGAGTCACTCGAGTGCAACAATTACCTTTTCCTTAGTAATGTCCTCTTCAGTCTCCTGCTGCTCCATCCCAAACTTGTTGTCCATCTCCTCTCCACCTTCACAGATATTTTTGCCTTTGCAGAGTTCATAAACGTGTGTCAGTCGTTTTCTGGGTTGCCCTTTAGACTTGGCAAGAATGTCTTTGATCTTTGGATTGTTCTGGAGCAGTGAAAGAGGACATGTCAGTACCAAACCCGAAAAACATTTTATTACCAGTGAAACAAGGGGAAAGCAACTTACTGCATCCACTAACAGCTTTGAGCAAAAGAAACAGACACAGCGTAAAACCTTCATTATCTTTGTTACAAAGCCAACATGAAAAACTGGTTTGGCCAATTCTATATGTCCAAAGTGGCCTGGACATTCTGTCATGTTCCCTGCAAAACACAGACATTCAAATATTACTTCATATGCAGGTTTCAGTTTGTGAATTAAGAATTAAAAGCCAAAGATCAGTACAAAACCTGCACAAGTCTGACATCTCCCACTCCGTTCAATAACACCTTGCCTGGGGTCCATAAGGCCACCAAGTTTAGGGCGCCCACCTTCTGTTGTTTCGGGGTACTTAATTCCCCCTTCTGTAACTGACATCCGTTTCTAAAAAGAGATGAACAAAAGTGTCCAATTCAATCATATACATGCTAATACAATCCAAATACATTGTCCTTTACTTCACAAAGTCAGCAACATTTCTTCTTCAGTGTAAAAACCACATACAACAAACTAAATTTGTAAGTTATTTTTATTTATATTTATTGACTACAACTTGGAGCCTATGTGGGGTAACGGCCTCACTTTTTATTTTGTATGAGAGAAGCAAAAAATATTTAAGCAAATTACATGCGTGCATCAGTAGTACAAGTTCACAACAGCATTAAACAGTAACGTAAAATAAGTAAAATTTGCCTTATTTATGGGCCATTGCATTCTTCAATAAAAAATAAAGTGTGTTTGATTCATGAGTTAACCAGATTTATAGTTGTGTTATTGCTGTGCTTATAGTTTACAAACTTCTAGCCTGATGCTAGTTGCTAACGGAAGAAACCGCTAGCATGCTAGGCTAACAGTTTGCTTTGCAAAATAAACAAGGTAAAGGCAAGTTTAACCTCTAAACAACATACAAGTGCACCGTTAATGTATGATCGGTATATCGGAATAGTTATACAAAACCCCATTATTCCCATAAAAACCTACAAGCTCATCTGGGCTGATGATGCCGAACTGAACTCTCTTGATCGTGCGCAATGGGCATGCGCTGTCGCCGGAGGGCGGTCCGTGCATCCTGTCTATTCAAAGAGACGCGTCCTTCGTCGGCACGCCGCTTTGTGAGCAGGAACAGCCTGTAAATTGTTGCCACGAGTCTGGTCAGGCCGCCAACGGTGACCGGAAAGTCTCCGAAGGCGATGTCCCTTGGACCTCAGTGGTAGGCTGACTTTATGCTCGATTTACTTTTCTTTACTCCTAAGTTGAACGGCCACCGACCGTTCCCCTCCCTTTTCCTGATCTACACTGTGGAGCGCTCTAAGCGCTTCTGAGAGTCTAGCTGGCCAACGCTTGCTTTTATAGAGTGAGTGGCTGCCACGGGGTTACAAAGCCGTGGAAGCAGGGACTGCCTCTTCGGGAGGAGGGACTTGTTACTCTGTAGTAAAACGCTCATTGGCCATTCAGGCCCGGTCTATGAATAAATAATTTTAATACACGTACAGCCAATCAACAGGCACGTTTGTAATTTGTGGCCAATGAAAATAGAAGGCGGGCATTAGTTTAACTTAGACTGATTTTTATTGGCCTCACGAAAACACAGTAGGCGGTTCTACTAACACTTTGCATATATTATATGAATATTCATTTTGAAAGCTTGGTATTGGCCACTTTACTCATAAATATGGAGTAAAAAGAAGCAGAGAGCCAATAACTACCTAGAACAGCATTCGTTTTGAATAATTTCAACAAAATCCGCCCACTTTCCGACAATTGCCGATGTTTGCCGAGGTGATTTTCTTCCCTCTGAGCAAAAATAAAAAAAATCTCTGTTCTGCCCTTCGTCTCGCGCTGCATCAGCCTGGGCTCTAAGAAAAGGGGCTCAGTACTGAGGCCTGTTAAGTTCTCAGACAAAACAACATATGTTTGTTAAAATACACGTAAGGATACGTTGAAAATAGTTTTGATAGAGTTGTTTTAATAGTCTTTTGCGATATACGTCGAAATTCTGAACCAGCAATTTTTGTATTTTTGCATCTTTGGGATTTTGCAGCAAGCCTCGGACTCGCCTACGGCCCTCACCGGGACAAAGAAGCGGAGTTTCCCCACGCGCCTTTAGGAAAGACTCGGATAAGCCTGATGTCTAGATATTGCGTGAATTTTCACGTTCTACTTTATTCTTTTGCTTGTATGTGTTGTATTTGTCATGTTTCCATGATTGAACGTGTTCTAAAATTCACATTTGACCAAATTTCTTACAAACAAGTACAATTGTTTAAGGCCATGTTTAGCACGCTAGCAACTAGCTGTTAGCTTAATACTGAAAACAACATTGTTGTGGCTTCTATCTTTATATAGGCTCGTTTTGTAGCCCAGTTGTCAAAATATTATTTTGTCCTTTAAAAATCTGGCAACTGCTTTTTAAGAAATTTATTGGGATTTTTACTGTTCGTTAAAACAATGGCTAGTGACTTTATTAATGTTTAAAATTTTTAGAGTTGTCACTTAAAACGTATATTAGAATTTAAAAAAATACATTGGTTAGTTTATTTTAGGTTTATAACGAATTTGCCATTTCGTAAGATGTTATTGATATGTTAGGCTAACCCAAACTGGCTCGTGTAACGTGACTAGATCTCTTAAGTCACAGCCTTTGAAACCTTTGCAGATTTCATATTTTGACAGCAATTCTTTGTTATGCTTTAAATCGAAGAGGCTCTTAATCTACATCGAGGTTTATGTGATTCAACTGTCAGTTTCACCGCTTTTCTAAAGGCTGTTCGAGCCACCACTAGTTGTTGGGAGACCATCAACATGGCGGCGAGTGGCGACGTGCTTCTTGTTGTAGACAAGAAAGATGGAGTCTGGAATATTCCTGCTACTTTTTAACTTTCCAGTCACTTCACCTGCAGCTCTCTACTCAGTGTAGCTGTAACACACTCTTCTCTTCCAACGAAATAACCTAGATTGGTCCATCGGCCGAAGTTATGAAAACTGATGTAAACTTTGTTGTCCCAATCCACGAATGGGATACGCCGGCAAATGAAGCTATTTGAAGTAATCCTACTAGTGTAGTGTAAGCCTTTTAGTTTAGTGAGCCACCATTTCAGACCTTTGGATATTTTCAAAAGGTCTTTTTTGTTGAAAATGGCAATTTTGACTGGTGTCTTTGTCAAGTTGTAACCACATTAAACCAGACGACCAATTTATATTGATAATTCACATAAAAATATTCAACAAATTTACATCGTTAATCCTGTCAATACATTGTCCTAAAAGATCTTGAATCTCACCCTGTCTAGATAATATAATCAATGTGATTTGTCGTACATGAACATTATACGATCTATGAGTCAAGTAGATCCAGACTGTTATGATCATGGTTATGAATTGCATAATAAATTGTGCTGTGTGTGACGGACTGTGCATGGTCTTTAAAATATGTGTAAACTTTGAAAGATCTTCTTTCTTTAAATAAAATTTAAGTAACTTTTAAATGGGTTTGTTTCTTTTTTATTAATGCTTTAATTACTCTATGAATACAAAGTCAGCTTGGCTTTTGGGAGGGATCCGTCGATGTACAAAATAAAAAAAATATTTTAACGGAAACTAACACCAATATAAGATCTCCAAACGCTAATGTTTTACAGTGTTCAACATGTGTCAAAATTCTTTATACAAAGTGATTCCGCTAAGTAATCATGTCAGCAGATGGCGCCCTCCTCTGGCCCGTGTTGAGAATACACTGAAATGGCATTGCACAACGAAAACGTCGGTACGGAAGCAACTCCAGCGGCAGGGCGGGCTCGGCGTGGAAGTAGGCTGCCATAGGCTGCTCCCAGCCAACTGCAGTTCTGGGAGGTCAGTTCAGAGGCCATAGAGTAAGATTAATAGTGTTCTCAAATTTACTGGTGCATACAATGCTTTTTGCTCCTTTTTTGCACGCGTAACATCAAATAACCATAATTTCACCAGCTGCAGGCTATCCATGAAAAGGTAGGCCCAGGCACGCTCAGTCTTTTTGACTACTGATCAGACTATTGCCCTGCATATACTTGTGTAGACGAACATTTTTTTTATTTAGGTGTCTGGTGGGTTTGCCTACCTGAGGGTTTTTACTTTATGGACTAGGGGGAGCTCTTGTCTGATGATGATGTCAGGACATGACGCTGACTGTGCTGCCCTGGCTGCTGATGGGGAACTGCTCATGAAACAGCCCAGTGAGGAGAGAGGAAGCGCAAGGTACACACAGCACAATAAGTCATGTTGGCTATTTGATTTTAAATAATGTTGTACTGTTATGTCACAGTACAACATTATGTTAACTCATTGACTTCAGTTACATGGGTGGAGTATGGGCAGACACAGTTGTAGGTCTAATAATATAAGAAAGCCATTTAATAATTAGGCCCCTACTTTAGTTTTATTGAATTATTCTGAATCTGAAAACCATCAATAATCCTAAAATGATCTTCAAAGGTAATGATAATACAAGTGGAAAAAAAGAAAATAAAAAAGTAAAGCATAAAGTAGCATTTTTGTTTGGTGGTGTTTAAGTAAAAAAACAAAAAACAAAATCCATGACACAATATCAGAGGCATGCTTTCTTTGAAAGAATGTCAGGCGAATGTCCTGTTCTCTTTTTGTTTGTTTTGGCAAATATAGATTCCTGCTTCTACATCTTTTAGTCTTTATTTATTCATACATTCCTGTAGTCTGTAAATTCTGTCTTTCTATCTTTCTCACTACTCCATCTTCTAAGCCGTAGATAATGTACACAGGAAGACAGACAGTCTTTTGTCGTCTGAAATAAATATTACCTGCTTACGTATAATAATCAGGGTGCTAAATAAATTGTTCTTAACCACTCCTCTCATGCCAATCCTCTTACAGAGCTAATCTAGGGTCTTCTTCAGGGCAGCTAGGTTTGGTCTGGGCAGAATGCCACAATGAGCACTTTTATTTTTGTAACCAGCTCTCAGCTTCTCTTTTCCTCTTTCTTTGAACTCAGTATTGCAGAATTGTGTGTGTGTGTGTGTATATATATATATATATATATATATATATATATATATATATATATATATATATATATATATATATATATATATATATATATATATATATACACAAACAACCTTTTATTGGATTGAGAAACATTTTACAATTTACAAGGTCCAATTTTTACTCATGTTTCATTATTATTGATTGATATACATAGTTTAGTCAAAGTCTGTTTTGTTCTTCTCACTGATAACTATTATGATACACATGCTTGATTAGTCTGACTCTGTAGCGTCTACCCCAGTTTCTATTTGACTACATCGTCAGTGTGCTATTTTAAATCCCAGTCTAAAAAGAGGGGTTGTTTACTGTGCTTTAAACTACAGGCTGTCTAGAAACAGGAAGCACTGAAGACCTGAAGCGCTACAGCACAACCAACATGCAGCCACTTCCTCCTCCTCACAGCAGAGCTACAGTTCAGCAAAACAACCCCATGCTTATCACAAAATTATGCACCCCTCCCTCTCTTCCCTGCTCGGGCTGCCCTGCTGAATGGCGCACATAGACAGCAAGCTTTTCACCCCTCCGCCATGTCCTATCTGGCGTTGTCCTATTCTTTTATAGCCACACACTCCCCCTCCACACTGTCTCCCTATGCCAGTACAGCATGCCTGAGTAGCTGCCTGGAGATGAAGGAGCTAATTAATTTGATTTAGCCCTTCTCTCCAGTTCTCTGGCAGTGGAAAAACCAGCCGCCTGTCCCTTTGCTTTGCCCCCACCTCCACACCATATCAAGCACCCCTCCCAAATGAATTTCCACCTAGTCTGTTTTTGGCAGAATACACTCAAATCGCCTTCCCTATCCCCCCTTTCTTCTTCTATAATGAATGCATTGTTTACAATAGACCTCATTACAAAAAGCATGCTCGCTGTGAGTTTTATGTCTCATTTTATTTCCATCTAAATCCATGTGCATTCCTATTATCTTCTATATGTGCCTTGGTGGACGGTGTGTGTGTGACTCAGCAAAGCTCCTCTGCTGCTCAAACAAACATGATTGTTATGGTTCAATGCGTTCATTTCGTTTCAGCATTATCCAGTGTAGACCTGTCAGACGCTGTGTGATTAAACCCACTTCTGTCATCTGATACTTGGTTAAATTTATCCATTATGTAAGGCTGAAAGACCAGAATAATTGTCAAGTCACAACCAGCCTTGTGCATATGGGGAATTATGATTATGGTACAGAATGACTGAGTGTCAAAACCAAAAATAGATTGAAAACACTACACTACGACACTACTGTATTAGTTTTCTTTTTCATATTATCAATGTAGCACATTTAGGGGTTACCATGATTATTTGTTTACACCTCTCATCAGTATTATGGGATGCATAAAGCAAGATATTAACTAGTAAGTACAGATCAGTGTGCTTTGAAAACAGAGGTTAATTGTCAATATGGTGTCAGGAAAATAAATGATTAAAGATTAATCAAACATGCACAAAGCACTCCAAATACAACTTTGCGAGGAATGGCGAAACAACTATAGCATGGTTGAAAGCTCCCAAAAGTTGATTTTGCACAATAAGTCTGCTATAAGTTACGCACTGAAATACTAATGCTTAAGTGTCCAGTAGTATAAGAAACCCTAAATGATGCATAATATTATAATATGAGACTATATAAATTGACAGAGTGGGACTGTTAAAGGAAATACAATCATATATTCAGATTTTGTGAAGATAAAATGATTGCACTTGTCATGGCAACTATATATGCACAGTAAAGAGCAACTGGTAATAATGTTAATAGTGTGAAATAAATGAAAATCAAGGTGATAAAAACAGTAACACATTTATAATTTTACCTTTGTCCACTCAGCTCCTTTAGCTTGAAGCACAAAAATAGACAAAACTGTTGTCACAGACTTCATCACAGACTTCCTCAATCATGTTGGCTTGGTTTTCCTCATCTGTGATCCATGTCATTTTACTGTAGTTTGAAAGAAATATGTCATTGCCTCTTGGCCTTAATCTTAGTGCGATCTTTTCTTGGTTAGTTAAAGATTAAATAAACAAAAATTTAAATAATGTAACAAAAAATATGATAAAATAAAGTGCAAAACATAAACAACTAAACGTCCTTATTACAAACTATATCTGTATTACAGGTTGGCACAGAACATGCCTCTTTACTTATACGTTAATTTTGTAATAGTTCTTTATTGCTATCCTTATAACTTGACAGTTCACAGTATTTCTCGGGCACACACTCTTACAGTCACTGCATTAGCTTCAGACATGCCATTGCAAGCTCCTCTTTCTTGAGAGGTGTCATCGTATTGACTGGGCCCTTTTAGATCCTGCAGTAAAGTCTAATCTGCATGTGGCTCTGAATGTAAACATTTGTCATGCTTATCTGTACTTGTACTTTCAGAAATGCTTTTGCTTTGGTGTCATTTTACAGCACCGTCCCCTCATGGCTGCTCCCACGCCGCAGAAACAGGAATCGCTGCTGCTGCTTCCTCTTTAAGAAACCACTGACATTTGACCTCTTCCACTCCCCACTTTGATCTGCGTCCAAGTCAGCTGGAGAGCAGGTTAGTCAGCCCTTCTGTGAGATCACCGGGGATGTTTACAGACACTCTGGCATAACTTCGGACATGTTCACCAGCCATTAATTAAATAGTGGTTTTCTCTTGTGATCGTTTATTTAAAGCTACACTATGTAACCTTTCTGGTGGAGGGCCTGTCAAATGCTTTTCTCCGTAGAAATATTATTGCTTTGGCTGGAATGTTTCACAGTATGATATTAAACCTTTCTATCTTCATGGAGACTAAACCAGACCAAGTTGCAGGTCAGATCTGTGGAGAGGCCACCTCACTCACAGTCAGAATATCTGTTTTTCTAGGTATTTTTGACCTATAAAACCACCTATCTGAATAAATGTAAAATTGTTTAATGTCATACTGTGGAACATTCCAGGCAAAGCAATGACATATACATAGAAACAAGCAGGTGATGGACCCCCAACCAATAAGTTACACAGTGCACCTTTAAAGCCACATTGTGTAAGCTTTCTGGTGGAGGGTATGCTATATTCTATCTAATGTTCTGCAGAAAGGCATTAAATGTTTCTTTCTAGCATTTATTTACAAATGTTTTTTTTCTATTAAAAAATCTCTTGTTTTCTTATTGTGAGTGGACTCACTTTTCCACAGATTTGACCTGTAATTTAGCCTGATGATGGCATCTAAAAAGTTTCTCAGTGTTCCTTTGACTCTCTTAATACAAATACAAAATAATCCATAATATTAAGCAGGTTGAAGGTCTTATATTATGTAAAATTGACTCATGTGAACTTTAAGCCATGTTATAATGTTGTTACCTCATCACACATGTTTGCGTAATCCTGCAGTGCTCTGTTCCTCCTTATGATGTTGTCACGAAGCAGTAGTTTTCAAGTCAACAGCTACGTTTTACCTTTTGTTCAGATGAGATTGACAGTTCCAGTGCTGAAATTATGCAAATGATTCTAGTGAAGAAATATGGAGTTTAAAAACACAGTGAAGCACTTCCTATTACCACATGACATCACAAGGTGGAACAGATTGTTTTCATTTTGAGTCTAAATATGCAGGATTTGTGTATTAAACATGTGTGAATGAAATTAAACACAACTCCAGGTCTGTTTGTGATGTGGAAACAGCATAACATAGATCAGAAAATAGCGCAGTATGGGCTCTTTACTAGTTTTATTTGTTGGTCTTGAATATCATAGTGCTGCCTCATACAATGCATTTGCAAAATATAAATTGCATCACTTACACAAAGGTCTTTGCAGCACAACCACAAAGTGTGAAGCCGACAAAACACTAGGTACCTGCACCAGTTGCATGCTCAGCAATCCATACTTGATCGGTAATGTCTTGGATACATATACATATTATTCGGCTAAGACTCTGCTTGTCACGATAACATATTTTGAAGCATGATATATTGCTACAGAGAAATACTGATAGAAACGATAATTGAAACTACTTTATGCCACTGACACAAAGCTGTAATCACAATAAACCAATTTTTAAATAGACAGTATCATTAAAAGGCCAGAGCTGCAACAAATAAATAGCAGAATGATCCAGAACATTTTCTACAGAAGATATTTATTCAACCCTCTACAACTCAAATTTCATCATAGTACAGAAAAATGGCTAAATCTCCCTACTAGCAAGAAATTTAATATTTTAAAATATATAGTTCCAGCTTTCATTAAGTATCATGACAGGCCAGCTAAGATATTTTATATTTGTCATATCTTGTAGCTATATTTTAAAATCTAAGACTTTTAACTCTACTTTAAATTGGAGTATTTATTCACCTAATTGCTTTTTTTTCTTGCTTTGGTGGTTAACAACCATTATCAAAACCATCATGTTTGACAAGGGACAGTACAAGAAGTAATTTGACCAACGGTGGACTCTTTGAAGTTACTAAACATCTGAATATCTTAGTCCTATCTCATTTTAATTTGTACTTTCGTCTACACTCGTCTAGTTCACTCTTTCACACTAGCACGCCTCAAAAACACACAGAAGGGCATGAGAGAGGAGGACAAGGAGGAGAGGGAATGGGAAAAAAAAAACTTTGGCCAACTCCAAGAACCACCCCAGAGGTCACAGGAGCAGCACCCAATCCCAGAGAGGTTCCCATGGCGACAAGTGTGGCAGCGTACAATGAGGGCGAGCGAGACGAGAAAGGGGGAAAGGCCGGGGGGGGGGGGGAGAGCTGGCGACAAGGTTCAGTTGGTGGGTCTAACTGGTTTGCATGTGTGTGTGTATGTGAAAGAGAGAGAGAGAAGTATTTATCACATTGTAGGGACTAAAATCTGTACACACACTGATTTTATGGGGCCTGTCTCGCTCATTGGCACTAACATTGCTCAAAAGGACAGTGGGACGTATGATGTTTTGTAGCAGAACTGGGCTAGAACCTTTAACCCTCCACTTACTTTGATTTGTCTGCTGTCTCGATGAAGGGGAGATGAATTGTCACTGACCGTGAAAAGTACATCTAACAGCTATATAATTGTCAAGTAGTTATTGATCATTACGTAGACTCAATTGTTTCTTTTACCAAGCATCTAATTCTTTAAGTAGCTTTTGTCCGTTTTTGTTATGTATGGCCACTTAAATAATTAACTACTGGAGAATTGAATCACTGAGCCTGCATTATCAAACTGACTGAGATTTTGACGATAGGACAGCAGTATAGAGCTGTGGATTGCCAAGTACCTCATGATATGATACATATCACAGTAAATGGATATTCCTAAAAATGGCACTAAATTGTAGAATACAAAAAATACTGTAAAATACAGTGTAGAATACAAAAATATAGCAGAATTTTATGTCTTCAATGTTGTTAATATCGGAACACAATAAGTCACATTTTCAGCCCAGTAGTAGTAGTAGTAGTTAGCAGGTAGTTATGTGTATAACTCAGCAATATATAATGAAATGGCATAGATTTGAAGTATAACAATACAGAACCTCGGATCCATACCACAGACTGTATATAGAAGCGGACTAAGCTAGTGTGGTGTCATCCATCGCATTTGGCCCCAGTCAAAAGAAACTCACGCAGTTATAGGAGACATTTTGGAGCTAAGTAACATATTAGGATTATGACTTTTATTTACAGACAAAACAGCAATAGAAATAAAAAACACCAGGATCATGTAGAGCGAGATAATACGGACATTTTAAAACCAAAATGATGAGGCTCACTGCAGCAGTTGCAAAGAGAGTGGAGCCAGAGTCAATAGAGCTGGAGGTGCCCCTATGCTCACTTCCTATTTGGAACGTGGCGGGTAGTGGGTTAGGTGTGTCCTTTTATATATACAGTCTATGATCCATACTCATATTGCCAAGAAGTCTGTGACGATATGATGCAATATTGATAGTTTGAATACATTTGCAATCAATGAAAATACACTTGTAATCAATGAAAGTTAGTTTCATAAAGGAAAAGCTGTTGCATACATGGTGTACTAGTAGACACTGTGAGTCTTAACTGAAGGATCTGGTTAAGCATGTTTGCAAAATTAGTCATTCTTAAGACTTCGGCCACACAGTATCTGAGCTTTGGCATACTTTGACGCATTCTCGATGTTGTGCTGCTAGGGCCCTTACTTTGTTGAAGTGCACTTTTCAACCCAGGCAAAGTCCCCTGTAATTTTTTCCTGAGCTGCACTTGTTCCACTCTGCTGCTCTCCGCCATTTGACTCCAGCTGTTTACCACTTTGTCTGTACTTTCCTGTATTCGTCCCAGCTCACTTGTTACTCACGCCTCTGTCCGCCCGTCCATCCTAACGCACAGAGTTTGTGAGTTGGCGTGGTTCCTGTTTGTTTTCAGCCATTTTGGGGACTTGCAGTGCTGGTAACAAACTGCTTAAATGGCGTCCTCTTGCTTGCTTGCTTGCCTGCCTGCCTGTCTGCTCTCCCATTCTCCCTCCCTCTCCCTATCACTGGGCTTTGTGTATATAAAGTACTGTGTGTATGTGTCCAGAAAGAGGGAACAACACTTCCAAATAAAAGGAAGATTGGATTCAGCAGCAGAGGGGTAGAAGAGTAGAGAGAAAGGGGGGTAAAGGAGAATCGTGTGTCAGAGGCAGAAAGTAGAAAGTGTGAGAGAGAGCAGGCAAGTTTGAGTGTGAGAATCGCTCCTGCCCTCTGTCTTCACACAGAGCTGTCCGCCTGCATGTGTGTGCCTGTGTATGCGTGCACCGCCTCTCCTTGTGCTCTCTCTCCCTGACACACTCGGCCGTGCGCATACACAGAGCGCGAGGGGGAGAGAGGGAGTGTGAGGGGAGCCACCACATCGCGGCAGAGATGCAGCAGGAGGGTTTCAGAGGTACGTTCTCTCCTATGCTTGCCTTCCTGAGAGAGAGACAGACAGAATAAGAGGACTAGAGGCTGTGCTCACTAGTTTTGCTGCTTGTTTTTCCTTGCTGCTGTGACGCTGTTTTCTGTACGGTCTTGTTAGAGAGTGCGTGAGCTCAGGCTGTGTTGGTGGGTGTGTGTTTTTATGCCCTTCGTGTTTGAGAAAGGCATTTGTGTGCGTGTTTGTGCCTACGCTGGATGTGCCGTGCCTCTGCGTGTGTGCCAATAACAGGCCTCTCCTGCCTCATCCTCCCCTCTGTCGCACCACGCACTTCTTTTTCAAAAGCAATGACTCGTTTGAGGATTGTAATGAAACTTTTAATTCATTAGAGCTTCTGGCGTCTGTTGATTCACAGAAAAGAGGGGTCCCACTGGAACAGAAATTAAGTGATTTTAGCCTTTGTTGGTTAGTGGACCATCTCCCTTACCCCTGTCCATCAACTCACTAACAGCCGCTTGACTATCTTAGACAAAAAGTTGTGGATTATAGTTAACATCTGTAAACAAAGTGTTTTTGCTGTGAGGGGCGGTTATGTCTCTCCTCCATTTTTACCAGCATGCTCTTTCGCTGGTGCTGCTCTCTTGTACAGCAGCAGAGGGCATATTGATGTCACCAACCCCGTTGTTCCTGCCCTAAGCCTTACTTTTTTTCTTTCCAAAACAACAGAGCATCTGCTGCCAACTACTCCACATTCCTGGTTTCCATGGATGCCATGCTGGGTCCCTGAGCTTAATGTATGGAAAATATGATCCACTGTGCCAAAGGGGTCATAGGTCAGACAATAGGAAGTGTAGGTTCATCTGACTGTTGCTTACGTAGAGTAGTTAGCAGCGTTAGTTTCGCCTTAACATGACAAGATGGAACCAGTGTTGATTGCATCTTATAGGTTATTTGCATACTGAAAAAAAGTACATCAGTAAGTCCCTGCCTCAGCTAAAGAAGCGTGGTATTAAAATTATTTGGTAGTTTCAAGATGAAACTCCCTCGAGAATTTCACTCGTCTATAGATGTAAATGTATACACGAAGTTACCGCAAAAGTATCACCAGTGTTGTATTTCTGCCCAGATACTTCTTTACAAATCTCCCTGTGCCTTTCTTCAGTACATCCCATGATTTTTTTCTTCCAGTGAGATAAATTATAGGAAATACGCCAAGCAGAGAACTATCAGACTGTGGAGAGTACGTGGTTTTAGACATGGCAGGTTCACTGGTGTATGAAGTAGCATGCAAAACACCATGATACGACCAATTACATGTGAGGAGAGGGCGTGAGAGGGGTACACACTGCAGGGGCAGTCATGCTGAGGTGATCTAAAAGACAAGGAAACCGTGAAACACGAACAAAGCTTAAATGTGTTCAAAGTTACCTCCTTGTTCACACTAAAGTACCTCAACCTTGCTCAGTATACCCAGGTTGGATCCAAGCTCTCCTTTCTTTCCTCCTATCCCATCTGGCTGGCGCCCCTACACTACTCTGGCCGGGGGGTTGCGTAGAGTTCACTAGCTTTTTCTTACTAACGATGCCCCCCCCAATCCACACACCAGTGCACTCTGGTCATATGGACCAACTGCTGCTGCATCGGCTGGGCCCCTCTGGCTGCCCCCTCTCAGGGACTAGGCAACACCTTCCCTTTCCCGTCATGCCTCTCGCAGCTGGCTCACAGGCTGGTAGACAATGGCCCCCCATGTTCAGCCCACATAGATGCCCTAGTTACTGCAAAATATACTGTAGTAGTGCTTCATAGGCCTGTCATGATAATAACTATATTGACTTATCGTTCAATACATGAAAGCTGGAACATTTGGGGGCCAGTATTTAATATTTTTGGCTATTTTGTGGCTATAAGAAAATGATTTAAGCTGTAAAAGGTTGAATTCGTAACTTCTATGACTCATTACAGGTGCAAACTAAGTAACTCATGATTTTTTCAACAATATTGTAGATTTAGAATAGTTTTTGTGGTTTATATCTGCTCTTGGGTTATTCTGGCAGTGGCACAAATTAAGTTTCCATATTATCGTTTATCATCTATATTTACTTCAATATATCACACTTCAAAAGGTGTTATCGTGACAGGCCTAGTGCTTCACAAACTCCACATTACTGCACAGTTTACTTTTCAAATAAATGTCTTAAAAAGGATGAAAGGTAAGGAAAGTTAGAATTCGAAATATACTTCTTTTATTAAATTAACACATTTGCCACACAGTTTCATAAGATGAATATTGTCATTTATTTGAGGCATTTTCAGTGACAGACCATCAGAAACTAACTGGCCAAAGTGTTCATGTGAAAAAGCGTGCAAACTGACTCCTAATTGTTATTTGTCAGGCAGCACCAGCCTCAGTGAGAAACAAACAGATTGCTCAAACGGCTGGTTCAAGGCCTCGAGCTGCGGCACCAGCCAACTCTGTGTATCCGTTGTACAAGGCAACTTTAGCTGTGCTGTTTCCAGTCATCCTCAGAATAGTGGATTTGTCTGTAGTTAGTCATCCAGTGGGTTATTAAAACTCTTAAGGATGGATTCAAGTGCAGTTTAGATTAATCTTTTTAGCTCTGTTTTGTCAGGTTTCGACAGAGTTGTGGGAATGTGGCTGCTTTCTTTATTAAGACATTTTAATAATATGTTTTTCCTTGTATAGCTCCAACCAATAGCACATTTTCATAGGCTTTAACGCTGCCCGTCTCATTTAGACAATGTCGTGTAGGCTCTGTAGCGTGTGTGCGTCACTGGGAGATACAGAACAACACTGAGGGGGCGTCATACGCACTTCCCTGTCCACGGCGCAGGCATCAGAGGAGATGGTGAAATCTTTAGTCTTAGCGCTGTCTCTCAGTGTGTCCACCCACTTGTAGCAGAGTGCTCTCTCCATAAGGGATTTCCTGCAAATCTATCTCAGACACTGCAGCTGACGATAGTTTGATTTCATAGCAAAGGAACAGTACGTGGCTAGTGCAACAGGACTATAATAGTCAAACATACTGTGGCCTAGCTAGACTACAACGTCATTACTTAAGCTCTTTCGACCTACTAGTTAGCACCTGTACACTGTGTTCAAAGACATCTTACACTCCTTTCGGATTTGAATGTGATTTCCAAGTAAAATGACCTGGCCGAAAATGCATGGCGGCTAATACGAATACAACAATAAGTAGATACAGTATGCACTAAATATGATTTTTGTCTATGTCATTTTCAGGGCTCCTATCTGTCTGACACCCACATTGTCTCCCTCATTTCCACACTTTCTCTCCCTTTTGCTCCACCACTATCTATCACTCTCTTCCTCACCCTTTTTCCTCCCTCCTCTTCTCCCTGCAATAACAGTGCTGACCTAGTTTCTGCCTGTTCAGGGCTGCCTGTGGAATTTTACAGCGGCCTGCCTTCCTGGCTGCTTTGCTGCTTGAAAACGTAGGCAGAAAAGCATGACTGAGGATTTTTCTTTTCATCACATCACTACGGCCTCATACTGTCTCTGTTCTGATCGCAGAACACAACAAAAATAAGCCCTTTGCATATGAACTATGTCAACCACAGTCATATTGAAATAGAAATGAGACTCTCCCGTAGCTTGTCCACAGCTCAGCTAAGCTTTCAGCTTCTATGTGCTGTGCACACGCATGCAATCCTCCTCTTCTGCTCCCCCGCTGCCTTTGCCTTCACAAATAATGGTCAGAGTCATGCATGGCAAATACATGCCAGGGCCAGCAATGCTAACGAGACTCTTGCACAAATAGTAAACAGGGTCAAACTATCCGGGGTATTATTTAGAATGTGGATGCTGGTGGATACCTTTATTGTAAAGGGAATCTTGATTAAATCTAAATGTTTTCTAATTAGGCATAAAGAATGCTATGGACGAGGGTGAGATAGATTTCTGGAATGTCATTCTGTAGACTTGGCTGTGGCACACTGAAATCTAAACCAGCACTGCCGCAGATTCATTCCTTCCCCTGCCCTCACCCTTCTCTCCCCTCTCACTCACCATTCCTGACAGTAAGAGCCACAAGAGTGCAGCCTTTTTTTGGGTGCATTAGGTTCTTTTGCTCCAAGTGCTCAATGAGTATCACATCTGTAAAACCTTTTGTTTTTCTATTACACTTACATAGTGATTAATACTATGGTTTTGCTTGTCTTTCAGATTGGGAAGGCTGGTCATGGTGTCGCCAGAGAAGGTGTGGGAGCCCATGCATGCGGGCCAGTCTTATGTAAGCCACGACCACCTGGATCCTACAGCCCTTCTGCCACATACAACACAGTGCAACAGAGGAAGTACCACAGACTGAAGCTGTCATCTGGGACTTTGCATACCTGTCCCACAGCTCAGGACATTGAGTTCCACTCAATTAAAAAACACATTCTGTTGCCAGGACAGGGAACAAGGAGGTGTTGTGGAGATGAAGGCTAAAAGACATGGGTCTCGGGGAGAGGTTGTTATGGAGGACAGACTGGAGGACATGCCCGATGGACCTAAAAATGCAAAAATCACCCTCAGCTTTCCACTTAGTGCTGCACCGCTCCCCCTGACTCTGACATCTCCCAACCACTGCCGTAGTTCCTCATCGTCCTCCTCTCCTTCTCCACAACGGCGTCGCCAAACCTCCAAATGCTCAGACGAGGGGGCGCTATGGAAACTGGATTCTACCACAGACGTTAAGCACAGGCCTTTTAAGCCTCCCAGGCGTGACAGCTCTCCGTCCTCCTCTCCTTCCTCCTCCTCTTCTCCAATGACTGCTCACACACTCATGAGAAAGGACATCAAATCCCCGCCTCCACTCAAGTGCTCTAAACTGAGCCCAGACACTCCGTTTCATAGATCACCACCAAGGTCTTCCAGTGGGGCTTTGGAAGGCTGTTACGGAGGGGATGTATGGGATGAACGACACAAGCTGCCCAGCACTGCAGCCTCTCAGACCGCTCAGATCCTCTTCAGCTTGGGCTCAGCTTATAACAGGCCTGGGGACACAGAGGGAAGAGAGAAAATAACCAAGAGACCAGCTGGCAAACCAGGGGGCTCTCATGGTCCAAGTCTTCACCCGCCCTCTCTGCATCTTCCTCCCCCTTTGCCCCCACCTCCTCCATCTGAAGGCCACACTGCACCATCCCATCCGTCCTCCTATTCCCCCTCAGACAGCCTAAAGCCTGAACTCATATGTGGCGTGTGCCACCGGCTCTTCAGCTCTGCCGCTTCCCTCACAGTCCACATGAGGCTGCACCGTGGCAGCCGCGCCCTCAGCTGTCGCTACTGTGGCAAAGTGTTCATCCACAGCAAGAGGCTGCAGTCTCACGAGGCCTCCTGCAGAGTGCCAGAGCTCCCCTCTAGCAGCCTGGGCCCTCCTGCCCTCACCATGCAGCCCAAAGAGGAGCCCCTGGAGGAGGGAGAGGTGAGGGTAGAAGGAGGGGTGATCGTGGCCCAGGCGGACATCACTAAAGCACGGCCGGGAAAGAAAGCACAGAATCTCCTGGCACGAATCCAAAGTGATGATGCAGCAGCCGCAGAGCTACTAGCGGGTGATGAGCACCATTTTGTAAAGGTTGTAGACGGCAATGTCATCTACTTCTGTTCTGTGTGCGAGCGCTCCTATATGACCCTGTCCAGTCTCAAACGCCACTCCAACGTGCACTCATGGCGGCGCAAATACCCGTGCCATTACTGTGATAAGGTTTTTGCTTTAGCCGAGTACCGCACAAAGCACGAGGTGTGGCACACAGGAGAGCGCCGCTACCAATGCATCTTCTGTTGGGATGCCTTTGCCACATACTATAATCTGAAAACACACCAGAAAACCATACATGGCATTAATCCCAGCCTCATCTCCAGTGAAAAGACAGCTAATGGAGGCTATAAGCAGAAGGCAAATGCCCTGAAGCTCTACCGTCTTCTTCCTATGCGCTCCCAAAAGAGACCATATAAGACCTACAGCGACAGTTTGCATAATGGATTGCTGCTGCAATCAGCTGAAAACCCTTCTCTTGCTGTGCCTGGCCTGGACTGTGCTCTGAGCCCTGGAGATCTGCAGAGTCTCCTGAGTGGGACCCATCCTCAGACTGTTAAGCCCGACCCCGATGACTTCCCCGACAGCTTCCCTGTTACTGTGCCTGCTGAGCAAAGAGACCACTCTGGATTACCACAACTCTCTCAGACAGACATGTCTCCCATTAGAAAACATGACAGTGAGGTGGCAGAAACTGAACAGGGCAGAGCAGGTGGCAGCTTTAAAATGTCCAGTAGCAGCAGAACCAAAATGTCCAAGACAGGTAGATGCCCAGATACTAACATGCCTTCTGTGATAACATATGGCCACACAAAACCCTCTGTAATAGTACATGGGACATCTGTGTCCTCCTCTGTCATTGTGCAGCAATCAGGTCACATCTGGAAATGACAAAACAGACTGCTCTTCTTCTTTAAGTAGTAGCCAAACTTTACACAAAAACAGCCCCAAATTGATGAAGAAAAGGGACAGTCTAGAAAATCACAGAAAGCGATCTAGAGACAGTTCAGATACAACAGACGATGGTTCAAGAAGCAGACGAGACACAGACACCGGCACAAAACCATTACACAAATCACGTAAGTCGCACAGTAAAAGTGAAATAAGCACTTCAAAACAGCAGTCGCCAACTATAAGTTCACAGGGCAAAGATGCAGGGCCATTGTGCCAGATAACAGTACGCATAGGGGAGGAGGCTATAGTGAAGCGCAGCATTTCAGAGACAGACCTTAGGAGAGACAAAAGCCTTTCTCCTCCTAAAAACAAACGCAGTGACACATCATCTGGGAAAGAGGTTAAAGATTCCAGACACTCACACTCCCACCATCACCACAAACACCGCAGGGCCAGTTTAGATGCACAGGAAACACGTGAGAAAGAGGAGGTGAGGAAGCAGTACAGCCCCGATGCAGTCAGAGAATACTACTTCCGTCAAGAGGTGCGCGAGCAACAAGAGAGTGATCATGACAATGAGGACAATTTATGGAGACCGTACTACTCTTACAAGCCTAAAAGAAAGGTCCAAGCACACCTGCAGAGAGTGAAGACCTGGCAAAGAAAACTCAAATTCAAACGCTCTTTGAGGCTTAAAAGGAGAGTAGACAGACTCAAGAACCTTTCAACTAAAGACACAGAAAAGTCAAATTATGAGGAAGAGGAAGGAATAAGTGATAGGGCTGATACAATGTCAAAAACTAAAAAGGAAAAAGGTAAAAAGAAAAAGTATGATTTCTCAGTTTCAAAGGAGAAGAAGATAGATTCAGATGAGCAAGTTAAGGAAGTCCAGGCTAAAACATCTCCTCCTATTCTTGACCCCCCAAAGTCTTCTCAGTCTACCTCAACTGCCCCCACTGCAATCAAAAGGCGACCCTGGACGAATGGGAACGCAGCAGAGTGTGGTACATGTGGACGCTGGTTCTCAAGTACCAGGAAGAGAGACAAACATGAGCTGAGCCATCTGCTGGAGTTTGTCTGTCTCTTCTGTAGAGCCACTTTCCCGTCCACCGAAAAGTTGGAAGACCACCAGAAAGCCCAGCATCCCAAGCCTGTCGAGTCCCCCTCCCAGTTAGTGGCCCCTAAAGTAGCACTTACTGATCCAACTGAAGGAGCCAGGCTTAAACAAGTGCCAGCTATCACAAAATATGATGAAGATAAAGCCTCTCATGCTGTAGATCGTATTTCCAGTCCAAGTCGGTTGAGCAGAAGCACTATCTCGGCACACTTGCCCACAATGTCATAAAGTGTGCAAGACCTCGTCAGCTTTAAACAGACATATCCGGCGCCATGAGTTAAGTAGTTCCCCCGAGAGAGATGACAAAGAACCTAAAACACAAATTACTAGCAGAGAATTGCACAGTGAGAAGGAGCAGGCACCTTTAGCCCTCTCGGTTTCAGTTATAAACTATACACCATCTGAGTTAGCTAGTTCAAATGAGCATGGTTTTCAAAGTGATACAAGCAAACAGTCTAATGAGCTTAAAGTTACTGAGAAAAATGTGTTTACAGAGCCCAAAGAAATAGCCAGAGAACCTACCCCTCAAAATGACCCTGTGTTAGATCAACCCATTAATCTTACACCTAGTAAACCAGACTTTTCCCCAGCAGCGCACAGTGTCTTGATCATGAACGGATCCGAATGCCTAGATTATCGTACTCCCAGTAAGAAAAACTTAGATGCTCAGTGCCACAGACTGCCCAGCCCTGTGCAATGTCCCAACAACACCAGAATCACCACTGCTTCTCTACCGCCTGTTTCCATGACAACAACTCCCACCCCTGAGGCGGGATACAGGAACCGGGATGGGGTCATTATAGACAGAGACAGACAAAAAGGGGGGGATAGGTATTTGCACTCCAGTTTTGAGGAACCACCCCTAGTGCACCATCTGAGAGTGCAGCCTCAGTCGAGATGTGAGTCCCCCAACGAAGCACAAGACTTAACCATGTCGTCCCTACGTGCCAGAGAGAGAGAGCTAGAAAAAGAAAGGGAAAGAGAGAAACAGAGAATGCAGCAGATTAGAATTATTAAGCACGCTCAGGACAACCACAATGCTTTACTGGTGCCTAAAGAGGAGCCTTTAAGCCCTGTGCAGTCCCCCCATCACATGCCCACTCCAAACAATGTAAATGGCAACTCTGCACACAGACACACTCCCAAGCCTCCCTGTCTAACTCCCTCTGCTATGGGACAACCAGCTGAGCCCACCCGCCACGCCTCTCAGCCAGATGGGGCAGCTGCTGCTGACCGCCCCTCTGCCCATGCTCTGCCCCTCCCCAGGGCTCCACAGGCTCCACATGACACTGACAACCAGGACAATTCAAGAGATTTCCAACAGGTGGAGGACTATCCTGACCAGGAATACCCTCTACCACTCACAGTACCAGACAGCTACCGCTCTGATAAAAAGCAGGATGATGGTCTACTCGTGCCCTCTTATCCTTCTGGAACACTTCCTTTTGGTACATTGGGGAAAGTGGTTGTTCCTAATGGAGCAGACTTGAGCAAAATTCCCTTCTACCCAGATCCCTACCCTCTGCTGTACGGACCCCAGCTGCTAGCATACCCCTACAACTTAGCTGCTCTTCCAGTTGCTCTTAACATGATGGCTCCTGGTGGAGACAAAGTAGAACCACTGCCTTTCCTCCCTGCCATATTTAACTACGCCACTGGGCCCTATATGGGTGCAGCGCCACACCCCCTTGTGGCCAATACTACCCTCTACAGTACTGGCAGCAGTGAAGGCAAGAAACAACGGGACAACACCAGCAAACCATAGGACAAGACACACTGAGCAGATGTAGGCCATTTTGGAGGGACGTGACTGGTGTGGGCTTACTGCAGCAGGACCCCTCCTCTCTTGTATTCAGTAGATCTGAGCTAGGCACTTAATTAGAGGAGTGAAACTTTACTCCTGCTCGCCCTTGCACCAGTCTCTCCTGTCATTCTGTAGTGTGTAATAGTCCTAGAGCTTGATGAATCTTCCCTCGCTGTATTATCTATATTATACAAATATGAACTGCTAACAGGGTGTGTGTTGTGTGAAACATTAGTTCAGTCAGCTTCCCTTTATAGTCACTGCATAATGAGGCTCTTCTAGAGTGGCATGTGTGGGCACGACTAGACAAAACACAAGTCTTCACTTAAAACAACGTGAGGCTTTAAGCAATGACAATACTTGTATGTGTACATGGACAAGTATAAAGGGATCTGTGCATACCGAGTGGGGCTTGTACAGGTTTAGTGCATAATAGAAGTGTGCATTACTGTGAATGAAGGGGGATTTCATGAATGAGTTTATCATTCCATGTGGTTTGAAGGCACACACAAATTCCTGCTTTAGTTGGAATGGTTACTGTGTTGTGCATAGGGCATCTAAATGTTAGTCTGAGTACAAGTACATGACAATGACGTCTCAGTGGAGCTGGACAGATGAGATCAATTCTAAAGCATTCACCATAGTTTATGTCATGTGCACCAAATAGTAAAAAGGTGCCTGCTTAAATGGGGCACTAGTAGCTGCTTTGGATATGTAGCTGGTCACTGGGTAAGAAATACGACTGATAGACCATTGCACTCCCATTTTTATCATCTCATTTCTATGACTTAAAATAGTATTTACAAGTCAGCCTTTATTTTGTGAGTAGCTTTCATTTTGCTGGAACGATCATTTTCCTTGGATGAAGTCAATGACAATAATTAAGGAAGGAGAAAAAGAATTCAGGGTATTGAGGTTTTTCTGCAGAGACAAGGGCACAAAACTGTAGGACAGGGACAAACTGCCTTCTTGTTGAGGGCAGTGTAGGGCGAGGCGGAGATCTGGGGCCAAAGTGCCCCACGCTCTTCTGTTTTGGGGCTTTTTGTTCCATGTTTTGTTCTGTTTATATTTGTTTTGTTAAACTGTTTGTTAATGTTGTTTAGTCCCCTGACCTGATGGAAAGGGGATGAACCTAAAATAATGAATGTAAATCTAGTCGTGAGGTTAATGAAGTACAGCACAGCTGCATTGTTGCTAGAATCAGTCTTTTATATTATTTGATACAAATAACCAGTTAAAGTCGTATAATATCTGGTATGCATATAAACAGTAGTTCTAGAAACTTTGGTTCTGTATCCACAAAGCATGAGCAACACTTGCTTCCTAAACATGTATATCCTCACCAAGGTTGACATAGTACGCTTTAGTTTCTTTTTTTTTTCAGACTTTCATATCTAAGTTCACTCACTGTTGTTTGATAAGTATACGGACATGTGTGACAGTACTGGGATGGCTTTTGGATTGAAAAGGAATTAAACACAGTGACCAAAGGGTGCACAAATGCCCTCTCTTTACAATGGTTACAAGCCTTTTGTGATTGAGTGACAAAAGTGAAATTATGATTGAGAAAACCAAAACAGACCTACTAAGGAGCATTATTACAGTAATACATGGTCCACGTGTGTTGTTCACTTTGAGGGTTTATCTCATTGTATAAAGCCTTGCTGTATCTAATATAATATCTCAAGCCATTCCTGTAGATGCACATGTTGTATTTTGGACCATTTCTTATGCCATAGTTCACCTGTTATCATACAGACCAAAAGCATGCAAAATGATGTATTGTAGTGACTGGATTGAAATCTGGTGGTCATATAAACTATTAATTGTATGTTTTAGTTGAAATGAATGTGCCTCTGCTTTGATAACTATCTATGGTGAGAAGATTTCCAGATTTCAAGTGTTAAGGTGCCTTGTTGTGGCAAAAGAAATTTCAAAAGTAAATGAACGTTTTCTTGAAAACGGATATTATAATATGGAGAGTTTATGGCTTTGCTCTGAAGCTGTAGATGTAGGGGTGTGTGGCATTGTGTACATGTCTAGGGTAATACTGTGCCATATAGAGCTCACAGAGTATGTTAATGTTATTTTTAAAGATGTTTTAATGTTGCCTGATAACTTTGTCTTTAGATTTGATACAAAGGCTTGTAGCCACAGCTCCCCAAAGTCTGTAGTCTCCTTTTCTGACATAACTGTTCTCTATCTCCCTCCTTGTTTATGTCTACTGTTTCAACTTGCTGCAATCAAACAAAATAAAGTATTAACCTGATGACCAATCAAAAATAAGCTTTTCTCTGTAACTCATCCAAATCACGTTAAAATATGTTTGATTAGATTGATATTTAAGACCATGTTTTGTAAATTAAGGTGACATCTTGGGTAATCCAATTTATTAATTTGCAATTCATCCTTCATCAGGAAATTATTTGCCAAAACATATTTCGCAAAATGTGTGCGTATCCAAATGTTGACTCTGGTGCTTATGGGCTAATATTATGGGTGTGTTGTACTGACACCTAGTGGCTTGAAGTAAAGTTCATGTCTTATCTCGTCTTGTATTGTGGCTGTACCTGCTTGTCGATGCCTGATCTCCTCAGATCTCAGAAGCTAAGCAAGATGTGGCCTGGTACTCAGATAGGAGACCACTGGAAATACAAGATGCCACAGAGTGTTGGCTGTGGCTAACTGGAAACTGCCGGTGTGTCCTTATGCAAGACACTTCACCTAGTTTGAATTTGGTACCACAGATTGACCGCCTCACTTTGGTAAGCTGTCCCATGGCAGCTGCAGCTACAGTAGTAGCTTACCACCACCGAGAGTGGAGTGAATGAATAATACACGGTAAAGCACTTTGGGTGCTTTGAAAAGTGCTATATAAATCCAATGCATTATTATTTTTATTATTAATGTGGACTTTGCATTGACAATTCAGTCAGTGACTCAGGAAATCAATACCTAAGATTTAATTTAAAAGGTTAAAATACAAAAAAGCAAAGTCTAACAAGTCTACCATGCTATATTTAAATGTTCAGTTCAAGTGTCTGTTTGTATTACTTTATGGGGAATACCACACATTATTTAAATATTTAAGTCCCCTATCTATTGATGTTTCTGCAACCTACTGCTCAAATAGACTGCACAGTGGTGATTCAAGGTTCTTGTGTCATGGGTAAACAGCGCTGCGGTTGGACTCAGGTCGCTCACCCAATCCACTGTTTTCTCCAGCTAAATGAGTAGACTGAGTCTCATATAGGCTACACTATTAATCCTCCTAGTTGCGTGTTTAAATGTCTAGTACATTTACAGTTTGCTCACACTGCATTTATTCATAGGCTTTTTCATCTATACACGTGGACAACAGTAAAGTAACATTACCACAAAAACATGACCTCATGACTTGAGATCAATACTTTGAATCGCCCATGCCCATGTGCCCTCTGTACTCCAGGACACAGTATCAATCCCACTCAGGGCTGCAGCAGCAGGACACCTAAAGGGTGGCTGAGTGGACACTAGGGACCAAAGTGTGGAAGAAAAGGCTCAAGAATGGGACAGAATGGGAAAACAATAGCTGGGAGTCTGCTGCTCATTCTGGGGATGTTGGGACAAGGAGTACATGCACAAGGGAATGGCCGGGGTAAGGTATGTTTTGAAAACACAAACAGAAGATGCACAAGGAGCTTCCCACTGAGCTGTAAAGAATGTTATGGAATCGATAATGGAAAAAAAGTGTAAATAAATCTGTTATAGAAAGAAATCTCTGGAGCAGGAGTTTTCCATCTTGGCCAAGACAGAGACATGTGGAGGCCTCTGATCCAAATGACAGTAAACCTCAGTGAAGTCACCAGGTATGTTTCAAGACTTCAAGACAACTTCAATTAAATTTTTATTACAAAAATAAAAACATATGTTTGGGGAGATAGCCCAAAATTCTAACAAGTCTTTTCTTTCAGTATAAAGTCAACATTTCAGCTGCGTACATTTGACCCAGAAGGTACCGTTTTTTATGGAGACACTAAGGGTGGGGAGGACTGGTTTGTTTTGTCCCTAAAAGAAGGGTTCCCACTGATGCAGATCAGCAAAGAAAACATGCTGCTCAGTGTGGCAGGAGGCCCCAAACTCAATGATGGCAAATGGCACACTGTACGTTTGTGGAACAATGGTACCAAGACAAGACTTGGTTATGACTTCATTTTGTTTTTTTCTTTTACTCTTAGCTGGAAGTGAGCAACCAAGGAAAGTTTGTGGTTTTGGTAGTTGACAGAACACAGCCCCTAGTAGTTGGCCTACAACCCAAAGTGAAAGAAGAATCCCTTGCTGGTGTACTCCGACTTGCTGTTGGTGGGATCCTGATTAATAAAGCAAAGCTGCTTGTTCAGGTACTCTGTAAATGTAATATCATCCTTAAAACACAATGAACTGTCTTAACACTTACATTAAAATTACCCATAATATTTGTCTCATCAAAGTATAAGCCACAGATAGATGGCTGTGTGCGGGAGGGCAACTGGCTCAATCTGAGTACACCTTGGGAGACAGAAGAGGAAGAGATGTGGCCCTGCCATGAAAATATCAAACCTGGCAGTTACTTTGTTGGCAAAGGCTTTGCTGTTTTTAACTATTCCGGTGGGTTTATTCAATACTATTGCTTTGTGTATGTGGACAGCAACACGTTTTTCATAGGTCATGGAGAAATTAAAATTAACTTAGTATAAAGAATTGGTGATTATAATGCTAGTGTAGTTCTGAGTCAGCTAGTAAAATATATGTAACTTTTATTGTCTAATCTATATCCATCTTATTTTTTTTAGTTCTCCCCAAACAAACAGAACAAGGGATTACCCTTGAATTTTGGGGAGATATGAATGAGATGGAGGGGACCATTTGCAGCATCAAAAACCCTGATCAAGAGCCAATTTTTCATATAGTAGCTGATAAAATTACAAAGGTATGCATCTAAATTAAAGTAGTTTTATTACATGTATGTTTTTATTGTAATGACAATTTAAAGCTACTGCACCATGATACTGTTTTATGTAATGGTTTTGTGTGTGTGTGTGTTTGTGTGTGTTTGTGTGTGTGTGTGTGTGTGTGTGTGTGCGTGTGTGTGCGTGTGTGTGTGTGTGTGTGTGTGTGTGTGTGTGCGTGTGTGTGTGTGTGTGTGTGTGTGGGTGGGTGTGCGTGCGTGTGTTTGTGTGTGTGTGTGTGTGTGTGTAGAAGCTCATTCTCACCCTTGGGTCTGACAAAATCACCATGAAGAGTTCTTCCAGGAGGCTGAGGGTCACCTTTCTGACTGATGTATTAACGGTGCATCTGGATGAAATTGTGTCCGAGGCCATGATATCAGTGAGTGAGGAGAGCCAGGCTGGTTATTCAGACATTTGGACAGTAGGTTCTCTTTCCATCGGAGGTCTCCTAGGTGAGATTTTAATTTTTAATTTAGTTCATTAAACTGATGGAGCTGTTTAGTGACATGCTGTTGTATTTGAAGGTGAAGATAACACTGGAAGTCATTTCTTGACTGGGTGCCTAGAAAAGATCCAGATTCAAGGGAAGAACTTGGATATGAATTTAGCTGACAAAGAGATGTCAATCAACTCTCACAGTTGTCCTGCCTGACATGTATTTTTTGTAGTCTTTTGTGAATTTCATATTCATAATTAATAATAATTGTTATATATATGTTTCAAGTACAGTCCCTTTAAGATAGATAGAAAATTGCACTCATTCATTTCCTGGAGACTGATCCTAATTTTAACCATAATTACTCTGTACGTTACCAACCAAACCTTAACCTATATTAACCCATATCTTAACTTTGAACATTGTTGTAGCAAATGTTGAAAGGTTTATCTCAGGGGGACGTGTTTCCAATAAATAAAAAAATAAAAATAAAAATAAAAATAAAGAGCTTTAGAGTTTTAGAGTTATTTTAATAGGTCCATGCTATAGGAGTCCCCATAAGAAACTGCGCAAACTCCGGTTGTTCTCCGTGACGTGACAGATACATACAGACTTTGTCGCCATCTAGTGGATGAATATAACACTTGTAAAAATACATTTTATTATCAAACCGTTTTGAGGCAATATTTTATTTCTGCTCCATTTTCATTATTCTGTTTTCAACAGTTGTAAAATACAATAAAATAAATAAATGTACAGGTCTCCTGGGGTTATCTGTAACTGGGTGTGGTTGAAAAATATTCGCATAGACCTGCCGTATGACAACCCTACTGTCGGAAACACAGAGTGTCGTGAAATTGGCCGTCCACTGAAGATGGCGGCGGAGCTGCATCCGCGGAGCGGAAAGCTGATCGGCCTGTCCAACTCGAACCGAACCGCCCGGAGAAATCAGCCTGTCCAAGAGTTCAACCATGGCCTGGTGCTAAGCAAGGAGCCACTGAGGGACCGGGATGTCTTCACTGTCCGCATTGACAAAAAGGTAAATAAGGCAGCAGGCCGCGACAACTGTCTCTGAGTCCGATCAGAGATGAGGGCAGCGGGAATTCGCGAGCAGAGCTACTGGGCCGGGCAGGGGTCTGCCCAAGTGTCCGCTATGGGGGGCACTGACTCACGGAGCAGATCATACTGGCTCTGACAACTGATATGTTGAGTACTGGTCATGAAGCGCTTAATTAGAGTAGTGTCATTGTGGATAGGGGGACTCTGATAAACACATAACCCGAGATTATTTAACCGAGCTGATGATATCGGTGCTCAGATGCCGCTGTTAGCCGCTAATAGACCGCTCCTGGAGCTAAAGGCTGTAGAGGTCCGATGACACTGACTCTGTGTATTTATGGCACTTATAGTATTTTGATCTTAAGTGGTTGGTGTTCATTTAATTGGTGTTGTGATTGGTGATCTTTAGTGCTAGGTCCATCAGTAATATTGGGGTTGTCTCTGGGTAGAGCGAGACCAACACCAACGATGCTGCCCTCCAGTCAGCTCTTTCTATCTGTCACACACATAGTTACTTTGGGTATTATAATGTAATACTGCTGATATCTGATGAGGGAACTGCTTTTGCCCTTCCTTTTGAAACGCTGTAATTACAGTTTTACTAAGTTATTGCCTCTGCATGTCCTGCTGCTTAGCCTGCTGTTTCCCACATGAATGTGTGGTTACCACTTAGGGAGAGTGGATCAACCACACGTACCATAAACATTTATTTTATAGCATAATTACAGAAATCTTTAAGAAATCAAGGACAGCCATTGTTTGCAGTGTTTACCCATCTCTTGTGGAATGCCTCCTCATACAATTATTGTAAAAGAGAAAAAAAATCAATAACATTCCATCAAAGCGCATGATAATGACATCCACTAAGCAGATCAGCATAGGAAATGAATGCAGGAGAGTGCAGGTAAATTAATACATTTATTAGAGATTAGTCTGGGTTAATGGTTGTGCTGAAGGTTCAATAGGGCAGGAGCTGAGCCCAGTCAGTACAAAATCACTGAAACATACATACTGACACTACATCAGAAATGGCTGTGAATGTTTTTTTTGTTTTTTTTTAAACAAACAAGGCTTATTTAGTGACCTCTAAATTCAAATGTGATTAATTTAAATATTATCCCACCAGCGATCAATGAGGTGTCATGTTATTATAAACTTATGTGGAGTTTAGCATTTCTGAGAAGAAATTGATATGGTTGGTTATGTGATAGGAGTTCAGCGTCATCCAGACACCAGGATTTTTCTGTAAGCTGCTGAGATGCAAAAATAGATTTTTCTTTTTTAATTTTGTGGATCAGTGGTTTAGTTAAAGGTTTTAGGAGCAAATTATTAGATGCATATCATACCATATATAAATTGCTTCTCAAAATATCTACAGTACCATATTTCACCTACTTTTCTCTGTCCTGTTTTAGTATCAAAGAGTCTGAACAGGAGTAAAAATAACTCTATTTCACAAAGCGAGTCAAATGTGTATGGTTATGGGCTGTTTATAGCACGGTAGGACACGTGACAGATGAGATGAATACCATTTACTTTCCTTTGTAACAGATCTCTTTGAGTTGCCAGTCTTTCTGTTTGTCAAATGTTTTTTGGACGACACAACATATTTGTTTGTTTGCCAGGTGAACTCATGGAGCGGTTCTATTGAGATTGGCGTGACTGCTCTGGATCCAGCTGCGCTGGACTTTCCTAGCAGTGCCACAGGACTGAAGGGAGGCTCGTGGATTGTGTCTGGCTGCTCTGTGTTACGAGACGGGCGCTCTGTTTTGGAAGAGTACGGGCGGGACCTGGATCAGTTGGCAGAAGGAGACCGTGTGGGCATTCAGCGTAACTCTCGGGGAGAGCTACACCTCTGGGTGAACGGACAGGACTGTGGTGCAGCAGCCAGTGGACTACCGCCCAAACTCTGGGCTGTAGTGGACTTGTATGGAAAGTGTACCCAAGTCACGGTGGTGAGCTGTGAGCCACCCCCAGCCTGCGCTGAGAGAGAGACTTTGGAACAGGAAGAGGAGGATGAAGAGGAGGAAGAGGAGGTGGTAGTTTGTGGCACACGTGAAGACACTGGGATCACAGCACTGATAAATGTGGCAGCAATGAATGGATTAATGAATGGAGACGAAGGTAGAAAAGGTTGTTTATACAGTTGTTAGTAATATCCTATTGTTGTTTATTCATGATTCTGAACCCTTGTACCATGTCTGTGTGCTTAGTGCCTGAGCTTTGCTGCAGTCACAACAGACCAGACAAATTTCCCAACAACCTTGAGCCAGAAACAGGTGAAATCGTACTTTATAAAAGACCTTAACCTTTGAACAAAAACAATTTTACAATATTGCCGGTTTTAATGCTTGCTGTTGGTTTGTATTGCAGTTTTAACAGAGCACCAGCTTTTTGACGTGTTCAACAACGCCATAGTATCGTTTTACCGCTCGGAGGATGAAGGTGGAGGCGAGGATGGAGGAGGTGGAGGCGGAGGGGCCGGGGATGGGGGAGGCGGGGGCGGCAGAGTGGGGCACACAGGTAGCGAGTCGTCCTCCAGGAATGAGCGAGGGAGCAGCAGTGGAGGGACCACAGCAAACAGTGACAGTGGCTCTACAGGAGGAGGGGGAGGAGGAGTAGATGGAGGGAGTGCTAATAACAGTCCTGCGGGGAATGGAGGGAGCGGACCTGCAGCTGTGACCGGAGGCATGACCACGAATGACGCACTTCTGTTTCACGAGAAATGTGGGACTCTGATCAAACTGAGCAACAACAACAAGACAGCAGAACGCAGAAGGCCACTGGATGAGTTCAACAATGGAGTCGTCATGACCAACCGGCCACTTAGACATAACGAGATGTTTGAGGTGATTGTTCTGTTTTATAAAATGTAAAGTTTAATCACATAATTTAATTATTATAGTGTCTATATTAAGTTATTTTCTGAACTATGTTATAATGTTGTTTCTTTGTCACAGACATACCTGGAGTTTTGTTTTATTTCATTCACACATGTCTTACATACAAATCCTGCATATTTATCTAAAATCACTAGAATTATTTGGACAATTTCAGCCCTAGAATTGTCAATATCTTCTGAGCAAAAGGTAAAATGCAGCTGCTAACTTGAAAACAATCACTACATGACATCATAAGGTGGAGCAGAGCATTTTGAGATTTGGAGATATAGACAGACTAATAATGGAGCATTATTAAAACACGTGTGAATGAAACAAAACATAACTCTGGGTATGTTCTTGATGAGGTGACAACCTCCTAACATGAGTTAAAGCTCACAAGAGTTAATTTTGTTTAATATAATTAATACTTCTTCTCCACACGCTTAGTGATGTGTAATTTTAATCTGTGTTTAGATACGTATTGACAAACTGGTGGACAAATGGTCGGGGTCCATTGAGATTGGGGTAACCACACACAACCCAAATAATCTAGACTATCCTGCAACTATGACTAATCTGCGCTCAGGTAATTTCTGTATTGATGATATACATGAATTATATTTTAGTCAAAGTTTTGTGCTGATAAACATTTATTTTCTTATTTCCAGGAACAATCATGATGAGTGGCTGTGGAATACTTACAAATGGGAAAGGGACACGTAGGGAATACTGTGAATTTAGCCTCGATGAACTTCAGGTTGGTCTCATATTTATTATATTTGTCTGACAGTCATTGAAGATTAGTCCATATAATACTTTGGTGGTTAAACAGCTAGTCTATTAATAACAGCTTTAATAATTGTCATTTTCTTTAGGAAGGGGATCATATTGGCTTAATGCGTAAGGCCAGTGGAGCATTGCATTTTTACATCAATGGCATAGATCAAGGTAAGAGGACTCCTAAATGTTTCTTTCTATATGTGACGAATGAAGTGTAGTCATGAAGTCTTGTTTCAGGTGTTGCGGCAGCTCAAACCCCTGGTGTGGTCTATGGTGTGGTGGACCTTTATGGTATGGCTGTCAAAGTCACTATTGTCCACAACCACAACCACAGTGACCGTCTGCGCCGCAACAATGCCATCATGAGAGCTTTATCTCCAGACGTAGGCCGACCCAGACCTGCCCTGGCCCTCACTCCAGACACAGAGGCACCAGACCGACTGCTGTTTCACCCAAACTGTGGCCAGAAAGCTGCCATCATCAGTGACGGCCGGACAGCTTTAAGACCATAGTGAGTCCACACAACGCAGTTCTACCTGACTATAGCATGTTTCTCAATTTGACTAATTTACTAACATATATGTGAATATGATGTGGTTTCAGTGCGATTGATGACTTCAATCATGGAGTGGTGCTAAGCAATCGGCCTCTGCGCTCCAATGAGGTGTTTCAAGTTCGTATTGATAAAATGGTTGACAAGTGGGCAGGATCTATTGAAATTGGGGTCACAACACATAATCCCGCCTACCTTCAGCTGCCCTCGACCATGACCAACTTGCGTTCAGGTAAAGTTTTCTGTAAAATTTAAGTTAAGATTATATTGTTGTATCAGTGATGTAAAACAATGCAGCAGACTGATTGAAATCAATTTGATCTTTTCTAGGGACATGGATGATGACTGGTAATGGTGTGATGCACAATGGGACGACAATTTTGGATGAATATGGGCACAACCTGGACAGGCTAAAAGTAAGTCATGTATTTAATACCGGTGGCATGTTTAATTATATTAACATGTACTTTTCAATATTTTAGGCTGGTGACACAGTCGGTGTAGTGCGTAAAGAAGATGGCAGCCTTCATTTCTTTGTAAACGGAGTGCCTCAAGGCCCAGCAGCCTGTACCCCCCAGTGTGTATGCAGTGGTGGACCTCTATGGTCAGGCAGCTCAGGCCACTATTATGGACGACATGGGTGAGGAAGTGGTTTTGTCATGTGTTTAAACAGATTAACTTAAACTCTCTTGGTTTAGTTTAAAGTCTTGTTATTTATCTCTCTCAGTGGACCTCCCTCCTCTCCCAGAGGACAGCTCAGATGGGCCCACAGCTTTGTCTCCAGGAAGCCCCTGTTCCATTGCTGGAGCCACTACTACCAGTGACCTGCGTTTTCATACACTTCATGGTAATAATGCTGTGATCACCAATGGGGGACGCACCGCTCTTCGTCAGAACAGTCGGAGCGAGTTCAATGATGCTATTGTCATTTCCAACAGGTACTGTACAGACTAAATAGTGATATATGGATTTCATGATTCAAAAAAGATGAGTTTTTTATGTTTTGCAGGTGCCTTCGTGATGGAGAACTGTTTGAGATTGTTATTCAGAAGATGGTGGACCGCTGGTCGGGTTCAATAGAAGCTGGTATATAAATTACTAGGAGTCCTCAATGCTGTGTATTTAAGCACAATATTAAAACGTCAAATGATACGCACTGTTGACTCAACAAACACTCTTTTAGAGCGGTGATTTTTACTGCCATTTTGTTTACATACCAGTGAATAAGTGAAGTACAGAACATCAGTTACGGTGTGAACTGACAGTGTACATTAAACACTGCATTACTCATATGAAACCTCACATACAGATACAAAGAAAAACATAACACTGTTGACTGCTTGTGTTTCCAGGAGTGACAGCCATCAGGCCAGAGGAACTGGAGTTTCCAAACACAATGACTGATATAGATTATGACACTTGGATGCTAAGGTAAAGAAACATTCATCTTAACATTGGTATGATCTATTATATTTCATTAATCTTTTCTTTTTATCTGTTACAGTGGGACTGCCATTATGCAGGATGGTAACACAATGCGCAACAACTATGGGTGTGACCTGGACTCGCTCACTACAGGCTCTCGTATTGGGATGATGCGCACCGCCACTGGGGACCTTCACTATTACATCAATGGGGTGGACCAGGGAGTTGCATGCTCTGGTCTTCCTTCAGGTAAAAAAATCAAAATCTGTTGACCTTAGTTTTAAATTCAATACATTGTCTTTATCTGTGTTCATTTTGTGCATTTCTTTCTACAGAGGTGTTTGCGGTGATTGACTTGTACGGCCAGTGTGTTCAAGTGTCTATTACCAGCTCTTCAGGCCCTCTGGACAATAGTTTGTGTACCAGCAATGTCACAGAAAACAGCTTCCCTATCCACTACCCAGGTCAGCTTGTACTGTAACTTTATACAATAGTCAGGTTTTGGTGTGTTTTTAATGTCTTGAGAAAAGCTTATGTTAATGGCAGTGTCACCAATATTGATTATCTGTTGACTTTAGTAGGGTTTGTCCAGACTTACCTGGTTTAATCCTGGTCTATTTAGGATTAGTTTTGGATTTAGTCACAGTCCAGTTCCAAGTTTGGTGTGGTGATTGTGTAAGCATGAATGCACCCTAAAAACCTAGAGTAAAACAATGTAACCTTTTGTTGATTTGTTTTCAGTAGCAGGTGTTGCCCATCGGTTTCACAGTAAGCATGGTAAAAACGTGGTGCTGCTCGGGGAGGGCTGGCAGGCCATCAGAGTTGGAGGCTACTCACATGGGATTGTGTTCAGCGCGAAGGAACTAAAAACTGATGAACTGTTTGAGGTAGGATGGATTTGTCAAAGTACACATAGTTGCATGGTGCAACTTTTCTGGTGGATGCTTGTCTCCATGGAGATGTTATTGCTTTCCCTTGAATGTTCCGTGGTATAACATTAAACATATCCATCTAGCACTTATTCATTATGGGTGTTTCACTGACACACATCCCTTAAGTCCCATTATTAGTTTGTCAACGTCTCCAAAGCTCAAAATGCTCTGTTCCACCTTGAAGTGGTAGTTTTCAACTTACAAGCTACTTTTTACCTTTTGTTTACATGCATCCCGAATTTTGGACTTCCGGTCATTGCGCAATGCATACTGGGAAGGATCCTCAGAAAAATTGAGCATCAAACCGCTATGTTTGCATGTTTGATTTCCCAGTGGGATGCATCTATTGTCAAAGCTGATCTTTTCTGATCTTTTGAACCATAATCGCTTTTGTTTCTGGTTCTGATATTGTCATATTATAGTTATGGGATTCGGACATCGTAATTGTGTAATTGTTGGATGTCCTACATGCTTTGATGACCCTCCACATACAAAATGTTCACTGCAAACTTGGGATGATTTCAGCCAAAGGTTACCTTTTTCGTCCTTCCTTTGTATCAGTGCTGCTCATCACCTTTGCTTTTCACTGTTTTTCTGTACCATTGGGAAGAGAAACAGTTTGAACGGAGGTTTGCAGTCACACAGATCTGATTCCCTTTTGCATTTATGGAGTTCGCAAACTTTCGAAGCCCATTTCTTGAGCTGTTTTCTGCTGTTTGGACATCCAACAACCACACAATTATGATGTCCGAATCCCATAACTAAAACATGACAATGTCAAAACCAGAAACCAAAGCGACATGGTTCAAAAGACTTGAAAAGATCGGCTTTGTCAATGGAAGCATCCCAAGGGGAAATCAAACATGGTGGTTTGATGCTCACTTTTTTGGAGGATCCTTCCCAGTATGCATTGCGTGATGACCGGAAGTCCGAAATTCCAAGGCTGAAATTATCCAAATGATGAGTTTTAAAACCCAGTGAAAAAAAATCTGTATTACCATATAACATCACAAGGTGAAATAGAGTGTTTTCTGTTAGGATTTATATGTTTAACATGTGTGAATGACAACAGCAAAACACAGCTCCAGGTCTGTGTGTGATGAGGAAACCATATTATAACACAGAATCAGAAAATAGTGTAATATGAGCTCTTTAAATCCCTTGCTCAACTGTTATTTCTGTTTTCAGGTGAGGATAGATGTAGTGGATGAGCAGTGGAGTGGTTCTCTGCACATAGGGCTGACCACACTGGCCCCTCCAGATCTCCCCTCCTGTCCCCTCTCGGGCCTTTCGCCCTCCCTCCCTCAGCTTCGGACCAAAGTCACCTGGCTTCTGAGTGGCAATGAAGTCAGACGCAATGGAGTTTTACAGAGGCAAAACTATGGCTGTTCACTGGACAGGCTCACCGTAAGCAGCTCTCACCCTCATCTTACTCACCAATTTATAGTTTTACTTGAAGTTACAAAAATAGTGAAAATGTGGAAATCAAAATAATTTTATCACCACAAATCTCAAAATTCGCAAATTTCTGCAGTTATCCGATTATCTTATTTGACTAATCTGATTTTTTTTTGACTGGTTTGACAAGGAAAGCCATGCAAAAAGGGCAAACTAATGTGATAAAAACAAAATAATAATTATTTTTTAAATTATTACATTGTCTTTCAATTATAACAGTTACTGACGTTACTGTGTTATTTTTAGAGTAACTCAAAAGTGAAAAAATGCAAGCACACTCAGATAGCCGATGTGCAAAAGCTTTTAAAAAAATTTTTAAATAACATCTCGGCAAAAAAGCCTTCATCAGATAATTTTTCTTGCTTTGGACCATTGGTATACTGTAGTCCAAACAAGGACAATTATCTGGGTGATTTGGTATGTTATCAGATGTTTTTGATGATCAGGTTTCTCTTATAATCAGATTTAATTATTGGGTTATTTGATTATTCTCATTATTTGTGTTAATATTTTTTATTGGCTTTTCCAATGATTGTTCTTTAAACAACTTCTGCACAGTAACCTTTTTATGCTTGTATTTCAGGTCGGAAACCGTGTTGGGGTGAAGAGGTGCAGTGATGACACAATGCATATTTTTATTGATGGTGAGGACATGGGCCCAGCTGCCACTGCGGTCGCCAAGGTAACACACAAAAACACACACACACACACACACAGATCAGTGAAGGTTGTCCTAATGTTGTACTGAAGTCCATCCCTGACTTTGTGCTGTTGCAGAATGTGTATGCGGTGTTGGACTTATATGGCAAGATCACAGCCGTGTGCATCGTCAGTTCATCGCTCACAGAAGACGCCGAGAGTGTTAAAGCGCCATCTTTGTCATCAGACAGCTGCAGCGAAGGAGAAGAAGACAGCAGCCCCGTGAGAGAGGTGTGATGTCAACAATATTACTTTAGTGTTTAGGGTTTAGTCGATTAATTGGTCAGCATTGTCTTAGTTGGCTCTTTTAGTATTAGATACATAGAGATGCGTAATAGTTTTGAGACCGCGTCTATCATAGCCGCCTGCACCAAAGGTCTGGAAGGGAGCGGGTCCTAACAACGCTGTCAATCAAAGTTATTGCTAACCTTAGTGGGGTGAGCTCGGTAAAAGAAGGTGTCTGATTTGTCTGTTATTCATGTTCATATCTTGATATACAGACAAAATAGCAGAATAAAAACACCAGGATTATATAGAGTGGTTAAAACGAATATTTTAAGACCGAAATGACGAAGCTCACTGCAGCAGTTACAGAGAGAGGGGTGACAATCTTTCAAATGTAAAGTGAGTTGGAGCCAGAGTAAATGGAGCCGGAAGCACACCCATGATCACTTCCTGTTTGGAACGCGGTGACTAGTGGGTTAGCTATGTCCATTTATATACGTCTATGGGCAGGACATGGCTTTAGTCGACGGACAATTTCTTTTAATTCACTAGTCTTTTTTTAGTGCAATTTTTTCTGCACTTTTTGGTCATAGTTTATGTTTTGCAGGTGGAAAGTGAGTCGTGCCCATTGGTGCCCACTGTCATGACATTTTTAGAGAATCATGGCAAAAACATCCAGCTGACCAACCAGAGCCTGTCAGCCTCACGAGTGTCCAGCTACAACCAAGGCCTGCTCGTCACTGCACAGTCTCTGCCCCGACAGCAGCTTTTCCAGGTAACCTCCAAATGTAAAAATGTTTACTTTTTTTTTTTCAAAGAATTTCCCGAATTGTTCCCATTTTTTTCACCTCTGGTTAGTGACAGCATATCAGAAATGTAATTTAAAAAGAGTTTAAGGAAATTTTTTATATTTCATGAATTTAATGAATCTTGTAAGACAGGGGTCTCCTCCTTACAAGTAGCTAGCCAAGAAATTTCTAAATGATATGTACTGTAGGCAACTGAATAACTCAGATTTGATTAATAAATGGATAATGGTTTATGTTTTATAGGCATGTAACTGTACAACATCTAAGGCTTGCCCTCTTATATCGACTCAGTTTCTTGTGACCGCTAAAATGAGTAGCTCGCTGGCATTTTCATTTTGTAAAGATAGCTCACTGGACACAAAATGTTGGAGATCCCTGTTGTAAGGTGTGTAAATACAGGTGTAAAGAAATATTGAAATATCGATATATTGTATCATTTAATGTGATGATACAGTATCTATATCGGGGGCTGCTGTATCGATATATCGCTAAGACTATTTTTTTGGTATATTTGACTAAATTATTTTGTTACAGCTGCAGTTTTGTTGCTTGTTTAGATGAAAGAAACTCATTTATGCGACACATTTGACATATTCACTGTCTTGAGGATTAAATTGTTTGTGTTTCATATGAATTTTGCACATGATAGTGGTTTATGAAAGACTTTTAGTGTCACAGCCATGAGTTAGCCTTTATTTTATAGAACCATATCAAATCGATTTAAAATGTATTGTATTGAATCGAAAGCACACTGTATCGAGATATGTATCGTATCATGGCCTCTGTATCAAGGTATGTATCATATCGGCAACTTCTTAATGATTCTCAGCCCTATGTGTAAATCTCATTTTTAAAGGTCCTATATTATGCAAAATTGACTCTCTTGAGCTTTAAGCCATGTTATAATGCTGTTACCTCCTCAAAAACATACCTAGTTGAATTCACATATGTTAGAGTAAACTTTTATTAGTAGTCTTTATACATCTCCAAATCTCCATCTCCATCTCAAAATGCTCTGTTCCAACTTGATGTCATGCAGTGTTCGTTTTCATGTTAACTACCTTTTACCTTTATTTCAGTAGAGACTGGAAATTTCAGGGCTGAAATTATCCAAGGTTCATGAAGTTTAAAAACAAAGTGCAAAATAAGAAATAAAAATAATTCCACTTATCTAATGTCTCATATTTTCAGCACCTCTTAATCATTATATGCTGTACTTTTCTAGTTTCAGATTGACCGCCTGAACCCATCATGGACATCATCTCTGTCATTAGGGGTGATAGGCCACGCCCCTGATCGTCTGAACTTCCCCTCCACCGCATGCTGCTTAAAACGATCCACCTGGCTGCTGCAAAGGGACTCTGTCTTCCACAACTCATTGAAGGTGCCAGTCTGTGCCATATTGTTTTGCTGTTAATTTTAAATTTAATTTTTATTTTTAAACCTGACAAAAATCTCTCTTTATGCATTTCTTTTTTGTTTATATACAGATATGTGAAAACTATGGTCCAAATCTTGACACTTGCCCAGAGGGAACAGTACTGGGCCTGCTTGTGGATGCAAACAACTGTCTACATCTTTATGTCAATGGAATGGACCAGGGAGTGGCAGCTCAGGACATCCCTTCACCCTGTTACCCCATCATTGACCTCTACGGGCAGTGTGAACAGGTCAGGCACCCACTTTTAGACAGAACATTCAAGGAGCTACCATTTCTATTCATGAAAAATGAGCCCGAGAGGGAAAACAAACCCGATCTGGAAGATGAATCCGAGATGGTGTTGTGTTGTTTTCAAGGGACTGTGCTCATTGGTATGAAATCCTGAAAAATATTTTTTCTTCCTCATTACTTTCTGAAATCAGAAATGTGCAGTTCTGACTAAATACAGAGCTAACTGCTAGAGGGAGGCTGACGCGGGGTCAGAGCGGGGCAAGGCTAAAACTTACAAAGCTAACTTTTAGGTGCTTTGACAGTTTAAAAATTCCAAAAAGTTGATATTGTTAAAAAAAACAGACGATTCAGAAGAATCCCTACAAAATCCAACCTTTGTGAAAGCTGTGAATGGCCTATCAGCTGAACACGGGCTTTTTGATTTAGCTAAAAAAGCAATGTGCTCTTGGTCAGGTACACTAACACTGACCCTCTGTTACACTGTACTCTATGGGAGGGGGATTGTGTTATTACAGATCCATCATTTTAATAGAAATGCATCTTCTTAGGTTACCATAGTAACAAACAATGTGCCAGCTGTTGGTGGAGAGAGCGCTGAGACCCGTTTTCAGGGCGATATGGAGAAAGCTGACATGGTTGATGGTAAAGGGGTTTTTGTCATTATTTTTAGTTTTGTGTGTGTTTTTTATACTCACACTTGTTCTGTGACTTCTTGAATAAAGGAATCAAAGAGAGTGTGTGCTGGACGCCACCTCCAGAAGTCAACCCCAATAAAACGTGTGAATACCAGGCTCTGTGCTCCCGATTCAAAGACCTCCTCACTCTCCCAGGTGAGCTACTGTCAACTTTCAACTTTATTATTTATTACTGTGGAGTTGGTTTAGATTTTTGATAAATTATATTAACTCGTTTGTTGTTTTCTAGATGGCTACTTCAGTGAAGATGCCAAGTACAATCTGTGCTACTGTGAGTCGTGTCATAAACTTCGGGGAGATGAGGCATATTATAAGAGAGGAGAACCTCCAAGAGACTATGCACTGCCCTTTGGGTGGTGCCGCTTCGCCCTCAGGTAAAACAGCTTGAATATAACTTAAAGGACCCATTTTATGCTATTTATGTTGTTTCCTCATCAAAAACATACCTGGAGTTGTGTTTTGTTGATTTCACACATGTTTAACACACAAACCCTGCATATTTAGGCTGAGTTCTTCTCTCAAACAGAAAACACTCTGTGCCACCTTGCAATGATATGTGGTAATATAGGAAGTGGTCCACTGTGTGACTTAAAGCTCTCAAGAGTCAGGTTTCTGTTATATAGGACCTTTTAAAGATACATGATAGATACATAAATATATAAAGCATTTTTTTCATGGGTTCATTGACATCACTTTTCCACATGTTTATGAATGCAGGATCAAAACAAACTGTGAGGCTTCAAATGCGTTGAAAAAGTGGCACATTGCGTACCATGGCACTAGTGTAGGTGCTTTACGGAGAACACTGGACCATAACCAGCTGCTGTCTGGTAAGTCACTGAATGTCTTGTTAAAACACTGAAGTATAGATGGATTTATCCAGTGGGAGAATAAACACTTTTGCTGTTGCAGGTGCATCATCTGTGTTTTCAGTGTCCCCTGTTAAAACAGAGGGCCCAAATGACTACAGTGAACCAGATGAGAACAGTGCCCCTGGGAGAGAGGTCCCCAGGGTGCGCCTCTCCCCCACAATGCGTTACTCTGGCTTAGAGATCTTTGCTCCTAAAGTGCAGTAAGTTAGTTCGGTGCTAACATAACTTCTGATGACATGTGATGCTATGATTTAGTTAATTATTCTCTGTTGCAGATTTCAAGACCCCCGCTCTCACCGTTGCCACCAGGCACAGGTGGGCTTCCAGGTGTGTGTGCGTCCTGGGTCCTACAAAGTGGGGCCTCAGACGGTGAGCCAGAGCGAGCCCCTGGACCCCCGCTTCAGTAACACAGAGATCGAGTGGATCACTAAAGAGCAGGGTGGGACGATGCTCTATGGACTTCTCATACGAGTCGAATGAACACAAACTACATGAGGGACAGTTTGGTTTTAAGTAACTAACAACCAAATCCAAGCCCTGCCTTGAGCAAAAGACTCATCCAGCGGCCCCCTTAACAAGGGCCTTAACAAGCATTAGTTTTTCCTACTTTTGGTTGTTTGCCCTCGGACACTTTTAGGCTGAGGCTGTGGCGGTTTGAAGACACTGCCTGCACTTTATGTTTTGGACATTTGTGGGCGATTTTTTAAAAGTGAACTCATCGACACAACATGTTTGTTAATCGGCTGCAGATTATTTTTTACTTTCACTGGTCACAGATTTTGTCACTCACTTACAAGTTTTCACCTCCAGTGTTATTGTTTTAAGTTCAGCTAAAAGCTCCATCTCGAAGCTATCCCTGCCAGTCTGCACATCAACACTTCTGAAATGTTAGAAATGGACCCAGTAGTGTTTTGGAGAGTTTGACAGAAAAGAAATGTTTACTGAAGTATACGATACGCTACAGACCTCGGGCTTTGTCACATCCTTCTAGCTTGTCTCTTGAGGAAAAAACAGGTACAACTGGAAAAAGACAATGCACCTTTTTGGGAAAGTTAACTTTGGTGTATTAAGTTTCAGCCTTATGTTACAAAGATCAATTTAAATGTATTTAAAAGTAGACTTGACTAGACAACATTGTAACATTATAAAGGTGGTTTCCAAATTATTTGCCCATAAACTTATGTTTACATACATCCAGGTTTTTCAAAATCAACCGTCAAGCCATCAACACAACACGCTGTTTACAAGTGAATGTTATTTAATTAGGGCTGCTGTTTTCTGTGCATTTCTAATTGGTTTACATTTGTCAAAAATTTTGTCTGCTTTTATTTTATTTTTTACATCCACACTGACTGATTGTAACAGCAAAAAGGTTTTCAAACTAAGTGCGTTTTTTCTTATTTTTTTTCCAATCCTGTTGCCAATTTATAAATAATTATGCTACAGTACATAAAAAGATGCACAGTATCTCAAGTAGCTGTGATCCAAGTGATGAATCTATGGGGTTTGACAGAGAAAAACTTCCAATCAAAAAATGTGAATATATTTTGGGTTATTACAGCCCAGTGCTGCTTTGTATAATTTTATTTGTAGTATTTTGTTTCTGTATGTTGTGTTGTACAGGCTGTTACATATCAAATCATATCTTCCTGATTTATAAATAAAATTAAAAAACAGTATGCAAAAAAGGAAATTTATGCTAATATGACAAACAAAAACTGAAGGTTTTGGTTTCTTTATTTTCAAATTTTATTTAGGAAAAACTGGTCACTGACACGTTATTGCAGCGTTGCATACTTGACTCATTCACACCTTTCCAAAATGCTGTTGACTAATAAGGCCAAGTGTTTGTTTTATACCACTATTTCTGTCCTGACTTTAAAAAAACATGTACAAATGTAGCAGCTCCAAATTTAACTATGAAAAACAAAAGAGATATTAAAAATAATTAATCTACTGCGTAATCTTTTGGGTTGCATAGTCTCTTAACTTTGCCATCGTAGTCATTGTCATTTTCACGAGTGCATAATTGCTTAGGGAGTTGATTATTCTGCTAATATGTTAAGACTTAGTTTGATTTCTTATTGGTAAAATTTTAAGATGATCAGCGTTACTAAATTGCAGCAAAAATATTACAGAAAATTCAGCTTTAATGATTTCATCCAGCAGCATGTCTACAAGGGTAATTTTATGAGTGAAGACCATTTTAAAGGTCCTATATTACACAAAACTGACTCTTGTGAGCTTTAAACCATGTTATGTTACCTCCACAAATACACCCAGATATGTTTATGTTTTTGTTTCATTCACACATGTTTGATAAATTCTTTATTATTAGTCTGTCTATATCTCCAAAGCTAAACATGTTTTGTTCCACCTTGTGATATCATGTAATAGTAGTTTTCATATTAACATCTACTTTTCACTGTTAGTTCAGTAGTTTGACAATTTTAAGGATTAAATCATCCAGATTATTCTACTGAAGGTGTATGGAATTTAAAACACAGTGGAGCACTTGTATTACCACATAACATCACAAGGTGGAACAAGGTGTGTTTGAGAGAAGAAATCAGTCAAAATAGTCATGGTTTGTGTGTTAAACATGTTTGAATGAAACAAAACAACTCCAGGTTTGTGAGGAGGAAACCTCATTATAACATAGATCAGTAATCGTGAAATATGGACCCTTTAAACAATTGTAGAGAGACACAGACAAAATGTAAAAGTTTGGTTTAGCTTCATTCAAATATATTGACAGCACACACACACACACACACACGTTCAGTCTCCCAGGTTTGCCAGGAACCAACAAAACCTCACACAAGTTTAAAAAAATAGCGAAAAGTCCTTTGTACACTTCCACATTACAATGTTCCTCAGACACTGATGTACTGCATTCACTCTCCACTGAAGGGTTAAGCGGCAAGCTACAGAGTGCTTTTATCAAAATGTATGGTCACAGTAGTTCAAATAAAATATCTCCTTTTGGAATAAATAAATAGTTCAGAAACAGAACAAGCTTCAGTACAAACAGATTCAAGACTCCCAAATCTTTTCAATAAAAAAAAAAAAAAAACATAATACAAAAAAATCGTTTATAGAATCCATCCAAAATAAATACAATTGAAGGTGGAAATCTCTGCATCCAGCACAGCTCACAAAACAAACTGCTTTGTGAAGGGAATGAACACATAGAAAACATTATGAATGGTCAATCTCATTTAAAATTCTAATAAATATTTAAAATGAGCTAATTTCCAAGGTCGCTCCTTCACATTACTGACGGTCAGCAGACAGTTTTTAAAAAGTTCAAATCGACTAATGCAGTGCAACTGAGTGAGCATAATAGCAAGACATAACAAAAGTAAGAGCTCCCAATGTCGTCCTCGTTGCCCCAGGAAACCAGACTACACATACAAAGTAGAATGAAAAAATATATGAAGGAATAGTTTCTTCAGAAGATTCTTTGTGGCTGGTTTTTGGAGGTTGGTAGATGAAGGTTGACATAAAAACAACAGACAAAAGGAGGTTTCTAACAAGGAAGAAGGAAGGAAGGCGAGCAGCAATCAAGTTTTTTCATCTACAATACACATTTTTTCCTTTAAAGATGGTCTCAGAACTTTTTCGGGCCCCAAGCTGAGGTTTGCTTTGGGGCAATGCCAGTCCCAAACGTGGGGAAATCCTCTGCACTACTCATGTCCGGAGCCTGCAACAACAGCCAGGGAATAATAAAAGAGAAAAAAAGAGAATGACATGTAACAGAAAGCGAAATATAATGTTTGTGATGTGGTACCTTATTTCCTGCTGCGTTCCATGGGGCGTCCCGAACCACAAATCCTTTAGCAGGACCACCGTCGTCTGGTCCCCCCGCTCCCCCCGGGCCCCCTCCATATCGGGATGGGGGCTTCATGTACGCTGCCAATGTCTCCGTTTCAGTCACACTCAGCATCTGCAAAGAGAAAAAGAGAAGGTTTTCCGATTTTTCAGATCTCAGGTTCCCATCATTTTTATATCCTCAACTTTGCAACATGTGGCAAGTTTTACGTCAAAGGGGGTTGTACAATTAGATTATTGTTCTTTATTATTATTGTTCTCAATTAATAATTATCTTTTTTCCTCACTAAGAAGGAGGGTCTTAGGACAGGGGGTGCTTATGGACAGTTATGCATTGGCTTGTTTCGTGTGAATGCCAGTTACTTTATTTGACTTTTTAAAACTTTCTGTTTGCTAAAATCAGCACCAAAAAAATAAATTAATGAAAATCTGAATTTTATCCCATCTGTATTAGATATTATTGGCCTATAGAAAGCTGTGATGTCATCTGAAACCCACCAGTTGTGTCAGTATCATAAATTTGTTTCACGATTATCGTTTATCGTCTACATTATTATACTATAATATTAAATCGATCAGTATATTGCACTTTAAAATTTGTTAGGCTTATAAATAAACAAATAAACTGCTGTTGTGATTTTGGCATCTATGAAAAGAAATTAAATTATTTCTCACCAGATGTTGTTCATTTGCAAACAAAACTAATTTGGCACTCACATATTCCTCCTCTAGATTAAGCAGGTGGTCGATGGCGCTGTCCACAGTCTCTGGAAGCCCGGTCACTGTCACTTTATCCGGCTCATCAGATCCAGGCTGAGGAAACCTAATATCCACCTGGATCAAAATCCAACAGCACAGATTTGAGCAGCTGAGATACAAAGACTATTATCACATCTGAATTGGCGTGTAGACCTTAAACTCCTCCATGAGTTTGCGGATGGCTTTCCCGCGAGCGCCGATGATACGTGCGTGGGTCCGGGGGTCAAGGTGCACGTCCTGACTCACCATCTCCTGTAGCTCCGAGACCAGCTGCTGAATGGCCTGACGTGCCTCCTCCACATTACGCTCGTAGCCTGATATCACAATGAGGTCCTGTACAAACAACAAAAGTGTTTCAGTGTTTTGGATTAAAGACTCTATCTGGTAATAACAAATGGGAAACACAGATTATAGCCATACATTTTGAGACTATGGGTCCACACTTTTTGTTTTATAATTTAAAAAGGTGCATTGTGTAACTTTTCTTATAGACGGTCCATCACCAGCTTCTCTCCATGGAGATGTTGCCTGCATGGCATTACATGTATTTAGCTCTACAGAGACAGCAGGTGATGCCATAGGGTCAAGTTACATGTTAGATCTGTGGAGAGGCGAGCCCACTCACAGTAAGAATGCAAACAAAACATGTTATTGAGTAAATGCAAGATGGATACATTTAATGCCATACTGGGACATTTCAGACAAAGCAGCAACATCTCCACGGAGACAAGCATATGGCCGACCCCTCCACCAGAAAAGTTACACAATGCACCTAATCTCATTTATGGAGAAGAAATGTCACTTTTTGTAGATATTTAATCTTAAAGAAGTAATTTTATCAGTGTTGTCTCTTGTATAAGTTTTTTATGATACAATGAGCAACAAAGTATAATTATAATCCTACGTCAATATAGTCCAGGTTGTTTTTAGACTATAGGCCATAGGACCTCAGCCTCCTGTATTAAATGGGACACAATGTATAATGTATTATCTTCAAACCTGCTGCTCATCGCCTTTGTCTGGAAACTGGATACTGACATCATGGTCTTTTCTGATCTGAGAAATAACTGCTCCTTTGCGACCAATGATCTTAGGATGGAACTTAGGATCAACAGACATTGTGACCTTAAAACTGCGCAGAGCCTGGAAAGACAGGTTAAATATGTATGTATGTTAAAAAGCCTGATCATTTTCCACAAAAATGAATAATATAAAATTATATATAATAAAATAATTCATACCCTATCCTCTTGTTCAGCTTGAAGTTCTTTGACCCTTTCAAGCAAACCCAGTTTCGCTCGCTCCACATTGGCAGCCAGACCTGTCACCTTGATCACATCAAGCTGCCTCTCGGGCTGTGGTACCCAGATGTTCACCTTCACAAAAATAAAATTTCCTGCATTGTGAACCTATTTCTATACATATAATCTTCAGGTTATAAAGCTTCAGTTCAACAAACTAACCTCATATTCCTCCATCATTTTTCTGATCCCACTTCCCTTTTGTCCAATAATGTAACGGTGCAACTCATAGGACACTTTTACATCCTCTGTAATGGGCACCAGTGCCTGAACGAAAACAGTAAAGAGAAGAATTATACTTTGTCACTGAGTTAGAGCCTCTAACCAGTGTACTGAGGGCCCTACCAGCAAAGCTGCTTTTGCGACTTCGCACTTCTCCGCCCGCCCCGAGATGGTGATGATGTCACACTTTCGAGGGATGAACTCAGCCTCAGGACTGACATCACCATTTTCTTGAAGTAAAGCATCCTGGCCTGCAATAAAAACAAACAAACAAACAAAAAAAAACTATTATAATAAAAAAATATTGAATACATGAATACTGCCTATAGAAGCATGGGTGTTTAGTCTGACCTGCAGTGCTCTCTTCTCTCTCGGGGAACTTTATTTGAACCTCGTGCTCCCTGGTGATGTGCTGAATGCGGCAGCCCTTTGGGCCCATCACAGCTCTGTGGTAACGCTGAGGGATTGCAACCTCCACACTCACCTGGGACTCCTGTTCACCAAACAAGCTGTTTATTAGAAACATACTGTATAAGATTAGAAGTGTCAACTTTTTTATACTTACCAGGTCCTCAATAATCTCCTGTATTCTTTTCTTTGCGGCCTCCACGCAGTCTTTTGCCCCTTTAAGTGTAACTTTCTGACTGTTGGATCCAGTACGAGGAAAGCTCACAGCCACGCCCCCGTACTCCTCTGCCAGCTCTCTCAGCACCTGTCCTCTCCGACACACAAAGTGTCTGTGGTGTCGGATGTCCACGTTCATAGTGTCTTCAACAACATCATCCTACACAAACACCAGAGGAGGGGCTGTTGATGCTTTTGCACATTTTAATCCAAACAAGACATGGCCAAACACAATATTTACCAGGTTTTTGAGTAAACACTCCAGCTCTTTCTGTGCTTGACGAACTGCTTCCTCTTTGCCTACGATGGTGATCAGTTCTTGCTCTACGTCATCCGCTGAAGGAAAGATGATGCGTGCACCTGTTTTGTCTCGTACTTTGCGAATATTTACGCCTCCTCGGCCAATCAGGAACTTGTGGTATTCTGGCTTTGCCTGAAGCTCTGCAGTGAAGTTGTTCACTTGCTGTAGATGACCAAAGAGGAAAACAAGTGGATAAATTATAACATACATGTTTACTTGTGATAGAGGGGTGTGAGGCTGCTTTTCTTTTACATACTCCATATTTACCTTCTCCTCAGCCAGCTGCAGCAGCTGCTTCTTGGCCTTTTCCACCTCGCCCGCTGGTCCCCGGATCGTGACCTTATCTGAGCCAGAGCCTTCAGAGGGGAAGTGGATGTGAACGCCACCACAGTCCTCCATGATGGAGCGGACCAGGCAGCCTTTGGAGCCGATTAGAGAGTTGTGCAACTTGGCTGGAATAGTGACCTCTGTCTCCTTTATATTGGCCTGAGGAGGATAAGCACAAGTTAAAAAGCGGTTTTAAACAGCAGTAAAACCTCATGTTGTGTACAAATATAATTCCTCTCACCAGCTCTCTTTGTATTGCCAAGATTCGACTTCTGGCAGCCTCACAGTTGCTTTTCTTCCCTGTGATAACTATCATCTCAGAGTTACTATTTTCTGTTGGAAGGTCAATCTTAGTGTTGGTCTCTTCACGAATCTGCCAACAACAATTTGCATATCTGAAAGGATTTTCAGTATTTGACGTTTCAAACAGTACCTCAAAGGCAAACTCCATGGACTTTCCAAATAAGAGAGTGGCTAGATGCCAGTATAGGTTACCTTTTTAATGTTAGCGCCGCCTTTACCAATGATATTTTTATGAAACTGCTTGAAGATAGGAACAGAGAGCGAGAAGCTGTTTTCGATCTACAAAGAGAACAGAGATGTGAAGCTGACAGTTATTGTTTTTTGTTTGAGAGAACACATGATCAACAGCAGTGTGCGGGTCGTACCAAGTCTGCAATGATTTTCTGGAGAAACTTGGCACATTTCTCCACCTCATTCTTTGGTCCTCTCAACTGGACAATGTCACTCTTCTGTGATGGGTCAGGAAAATTAATAATGACCTAAAACATATGGAAAAATGGTATTCATTTTATGTTATGCCTGTCTGAACAGAAATGTAACGCATTTCAATAATTGTACCTCGGGGAATTTGTCTCGAACCTCCTTGATCTTCTCCCCTTTCTGCCCAATAATTGTCCGATGGTATTTCTGGTCCACAATCAGGTCTTTGGTTCTTTCATTTTCCTTAAAATTTAATAAAACACATTTCTTATAGCAAAATGTATGTGACTGGTATGTGCTCCATCTGTTCAACCCTCTCACCATTCTCTGAACCATTTCGATGAGTTCTCTTCGTGCCAGCTGGACTCCTTTGGGATCTCCTTCAATCCGGACCAGACCACTTCGCTCTGAGTCCTGGGGGATTCTGACTGATACTTTGTACTGCTCTTTGATCCGATTAACTGAAAGAGAATTTAAATAATCACATTAATAAAACTTTGTAAAAATAATTGTTTCATATAATTTAATCTAGAAACTCTTCTTTCATTGTAGTTTTTAACCTCTACAAACGCCGTGAAATGCATGATATTTCTGTCTTGCTTTAATACTTCATGTGCAAAAAGGTCCTATACTACACAAAATTGTTACTTCCTCAAAAAATACCAGAAGTTGTGTTTTGTTTTATTCATACACATTTGAGTAATCCTTTATTATTAATCTGTCTACATCTCCAAAGCTCAAAATGCTCCTGTGATGTCATGTAGTGGTAGTTTCAAGAGCTACCTTTTACCTTTAGTTTAGCAGAGATTGGCAATTCCAGGGCTAAAATGATCCAAATGATTTTAGTGAAGGTGTCTGGAGCTTAAAAAAGAGTGGAGCACTATTACTACATGACATCACAAGGTGGAACAGAGTGTTTTTGTTTGAGAGAAGAACACAGCCTAAATATGCGGGATTATTGTGTTAAACCTGTGTGAATGAAACAAAACACAAATCTAGGTTTGTGATGAGGAAACAACAACATTACAACATAGATAATAGTATGGGAGGGCTTACACTTTTGAACAGATTCATACTTTTATGTTTTTTAATCAACTCTTAACCACATAGAATGCTCTACTCACTGTTTGCTCCATTCTTCCCAATAAGATGTCTGTGAAAACGCTGATCAATGAAGACTTCAGTGTAGTCCATTCTCACCAACTAAAACATGGAAAAAACAAACAAAAAGTTAAAAGGTACATGAGAAGTTATTTGGTATTATTCATGGTAAACAAGACTGTGTATGCTGACCAGGTCCTTAATGATTTCTTGTATTTGAGCCTGCGCCTGCTCCACCTCCTCTGTGGGTCCCTCCAGACTGATGCGCTCTTCTCCGTCTGTAAACTCAATGTGCACCTACACAAGAATCAGTGACAAAATTATTGTAACTGATTTGAAAGGAAAACGAGCTTCCTACTGATCCCATGTTTACAGTCATCTCTCCCCATTCTTGTAAATCCTCTAAATTCCTTCATAATATCTTGCAGAGATTATTTCACCGTTTTGCTTCAAAGCACTTTACATTTGCTTTGAATAACAGCTTTATGTTTATTTATGTCTGTTAATAAACTTTGTATAGCACTTATCTAAACTATTGTTACAACGTCTAGTCTTCTTACCCGTGGAAGCTGCTGTGTGATTCGGCCAATGTTCTGCCCTTTTTTCCCAATGATAAAGCGATGCAACCAGGCAGGAGCAGTCACCTCCACTACCATAACACTCTTAGCCTGCACAAAAATGGTACAAAACGACAACAACAAGTATAATACCAATATCTAAAAAATATTTTATCAGTTTTTTACAAAGTATTAAAAAAAAAAACATTATTAATGATAAGGTCTTAAAGGGCGTATGACAGGTTCTGATGATGTGACTTAATCTTGTAAATATAAATTATAATGTTACACCAATCAAGAAGCAAAAGTTGAAAAATGTGTTGAAAATTACAGGAAGTAGAGAGTTCTATTTTAGAGAGTTCCCTAATGATAATATCACAATAGGAAGAATTGTATACAAAAGTTCAGCATAGTTTATGCACAAGAAACTACATTTTAGCATTAAAATTAAAATTTGAACACTATTCTAACAAATTAAAAGGTGTTTTCTCATATTTTTATTTGTCACATAATTATTTCGGTGTACATATTGGCCTATTCTACAGCATTGTTGCTAGATAACAGTTATAGAATTCCCTAATGTGATGTCAAGATTACCAACCAGGAAGAAAAATTTGAAACCTAAAAAATTGACAAACTGGGGGGAAAACATTCTAAATTTTCTGTAAAATCTTAAATATAATGTCCTAACCTGTATTAACGTGTAGCTAATGCAGCAACAACTTGATAATAGAAAAGGTTACTTGGGTCATTACAGAAATTCTGATTATGTACTGTCAATGTTAAACTGTATCGAATTTACCATTATTCATTAGTAAAAAAATCACCACTACAACAACAACTGATTAAACTGACTAGTGACTTAACTAGCAACTTTGCTCCTTTGCTCCTTTTGTGAGGATGAACCAGCTCCCGTATAATTTAAAAAGATATTTCAATTATTATTATTTAGATTACACATTTTGTAATAGATTTGATTACAATTAAAATTTGAGCCCTACCTTTGCGTAAACTTGAGTTAAAGCTGGGCCTAACTTATCCGGCTCCCCTCTCAAAATGATGGTCTCTGAGGGGGAGTCCAGTGGGGGCATCTCCACGGATACCCCTGTAGCCTCCAAGATCTCCTGCAGAGTGTTCCCTTTAGGTCCAATGATGTACTTGTGCTGAGACTTCTTCACTTCCACCGAGATCGTTGTGGTCTTCCTCTTCTGTGGAGCGGAAAATGAGATTATGGAGTGATTTAAACAACATCCGTGGAGAGAGGAACAGGAAGTCATCGACACGGTGATTGAAGAGCTCATTAAGGGATGGATGCAAGCACAACAACATATGTGAGGAATGGCAGGAAACAGACTAGAGATAAGGTGAGATTTAAAAGAGGAAAAGACAAACAAACAGATGAGCCAAGCCTGTAAGAAGTAATAAAGCAAGATGGCGAGACAAAAGGAAGAAACGGGTGGAAAAAATATGTGACCTCATATACACACAGTAAATAAAATTAGCATTCATCCTGTTATTCCAAATTTTCTTTTCATATTTTCCGATTCATCCTTCACCAGTGCTGTTGGTAGTTTACACACCTTGCAAGTTGTTTTCCATCTTTCTATCTGGCCCAAGTCAAATTCTTCTACCTTTTCCACTGGTTCTTTTTGGATAACAAATGCACAAAGCAATCTAAACAAACAAGTCACGCAGGATGTAAATGTCTTTCACCATAGGTCACAGTTTAAGCACCTTGTCCTCGTAAATGGCCCGGATGCGGTTGAGTGCCAGTGCCACAGCTTCCTTCTCTCCAGTGATGACGATCTCGTCTTTGGGCAGGCTGGGTGGGGGGATACTGATGCGCGCCCCTGTCTCCTGGCTCAACTCCTGCACCAGGCGGTTGTGCGCTCCAGCGATGAATGGGTGGAAGGCTTTTTCCAGGGATAGGCGTTCCACAGCTCGTTTGTCCTGGTGATAGGGAAAGGAATATTAAATACTAATATTAAAATATGCTGAGAAAATTGTGAAAAAAACACTGTTGGGGACATTTAGATAAGAACCTGTTCAGCAGAAATAAGGAGAATTTCATGGCGAGCCTTCTCAATTCCCTCCTTGGTGCCAGTGATGCGGATGTTAGCACTGGGATCATCAGGTCGGGGTATTGCAATCTTAGTAGCCGTCTTCAGTTCTAACTCCTGCAGTTTCTCACCATTTTTACCAATCACAAAGCGATGGTGCTCCTTGGGAATGGCAACAGTTGCTGAGGCCTAAATCACATAAAATTCATTGTATGAAGATATGGCACAAATACATGAGAAGTAATAATTGATGTTTTAAACATACTTGTGTCTGCAGACGTGCTACAATTTCTTTCCGAGCTTTCATGACAGAATCCAGTTTTCCAGTAACCATGATGGACAGCCCTTGGTCTTTAGCCAGAGAGAGTTCGATGTGGGCTCCAGTTCGTTGCATGATGTCTAAACAAACCTTGGCCTCCTCCCCCTCTCCAAACTGACTGTTGTCCTTGTATCGACGCTCCTCCAAAGGGACATGGAAGACCTTAACACACAACAAAAGAGGGTTCATGTTCTATCCATGTACAACTAGTCTTATTTGACCAACAAGATGGTTTACAAAAAAAGAGGAATGCCACAAAGCTATACCCAGTTTTTTTCTTTTTAAAAAGGAGTGTAGCTTCTTTTTTACAGACCTACAAAACACAATTTTGACAATACTTTTACCTGAGTGATAACAGAGGCTTTGATGGGCCTGATCTTGCTGCCCCATGCTGATGGCTGCTCCCCAGTTTTTTCCCCTGGTGTGCCCTTCTCTGGGAGAGGAGGGAAGGCCTCCAGGTAGGTTGGGATATAGGCTTCATCCTCCGGGACGCAACCTGCCCCAGAGAGACACATAGAGAGGATAATATATTGACAACATGCAAAAGAGAAGAAAAGGAGAAGAACAGTATGTACTGCATATATGGTACTTATATTAATGGATAAAATAATTACTTACCTGTAATCTCCTGATCCTTGAGGCCACTGCGGTGCTCCGCAAAGCTCTCCGGTGTCAACACTGCCACTGAGCTCATGGTTTAAGACTTATTCCGCTGTTCCACTGTGAAAAAGAATCACAGGCATGGACGAAACTGTACAGTCTAAAGGGTGCTACTTTGAAAGTAACTGCTGCCACTGTGACATTGCAGAACTGTACACCAACGATACCCCTAATAACAAATTACAAATCCCTGGCAAAAACATGCTGCTCTAGGGATTTTAATATCACAAGAACTGAGGACAGAATAACTCTTAATCTTGACAGTTTAAATACCTCACAGCACAATATAAATAATTCTGTGAAATCCCAAAATGTACCTGCAAAAGGTCAATTGCCAGAGAGTCCGTCCAGGTAACGTTTACCGTAAGCGCTTCAGTCTGATTTTGTTTTTCAGCTCCTGGGTGCACAGTATGAAAAACACAAAGCTATTAATACCCAAATAACACTGCACCCTCTACAGTGCCCTTATTTATCCCAGTGCTTCACAGCATCAAATACATTTTGGAAATAAGAACACCACATATTTTCAACCACGATTTACATGAGTATTACTGAAGTTGCTATATATACTTGTACTTTAATAACTGTACATGCATAACATATTGGTATGTAGGAGATCATGAAAATCTATTCATTACACATTTAACAGTTCAGTAATAATAATTACGCATTGGATCCCCGTATCGAGTTGTACATTATTATCCTGAATATTAAATGCTCAGTGTAACAATGAATCAACTCTAATAATTATAGTAAATAATTTTTAACTCATAGTAGAAACACAGAACCACCTGACAAAGGACTAACTTAACAGACACCACAAAATCAATACAAATATATGGTTAATAACAACAACCAACAGGATATATGCTACATAAAGATGAGGGCTTTGTGCAATGCGCTAGCTTACGACCCTGCGCTCTGGTCTGGCAGAATATCATTCATGGCACTAGCTTGAAGAGGCAATGCATGGCTTGTCGGGTTAGCCACGGGGCTAAATTCACCTCTGTTGTAGTTTCCGACGTAAACTTGAGAGTGCAATATCTATAAACTGGTTTGCTATGCTAACACATGAAGCCCCGTTCCGACCTCAGCCTGGGATGATTAGGCACAAGGACTTTCTGATAATCGGCTAAAAAACAAGCCAGGCGGAAAGATAGCCAGCCTCAGCTCGCTAGCTAAGGATGCTAACATTTCCAGTATCTTACTAGAATGGAAGGACCGGCATTTCCTCATCTTATTGTAATTAATGACTTTAATTATCACGACAATACAGGGATGAGTAGTAAAACAATAAATACAAAATCCCTACCGTACAGAGAGAAAATCCAGGCGAGGGTGTGTGTTTGACAGGTGATGGTGTAAACACAGATGTGATTGGTTCAGCAGCATTTCCTCTACGCGCGGAAGGACACATGTGCGCGATGCGACTCACGAGGATAAAGGAAATGCCGCAGTATCTTTGCGCAGTGGGAGCATCCACGTTAAATAGTGCCACGCAAGCTTCACACACTTTAGTCTATCTCAAAACACAAACACGTGCGCACACTAAACCATGCATCAACCTTTAACCAAACGCTTCAAATGTCTTTGCCACTGCACTGTTTCTTTATTGAGTTTCATTTACAATCATGCAGTTTCTCACGTCGTTCAAAGTAACCGGATCTACTTCTCATTCATGATCCCTACTGTGAGCTGTACTGGAGGAGCACTGAGTACACGTTGCCAAAAATATTATAAACAAAGAAATATCTACATGTAGGCCGAATTCATCTAAGCTAGTGGTAGTTTATTCTACATGGGAGACTAGAATAATTCCAGTTTTTGCCTTTCCAAAACAGGGCACTAGGTGGAGGCAGGGAACAGGAGAGGAGGGTTGAAAGTACCATAACAAACATAACGTCTATGATAATTAAGAGAAAACAGTAAAGGCTGTAAATGCAACAACATGCGAGCCTAAGTGAAGTAACTTACACATGAACAACATTATCCACCTATATGCACCTGAAACAATTAAGGAGAAATTTCACCATTATATTTGCCATTAAAGGCACACATTAAACCACTAATAAAATGCTTATTGTTATAACTACTTTCGCAATTAGATTATGGCTCATAATAAAGGGTGTAGGCTATTATAATATCTATTCACTTCATGCCAATAAAGTGCAACCACTACTACGAAGTTACTACAACCTAAGATGGCAGCAACAAAATACACTGTCCTTCAAAATAAAAGATTGAGACAGGTGGGTTGTTCAGAAAGAGAGAGCAACGTGGGAGATATTCTTACAGAAATTGACTTGCCTAATAAAACAATAAATAACTACAGAAAACACGTGTATTTATCTGAACAATCATCGTATTTTCATTTTTTTCCCAAACTGAACCACGTCGTGACTTTTATTTTGTCTTACTTCCGGGATGCTGAGCGCTGTTGTTGGGTCGTTTTGCCGGAGCCCAGAGTGGGAGAGGATCCACTGCCTCCTGCTCGCTCCTGGATCCACTCGAGCTCCCGCGGTAACAAAGAAGACAACAAGGGGGATGATGGGTGCCCACACGAGGGTACTGTCAAAACAGCAATAGCGTACTGGACTGATGGCTGTATTTCGCCGAAAAAGGAGCTTTAGTCTTTATTTTTCATGTCTACGTTCACCTTCTCGAGGCTGAAGTTAGAACTTATCAGGAGCTACATTTGATTTTTTCTGTGATCCGAATACTGCGTTTTCTCGGAGCTAACGATGGTGATCTGCTAAAATTACAGCACAGAGCAGATATTTGGAAAAATCTGGACAATATTGGTAAGTTATAGATTGGTATTTGGAGTGTCATGTGTGTACGGGTGGGACCTTTGGCACCTGTTCCCTTAAAGGAAGTAGTATGCAATGTTCGCATACTGAGCAACGCACATCATTATGCATAAAGGATAAGTTAATTAGTTGTTTCATTCCTAATCAGTTTTGATCATAGTGATGTATAAAAATACCTGTTTGACTTCTGTAATCAAGTTAATTAACTTTTACCATAGGTTCCTTTAAGTAATTAGCGAGTGACTGTGAATGACCATTAAACCTAATAGACAAAACATATTTCTAGGGCTAGGACAATCATACAAAAATGGGATGACTCATAGATTTTGTTATTCTAAATCAATCCCTTAATAAATGTCTCCTTTGCAAATATATGCGTCATACTACCCATTTCGTCTCACACCCTTTTTATCTATGCCTTAACGATCATAGGTCATCCACAGTTTATGGCCTGACCAACCTGAAATGAATATTATCTTGTATTCCCTGTGGCTGTGTGTTTTCCTTTTTCCATCAAACCTTTCCATCCGCTCTTCCTGGCCAACGTGGAGCTTCCACTGTCATCACATGTGCGTTGGTGGATATTAGCCAAACACTAAAGCCCCCCTGTACCCACCAACCCATTAGGCTGATGGTACAGTAATACAGACCTACTTGACTTATGCTTGTAAACCGTTTCTTATACTGTGCAAAATGACCCACTGACCCAGCCTCGCAGTGAAATCCTCCAGACTGGACAATCAGCTATTGAACTATTATATTAACCAGGTCAATACAGGCTAAGGAGACAAAAGAGGAGGGGGTGCAGTCAAGAATCAGGGGCATCAAGTGTATTAGTCTAGAGTGGCATAGAGACACAATAGCCATGTTGTCTATAAATGCTTTTCCAGTGAACACACCCATTTTTAAGCGGTTTTAATGTCACCCTGTGGACAATGGCTTTGACCTGGAGGCAAAAGTGTCCCTTTACGTTATACCCTTATATGCTGTCGTAGCCACTGTAAACAATGTATGTTTGGTATATTAGTTCATGATCACAACTTTTGAAGTGTGATATATTGCTGAAGAAATAATAATATTGAAAGTAATTCATGCCACTGACACAAAAGCCATAAAGCAAAATTATTTCCCCTTAAAATAATGTAAACTACCATATATTGTCTGAAAAACATGAGCTGTATAAACCAAATAGCACAATGAAATGCTTGTTTGTATCATTAATGAGTCATAGCAGTTATTTATTCAACCCTCTACAGCTCAGGTTGATACAGTATTTATTATGACAGGCGTAGGTATTATGTGATGCAGTAGTGGAAGAAATACAAAATTTTGTTCACATGAAAAAAATCTACTTTTGTAAAAGTATTAAAGTACCTGTGTAAGATTGTACTTAAAGAGTAAAAAGTAAAAGTATTTCACACATTTTTTTTTTTTTAGATCATATAAGGCTTTAAATGTAGTGATTTTGTTCAACAGAACAATTGAATCAACTACTTTTTTTCCCCTTGCTGTTTTTATTTGTATATTTTTGTTTGCTCAAATTATGAACATGTTAAAAATAAACCCTCAGGATTTTCAGCAGGTCTCAAGCTATAATGAAAAACACTTTTACTTTTCAGTCCTGGTCAAAAATGTAGTGGACTAGAAAGTGCAGATACCTACTCTCAGATGTAGTGAAGTCAAAGTAGAAAGTATCCTCATAAAAATTTACTTAAGTAACATACAGATACCTAAAATTTATACTTAAGTACAGTTCCATCACTGGTTTGATGTAATTGTAACATGAATATACTATTTTCTTATCAGAATCAGATTGATAATGAAATATGAACTTTCTCATGACCACCTGAATTGACTTAAAAACCTAAACTGATGAAGCAGTGCTTACATGTCTCTGAGACTGGTCTAACAGGCTTGTGTGCTTTCTTTGGTTACAAACAGCCAGTGCCTGACGGCGGTATTGACTCTGGAACACTCTGCTGAAAGAAACGTCACATACCCATCCAAGCTGTTAGGTGCTTGGCTTTGTTCACCTGCTGGCATTTTGCACTACATACTGATTACATTTTTTAAAAGTCTCGGGATTCATTCTATTATTAACCTCCCAATATGAAAGGGCATGAAATCTTGTGTCTGACTTTTTGACTCAGACTTAGACAAACTGAAAGTTATTTGGACAAAGTAGCACACAAATTATTATAATAAGTTATTATGATATATTGTGAATAACAATATATTATAATAACAAAAAGCAAAAATATAAATGGTAATAATGCATTCTAAATTCAAAGTAGTAAAAAAGTAAAAAAAACAGACTGGCATAATAAGGCATAATTATATAAATATATATGTACAAAAAAACCCAAAGTCTATAATAAAATTTTTTTTAAAGTCTCATCTATTATTAACCTCCCAAAATGAAAGTGCATGAAATCTTATATCTGAACTTTTGAACCTACCTTTTACAATAATCCTCTTAGTTTATCGGTTTATGGGGTTTTCTGGTCTTGTAATTTTATATGTCTTGCAATTTTATAATAGCTATAATGGTAAGGACTTATTGCATTGTAAAATAAATTTTAGTTTCGCTACTTAATATTACATTTCATTGACCATTAGTCCAGTTGTTTACAACAACTCCTACCTGTATTTGTTTCTTGGATCCTGTTAGATTTCATGCCAACACTTGCTCCAGGAACTGAGATTGCCAGTCTGTGTGACTCATCATATGACTAACTCAGAGTTAGTTGGTATTACATCAGCTGTCAGAGTTGTAAAAATATAGACGAAGAATCTGCAGCTTAAATATTTGGTCATCTGTTCGTAGTATGATTTCACTTTGGCGTCACCGTGATTCTATTTATACACAGTGGTTGGAGTATTTGACCTGTGTGGCTGCTCTAGCATAAATAATTTGACTTGGGAATGCTCCTGTTTGGGAGCGGAAATCAGTGCATGCTGAAGTGCACTACTATGTCTGTTGGTTTTAGGGGGTTAATATTAATTTTCTCTCAACATTATTAAAATAAATAAATTCATAAAAAGGTTATCAATAATTGTTTTCTGTTGCTTAGTTACAAAATTAATTAGGGCCAGATCAGTCAGTGTGAAGCAGTTATGTAATCAGTGGTCACTGAAACTATAATTATTTGTGCTTTAGAGTATTGTGCAATGTCGTATTAAACTTGTAAAACCTGAATGTTATTTTGTCAGTTTACTACTTGCCCAGAGTGTTATGGCCATTTCTCTAAACAATACATCAATATCTAATACTGCTGAGTCTGTCTCCATTATGATTCATAAAAGGTTCATGAGGAGAGTACCGGTAGATGGACTTTGAGTGGAATTTCCTGTAAATTATAAAACTATATTATTGAGTTAGTTTATAATGCAGGCTATAGCCTACTACTCATACTTTATTATAGCATTAAGATTACGCAAATGTAGTTGTGAGGCTTTAGGGCAAAGTTCAGTTTTTGTCTAAAGACTCAGCTCAGGATCTTAGCTGATTATTAATCTCACTTTAAACATTGTGGGATTTTTTCCCACTGTTATTAGGCAATAAAAATATGGATCACACTATTGTCAAAATGCAAAAATTTCAAACTTGATACCAGTACTAATTTTGACCAGAATTATAATAAAAACACTTCTGGACAACATAATGTAATGTTAAACCCAAAATAATTGTAGTTTTGTTAATGTTGTTGTCTTATACTAGTTAAGATTTATATCAAGCATTCGAATTTACAGGAAAGGCTGGAATTTTATATTGCTATAGCTTACCATTTAACTTTAGCACAATTTCTTTGTGATTTTTAAAGGGTCCATACTACGCTCTTTTTTGCTTTGTTATAATAGTTCCTCATCACAAACATACCTGGAGTTGTGTTTTGCTTCATTCACATGCAAAACCTGCATATTTAGGTTAAGTCCTTCTCTCAAACAGAAAACACACTAGAATTGCCAAACTCTGCTGACCTGAAGGTAAACCGTAGATGCTAACTTGAAAGCTACCACTACATGACTTGACGTCACAAGGTGGAAAAGAGCATTTTGAGCTTTGGAGATGCAGACAGAGTAATAATAAAGGAATATGCCAGCATGTGTGAATGAAACAAAACACAACGGATATGTTATTGATGAGGTAACAACAGTATAACATGACTTCAAATCAATTCAAGTCGATTTTGTGTAAGGAGAGTGTATTTCCTTGTTTTGCAGATGAGAAATGCCTAAAGTGACTTAACACTCCAGAACTTGACCCCTGTGTGGTCAGTGCAGGAAGTGAAAGCATCACTAAACTGAAGTAACCATGTCCAGTGTGGATACATACCCCCGACCCCCCTCACCTCGCCCAGAGATCCCCCCAAAGCCTCTGCCACTGGACTCTCCTCCGCTGGGGGAGAGGGGCAGCACTGCGAGGCGCTCTGGAGGGATGGTGAAAAGTATGGTGACGAAATTCAGCAAACAAGAGCAAGCTTCAAGTGTACCGGGTACCAAAAACATAAATGGTAAAGCTGAACCTATCTACAGACGGATTTCAAGAGCACCAACCATAAAGCCAAAACCTGGGCGTCTAAGTTTGCCTCTAATGCCCCCTCCACTGCCCATGAAGAGAAACAAAATCCTCAAAAAACAACAAAGCCTGAGGGGAAATGAGGTGCTTAGTGCCCCTGTGGAAAGAGACCGATCAGGTAAAGCCAGTTTTACTTTTTTGGGGCTTAAAGGTAAATGATAATTGAAAAGTTATTTAAAGTTGTTTTAGTAATATCCTGTCTCTGTATGGTATTATTATTATTGTGTTTCAGAGCAATAGTTGATATATATACCTACATGCTTGATCTGAAATGCATGCATTTTTTAGTTTAGTTTAGTTTATTGGTTTATTTCAACAGGGACCATAAGCAAACATATTAATCTCCTAGAAGAAGAGAGGCGTTACACCAGATTTCGGTAAAGATAGTTTCCATCTGCACTCCTATGGCAGGGGAACAACTAAAACTCTATCAGCATTTAATATAAGTCCTCTCTTAAATGTTATTGCTCAAATGTGCATTGTGGTTTGCATTCAGATCATTAAGCCATATTACTAAAAAAAGGATTTGACTCCCTGCTCTTTTATGTACATACATTATTAGATTGTAGGGTGTATGATCAGGGCGGTGTTTGACTCTGGCAGGTGTGGTGCTGCTGACTAATAAAATGTCTGTTAACTGGTTTTGTGGAGGTTACTGTGCAGGCAGGTGCATGTCATAGTGAATACTTAGGAAGCATTTACTAAGAGTATTAAGAGTATTCATTGTAACTAATCTTTGTTTTTATGCCTAACATTTAATACATTGTAAGTAATCTCTTGTACACAATGCCTGTCACATTCTGTGTGTATTTGTTGCATTTATGTATACATTTTAATTTTGTGATGTAGTTGTCTAAAGACATGTCCTGCTGATTGATTAGATGACTAAAAATGGGGTGTGGCAACAGCTCTCAAATCTACTATATATTTCTGTGTAACTGGCCCAAACTCACAGGACTACACTGTGCAGGAGTTCATACAAAAACAATTTATGCTTTACTTGAAGGTCCTATATTACGCAGCATTGATTCTTGTGAGATTTGAGCCATGTTATTATGTTGTTACCTGCTCAAAAACATAACTGGAATTGTGTTTTGTATCATTCACACATGTTTGAGTAACCCTGTGTTATTAGTCTGTCTACACCTCCAAAGCTCAAAACGCTCTGTTCCACCTTGTAAGGTTATGTTAACATCTACTTTTTACCTTTAGTTCAGTAGAAACAGACAATTCTAGAGCTGAAAGCTGAGAGCCCCAAATGATTCTAATAAAGGTGTATGGAGTTTAAAAACACAGTGGAGCACTTCCAATGACCACATGGTATCACAAGGAGTGTTTTCTGTTTGATAGAAGAACTGAGTCTAAATACGCAGGATTTGTGTGTTAAACGTGTGAATGAAACAAAACACTAGGTGTGTTTGTGATGAGGAAACATTATAACAGAACTCAGATAATAATGTAATATGGGCCATTTGATGCAAATTTTGAGACATCCAGGAATAAAATATTATCAGCAAGTAAAATGAAAACAACTGAACTAACTTAGCTTTTTTAGTACTAGTTTGTTTAACTCGCTTATAATAATTTATGCATTAAAAAGTACAATATATTTATATAAAGACAGACACAACTTGTGAATCATGAGTTTAATTTGCCTTTTGATAAATAAATATTTAAAAAATAATAATAATCTTCAACATATCAATATCAAAAAATACCAAATCTTCAGATAACTCACTCACTAACTTCTCCTTTCTGCTGTTGTCCCATCTAAATCCTTATAATCTAAATAAAATCATTTGTCAACTAATACTAATACAAACTAATTTTGGTTGACTAAGAAACCATCGACCGATTAGTCGATATTATAAATGTATTGATTCTTTTGTCTAATCAGGAACTACCACTGCATTAGCTGATGTGAAATTTAACATATATTATTACACACTTGTAGACTTGTATAATGTTTTAAATTAATTGGCTGTATCGATTCTCTGGTGCAATTTCTTTGTAGCAACCTTTCATAGCAGATATTGTTTGACATGTTTTTATTTTTGAAATATTGTGTTGCAACATTTTTAAACTTTATGTGTATGGCCAGGACTTAAAATGTAAAAATAAATAAGTAATAGTAACTAAAAATAGAGCCATGTGTGTCATAGGTGGTAGGTGCAAGCATACATTTTCTGAGCACTTAAGCCTTCAATGGAAAGTGACAATACAGGATTACTCAAACATGAAGCAAGCAAGCATGAATTCAAATATTGCTCTGAGTAAGCTAAAGAAGAAGTACCATTATAACAAGGTCAATTGCTCATCAAACAAATACATAGTGTTGTGTTTTGTTTCATTCACACGTTTGAGTAAACCTTTACTATTAGTCTCTCTACATCTCCAAAGCTGAAAATGCTTGGTCCCCTGAATTGTGATGTCATGAAGCAGTAGTTTTCATGTTAACAGCTACTTTTTACCTGTAGTTCAGTAGAGATTGGCAATTCCAGAGCTGAAATCATTAAAATGATTCTAGTGAAGATGTATGGAGTTTGAAAACACTGGAGCACTTCCTGTATTACCACATAACATCACAAGGTGGAACAGAGATTTTTCTATCTGAGAGAAGAACTCATCCTAAATATGCAGGGTTTGTCTGTTTAAAAATGGGTGAATGAAACTCCCGGTATGAGATTATAACGTAATCAGAAAATAGCACAATACGCACCCTGTTTAACCTTCTGATTCTGGTGACCATTTTTATCAGTATTTCCTTGTTTATTTATTCCCATTGTCAGTATTGTATTTTTTCTACGTGTAACTTCAATCTCCTTATTTAGACTTGCAGAACATTCCATAAATATTTGAACAAATCACTTAATTGCTGTTGCTTTATTTGTGGAGCTGAAAGGACAGTCCAGTTTGTCCAGTTCAGAGGCAGACAGGTGGGGCTTTTAGTGCTGCAGTGAAGGAGTGGGGCAGTGATGACTGTGCATAGCCTTATTTGAAACAAAAATAGAAAATCAGATACTAATCAATGCTAAAAGTAGGATAAAATTACATACTAATCATTTGAGCAAGTATCAAAAAGTCACATTCAATCATAGGACAGAAATGAACCTTTTCCTGAACAGCTTTAGAATATCTTAAGATGTATCAGAACAAGTATAAAAGCACATAGACACCCACAGACCTCTATGGAATATACCCGGACGACTGAAGGATTACACAGATATAAGACCACCTGGTAATTTAAAAGGAAGTGCTGTAATTTAATACTGAAAACTAAATTCTGTTTTTCAAATAAAGAGTGTTTGTTTTATTACCATCGTGGTATCGAAATCGAGTCTGAAATGTTAGTATTGCGACAACACTAATTCTAAATGCTTCTAAGTTGTTTTGCAATTTAATGGTTCTCTTATGCTGGTTTTGTTTTGAATACTGTTTTATGTTTTGAATACTGTTTATGTCTGATGCAGAGCCGGATGGTAAAGAGGTGGAGGTGCGAGTGTTTAAAGGGGGAGATGCTGATTCAGAGCACAGCCTGGACACTCCCCTCAGTCCCTGCTGTGACCCCTGCTGTACCTGTGTGTGCCACCTGCAGCGCCCTGGCATGATGCTCATGTGGGTCCCTATAGACTCTGTGAAAGACCACGGGGAAGAGGAGCCAGAGGAAGAGGATCCAGACATGGGTGAGGATGGAGCCGAGGACACAGAGGAGGAAGGAGAGGAGGAGGGACAGGAGGAGGAGGAGGAGGAGGAGGAAGAGGAAGAGGAGGAGGGGGAGGAGGGTCAAGAAGAGGTTCAAGAGTATGAGACTGACAATGAAGAAGAAGAAGTGGATGGGTTTCACGATGGGCCTGAGGTTTTCAAACATGACAAAACGACTTTTCAGCACAATCTGGACATAGTGCTTGGTGATGGCCTCAGGAGACGCTCAGACCCAGGACCTCACTCTGTGTTTAGCACTTTGTCAGAACTTCGCTCTGAGTCTCCTCCAATTCCTCCAAAACGCACACGCTCTCCTTCCAACGTCCAAACAAATGCTCCGATTGAAGAGGAGAACATTTATGAGGTCAATCTCCCTGTGGTTGACCCCAGCCGTAAACAGAGCACATCTGAAGGCAAAGACCTGAACATCCCTTTGATCAGAGTCAGAAAACCAGCCGAGCGACGATCAAAACTGTCCTACAGCACCTCAGATCCAACGTCAGAGTTTCAGACAGATTTTGGTCCAAGTGTGGAAGATATGCCCCCTGCCATCCCGCCTCGTATGCCCATATCACCGGATGCTCAGAGTCTGACGCGGCTGATGCGGGGAGGCTTCCAGCAGCCCACAGTGGAAGAGGCACAGTCCTTCCTGCTCCCTCCAAGAGGCCCAAGTCATCAAAGCATCACCACTCCTCCCAAAAGCCCTCTCGTACCTCACAGACCCCCACCACCACCACCCAAGTCAGATTCTCGGAGACTGAGCACTGCCTCAGTGCAATCCCTCCCAGTCACTTTGAGAAAAGGTTTGTATGTTTTATATTTCATAGTCAAATCATTTACAGATACAACCATTCAATTTAGAAATCCAGATTTAATTTGTTTTTTTTATATTGTTCCATAGAAGAAGAACAAAATGAGAAGCATGAGGAAGAAAGTGAGGACACAGCAGATGTACCGTAAGCGCACATATAGAATGATTTCTGAAGCCAAACTTTTGTAATATTTTTCTCTATTCTGTTTTATTTTTTCTTTGTTAACTATTTTATTTTTGTCTCAGGCGTCCAGCAGTTAGAACCCTATCACTAAGGAAGAAGGGAGCTTCATTGGATAGACTACAGGAGTTCAAACAAAAAGAAGGTAAATCTGAAGTTACAGTTTAAAGCTTAATACAGTGTATGAGGATTCAGATAGAGAGCTACAACTTTTTTATAGTCTTCTTTCAGTCCCAAACTCTTCATTCTTTGTCCTCATTGCATAACATACCTAAAACTACTTTCATTGATTAAATTGTTGCTGCTTTCATGACAGAGCCCTTGTACCAGACGTACCGTGACAGTGTGATCAACAAAGAGATCAGGCGGCAGACTGTATGTCCTAACATCAGTAAAACTAGTACGGACTTCTTTGGGGAAGGAGGTGTCAGTCGGCCTGCTTCGAGTAACAGATCCAGTCCAGTGCCCATCACAGCCCAGAGCACCCTGTGGCAGGACCTCCAAGCCGTACGGGACAGTGGTGCTCTGGAGAAACTCAGCCCCGAACAGTGTAAATACCAAGAGGTGAGGATTCAGGAAAGAAGGTTACCATAAATGAAAAAAATCTATATTTTTTCCACACATTAGCCTGTAGTGCAGAGCTCCGGGGTATTGAATTATATTTTAATGTAATAATATGAGGTCCATAATGTTTTATCCAATACCACTTTGAGGCAATGCCAAGTTTATGGAAGCGATTACCATCAGCTTTACTTAAGAGTATGGCTGAATATGAACCTACCTTTTACTGTTGCAAAAAATAAAATATTAAAGATATATAGAATATGCTTTAGAAGTTCCAGCATATGTAATACACATATACAATAGTGCCCGGCAGCCTCACTGTTAGCATCACTACTTCCTGTCCAATTTTATCTCTGTGGTTTTTGCTGAGTCATGCTAAAATTAATAAATATTTCAGGAGAAGGCTGCGAACAGCGAGCTGCAAGTGGATGTCACTAACAACATGTTAAAAAGTACACAAATAAAATTACTACATCACTGAAAGCCACTTCTGTGTGTAGAAAAGTAAAGATTTGTGTCTCGATACAAACACTAATGCAAATTTTAAGCATAATAAATATTAAAACTAGGGTGACCAGATGTTTCTATTTACCTGGGACCCTGTGCTCCTTGTCTCAGCAGATTTATCCAAAACCAGTGATTTGTCCCAGTTTTACACTAGAAATGTCCCAGATGTCCCTATTTTGGACCAATTTAATATTTGCTAACAGTAAAAAGGGGCATAAATTGTCATTTGTTCAGATAAAATACTGAAAAGCTGCTTAAAAACAACCAAAAAAAAAAAAAAAAGAAAATGTGTCTATACTGACTCACATATTAGGTATGAATGAGCCGAGTGCAGAACAATTCTTCTTAATTACACACTCGTGTAAGTGTGGGTGTCCCAGTTTTTTTATTTTGAAAACTGAACCACAAACTTCAATTGCCTTGCGGTTATTACCTCCGCCAAGGAGGTTATGTTTTTGCCGGCGTTTGTCTGTTTGTTTGTTTGTCTGTTAGCAACATAACTCAAAAAGTTATGGACCGATTTTGATGAAATTTTCAGGATTTGTTGGAAATGTGAAAAGGAAGAACTGATTTCATTTTGGGGGTGATCCGGAAGAAATCCTGGATTCTGGATCACTTTGAAATTTTAGTTAACATTGTGGTAAATGGGGTCAAAAATTTTGTTTCTCAATATCTCGGTTAATTATTGACCAAACCCCATGAAATTTTACTCAGGGATGGACAATGGGATCCTCTTTTATATTCCAAATGCTGATCCGGATCTGATCCAGAAGACTGATTTTATTGCAATTTATATAAAAAATGGGGGTAGTCCTTGGCGGAGGTCTGCGCTCTCTGAGTGCTTTTGTTGTTGATAATGAAATGACACTCATACTGTAGTTTTAAAGTATATAAGTCTGGACTAGCTGGTTGGGCAACGCAGACACCAGCCCAAATACTACTTCTTGAGCTCACAACTTTGATCTCTCTGGCAGAGTATGTTTGAGGTCTTGACATCGGAGACTTCGTATCTTCGGTCTCTGCGTGTTTTGACTGAACACTTCTTGGAAAACCGGGAGCTCGAGGAAACGATGGTGATCAGAGACAAGAAAGTGCTTTTTTCCAACATACTGAAAATTCGAGAGGTCAGTGAGAGGTAAGAAAACTAGCACCCGATAAAAACAGTCACACTTAAGGGCATTATGTAACTTTCTGGTGGAGGGTCTGCCATCTGCCTATATCCATGGAGATTTTATTACTTAGCCTGATTTCATTACTTAGCTTTTAAAGTTATTTCTTTTACACAAAACAAAATAATTCAATAATTGCCAGATAGATGCATTTAAAGCCATGCAGTGAAACATTCCAGGCAGAGCAATAATATCACCATGGAGACAAGCAGTAGAAGATTCTCCACCAATAAATTTATACAGTGCACCTTTAAGGGTTTTGTTATGCTGATAGTTAAGCATATTACTGACTTTTGCTTTCTATTTAATGTCAGTTGTTTTTTTCTCAACAGGTTTCTGAAGGACCTGGAAGATCGCATATTTGAGAAAATAGTCTTCTCAGATATTTGTGACATCATTCACTACCATGCACAGCACAACTTCCCCGCCTATGTGGACTATGTTCGCAACCAGATCTTCCAAGAGAAGACCTACAGCAATCTAATGTAAACAATTAACACATTTTCTTTATGCCATTTGTGAATTCAATGAATGATAGAACTGAACTGTAGTGTCACTTTGTGTATATTTACAGAAAGAACAACGCACAGTTTGCAGCAGTTATTAATCGTCTGCAGGAGTCCCCTCATTGCCAGCGTCTTCCTTTTGTGTCCTTTCTATTGCTTCCCTTTCAGAGGATCACACGACTCAAAATGCTCATTGAGGTGAGTGACGCAATAAAACATATACAGTAGCTATATTATATGTAGCTTAGTATCAAAAGGCTTTGTTTCAGTATTTTAATAATCCACAAGATGTCAATTTTCTTTATTGCTTTCACTGTATCGTATATTAAAAGATAAAATTCAATGCATTCACCTTCTCAGCAGTTCCTTCCAGTTGACTTTGTTTCTATTTATTTACTTTAACAACATACAGAGAAACCTTTGCTCAAATTCTTGGAAATATATGTCTTAATGGTGCTGATTCTTAGTTGTTGTTCTTTGGTGTTTCAGAATATCCTTAAACGAACAAAGGAGAAAACTGCAGAGGAGGAGACTGCCTCCAAAGCTTTGGCTTCTGTGTCAAAAGTAAACACTCAAGTCCTTCTAGTTGCTCTTCATTTTACGAATTTTTTTGAGTTTTTACTTCCTTTACTTTTTACTTTCCTTACTTTTTTACTTTTTACTCTTATTTAATTGTAGATAATTGATGAGTGCAACAGTGAAGTTGGCAAGATGAAACAAACCGAGGAGCTCATACAAATCTCACACACTCTCGAGTTTGAGAAGCTCAAGGTCAGATCACTATTGAGGTTCAGATGGATTCTGTCATTTACTTTGTACTAAGTAACTGTGTCACATACAGGCTGTCCCTATAATCTCCCCTACACGACGCCTGGAGAAGAAGGGGGAGCTCCAGGAAATGTCCAAAGGAGCAACTCTCTTCAACATGAGGGTCAAGTTCAGCCCTGTCTACCTGTTCCTCTTTAATGATCTTCTCCTAATTACCATAAAAAAGAGGTTAGCAGCTGGACCATAAAGACACACTTCCTTATAGTTTAAAGGTCATATATTTCACAAAATTTACTCTTCTGAGCTTTGAGCTGTTCTGTAATGCTGTTACTTCCTCAAAAACTTACCTTGAGTTATTTTTTGTTTCATTCACACATGCTTGAGTAACCAAAGCTCTCCAAAGATCAAAATGCTCTGTTACACCATGTGATGTCACGAGGCAGTAGTTTTCATGTTCACAGCTCTTTTTACCTTAGCTCCTTTACCTTTAGTTCAGTAGAAATTGGCAATTCCAGGGGTGAAATCATCCAAATGATTGTAGTGACGATGAATAGAGTTTAAAGACACAGTGGAGCACTTCCTGTATTACCACATGACATCGCAGAGTGTTTTCTGTTTGAGAGAAGAACTCAGACTAAATATGCAGGATGTGAATGAAATAAAACAATTCCAGGTGTGTTTGTGATGAGAAAACAACATTATAACAGATCAGAAAATGGCGTAATATGTGCCCTTTAAAAAGAAGAATTGGAAAAGAAATGGTTACTATCACAGTTTTTCCTGTTTTTTAGTTCAGAGCGCTATGTAGTCACGGATTATGCCCATCGCTCATTGGTGCAAGTGCAGGGACTAGATGATGTCAGTAGCAACAGTGCCATCTACGACAACTGCTTCAATCTCATTCTACTGGAAAATCACCAGAAACGCATGATGGAACGGCTACTAAAAGCTTCAACACCGTAAGTAGCAGATCTACCCATGTACTAGCAGAAGGATCTGTATTACTGTTATTCAAGACTTTATGAAGATGTGAGTTTGATTGCCGGTGAATTTCCCTGTTGAAAACACTGAAAAACATTGCTGAAAAACATAACAAGTTTTTGCTGAATCAATGAGTGAAACATTAAACTCTGTTAATCTGAGGGAAGATTTGGGAGTATTTGAGTTTATGTGTAAATCACAGAAGACCAATGAGCTTGTTTCACTGAAAGAAAAAAAAAAGAGATTGCACAATCACACTTAACCTTACTTGAGACACAACAGAGGGTGTGGAGACGGGACTGATATGAATCTGTATAAAAACAAAAGGTTATCATTTTGGATTTATCAGGAAATAAAATAATCTAATCTATAAACTATTAAATCGATTCAACAGTTCAGACATGGAGAGGTGGATGGCAGCTTTCCCCAGTCCCACAAAACCAGATGAGGATGATAGTGAAGTCATCTATGAAGACTGGGGTAAGTGTGCAATGCTATGCTTCATTATTTAAAGGAATGCTGTTGTTGCTCAGCCTGGAATGTGACACAGTATGACATCTATCTTGGATTTATTTAATTACACACAGTCCTCAAAAATACCTTGAAAAACATGCATTCTTACTGTGAGCAAGGTTACTCACTCCACATATCTGACCTCTAGCTTGGCCTGATGTCATCATGTGCTTGTCTCTGTGGAAAAGGATAAATTGAATGCTATACTGTAGAATATTCAAGGGAGAGCAATAACATCTCATGGGTAACCAAGCAGGTAGCTGACCCTCCACCAGAAAAGTGATAGTGTACTTTTTAATATAATAATACAATGTCATGTTGTATTTGTTGTTTGTGTCAGATTGTCCACAAGTGCAGTGTATAGAGCAGTACATCGCTCAGCAGGCAGACGAAATCTCCCTGGAGCCCACTGAGATTATTAATGTTGTCAAAAAAGGCAGTGAAGGTAAGAAAGTGTTTCAGTTTTTATTTAAAAGCAAAGCATAATTTTCTGTCCTTCTGATTTACAATTATAACAACCTTTGTTATGTAACTAACTGCAATGCACATTAATCTGAGGCACTGCAGGTGAATAGGAAAAAATCTAAAATAAAAAAAAAATTCTGTAGTTTACTAACATGAATTAATGGGGAAAAAAGGGATTAAGGCATTTTATGTGTAGCCTTTTAAAAAATGTATTTAGTACTTGAGTAAACTAGATCTGACAGAAAATTTCCCTTAAATTTCAAATTTCGCTTTTGATACTAGAATTGTATTTGCTCACTATTTTGAGGAGAAAAAGTTTATAATAAATGAATAAATAGAATCCACAAGTGCTGAAATTAAGTAATAATCCATAATGTTATATCAGTATATGTCTGATTACCATTAATTAACTCCCCCCTGCTTGCTTATACCCCAAATCTCATCAAATCCACACTCCCTTAACCTGAGCAGTTTATTGATTTGTTTTGACTTTCTTGCATGACCCAAAAGAGAAACCTCCCCTCTTTTTCTCTCCCACTCCTTTTCTATGCCCTCTCTTATTCCCAGGCATGTATCAAGGAATTCGCCTCTCCGATGGTCAGAAAGGCTGGTTCCCTGCAGAAAACGTCATAGAGATCACCAATGAGCACGTGCGGAGACGCAATCTGCGAGAACGCTACAGAGTCATGCAAGCAGCAAGCAACTTCACCAACAGCAGGAGTCGAACTGCGAACTAAATCAAACAACTGAAGCTAAACAAACACGCTTCTACCAGAGCAATGGTTTCTATAAGGAACTGAAAAACTGTACCAAAAGACACGATTGCAATTTTGGCATGAATAAAATGACGTTTTTAAGAAGGTGAGCAAGGAGCAAAAAAGGTATTGGATTGGAGAACAAACTGAAGACTCTTCAACAATATATTTCCTTATTTTTATATTAATGTTAATCCCAAACTTGAAGGTGAACTATGTAACTTTTTTGGTCTGCCACCTGGTTGGAGATGTGTTATTCCTTTGCCTGCTGAACTATACTGAGGAATATTTCACAAACAGGTGGTATCGTGCACCTTTGAATGAAAATGTAGCCGTTGCTGATTTTACCCATTTTCACATGAGAGCAAAGAATGTGATGAAAAAGATGCCCAAAGGAAGAGGACACTTATATAAATCTATTTCGTCAAAACACTAAAATGCATGTACAACTCAGGAGCATACTAGTTTTGTCAGGTATTGTGGAACAGCTCCCTCTGCAGTTTGTCGTTTTAATTTGTAAATGTTGTAAATAACCAGTTCCAAAGTAGTAGTGTTTTTAATAAAAATGCAGTTTTTATATTTATGACTCAAACATGGCTCTTTATTTAACCATCAACCAAAACAAAAGGGAATTTAAACACTTAAAAATACAAAATTCCACAAACAGAACCAGTACAAAATTATAAAACCAATATTTTAAGTTTGAGCAAGTCCTAGATTCAAGAGCCCACACAAAGCATCTCCTTCAGATCTGGACAATACTCTATCAGCAGGAAAATCTGTTAAATCCTTCACATTTCTGTTGATATCAGAAAGTAGCACATTGTTGCACCCGTCTGATTTTACACTGTTGCCTTCACTTGTTGCACTGAAATGAGTTAAAAGTGTGTTTGCCACTTCAAGTTCTTTATCAGACCAAAGTTTTCTAAGCTTTCCCAGACTATCCACTCTTGATCGTGCAAAATGTCTGTTCATTTGTTCATTTGCCTGAGCTGAAGTGTTGTGTGGAGCGTGGATGAATTCACTGTCCACTTGCAGCGTCTCAACTTCTGACTGGAACAGCTTCTCTTCTCCATGATGGAGTTTGAGAAGGTTAGTAATTGTCTGATCCTCCTCTTGTGTTAGCTGGAGCACTACCCGCATACGGTTGACAGGGGGTGGTATAGGGCCCATTTCCCAGGAAGAGCAGCCCAAGTTTCTAATGTGGTGCTGCCCGGTTCTGAATGGGTCAGAGTGGTTTGGAGGAGCCAAACATGCAGACATGATCGGTGGAGGAGTGTTGAGCTGGAAGCAATCAAAGTCCTAAAATAAATCAGAAATACAAGCCAGTGTAAAAGGTGACAAAACAAGATTAAACCAATGGCAGTGTGACCTCTGCTTTAGTTACCCTCTTAATCAGTGGAAACCTATGATGATGATAAAATCAAAACCATTAAAATAAGCTCTAAGAAAACTGATTGTTTTTGTCACATTGCACATGTCCACAGGCAAAGAAACTAAAAACTGGTGTTGGGGTACTGTGTCCCTGAGAGAACAGGTATGCTATGTTATTAAATCTAATCTAACAATTACTTTTCATGGGGTCCAGTTAATCCCTCCCTCCATCCCTCAGTACAGGCCAGGCACTGTTTTAATTGACCTGAATCTGACTGTCCTAACTGATCTCATTAAAATGATATAAGGTCTCTAAGCCCCTCCATAAGCCCTGCTCCCTTAGAGAGGTAGTTCCCAAAGTGGGGATCAGGATGCCCAAGGAGATCACGAAATGACAATTTAAAAACTGTTTTCGAAATAATTCTCAAATAAATGCAATTAAACTGTATTTTTAGATGTTTTGCCACTTGAAATTATTATAAGTGTCTTTTTTTCCTTTTGCAGTGGATTTGGTTATGGTTATTTTGGGGGTCCCGGTGTGAATTAGGGAGTTCCTGTCCTTGAGCGCAGGGCCGGTGCTCATATATCATGTCCTATACATCACATTTTTTCTATTGTTTAAATGCCAGAATACATAATACTTCCCCAAGCTCCCCTTACCTTCAGCTCATTCACATGGTTGGGTATTCTGGTCCCACATATCACTGTTGGATCCGTGTAGAAGAACTCTTGTGGGATCATGGGGTGGACTGTGGGGGGAAAAGGAGGAAAAAAAATCAAATAAATGATGAGACAGATACTCTGAAATCTTGTTTTCACTTAAATAACAAAAGAAAACAATATAAGTTTTTCCCAATATATTCCTTTTTGCCTGTTTGATTGTCTCCATGGCGATGCATCAGCCTTGGGTCTGAGTACAGAGACATGAAGGAGGGGTGGTACAGGGTCCTGCTGGAATAAGGAGGCAGGACTCTCCGTTTACTCTGCAAAAAGATATTAGATTGAATAACTTTCACTTTGCCTTAAATGTTATGAAATGTAAATGTTGCCGACTTACGAAGCAACACCTGTCTTCGGATTCCATGTTCTTTTGCACTCGTTTCTTCCAGTTAATCCGTTTTCTTCAACTTGATGAGACACATGTCGTGACGTAAAGTAAATAAAAGCACGGCGCACCTGCTTCCTTCTTTTCGAGGGTAATTAGCGCCCCCTGGTGGGAAATTATGTTCTCCAAATACGTAAAGGTAGGCCTGCAGTATTTTAATAAGGGTAGCGTAAAACTTTATTTTTTACTTATTAGATCCTGACATACGTAACAAATTCCATAGTCAAAATAGAAATTGATAATTAAAGTAGACCACTAATCTACATGTAGCGTTCATATAAGTGACCAAAAGTGGCTAACAGACTAGTGACTAACTAATCTAAACCTCAACATAGAAGCATTATGCAGTCCCTTTGTTTGTATTTTTATTTTATGTACATTTTCCACATTTTAGTAAGGACGTGTTCCTAATCCTATGACTTTTAGACTAAATGATTTTCACATACAATCCTCAGACAAACTTTATCACATAAACATTTTATTTTTGTTAAGACACCTTTATTCAAGTAAACATTACCATTTAAAAATGTTTAAAAAATTATTATTTTTTCAGTTATTTTAGTTAAAAGGATTTCCTTGAGTTATGTACTCGAAGTCCATCCAAACCTGGAACAAAATGTGTACAACTTAAAAAGATAAGAGAATTACAAGCAAGGTTGTACATTTAAAATAGTATATTTACGTCTTCCTCTAGGTTGGAGAGTTTTTAACCCTGAAACCTTTATGTAGCGAGATGACGAATAAAGACTTGGTTGTTGTGGCAATACTGGAGTTTTGGTGGTACTTGATTGGCCTGCATCAATAATATTGTAGTTACTGATAACAACCAATGATTTGATTGACAGGTGGGCGAGTTTGTACCTGTTGCAGATTGTGAAGTGTGAATGATGCGCCCAACACCAGGAGTGTCTGATTCAAATGTCACTGCAAGAAAAGCCGATGGAGACTAGATACGGGATATGTACACTGCAGGATCACTCTGTAAAAGGGTATTTCATCTTAAAAGGGCTCATATTACTCAGTTTTCTGGTCTATGTTATGCTCCTTCTTCATCAAAAACATAGGTGAAATTGTGTTTTGTTTCACACACATTTAATACAAACTGCATCTTTAGGCTGAGTTCTTCTCTCAAATGGAAAACACTTTGTTCCACTTTGGGATGTCATGTGGTAACACAGGAAGTGCACAACTGTGTTTTTAAACTCCATACCTTTTCACTAGAATCATTTGGATGATTTCAGACCTAGAATTGCCAATCTCAACCAACTAAAAGTAAAAGGTAGCTGTTAACTTGAAAATTATCAGTATATGACATCACAAGGTGGAAGAGAGCATTTTGAGCTATGGAGATGCAGACAGCCCAATAATCCATCATTGATCAAACATGTGTGAATGAAACAAAACACACGGTATGTTTTTGGTGAGGTAGCATCATTTTAATATGACTTAAAGCTCAAAAGAGTTGATTGTGCATAATTTAGGACCATTAATGATTATGGTTTCAAGTAAAAGTTGAGAGGCAATGCACGCACCTGTCTGCATTTTCACCAGGTAGCCTCTTAGTGTACAAGATCTCATTTTCATAGGTGACCGTTCCTGTTTCAAGCTGGAGAGAAATTAAGGTCTTCATCTTTAATAAGGTTTAGTGGGTAGGGTAGTTTTGACTCTTTTAGATTTTTACTCAAAAGCTGCATTGTGCGATTTTTCTGGTGGAGGGTCATTAAACACTTTTCCTCCTGGAGATGTTATTGCTTTGCCTGAATTGTGGAGACCAACCAGATCTATGGAGAGGCATCCTCGGTCACACTCAGGATGCCTGTATTTTTGAGCTATAAAACATAAAATTGTGTTGTTTAATGTAATACCATGGAACATTCAAAACAGAGCAATGACATATCCATAGAAACAAGTAGGTGATGGATCCTCCACCAGAAAAGTTACACAATGCAAGTATTTTTCTACTACAGTTTGCCTTTTTCACTACTTGCAGATCATTAGACAAGCTTTATTCTTCCACATCGCAATAGATTATAATAAAAGTTTGGCTGGAAATAAGACATCTATTGAAACCAGTTCAGTTGGGAAGGAGTTCAACCAAGTAAACTCATCGAAACTAGTCAAAACTACTGAAAATGAGTCATTTTAAGCATCTTTTGCTTTGTTAATGTAATGGTTACCTTGACCTTTGAGCCACAGTCATTCATGGGAAACAAGAACAAAGCCCTGGTGGAGTCGGCGTCTTTGGGCCCACACTTCTGATGCAGCAGGGTCGTTTTAGCAGGGACACCTCCACTCGCAACAGCCTGAGACAAGTCCACAACTGCTGTCATCCGCATATTGGTTGAACACACTACAGAGACAGTTTTATTAAAATTATTAACCAATCAAAGAGAGATTGTGGCTGTTGTTTTGAAGATCACCCACAAAAACAAGGTTGGTGGTTTGCCTTGTATGCTAATCACTAGAAGAAACTTATGCATTATGGAAACAATTAAAAAGTATATTTACCTAGGAGTTCATTAGTAAAGTATGGACATGTCTTCACAGTTGAACTTTGAACTTTATATGTTTCTTGATCTCGCACATGGATCTCAAAAGTACCCATAAAACCTTGCAAGCTATAATTCTGCAAAGAAGTAAAAAATGATGACTAAAAAAACCCCAAACTAGCAATGTCAAATAAAAACGATTTAAATCTTGCCTTATTGTTATATCCGTCGGAGAGTAGAGGCACGTCGAGCTGTAGCATTTGGCTGTTGTTGCTCAAGATGAATCCTTGCTTTGTGGCCAGCTCTGAAGTCAGTGGATTAGAGCCTACTGTGATCTTCCACTTGTAGTTGGACGGTTTATGATGAAGTTTAAAGCTAATGTTGCTTTCTGAACAGAATGCATCAAATTGCGGAGGAGCTGCAAAAACAAAACCGAAAATTTATGAATCGTTTACTTTTCAATTCGACTGACTACAATTTTATGGCTTACTGAGATCAGGTAAAATTGCCATAAAAGATGCAGCATGGTGGTAAAGCTGGTTTTCAGGTGTAACCATCAGTGTGTAGTTTATGTCAAGCTTGAACTCAATATTTTCTAAAGTGAACTGAAACAAAAAGTATTCTTTGGTTGGTTATGGAGCTCAACAGTGACTGCCCACCCCCTGGTTACAGAACTAAATTTTTCATTTAGTTTTCTCAGACTTTTTTGGAAAAAAAAAAACAAAAAAAAAAAACTGTACTCTTAATATTTTAATTTTTGGAAATGTCTATGGAAAAAAAATGAACGGAAAATGTACTTCTGGACCTGGAGCAAGCAGTCACTGCTGAATTCCATAAATGGGCAAGATTACACAGAGTAGAATATGCATGATTACCTGTTGAATGACTGGCAAATTGTTGAAAGGCACCTTCAAAACATAGCCATGTGTGTCATTTGGATGAACAACATTTGTGACTGAAAAGGTGCTGTCATTTTTAAGAGGTAACTGAAATTTTTGTCTATTTATCTCGACCGAAATAAGTTTAACATCTTGAGGAACATCACCAAGGTAGACTGTAAATCGTTGCTCCGCCAAGACTGTACCTGTTCAGGAAATAGATCTGAGAAAGTGCAAACTGAAATAGAAAAATAATTTTAGCATACGGTTTTCATCCAGAAATGTCCGTATCAAAAGAGGGGTGCTTATTGTCCTGTGAGTGCGAAGTCTGGTTTCTATGCCATCTTCATCCACTGACAGTTGCTCCATGTTGAAATCATAGCTAAAGAACTCATACAGCTCTACAGACACCACACTCTAAAATCGTCATGTAATACAATAATCAAAAATCAATGCCTTGACCCGTCCTTGTATTTCTTTTAGTTTATGAACCATTACCTTCCTGTGGCCTCCTTCTGCGTCATAAGGGATGCTGATTGCCACTGTGTTATTGTGTTTTTCCATTATATAACCATTTGTCTCTGCGACTGTGGGCTGCATGAGGTTACCATTGAGTCCGAAGCTGAGGTTTGTGGCATGGAGACCTGGGTACAGCACATCTGGAGTCTCCCACAACATGTATCCTTCATCCTCAAATGTGGCTTCATCTGTGTAGTATTATTCAAGGCATTCATTCACATTTATACTGGAGAAATGACTATTTACTAGTATATGTGATACTGACACACTGAGCATGCAGCAATGAGGTCTACAAGTAGAACAAGCCAGCTTTGTCGGGAGAATAGAGTAGCATGGACCGCTTCTACTGGGACCCCATCTACCTATACAAAACAATCACATTTAACATCAAACTAACTTTTCTTTTTTCTGACTGTAGATTTAATATTAGAGTTACCACTGAGGTGAAAGAGTGAGGCCCTCTGTTAGCTGTCCGAAACACAAGCCTGCCATTGGTCAACTCAAATACATAACCTTTACTGCGAGCCACTTTAAGTGAGGTAGGAGCCAACTGCTCACCTCCTTTCTGAAACGTCACCTGCCAGTCTGCAGAAGAGGGACTGTGAGCCTGCAAGCGAGGGTAGTGTTACGACAGTGAAATGCTAAATTATAAGAAAAGTATAAAGTATAAATTATAAAACACACAAGTTTAAGGTTGTCCCAGTCATTCTTCTCTGTTGAAGATGGGCAGGTGATTTCACTTCTTACAGAAATCTGTACAAATCAAAACCAATGCAGATGTGAAAATCTGTACCCTGGAAGTACTGAGTGTAGATCAGAATCATACTTCCATGTAGTTGACCTCACAGGTGACCTCTCTGAGCGACCAAGGCAGAGATGGGGAACAAGTTTTGTTCAGGGCATGTATGACCTCTTTCCCTTTGTAATGTGCAATCAAATTAAAACTAAATGTATATGCATCATCTACCTAAAAAACAAAAACAGGAAATGCTTTTATCTTTAAATATTCTGTGTGTAGAGTAAACATTGTGTTTACCTTATAGTCCATATGACAGCTGAAATAAGATGCTCGTAGCTGCACATAGTTTTTTAAAAGCATAAATCTGACGCTGTACCCACACTTGGCTGCATATTCCTCAGTAATGGGGTGGGCACCATTTCTATCTAGAAAACAGGTGTTTTTTTTGTTTTTTTGTTGTTGTTTTTTTTAAATGAAAACACTCATTCCGGATAATAATGTCACTGCTTTTGACTCACCAACTGCCTCAAAGCGGATATTCTTTCCAGTGAAGTGTTCATCAACACTGATCTTAAAGTACCGCTCATGGCACGTCATGGTGACTCCTGCAAGATGAAAATTACCCAATTCTAAGTACTGACTACATGTGAATAATCCATTTGAGCTGAAGTTAATTTACCTCGGGGAATGAATGCATATTTTGAAGTGGAACAGACCACTAGGGTTGATATGAGACTGAAAGAAAAGAAAAACATCTTTACATAGTGTCTTTAAATTGCCAAACTTAAGGGCTGTTTACCTTAAGTAGAAAGCAAAGGCCATAGCCTCTGATGTAGGAGCAGTGTATAAAACTAGCCTTTAAACTAGCAAATTACAGCTGCTGCCCAACACAAGCTCTCCTGTCCCTCTTGTAGACTCCTGCAGTAGCCTGTGTTTTGTTTGTAGGTCTGTGGCATCTTTTTACATCCTGGGATGGACTCCTCCCACACAACACTGATTTGGTCTGATTGCTCATGAGCTGCACATGTGGCGGTGAAGATTGAGGAGCTGGTCACAGAAGAAATGATGTTATAAACCCAGTGTTCCAGTGTTCAAGAGTTAAGAGCAAATCCTGTATTGTCCTGCATTAGAGGCTTTCACCTACTAATTGACCTTTTTCTAATATTATTTACAAAGAAAAAAATGTAAAATAAAGATTGCATGTTTACAGTTCAAAAGTGCACTATGTAACTTTTCTGGTGGAGGGTCTGCAACCCGCTTGTCCTCATGGAGCAGTTGCTTTGCCTGGAATGTTCTACAATATACCTCAATATAACTGGACTGTCAAACTGGTAAATGATGCCAACTGTTAAAGTTACTGATCATATAATAAATAATTGAGAAAATGCTAAATGCCTGTGTAGCATTCTGGGCAAAACAATATCATCTTCACTGAAACAAGCATGGGTGTGCTACTCTACAAGAAAAAATACACAATGCAACTTTTTTTTGATTATCTGTATTTTTTTAAATTTAAAATGTATTTTTTGTTTCTACAGTAAAGTCATGGGAAACTGCATTTAACATTAGAGGATTATGGAGAATTATTGAGAAACCACTATTTCCAAACTAAGGCATTGAACTGTGCAAGAGATCAGGAATCTAACCTACAGCCTCGTTATTGAAGGACAGGAGAGGCTAACCACTCTGCCACAGTAACATGCAGTAGCAGGCACTCTTGTTCTAATGCTGTTTTGTCTTAGGCCTCAACTGACATTCAGAAATAAACCAGGGCAAATAACCTAAAGGCCAAATGGATGTACACTCCAACTTAATTTTGCTACGTTTTTTAATATCGAGGTCCTGGGTTAGATCAAACCAGGTCAAACCCAGGACTAAACCAACTAAACTAGGTTGAACCCAGGACTAAACCATTAAACCAGGTTGAGCCCAGGACTAAACTAACTAAAGCAGGTCTACGCTAAGATCAAGACAAGACTAAACAAGGGAACTAAATAAGAACTGAACCAGGACTGAACCATGTCAAAATTCAGGACTAAAAAAACAGGACTAAATCTTATCTAACCCAGGATTTATTTATTTATTTATTTAATGAGACAGAGACAGCGCACAATTTTACCTTAACCTTAACAGGAGAGATGCATTGTACAAGGTTGTAGCACCAGTGCTATTTTCCACCTGTAGTCCTGGGCAGGATGAACCTAGGACTTAACCAAGGATCAATTCAAATATGCAATAATTATGAACTTTATTCTATTGCAGTTGAAATCCTTTAATGCTCCCAAACTCCTCCCCTCCCTCTACTTGCTGGTCATTAAAAACCTTTCAGTTGTTCAAACACAGTGTAAAGTCTGCACCATGTTCTCCCTTTGTATCTTACCGGTTTTCTTTGCTGCTTTGACCCAAAAAAAGGGGGAGAAGAAGAGCAAACAGGAAGAGGAAGTACATGAAAGTAAATACGACCTGCAGTTTAGGCGAGGAGATCTGCTGGAGGTGCCACGGACACTGTTCATTCACTTTGGGATCTACTTGGGAGGAGGCAGGTGAGACAAGACTAAACGAGGACTAAACCAAAATTGAACCAAGACTAAACCAGTCCTGGTTTCTGTCTGTTTCAGAGTGGCTCACTTCATCCCTGACATCATGCCTGTGATCAGCAGTGACCCAAAGAAGATCCAGACGATGGTCACCAACACCAGGCTCATCTTAGGGGTCATCCTCAAGGTTTGGTTTACTGAATGCATAGTTATTTTAATTATAATGATATTAAATCTATAAATATTATAGTGAATGTGAGACCAATATGAAAAAAATAACTGTGATCTAATCTTTGTGATGATCTGCTACTTTGATTTACTGCTTTTTTTTAATACAGTTGTAGGCTCAAAGACATACATGTTTCCCCACCCTCTCCTCCTATTGGTCAGCTATCAGGCACTGACTAACTGACAGATGAATTTGGTGACAGGTGATCATCAGCTTCTCTAGATTCTAAACAATCTGTATAGGCATTGGCCATGAAAAAAACAAAATATATATTTATATATTGGTCGATCTCTAGAATTTTGTTCCAGTTTAGTACCAATTTTGATGTGATATATATATGTCAAGTGTGAATGCGTGATATGAGAATATCTGGAACTGAGAGGTTACTCTCTGTAACTGTTGCTGTGTTTCAGCGTGGCAGTGTCAGAGTCGACTCTGTGGAGGACTTCGCCTATGGATCTGAAATCCTTGTCAACCCCACAGACAAGGTCCAGACCACAACTGAACAAACACAACTGAGCAAAATGAGGACTGAACCAGGACTAAGACACAGCATAACAAAACATAGACTAAAATAACTTAAAATCATTTTAAACTGGACTAAATGGACTTGATAGACAAAAGATGGACTAAAACTGGACAAAAGATGGACTAAAGCTAAATTAAAACTACATCAAGTCCAGGACCACCGCTGAATGGCAGAAAATCTGGACTGAACCTGGTCTATATGAGGATTTAAACTAGGCCAAACCAGAACTAAACCAGGACTAAAATAGGACTTGATCTTTTTCCAGGTATGCAGCAGTCATCCTCCTCTGGACCCGGAGACAGTGGCCCTGAGAGCAGAGAGACTCAAAGGACAGGTCCCCTACAGCCTCCTCTGGTTCAACTGTGAGCACTACGTTATGTACTGTCGCTATGGGACTAGCATGAGCTTCCAGACCTTCCAGGTATTCAACCAGGACTAAACCAAGACTGAAGTGGGACTGAACAGGGACCAAGCCAGGAATGAAACAGGAATGAACAAAGACTAACCCGATGCTAATTTAGGACCAAACAAGTTCTGAACAAAGACTAAAGAGAAGTTATGGAACCATCATTTAACCAGAGCTAAACCGGGACTGGCCCAGGACTAAAAAGAAGCAAACTTGAACTGAACCAGGACTCCACTGGGACTTAAACCAGAATAAAGCTTTAACTGAAAATGTGTAAATTGTGAAATAGCTGTGTCACATTCCTGGTTTCATTGAAGCAGATTAAAGGTTCTTTGGTCCTGATTGAGAAACTACAGCACATTGTTCTGTGATTAAAATGTGCTGCACAAATCTGATCTTGAGCAGTTTTAATTTTCACACAATAAATGTCTATAGAATCAAAATCTCAATTTCTGTAATTCCTACGATTATTGTATTAGTTTATCAGGTCACATTTCAGTCTTTTCTCAAATGTTGCCAATCAGCTCTAATAATGAGAAACTAGAGAGATACAGTAAAGAATGTCCTGTTCCGGCAAACATGTTGTGAGTGAAGAATTTTATTCAAGAACAGAACAGAGACAGGTTATTTGCAAATCTAAGTGCAGTACTTGTTGTCAGTAACACTTTTTCTTCAAATCATACTGCCCTAATTTTGACAGGATTTAAAAAATATACATACATTACTTTACTTTAACTTGATTTAGTCAAGATTTTGTTAAATCAATTCTTTGAATTATAATCAATTTTAGAATAGAATAGTTAGCAACCATCATGTTTCATACATTGACAATTCATTCAAGTAAAAATAAACATAGGCCTTGCACTTGGACTTTCACTTGCACTGCCGCTTACACTGGAACATTTTTTGAGCAAATACGACCTCTAGTGGTCAAAGACTGCAAACTCCCCTTCTGAGCAAAGTTCTGTCTCAATTTGACTGTTCCACATAAAACTAGTGGGTCACAACCAGGTCTAAACCAGGACCTAGCAGCTATGAAATATGTGAAGAACTGTTAAATTTGTCATGTCTTTTTCTCTTTTCCATTTTTAGTTTCTCTAAACATGGACTTAGTCAAGACTAAACCAGGTGTAAAATAGTCCTACAATGTATGATTGTTCTGGTAATGAATTTCCTTTTTTAATTTTGATTATCTCACAAATCAAACAATTATTTTAAATGCTCCTCAGAAATTTTGGTGCACTGATTTTTTCTCACTCCTGCACAAAACCAGGACTGTGCCAGATCTAAACCAGGACAAAAATAAGGTGTTATTAGTTTGTACCATTTTCATACCTAGGTGGACAAGGACTACACCAAGGCTTAAGCAGATCTAAACCAGACTAAACCAGGTCTAATATTTTACCTTTTCCATCCTCAGTTTTGTAAGACGGTCCGGAAGCTGGTGCTGAGCCGGGTGATTGCCAAGGTGATGTGGCTGCTGGGGGCGGGGCTTGTGCTGTACGTGCACGCTGCTCTGAGCCCGTGCACACTTTTGCTTTTAGTCCTGGTGCCCTTCCTTGTCTGGATGGCCTCGTGACATTACTCCTATAACAGAGATGCAAATGTTAAAAATAATCAAATAAAAGTAATATTTTTGAACATCTATAGTCTCCTGTTCAGGTGTGTGCAAGACTAAACCAAATGTCTAAATGAGAACTTAACAAAGGGGATTATAACATCATCACATACAATGGCACAGTCGTCCCTACGTAAAACTAACTGGTTTATAAGGCAAATTAAGTAGTACAAACTTAAACATTGAGCCAGAGCCAAACCAGAATGAAATGCACTTCTCATAGTTTATTCTATTAAATTAGGGTGACCAGATTTTCACAATTAAAAACTGGGACCTGGGACACTCTCGTTTGTGGTGGTTGGTAATAATAAAATTGTTAAACGAGTGCGTAATTAAGGAGAATTGTTCTGCACTCGTCGGCCCATACATGACTAACATGTGGGTTAGTACAGTCACATTTTCTTTGTGTTTTGGTCATATTTAAGCAGCTTTTCTGTATTTTACCTAAAAAATAAATAAATAAATAAAAAATCTATGTATATGCCTCGGCAAGTATTAAATTGCTCTAAAATAGGGACACCAGGAACATTTCTTGTATAAAACTAGGACAAATCACTGATTTTGGATGAATCAGCGGGGACAGGGGAATGTCCCGTGTATAAAGGGCCGCCTGGTCACCCTGCATTTCCCGCCTTTACTGTCCTCCTGTCACTCACGCCCTCATGGCCGTTGGTTTGGTTTTTCCGTGCCGCTGAAATACCGTATTTTTCTCCGCTTTGATTTCACTTTTTTTCTACTTAAACGTAATTTATAACTAAAGAAAATGGTCAAAGACAGATCTGGTAAGGTTTGTTTGTTTGTAATACATTTATATTTTCGTGCTTGAAAACTGCCCAATTGGATCAAAACTGCACTGAAGTAACGTTAGCTAGTGAGCTGACAGATGCGCTCATGTCTGTCTATGATCGCTTCTGCCATTTTATCAGCAATCTTCCACAAATTAAACTTTCATTAATGTTAAATTTAGCGTTGTCTAGTAGATTGTTGTTCAAATATGTATTCAGTTTTGGTAATAAATTCACATATTGAAAAGTGATAAATGATAATTGTCTTATTAATTTCAAGCAAGAGACCGTGTGTAAGTAATTGAATAAATATCTTTTTGGTGTTAACTTATATATAAGGTTATGTAAAGGCTAATGTAATTTGTTCAGTCGTGATTGGGGCTTTGTTGAGACGTGTCCCTTTAGGATGCTGTAACATGCTACAGCATGTATTTTTGCATAGAACATTGTAAGTTCATTTGTTCGTTTATTTTAAAAACAAAAATGACAGAAGAAGGTAATTATTAGTTTTATTTGTAGTCTTGTGCTATATGTGGAATGTTACTGTTAAAACTTTTTCTTTCATCAAGTTGTTGTTTGGTCATGAGGTCACTGATCAGTTTATATTCATGAGGTTTTTTGACATCATCCTTGTTTGTATGTTCTTTCCAGATGGAGATGTGGACTCAGACCAGACCTCAGAGCAGGACTTGGAGCAGAACTTGGAGCAGGACTTGGAGCAGGACCCAAGCAGAGTGGCCAGTCCTCTGTTGGTGGAGGATGAGTTAAGAGTGTTTTGTGCCAATGAGATGGCTCTGCTGGCTCTGATAGAGAGAACTGGCTACACCATGGTCCAAGAGAATGGCCAGAGGATGTATGGAGGACCTCCACCAGGTGGAACAACACACAGACTGGGCTTAGACCTGGTTTAGAGTTAGAATAGTTGTGTTGTCATTAATTATTGTCGTAATTATTTAGATCATAATGTAATCGCAAAGCGATTTTGATACCAATGATTTGAGACTTGATACTCAATACTGATTCTGATAGCACAATTATAATTAAAACACTCTTTAGACAATAAAATGTGATTTTCAACACTTAATCTTAGTACTTTATATTACCTTGTGGTCATCTATGTAATCCTTCAATCGTCCAGGTAGGTTCTTTGTACTTTTTAAATACAGCTCATGATAATTCTAAAGGTATTCAGGAAAGGTTAATTTCTGTCCTGTAAATGTGACTTTTTTATTATTGATGCATGCTCAAATGAGTATCTAGTTTCAATACTAGTTTTAGCATCAATTAATGTCTGTTTTTTTGAACTTATAACAACCCTATTTCAAACCACGATTAAATCAGGTGTGAAGGTGTATCCTTGTGTGACAGATACGTCTGCATTTTTACTGTCTAAACCAGTGTGAGTGTGTTTCAGGATGGGAGGGGCCACCCCCTCCTCGAGGCTGTGAGGTGTTTGTGGGGAAGATTCCCAGAGACATGTACGAGGATGAGCTCGTGCCACTGTTTGAACGCGCTGGAACAATCTACGCATTCAGACTCATGATGGAGTTTAGTGGAGACAACCGCGGCTACGCCTTTGTCATGTACACCAACAGGTACTACAACTGTACAACTGCAGGTAACAACAGGTACTACAACTGTACATAGACTGGTCACAGTAACATAATTTGAAGTATGTTACATTGCTGAAGAAAATACAGAGGATGAACAATAATACTGAATGCCATTTAGGCCACTGACATGATAACCCTAATGCAGGAACAATCTTAAACCCTAAAAAACTCTAGAAAACCCTAAATAGGGAAATTTGGCAAATGAAAAACACTCAGATACATGAGAGTGATATCAGAACATGGTGTAAAACATTTACAATTTAAGAATTTAATTTAAGAGATTATGATAGACAATTCAGATACAGGACACTTTTCTCCTCCTCCTCTCAGATCATCGTTTCCCACTCCAGGATTTGGACCATGGGAGACAGAGCCTTCTGTGTCCAGGACCCTGCACCCACACATACAATCTGCTGAAACCACTGATCAATTCAAATCACTTCTCAGTACATTTCTGTTGAATCTGTTTTTTAATCCCACCTAACCACACTCGTGTGTGTGCTTGTGTGTTATTGTATTGTACTGGGTGTCTTGAAAAGCACTATATAAATGGAAGGTATTATTATTATAATGCAACTTGAAAATGTGTATATTTCCATCTTTATTAAATGAAAAGCAAATTAACCAATATATATGTGCCTCAGAAAGGTAACCACTGATACATGCTACTCATTCAGTTAAACACTTGTTGGTGCCTATAATAATTACATAGCTGAACATCTGTAAGTAACTAATTTGAATACGCATCTCCTCATTGTATTATTGTGTAGAGACTCAGCTCAGAGGGCCATTCAGATGTTGGATAACCATGAAATCAGACCAGGCAAGTTCATTGGTGTCTGTATGAGTCTGGACAACTGCAGGCTCTTCATTGGCTCAATCCCCAAAGACAAGAAGAAAGACGAGATCATGGAGGAGATGAAAAAGGTAAAGTGTCAGAAAACTGGAAAGACTTAATCTGAACCAAGTTAGCTATCTTGGTTTGGTCCTGTTCCAGTCCTGGGCTAGTCCTGGTCTAGTCCACATTTAGTTCCTGCTTTAGACCCCACATTTGTCCCAAAAAGGACTGGGCAATATGACAAAAATTGATCCCACTAAACAAAGTATTTTTTGGAATATGAAATCTTTCCCAAATCTTTTCATGGTTTGGGTGGTCCTGCGACTCATATATTAAAATATATACTTTCACATGTTCATTATATTCACACTGACAGCCGTGAGAGGGCGCTCTAGGTTTGCGTGCCAGTACTGCAGAAAGAGCTGCTGTCCTGCTGCAAGTATTGAAGTGCAGCCGAAAACGGTAATATATACGGCTATATTCACATTTGTGGTTGCAGTTTCCACATCAAACCAGTCACACAATAATTTAAAATGTTTATGCAGATGCCCTTCCACCTATTACAGTAACTGGAGTGGGTAAATGACATATTTTCTTATATTAAATGCTGTTCTAGTTGGATCCCTGTTTGTTGTCTGCAGCTGACCGATGGTGTGGTGGATGTCATCGTGTACCCAAGCTCCACCGATAAAACGAAAAACAGAGGCTTTGCTTTTGTGCAATACGAGTCTCACAAAGCAGCTGCTATGGCCCGGAGAAAACTCATCCCAGGTAAGAATCCCTGTAGTTTGAAACTCAGCTGGTTATATGGCAATTATATGGTGGAATTTGCTGTTTAACTGTCAGATTGCAGATTTGTTGACCTGGTTAATGGTTAATATCTCTAGTTGTTGGGACTGTCCATATGAAACAAAAACTGGCATAAAGTTTCTTTGTCCATATCAGTGTTCACCAAAGTGAAATATTTTTTTCACAACAGCCTCATTTTAGGATTAATATTGCAAGTTTATGATTCTGATCTCCAAAAAAATAAAAATAAAAAATCTGAAATTGCTACCCTGTACTATACTATTAATATACTAGAACCACTGCTTCACCAACCACCTGCAGAGGGAGCAGTTGCACAGAAAACAAGCTTCACTGCTGTTGTGTCCTCATAGAGCAGCACTTGTTGCCTGGTTCAATCCTGGTCTAGACCTATTATACTCCTGATTTAGTTATGTTTCAGTCCTAGTGTAGCCCTGGTTCAGCCCTGCTTTAGTCCTTGCCCAGTCCTGGTTCAGTCCTGCTTTCGTCCTCCTTTGGTCCTGCTTTCGTCTTGCTTTAGTCTTGGTTTAGTCCTAGTCTTGGTATCAGATTTCTGCCCCAATACTGAAAAATTAGCTGGATCAGATATCGGTTCAACTAATATTCTGGTTGGACATATAAATTAATGTTTACTGTTTCCATAATGTTTGAACTTATCCTTATACAGAATTGTACTGTAGTTATTTGAGATATGAATAACAGCTAAATAACACATCTGGATTATTATTACAATTTATTTGAATGGAAAACAATACGGACTGTAAAGCCAGAGAATCGGTGCAGTGTTGACTTGTTGGTGCACATGAATTTTGAACGTTTTACACAAATGAGCTTACTTTATGTCATAAATTAGCTGCAAAACTTTTCAAATTCTCATTTAAATGACTGGGATTCCCATTTAATCGGAGGTGCCACCACATAAAGTGCGGTTTAGAAGCATTTAGAGACAAAAGTGGGCGGGGCCGAATAAGGTGAATAGCATCCCTAGTTCAGTCCTAGTTAAGCCCTGGTTCAGTCCTGGCTCAGTCCTGGAGTAGTCCTGGTTCATTCCTCTTTCAGCTTGTACTATGGTGCTGATCTGACCTTGTTCCCCTGAATCCCTCTTGTTTGAGTTAATAGCCTCTTCGTGTTGGACCTTTCTGCTATTGTTGTTTACTTCCTCGTCCCTGTGGCCTCTGAGCAACGGGAGGCATTTGGCTTTGATTCTAAATTCATGAAATGTGCAGTGCTCACACAGACTGCAGGGGGCAGGCTCTGGGCTGTGGACACTATAGAAACATACATCAACAAAGGGTCAGTGCGATTCTGCATGTTCAGTCCTGCGTCACGCAGAGATGAGAGAGTTTCAACATACACTCTGAAAACTTTATTTATTCACAAGGGAAATTACTTGAGCATATGTTATGTCAAAATTTAAGTTAATGAAGCCATGGATGTCATAAATAATGCATTTTTCCTGTTTTTTAGTATTCAACTATAACATGCAGATCATTTTTTATGGCATTTCTTTATTATGAACTGCAATATTGAGCTAAAATGACTTGGTAATAGAAATGGGTCCATTGATTTCCTGTTCAAAACTAGAGATTTGATAGACCATTCTAGTAGCATTTCACTATAGCCAGCGGTTAGTTTTATTTTTGAAAAATTGTTTTCAAAATCAATCAAATTTTTCAAATTTTTCAAAATCATACCTGGAGTCTGATTTAAAATAAAATAATCACAAGTGCTATGGATGGGTGATATATCAGTTCCAGTATCGATATCGAACAATATTTTTTGAAGCTGTCCTAGTCTCTGTACACTTGTGTCACTCCCAGTTTGTCCTCAGATTTGTCTTTTTGAACAACAGACTCACAAGTAAAAAATTAAATAGAAGTGTTATGTGGCTGTTTGTTTGCACAAACATATAACAATGATTGTTTGTCAGATAAATACATTTATAAATATTTTCACAAAAGCAGAAAGTTGATGTATGATATTTACTTCAATTTAAGATAGATTTGTGCGCCTTGCTACATATTTTAAAAGCTAAATATTGGTTATCACCCACAATTAAGAATAATACGTATATTTATATGGCACTTTTATAAATACTCATAACGCTACACAAAGAATACAGTTAAAAATAGTACATCTAAAAAAAACATAAATCAGACAAAATATAGGCATAATATAAAATACATAAAAGCAGATTCAACATTAAAAGTGGTTCTAAATAGATGAGTTTTGAGCAGTTTCTTCAAGGTGGAGAGTTCAGTGCAGTCACAGATTTGCTGAAGGACGGAGATCCACAGGGTGTGGGCTGTGATGGAGAAGGCTCGATCTCCCCAGGTTAGGAGCTTGGTCCTACAGGGGAGGGACAGAAGGTTGGCGTCAGAGGTTGTGCAGAAAGCCTGGGTGTGGAGAGCTTTGAAGGTGATGAGGAGGACTTTGAAGTGGATGCGCTGAGGAAAGGGGAGCCAGTGGAGGTTCTGGAGGACAGGGGTGTTATGTTAATGGGACTGGGTGTGTGTGAGGAGGCAGGCAGTGGAGTTGTTAATGTATTCCAGCTTGTTGAGAGTTTTTAAGCATGTGCCATAAAGAATGCTGTTGCAAGCAGCTAAACAAATGTGAGCTATAGTTATAGACAAAAAAAATCCATATCAACTTGTATTGCCCTATTACATGTATGTACAGAGCTGTAGGGGAAAAAGGGGCTAAGTGAAAACATTTGAGTAATCAAGGCTTAAATGCAGGACAATGCAGTATTATGACTCTATTGAAACACAATTTACCATAATATTGAACAAACTGGCATTTTATATACATTTTACATTGCAGTTGATTAGTCACTTATAGCTTTCTCTCAGATGGGATCCAGTAACCTGTCCAATATATTTTAACTGTTTAACCAGATTTAGTTACAAGGTACATTATCCTGTTAGAATTATAAACTAATCACACACAACATCTGCAGATTAAGTATGGACATTTTACAGCAGAATAGGAGGACATCTGACACACAGGGATATGGGAGGATGGGACGGCATCTGATTATATGTTGTGTTTATTTTAGGCACATTTCAGCTTTGGGGCCACTCAATCCAGGTGAACTGGGCTCAGCCGGAGAAGGACGTGGATGAGGAGGTCATGCAACGAGTCAGAGTGCTCTATGTAAGTAGATAACAGCTAGCATGTTATTACGCACTTTCTGATGGTCAGGCAATAAAACGTTTTCCTAATTAGATTACACAGCAGACAAATACATGAAATGATAATTTCAACCGTGTAATTTATAATCTCTACTAAACAAAAGGGTAAAACTTGAAAAGTAGCACTTCATGACATCACAAGGTGGAACAGAGCATTTGGAGATATAGACAGTCTAACAGTAAAGAGTTAGTCAAACGTATGAATGAAAGAAACACAGATCCAGATATGTATTTGATGAGATAATATATTAGACAATAATATTGGACCTTTTAATGAGAAACTCTGAAGCCCACAGGACAAAAATGTTAGAAATTGTGCTATAATGGAATAACACCATATAATCCTATTTTTATTTTTCCTCATAATGTGTCTATGGTAGCTTTTGTCGAGTTACTTTATATCTTGCCTCCCATCTGCCACTGTTTCGAAAGGCTTTCTTCTGCACCAAATCCTTTTATATTTATTTTCCCCCTTGTTTTTAATGATCTTAGACACAAACATCGAAAGTGTGATGCCAAATGATTTTCCGCTTTGCCTCCTCCGTAACTGCCCCCAATGTCCCCGCAGCAGCCATAACTGTGCCCATAAAACACACATAAACGCAAAATTACAAACAAGAAAAAACAACAAAACTTAACTGTCATGTCGTTAAAAGTGGAAACTGAGCAGGAGTTTCTGAAGGTTGTGGTTGATTATATGGAAATTATCTTGTTAGAGCAAGTTTTGACTGCCATAAAAAATAAGTACACTCCTAATTAAGTAAGTAATCAAAATCATAAAATTTAACCAGTAACTGAATCTGAAAACTCGCTGTGTACTTCAAGCTGTTACGCTGTAATTTACTAGCATTTATTTTGACAGTTAGCAGAGAATAATGTAATTTTTTTGTGTTTCTTTTTGCTGGGTGCCCTGGTTTCTCTTATCATTAAAAACATGAGCAATAGGTATCCAAATCTCAGTGGAACAGTCCTGGGTAAATAAAGTTACTTAGTTTTGAGAATAAAAAAAATTTGGTATCACAACCCAACAATGAAGATTGGTACAAAACAGTGCTCATTGATAATTTACCATGTCAATACAACATTTCATTTATGTGTTTAACTAATGTGTCTCCTAAATGCTGATGTTCATTTGAAATCCTGTTTTAATAAATTTAGCAGGCTAACTATTTGGGGCCGTGTTTAATTGAAATGATCAAAACGCAAAGTCTGCAATTATTTAGATTATAAATTGTCCTTTGCAAATACAAAGAAAATATCAAAGTAAGAATGGGATTGTATTTTGTTTAAAAAAAATCTTGTTGCACCTGTAATTTAGACCTCTCCAAACATATTCTGAAATACATGGGATTATTAGTATTTTAGTAAAACATTTTTGAGTTCATATTTTCAGTCTGCTCTTTGGAGTTGTTTACAATGTGCACTCTGAACAGAATCCTACTTTCTAAACAGATATTGCAAATCTAATACCAAAATCTGTAGCATTTTTGTAATCCTCCTTACTGTCCCTCATTTTGTTAATGGATTTCTTATCTTCTTATCGGCCTTGTCTGATCTGTATTTATTTTTTTCAGGTGCGTAACTTGATGTTGAGCACGTCGGAGGAGACTCTGCAGCAGGAGTTTTCTCGGTTCAAACCAGGAAGTGTCGAACGAGTCAAAAAACTCACGGACTATGCCTTTGTGCACTACCGTCACCGTTACGACGCCCTGACTGCTCTGGGCCTGATGAATGGAGCGCTCATCGATGGAGCCACAGTCGAGGTAGAACCCAGTGTCAGTGGAAATGACAGACACTAATGTGACAGCAGCCATCTTGAATATTGATTTTATTTTCTTGATTAAGAAAGCTGTCAGAAGCATAAAAAAGAAGAAAAAAAACATACTCAAACTTAAAAATGTATTACTGAATGGAAAACACAAAACATTAAAAGCATATTTTAGCACATTTATGAATTATTATCAGTGTTTCACTCCATATGTTGATTGCATCCATGGGTTTCAGATTGAAAAATTAGCACTGTTACCGTATAAACAGGAAGCTGAAACTCATGAATAAAAACAATATCATTCGAAACAACAAAGCGGCTCTCTTTTGCAGGTGTCACTTGCCAAACCCGCCAATGTGAACCGTGAGGGTGGGGCTAACTCTGGAGGGGGCGTGTCTAGGAAGTACCACAACAGAGGTTACCGGGGCAACAGTAACAACAGTAACCTTGTGAGCGGTGCCATGGCGAGTGCGGCAGGGGGCGGTGATGGAGCTAGAGGAGGGGCAGAGCTTATGATGCACAGGAACAACAATAGAGATGGACCAATGAGAGACCTGTCCTCCGGACTGGGGGAGCTCTACCTTGATCACACAGGTGGGAGAACACAGATCTAAGCTACATGATTAGGTTTTTGAATGCAGAACCAGAAAAGATATTTTGTTTGTGGAAGAGGTTTTGTTACTTCAAACACTGCGGCCTTTGCGATTTGCTAATTAAAATTTGAGTGTGATTAATCCTGCAGCCCCAAGGAACGCAATATTGTCTGTGTAGGCAAATCCGTCCTCTGCACTTGCCCCATCGTTAGTTTGAGACATATCTCCTGATTTTGAGTTGGGCTTGATCAGGACTACCTTAGCTGGACACCTTTTCTCATTGTGCATGTATTGGGTTGTCCCACTTTAGTCCTGGTTTAGTTTGAGTTCTGAGCATATTTTTTTGTAAATTTATGCAAATCTATACTTTTTAGATAGATAAATATTAATATAATATAAGCAAATATGTTTTTATCTTTGCCCCTCTGGTTAAACCTGACTCAGACCAAGTTAAAAGCCAGGTCTCGTTATATTTGTTATATGCATATCGTCCAGGTTTGGGTCTGGTTTAGTCCTGATTGTGTCTCCTCTCTCACTAGCTTCTCTCTTTTATATCTCTCTGTCCCTTTTTGTCTCTCTGTATATCTTTTTCTCTCTCTTCTTTCTCCTCTACCCCTCCACTCTCTCTTTCTCTCTTCATCTTTCATGACTCTGTTTCCTTTCCCTTGTTCCCCTTTCACTCCTCTCTGTTTCTTTCTCGTTCTTTCTCCTTTCCTCACTCTCCTCTCTCTCCCCATATCTTTCATCATGTTTCTCTTCTCTCTCCTTTCTCTCATCCCTTTCCCCTTTTCACTCTCCCTTATTTCTCTCTCTCTCTCTCTCTCTCCTTTTCGCTCTCATCTCTTTCTCTCATTTTCTCTCTCATCCTCTCTGCGTCATTTAAAATCCACCTGAATTAGTTTAATTTGCATTCTGTTGCCACATCTACTACTCGCCTCCTGCCTCAGTCGTCACATGGCCTTTTCCTATAATGTTAATGAACTCACTCTCTCTCTGCTCTCATCTTCCAACCCCAAAGACCTTTCACTAATTTATACAACAGCCGAACTGACTGGGCTCATCGATTTCCCTTCTGTGGTTGTTCATTGAACGTAGCTTTCTGTGCGCACAAGACTTAGCACTAAATTAAAAAAACATAAAGTGACTGAATAACACTTATGGATGCTTGGATTTCCACGTGTTAGGAATACCAAGAACCAGGACAGTGTAGTGTTGTCAAGATACTGAAGTTTCTAACTCGATTTCAGTATTAAAGAATACACTCAGTACTCATTACCGATTCTGATACCACAATGATAATTAAAAATATTACAATGTCATTTTGAACATTAAATATAGCACTTTCTTTTATATTGCCATGTGATGTTAAATCTGTATAATCCCTCAGTAATCCAGGTAGTTTCCATACTGGTCTATGTCTAGGTCTTAAACTTTTCTGATACAGCTCAAGATCATGGTGTATTTATGTCCTGTTATTGTTTGACTTTACCTGCCCAAATGAGGATCTAGTTTCTACTAGTTTTAGTAACGGTTTGTTTCTAGTTCGGTACTTTTGACAACCCGAGGACAGAACTAGAACTGATCAAACCAAACTAGATCTAAACCAGGACTAAACCACATTTCTAGTAAATTATTTCAAAATCTCATCTCATTCTCGTGGACCCTATCTTGTCTTGTCTTGTCCCATCCCTACCTAAAATGTTCCACAGTATGTCATTATATGTACTGATTTAGAATTTCTTTCACAATGGATGTTTTTATTGCTCAAAATATACGTTGAAAATGACCACTTATTACTGTGAGCAGGATCACTCCACAGATCTGACATGTAACATGGCCTAGTTGCCCCACCTGCTTGAATGCCATACTGTGAAACATTCCAGGCAATCTCAGTAACATCTCTATGGAGGCAGAAAATGTACATAGTGCACCATTAAGCATAACCCATTCTTATTCACCTGCTGTCTCAGAGCAGTGCATCGTGGGTAATGTAGTGTGACTTACGAGCTCTTGTTGACATAGAGTTTTATGATGTAGGTTATGAGGGCCGTAAGTCTGTCCTGCTCAGTCCGGATATATAAAACTCCCAACTCCAGTGTAATAGGGACATCTGTGTCAGCAAACAGCATAAATAAACACTCAATTTACACAGTCTGGGGGTCTGGACCAGGACCAAACTAGAGCTAAACCAGAAATGGACACGAATAAACCAAAATTTCACCAGGACTAAACCACAAATCAATCAAAACTGAACAAGGACTAAACAAGGTCTCAACTAGGACTAAATGAGGACAAAACCATTTAAAGTGCTTTACAGATTAAAAATACATTAAATCGCAGTACAAACAAATAAAAAAATAAATAATAATTATAAACTGAACATTGAAAGAGTAGAATAAAAACCTTAATCATATGCACAGCTGGATTTAGCCTGGATGAGCCTGGATTTAAACATTGTCAAAGCAGAAGCCTGACTCACATCTTTCATAAAGACAAATTTTAAAAATGTAAATCTGAAACACTGACTCTCCACGCTTAGTTCTGACTCTGGGCATCAGCAGGACACCAGGTCCCTGAGGTCAGGAGGTCCTCAGAGTGCAAGGTTCTTCAAAGAGTTTCATTTGGTCTTCAAATATTATATCCAAATAACTCATCTTTATTTGGATAGATTGTGAAATGGTTCATACTTGTCATGAAGCCAGTGCAGGAACCTAATTGTTTAACCTGTTGGAGGCAAAGGCACAGATAAGTCTCTCCAAGTCTGATTTAGACAGCGTGCCTTTGACTTTAGTGATGGAAGGTAAAAAAAATTGCAAATGTTATTGATTTGATGTGGCTGCTAAAGTTCAAGTCTGAGTCCATTATTACCCCTTGGTTTCTACCCTAATTTAAAGGATTTAGAGAGAGACTGGAGGTGACTGCTGACACTGAACAAAGACTAAACCAGATCTCAACCAGGTCTAAATTATGTCTAAACCAGACCTGAAGGACTAACCAGATTAGAATTCAAACAGGACTAAACCATAACAGAACAAGCACTAACCCAAGTGTCAACCAGGACTGGTCAAGACTAAACCAGGAATCAGTGATGACTAAATGAGGTCCAAACCAGGACTAAGCTATGATGAAGACTATGACAAAACCAGAACTAAAATTAGTATAATCAAAAACTAAACCAAGACTAAACTCAACTAAACTTAACCAAGTACTAAGTCTGAAACTGAAAATGCTGTGTGCCCTGTGTGGATCCATAAAACACTCCAGACCCAGCTGTAATTACATGCGCTGTAATGAGAACAGCTGCAGCAGCCCAAACCATAAATAACTACATTACCCACAATCCCACTCTCTGATTTACACAGCACCTTCCGCAGAGCACAGATTAAAAGCATTAAATCTGAGCTCAACGGACATTTATCACTGAACAGCTAGAAGTACTGTACGTACTTCACTGTGCCCTTCTGCCACTACAAAAAATGTATGATAATAAAAATACATGGATTTATAAAGCACTTTTAAGTGTTTTACAATGTTACAGTTGCCACAGCAGCCCTGGGGTAGAGGTAGGTAACAGAAGACCTCCCAACCACCGCCAACACAGTGTTAGGTTAAGTGTCTTGCCTAAGAGCACAATCATTGGATGTCATTGGATCATTGGATTAAAGGTTCTTTTATAGAGTCTAAGCTTTCTAATGAGGTATAACATGTTCACGTGGACTACGGGCAAGTATTTGCTAGAATTACACCGATAGCTGATATGTCTCCAAGTGCCATTCATATATCAACCAACTAATATGGTTGGGTTCCACTGCACACCGCCCTGGGGGCTGATCCCATATTTTGTGTTATGTGCTGTGCTGGTGCTTTACCACTCCGCCGTCCTCCAACAAAACTATTTTCTTCTCTGTTGGTGTCCTGCCAGATCCTCCTCTCCTCAGTTCAGAACACACGGGAAAGAGAATGTCCAAATACACTCCACACTGACTTGAGATTACTTATAATAGGTTGCTGCTCTGATAGTGGGGTGATAGTTGGGTTCCATACATTGTTATCTTTCACTTTATGTCACTGAAACATCACGCTGTGAAAACTTTAATTGGTTTCTTTCACTCAACAGTTTAATGCCTGATTACACTTGGAGAGGAGAAAAACATGACGTGAACTAAAGAGCGATCCCATTTAACACAGCAGTTTTTGCACTCCTGCTTTAGACTCAATATTTTGGTCTTAAATGAGAACTTTTAACTCTGCATTTGCTTTTCTTGAGGTCCTTGGGGCCTGCAGCCCTGTGCAGCCTTGAGGAGATGAAACAAGTCTTTTTTTTTTTATTTTAGAATACTCTCAATTTTAAGTGCTTGACCTTAACTAGCCTGCTGTGATACTGAGGTAATTAATATAAACTCCATGAATCCACATCCATTGGTGTGTGTGTGTGCGCGTGTGTGTGTGTGTATATATGAGAGAGAGAATTTTGCATTTTAGGTTGCCTCTACCTGTATTCAATATTATTGGCCTATATAGACTGTTGTGACTGTTTTCGCAGCGATAGTTCAGATTTGATTTACTTATTAAATTTTGGCAAAAGTAAACCAGAATATTTTCACATTTTCAACTCAAAAAGTAAAATATTCATGGTGAAATGGCCATCAAACATTTACTATCAGAGCTGAAAGGGACAGGAAAAAAAGGCAGGCTCAGATCCAAAGAGAAAAGGCTCCAGAAGTCAGATTTGGAAATGATTCTTAGACAAATATTTTAAGCTATTTTAAGCTTTATTGACAGGGAAGTGTAGAGTTTGTGGGGGAGATAGCTCTGTGTATGTCCTGCAGCTCTACTACTGAGCCACAAATATTGTCATTAAATATTAAAGCTGCAACTAAGGATCATTTTAGTAGTCAACTAGTCAAACTACTATTGAAATCACACAGTCACTATTTGTTTTTTTTGACTCACACTTCCATTTTTTTTTGTGGCTCATTTCAACTTGTTAACACTTTGATCGAAAATTACACTTGATACCACTTAATGATCATCAGATTTTTCTCTTCCCTGTGATAAGTTTGCACATATGTCACTAAAAAACTAAATACATTTTTTACTAGTGACTTGTATTGAAAAGGGCTCTCTTTACTGGACACCTTACTTTTGTGTATACAGAAGTAACCACAAGGTGGAGCCAAAGTGTCTCTTTTTAGCTATTCTTAATCTAAAAAACGTAAAAACGACTCTAACTCCATTTATCTTTCACTGTTCAGCCTTTTTAAGCAAAGAAACTTTGATATATTTTGATGGTCCATGATATTATTGTGAGACTTTTGGCGATACTATATCACGATATTTTGGTTATTGCTACATCTATAGGTCACACCTGACAAAACATTTTTTTGTCATGTTTTATAGTTTGTAGAGCCCGACCGATATGGATTTTTCTGTGGCCGATATGAAACTGATATAATGGGAGTTGGAGCTGCCGATAGCCGATATAATCGCCGATATATTTAGTGATGTAAAAATTCACTGTAAGTGTTGAATTGTTTAAAAAACTTAGATTTGGCTCTGGTGGATTTTAAATTGGGTTTATTTAGGCAACATTTATTGTAATTCTGCCTCTTTACATCATATTTACAGACAGTAGGTTGGTTTAATGGCATTTTTGCATCACATTCTGGGTATTCCAGTTCTTTTTAGAGAACCGGCTCTTTTGGCTCGGCTCACTAAAAGCTGCTGGTTCTTTTGGCTCCCAAGCGGCTCTTCAGATTGTTTTGTTGCAAGCAGGTCTAAAGCACGTCTAAAGCAGGACTGAATCAGGACTGAACCAGGTCTAAACCAGGACTGAAAAAGGACTAAACCGGGACTTATTTATTTTATGCTAAACTACAGCCAAATATGCTCCTTTTTCTAATCCTATGTACACGCAAATTTCTCAAAGTTTCGTTTTCAGACGCTGCCGCTGTCAAACCACGAGTCTGCACGTGGCGTGAAGAGAAAAAAAGTGAGAGAAAGAGAAAACACGGCTCCCAGTAAGGATCAGGCCCCCGTCGTTCGCTTCAAAGAGTCGGCTCTAAGAGTCATTTCGTTCGCGACCAACCCATAACTAGTAAAGAAACAATCGCTATTAGCCTTTAGCCGTAAATACGTGCGCGCCGCGGTAATTAATTATATGCGCAAATGTCATAATTCACACGTCTATTCACAATTCATTTACATATCAACGCAGGTCCAGTAACAAATATACGGCCAATATAGTCACTTTACAATATGCCAATAGAAAACAGCCTGTTTATGTGCGAGAGCTACAGCAGCTAATCCATAACAAATGACCAAAACTAGCTTCAAAGTCGACATATTTCCAACACTCACCGCTCACACAGGCTCCTCCTCACATCACAAGTATGCACTAATAAATGTCCTTTTAATCCAGACTCAAACCGATTGTCCGTAAAAAGAATATAATCTCAGTGTTGCGCACCGCTGCGGGTGTAAACAAACGCACGTGAGTGACGCGACTCTGTGGTGTGTTCAGGGACAGTATGGACACACACAGACAAATGACTCCGTAGATAAATACTGATGTGGAGCCACATATTAGGACATTTATCTGTCTGTAAATTGGATTAAATGAACAGAATGTAGAGAGTCTAAGATTTTTAACGATGTATCACATGCCCACGTGAAATATCGGCCCCTATCAGCAAGCATATCGGCCGATAGCCGATATGCCTCCAGGTGCCCATATCAGCCGATAATGTCGGCCAACCGATATATCGGTCGGGCTCTAATAGTTTGTATAGTCAAGACAACAACTGATTTATCAACATCCTATTTTTTGATTAGTCTTTAGTATTCCAATTAATCGCTGCAGCCCTATATAATATTGCTGTACATTTTTTATTTTTCTGAATTTTCACAATTTTCAGTTTCATTTAAATGTTTTAGTCCATATGTGTGTTCATATGTGTATATTGGTTTCTGAAATTCACTGCAAGGAGTTTCTGGCACTTCCCTAATGTAGAAGAAGTAAAACGCTGCTAGTTCTACTTCGGGCAATTAAATGACAAAATATGAAATACCGTGGCTATGTTGTCCAAACTCTGCTATCTTTAATTAAGGTCATCTTTGTCTTGGGTAGATGGTGTGGAGCGGGGCATGTACCCTCTGTTCCCCGGGACGCCCTTGAGTCCAACCAGCCTCCTGTCACTCAAACAGAGCCAGATCTGCACAGCCCAGAGTTTACTTGAGTACTTCTGCAGAAAAAACTACTGGTCTCCTCCAGAGTATCACCTCTACTCCACATCCGGGCAGGACGGAAAGCTGCTGCTACTTTACAAGGTAACAGATCAAGACTGAACCAGGACTAAATCAGGTCTGAACCAGGATTGAAACAGCACCCAGGACTAAACCAGATCTGAACAAGGTCTAAATCAGTTCTGGACCAGCACAATAATACTCTTACAAAACGTTTTGACCCTAACAGCTGCTTCTACAATATATGTGCACTGGGGCAAAACTGTTTTTTCTCAGCTGCATCAACAAAAATGGGTTTAGACTTTTTAAACTTGTTTTGACACGAACTGACCATGTGTTTCTTGGATTGACTGTGATTGACTGACAGGTTAATTCACCTGTCAAATATCATTATTTATACAAGTGATAAAATTTTGACTCTTTTTGGGCTTTTCTTTGTCCAAACCTTGATAATCTCTGAGACAGGTAGATGTAATATAATATAAAATGACGTGTGTTAGCTCAGTGATAGTGCGTATGTGTGACTGAATTTTAATATTTAATCTGAGCCCATCTGTCAGCAGAGGCAGGGGGCGAGACAGCGGGCGACTAAACCAACGGTAATTACAGAAAAATGAACCATGATTTAGTCTTTACTTCTTTTCAACTTTTTCATTTTCAAAGGGCACAACAGTGTTAAGAGAAGCAACCTTTATAATTGCATTTTTAATTTCATTGTAGTTATTCCTCGTCCTAATTATCCACTGGTTATGAGCGCTTTTCACAACTTTCAAAGACCAGAGAGGAGTTTTACCATCATGCCACTGATAACACTAACTGTCATGCTAACCGCCTGAGTCGGCGTCAGAGCACATCTACTGGAGGGGCATGGGTCACCAGCAGGGGGGGCACTGCCATTTGAGAAATATTTTAACGCGGTGGAGTCATACACAGCAGACATGCTATCAAACACGTTTTTCTTTAACAGTATTAGGCTAATTATGTGTTGTTATTAGGCCCGAGCGCCAGAGGCTGGCGATGCCCTTTAGTATCGCAAAGCGATGCTCCAAGTGGCCGAAAAATGGAATGGCGCGATGTGACTCGCCCGTAGTGACCAGGGACCCTCGCCATCATGTAGCAATGCGCCTGAGGTTTCCGAAAATGTATAGTTTGTCGGCCAAAAAAAAGTGGAACATTGTTCTCGCATCAGAATATTATTCTTTCTTCTTTCTTTCTTCTTCTTCTTCTTATTTATTTATTTATTTATTTTTTTTCCCTAACCAACTCACCCATTTTTCACCCACTAAACAATAATAAAAAGTCCTGGAAATTTTTCCATCTGGTAAAACTCGCGCTTCCCTACGTTTTGGCTATTTCCATTTTCCAAAAATAAATAAAATGGCTCGTCAGCGCCCCCAAACAACTCAAAAATGCATTAGGGAATACGAATGACACAAAAAAAAAAATTCACGTACAATCATGAAATTTGACACAGAAGCCGATCATGTCAAGACAAAGAAAAAATATTATTACCCCAACACCGTGTGCTCCACTAGGGGGCAGCAATATTGGCTTAAAGTTTGCTAAGCTTTTACGAATTCCTCCGAGGACGTTCACCCAAACGAGCTCAAATTTGGTCCACATTATCTCAAGACGTAGAACATCAAAAGTTATTCAAATTTTTCACACACGTCTTACGGTCTCTGAGCAGTGAAGCAACAAAAAATGCACACAATTTTGGAGATTTACAAATTGCTCCCATTTGCTCAAACGAACTCCAATTTCAATGAAATTTTAAACAGTTGTTAAACTCTCTGCCCTGAAACTACTTAATGTGAAAATTATTAATTTGGCGCATTAGCGCCCCCTATAGATTGAAACTAAATTTAATATGTGAGAAAATCATTTGTTCCCAAATAGTTGTTCAAAAATTTCTGAAATTTTGCACAAAATTCCATTTTGGCATCCTGATCCAAAATTCAATGACACCCATGTCATATTTTTTATGGCGTTGCCATAGCGATGACATAAACTCTCCATTGATAAAATCTACAAATTCTGGCACAAAACTTTGGCCGATTTCACTCAAATTTGAATCGTTGATTAGACCCTGAACAGATTTATATAAGAAAATCTCAGATGGGCGCAATAGCGCCCCCTAGGGCAATTGCATGGTAGTGCAAACATTAACTTTGCTGTAGATATATAAAATTTGGTACACAGATTCATGACATGGTCTTGATCAAAAAAGTCAATGACGACCCCATGCCATTTCCCATCGTGTTGCAGTGGCAACAGGCCAAACATCTGCCCTTGCCAATAGGCCCAACAAAAACTTTGGCGTAGCCAAACCAAATTTGGTACACAGATGCATCATGGGAATAGGAACAAAAAAGTATATTACGTGGTTGCTGGGCAACCAACAGGAAGATTGATGGTGCGACCTGTCCTCGTACTTGAACGAACTCGTCCTCGGGCGTTTGACCCAGACAGAATCATTCTGTATCATCTAGAAAAGTGCGACATTAAAAGTTGTTAAAAGCTTTTTAAAAGGTCAAACGGTGTTGCCGTGGCAACGGTGCAAATTTCAGGTTCGTTTTTAGGGCTCACCATCAAACTTCAACGACTGATAATTTGCACAAACTTTGTCCGATTTCACTCAAATTTTAATCGTGAGTTCACACCTCAACCCTGAACACATTGATGTAAGTAAAGTGGGTGCAATAGCGCCCCCTAGCGTTTTGCACAAACTTTGGCCGATTTCACTCAAATTTTAATCGTGGGTTCACACCCCGACCATGAACAGACTGATGTAAGAAAATACTAAAATGGCTGCAATAGCGCCCCCTAGAAAATTTGTATGTAAAAATAAGGTTTTATTTGTCACAGATATACAACATTTGGTACCCACATTTGTGACATGGTCTCGATTAAAAAACTCAATGATGCTCAAATCCCGTTTACACTGTGTTGCCATGGCAACAAGCCAAACTTGTATCCTTGCCAATGGGACGTCCTTACACAAACGTTGGCGTAGCCAAACCAAATTTGGTAGCCAGATGCATCATGGCAATAAGAACAAAAATGTATATTGTGACCACGCCCCTTTACAAACCGGAAGTTCGCCATCTTGGATAATTTTTTTGCCAAATTTTGAAAATTGTAGTGTTAAATTAAGATTTATAGGGCTAGGGTTGGGGCTATGGTTAGGATTACGATTAGGGTAAGGTTTAAGCTTTGGCTTATTATGGTCAGTGTGAGGCGCGGCGTATGCGGGGCATGCGTAAGCACGCGCGAGGGCCGATCATTGCCGCTTGCGGCTATATTTATTATATTAAGATTATTATTATTAGCTGCAATAGTTGTTGAGGCTGTGTGGTAGATGATACGCACACAAGACAATAATAAAAGGTTGAGGTTTATTAAAAAACAATAAGGCCTGCCACTGATTGTAAACATTAAACAACAGCCTCTCGTCAAAAACACCTCTGAACTAGAAATAGCCACGCATCGGACAGCACCAGGGCTGTAGTGAGCGTGGTACGCGAGGGTACGCCGTCCAGTCCTGTCCTATAGAGACCTGAGACTTGAGGGACTGGGACTAAACCAGGACTAAACCAGGACTAAACCAGGACTAAACCAGGACCAGTGGCGGCTGATGGTATCATTTTTGGGAGGGGCACCAAGGGCAAAATTATAAATATATATTATGAATAATATATGTATTATATATAGGCTGTAGTATTATAACAAATACCAGAAACAGACATTTTAGTTACTATTTGCTGAACAATATCGATCAGAGCACAATGAACAGCCAAGCGCAAACTTTACACAACAACACAACGTAACACGCCGCTCACACCCAGACCCAACAACGTCAGCAAAACTACAACTAGAAAAGCACTCAGAGAGCGCAGACCTCCGCCAAGGATTACCCCCATTTTTTATATAAATTGCGATAAAATCGGTCTTCTGGATCAGATCCGGATCAGCCTTTGGAATATGAAAGAGGATCCCATTGTCCATCCCTGAGTCAAATTTCATGGGGTTTGGTCAATAATTAACCGAGTTATTGAGAAACAAAATTTTTGGCCCCATTTACCACAATGCCCCAGTCTCGGCAGCGACTGTCCCAAGTCCGGGCGGCGACTGTCCCGGGTCGTGGCAAAGAATGTCCCGGCTCCGGCAGCGGTAGTGACAGTCCCGGGTCCTGGCGGCGGGTCTGTCGGTGTGTCTTTGACTCTGTCCTCGCCATTTCCTGTGTGGAGCTTTAGGCTAAAGTAGCAGCTGCCACTAATCGTGAAGCTGCTACGAGTTGACGCAGCAGGTTGACGTGAGTGACAGAACAGTTGTCCAATCACACTACACTAAATAAACAGAGACTGTGATATCATTGATGTCACAGTAAAGTTTGTGCCCTCAGCCCGAAGTGAAATGCGCCAATCAAAATCATTTTAAAATAGTAATAATAACGGCCTGTGCTGGGGGGGTGGGGCAACAGTGGCCGCTAGGGGGGACACGGCCCTCAAATGCCGCCCCTTGCCACCGACACCTCTAACCGCGCAGCAGCCTTCCTACCTGTTTTGCAGAATAAATTTGCTATATAATTGTATGCACTTGTAGGTCTCATTTTGACCCTGGTTTTATACAATATACTGTACTGTACTGTAATGTGCTGTACTTTTTTTTTACATTAAAAATAGAAAACTACTGCACTCTGTCTTGTACTGTATGTTAGTCTCAACTTACATTTTGTGTGCTCCTATTGGGTGTCACTCCAACCACTCCTATTAAAGACTGTTTTGCCAGCTCAGACAAAACAATTTGCGCGATATGAAGGCCTAGTTACCGAAACGTAGCTCTACTGTAAATAAAGACAGAGTGAAGGAGTTTTTCTATTTTTGATTTTGACAAGTATTACGCACACCCTCTCCAACGCATGTGGCCACAGAAAACCATTTGCAAAGTACAAAAAACTAAAATCTTAATCACATAAAAAAATGTCTGTTGCAGCCCCTTTAAACACAGATTTTGGTTTCACTTGACAATTTCTTGATTTTAAGAATATAAATATTTCTTTTACAAATTTGTAACAAGACCCAATGATGTAACCGAACCTGTTCTAAACCAGGACTAAACCAGGTCTAAATAAAAAAAATTACAGCAGTCTACCATGTATAGCAGATAAATTAGGACTAAACCAGAACCAAAACTGAACGAAAACTGAATTATTTGACTAAAATTATTTAGAACTTTGTCAGCTCAGTTCAGTTCAGGTGAACATTTGTACATGAAGTCAAATTAATGTATGGATTCTGATTTCTTCAACCAATATTCATAATTGAAAATAAATAAATAAATGCATACAAGCTTTGTAAATAATAAAATATAAGTTTTGATAAAACTTACAATTTATTCACAATTTGTTCCAACCTCGTCACGCCTATGTATGTATTGTCCTTGAGTTGTGTACATTGGTTTTCTCTCATTTATATCGTATACATGTTTTTGTCCTTGAGCACCACAAGGAGGATACTGCATACAGGTACCTTTTATATTCCCCCTTTCCATAAAAGTTTAATGCTATGTGGTTGCTGACATTTACGCCTTTACAAAACGCCAGACACTTTTATGTTTACTCTTTCTGTTCATGTTTTTCTCTTTTTCAAGGTTGTGTTAGATAACTATAAAGAGTAATGTGGGTTTATTATCTATAAACAAGCACCAAGCTGCATTTTTCTCATTCATGACTGGATATTGACATACAAGGCTGTGCAATTAAAGGCATTGCATTTCATTTTTATCATATTGAAAACATGAAAAACAGCACTGATTTTAATGTTAAACAATTTGCAGTGGTTGAGTTGTTGCTCACTTACCTCATATAGTTTCATTAGTGGAATGAACCCTGACTGTGTGTGTATGATAGCATAGCAAATATAGATTTTTCAAAACAATAAAAAGTTAACATGACGATCCAAGTACATTATGTGTTAGTTATTAATACTCTTAAATGTAATACCCTTTTTTTTTTTATTATTATGACAGGCCTCTCTGTTTCTTGTCTCTATTCTCGGGGCATATACTGTATTTGTTTTTGGGTTGTGTTTTTTACCTGCTTCTGCTGTGTTTTTTAGGTGGTTCTGTCTTCTACGCGCAGCACTTATATCCCAGACAAACTGTGTGTTCTTCTGGATGATGCCAAAGAGCTGGCTGCTCAGACCACACTCTGGAACCTCGGTAACTCCACCATCCATCAATGTCAACTCATTTTTTCTCATTAGATTAAATAAGATTTAAGCAGTAAAATCCAAAGGTGAACTATGTAACTTTTCTTGTGGAGGGCCCATGAGAATGGAGACTTTTCTACAGTAAAGCATTAAACTTATCCCATTACATTTCATCAGTTACAGTAGTTTTTAATGCTTGAAAAACATGCATTCTTAAGGTAAGCTGGATCACCACTCCACAGATCTGACCTGTAACGAGTCTGGTTGGCATCACCTCCTTTTCTCCATGGCGATACTTAAAAATAAGTTTTATACTGTTCTGTAGGCCATTTAATGAAAAGCATCTCCATGGAGACGAGAGGAGACAGTCCCTAAACTACATTGAACATATTAGAAAAAACAAAAACAATTGTAATTAATTAAATGCCAGAAGTTTAAGATCTCAGGCAAAGCAATAACATCGCCATGAGGCAAGCAGCTTATTTAAATATTTGAAAACTAGAGTAAATCAGTTGGTCTGAACTTTCAATAAATTAAATCATATTTTTAGAGAGTTTTCCTTTTGGCTTTTGCAGCAGTTTTAAACTCTAAACTGGACCAGATTTTATCACATTTTCAAATGAAACTCATTTCTGACAGTTATCAGAATGAGCTGAAAGTCAGACTCCGAGAACAGTTACACCATATCTCTCTGACCTGGGGGTAAAAATCATTGCCAGGGGTAAAGGCTCCTCTGCCGGTGGTCATTGTTACTTCTGTAAATCTATAAATCTTATAAAGTAAGAACTCATACTACTACTACTATGGCCAAAATAATATCACAATTTTCTTGTAGCGATGGGGGACTCCAGCCCTTCCCCGGCCCTGCAGACCCCGCCACCTGTCTCCAGCCCGGTGTTGACCTACGAACGACCTCTGACCCCCTGCCTGCCAATGCCTCCGCCCTTTCCTCTGTCTCCTCTGGCCCCGCCCCTTGCAGTGCCTCCCAGCCAATCACAGCGCCTCTACCTCAGCCCGCCGCCACTATTTTACTGAAACAGTGTGAGTTATATTAATGTACATGGCCACTGAACTTTTAAAACTGCATATGACAGATTAGACATTTCACATAGTTAACATCATTATGTTTAAGTTTTAACAAAAAAACTTGCCTGTTTTTTTTATTTTTTATTTTTAGTTTGTGTGGGTAGGTAGAGATATTCTGTTTCAGAACCCAACTCTGCTTCCTGTATATTGGTATTTTTCCTCTCCTCATCCTTATCCTCAATCTGCCACTTAAAGGTTGTATAGAAGATTTTTTTAAGGGAAAAGAAATACAGTGACAGATCTTTTTCAAATGTTGCGCATCTGTGACACCACCTTCCTCCTCCACCACTCCCTCTGTAGAAACATCTTCTCCCTCCTCTTTACTCTAGAAATCACACTTGTTTACATCCAGCGCATGTTCAGAATTACTGTTGAAGTGACCTCTGGAAATAATTTAGCGACCAACGCGTCAGTTTTTAGACCCTTCGTCTGCTTCGTTCGTGTAATCGCTGGAAGAGATCTCCAAGAATCATCTCAGTTTGGCTTTGCTCCTTTTTTCCTCCTCTTCTTCTTTCAGCGACCTCAAAAACGGATTTTCTCTTGCGGCGAACTGGTCATGGATTCTCGTCCGCCATCTCAATAAACTTTGTGCGAACTGCGAGGAAGCTACAGTTTAAAAAAGCCTCTAAGAACCGATGTATAAACCACGTAATCCCCGCAATGACGAGTCAGTTACACTAGAAACGTAGGGAGTTTGATTGACAATCTAACATCCAATAGAAAATGAGGGAGCTTGTTTTCTATTGGCTGATGTTTATCTGGCCTCACTACATCCACAGTTGATCAATTTTCATTCTTTTTTTTTTTTTTTGGTCATCATAATTACAAGGCTGTTGCGTCTCTATAATGGTATTTTAAACTTTCACTGACAATTTGAAACAAAAAAAATCCTCCATACAACCTTTAAATGAAGTAAAACTATGAATAAATATTTACCACAGGTATTACTTCGTCAAACAAAGTAATAATTTGAAAAGCATGAAAACCTGTCATTTGCACTTTAACTCCAAATGCACTTTCTTTATGGTGCACATTTTAGAAACAAGCAATAAAATACAACAGATGAAAGAAATGTACAACTGAATCCTGGTTTAGGCCTAGTTTGTATATCACATAAAATTTGGGACTAAATCCAGAACTAAATCTGGACTAGATCAGGACTAAACCAGGACATAAACAGAACCAAATCATGTCTACATCAGGATTAAACTGGACCAAAACAAGGACCAAACTAGGGATAGTTTAAATGTAATCCTGGGTTTAAATCAGTTTTTTCTTTATCTACTGGTGTTTTCACAATACTAAAATGTTAAAGTTGTTTTTTATTTTAATGGCTCAATACCTATTCAGATACCACAATGATAATAAAAAATACTCTTCATTTAGACAATGGACATATACTAGTCTATGTTTTATACTTCAACTCAAGATCACTCTAATTCTATTCAGGAAAGGTTCATTTCTGTCCTGTGAATGTGACTTTTTTGGTATTGATACCTCCTCAAATGAGTATCTGATTTTCAATACTTTTAAGAACCCTAATTACTACCTTCTCACTAACTTTTTGTTTTTTGTTGCATCTTTACAGAATAGATCACTGATATCTCTTCCTGGTTCAGTCTTGGTCCTAGACTTGCCCTGGATAATGGACCTGGTCTTTGGTCTTGGACTCTGGTTTTATCTCTGGACTTCAGAAGGTTTGTTTTGACAGTTCCTCCCTTCAAATCCTGTTCAGATGTTTAAAATTTTAATTCTTCTGGCGCCATGCTCTGTCTTTATCTTATTGTCTGAGTGACAGAAATGCAAATGTTTCAGACCAGGTTTAAACTGAACTTTTGTCAATGTTTTAAAAGAAAAATTTTTGACAGGCAGCGGGACTGTTCAGGGTTAACTTGAATTGTTGAAAAAATGTTTGTCAAATTGCGTTATAATTCCACAGACTGTTAAACTGGAATGTCAGAGTAGCAAATAGGACCGAGTTCTACTAAACCAGGACTAGACTAGGACTAAACCAGGACTAGACTAGGACTAAACCAGGACTATACAAGGACTAAACCAGGACTAGACTAGGACTAAACCAGGACTAGACTAGGAATAAACCAGGACTAGACTAGGACTAAACCAGGACTAGACTAGGAATAAACCAGGACTAGACTAGGACTAAACCAGGACTAGACTAGGAATAAACCAGGACCAGACTAGGGCTAAAACAGGACCAGACTAGGACAAAACCAGGACTAAATAAGGCTCTTCTCTATTAGACGGTGACTGTTGCTCCTCTGTTACTCTAAACCAGGTTGTATTTGAACACTTTTAACATGTTTTTCTCTTAAAATATTGGTTAACGTTCAATTTAATCTACATTTTATTATTTATTGCATGTATTATTGTTTGTCCAAATTGTAAATAAATAAGTAAATAACAATAGAGTTTTAAATGGGAATGGCTTTCCAATTATTTTTAGATGTTATGTAAAACTGTTCCAACCTGAAAAGATAATAGCTTCAGTGTTTTTAGATGAAAGAAGTTTGGTCTCTATGGAGTTCCAATAACCTAGAAACACGATAAGAAACTGATGAATCTCCAAACTCAAGTCTCTAAACTTTAAATTGACTCTGATTTTTGCCCAGAGAAAAACAGATTTATCATTTTCATAGATATTTCCAGGATAAATGTGGTCGTTACAGTTCTAAATAGAATATTATTTTGAATACAGAAAAAAAAAAGCGATTTAATGTAATTTAGACTAAAACTAAAATATCAGATGGAAAAAAATGCAAATAAAAATATATGTAATTTTTTTAATGCATTGTTTGAGGAATCTTTATTTACAAATGTTCCTGTTATTTCTGTTAGTTTGAGTGAGAATGAGAGTATTTTTTCAACCAAATGTGTGTTTACTTTTTAAAATACATTTTACTATTTGGTTTCATGTCTGTTTTAATTACTATTTTACTCATTTTAATTTAATTTTAAATTACCTGTGAAAATTCAGATTTGTTTTTTTCTTTTTGTGCACTTCTCAAAAAAAAAAAGATCTTCCTTTTCTTATTCCAATGAATGCAATGAGTAAATCAGTATAAATGATATTCCATTGTATGTAAGAAATGAATGCTCAATCTGAACATGTACATTAGTTATAATACAAAGATATTTAGAAAAATAGAGTTGTAATTTTAAATGGAAGTCAGTTGGAAGCTCACTTTTTTTTTGTTTTATTTTGATAAAAGCACCTTCTTGCTTTTCACTGACTTCCATTTCTATTCCTTTAAATTGTAAAAATAAATTAAAAAATAAAACAATCAGGAAATGCAAGTACTTGTAGGATAAGGGTAAAATATTGCATGAAAAACTCAAACCAATCTGTAAAAAGTGAAATATATAAGATATATTTATTTTAAATTGTATACATTACAATACAGCCCTCGTGAACCAAATAATACATGTTGTAGTCCCTAATATTAAATCCATTAAGTTAATTTACTTTTCTTTTTTCCCCCTATTGTTATAGTTGTCTTATTTTTTTAATTTATGTATCTTTGTTATTTTACTTTTACTGTCCATGTCTGAACAGTTCGAATAAAATTTGAGTTCATGTTTTTAGTAGTTGTCTCTCTAATCCCTCAGTCGCACAGGTAAGGCCAATAACAACAGAAAGAATCAAAAACAGACCCGGAGTTATGTTTTGTTTCATTCAAACATGAGTAAACCTTTAGTCTGTCTACATCTGCAAAACTCAAAATGTTTTTTTCTACCTTGTGATGTCATGAAGAGGTAGTTTTCAAGTTAACAGCTACTTTTGACCTGTGCTTCACACCAGGGCTGAATGTATCCAAATGAATTTAGCAAAAGTGTTTGGGGTTTAAAAACACATAAATATGCAGGGTTTGTGTATTAAACGTGTGTGAATGAAACAAAACACAACTCCAGGTATATTTTTAGCATATCCGCTATCTCCAGTAAAAGCCAGGGGGACATGTATCATTTTAGGGTCTGAGACGAGTATCGGAATTTTGTATCTGAGGTACTTGGCAATACCCAGCCCTACTGACAATTCTTCACGTACACAGTCAGATTCTAACAAAGCCTTTTTGTTTTGTTTTTTGGCTGGTGTTTAATCTATTCCCCGCTCCGGTGAACTCCATCAGCTGTGCTCCACTTCCCCCCAAAAGGAAACAAATCACCAAAAAGGAACAGAACTTGTTTAATCTTATTTAGCTCTAGTAGGTGGCTTTATAAATACTTTCTTTGCCAGAAACAAGGACCAAATAAACAACATTCAAAATGGAATTATTAATATCTTGCAGCGTGCATCATGAAGTTCCTTGGAGAATTGAAGCTAACTGGAGGCACTGCCCTGGCTGGTACTCAAGTTAATCTGAGTTTAGTTTTAACGCAATCAATCTAAACTTTTTTGACAGTGTTTGCTCGTGCATTCATTGTATCTCCATTGTAACTGCTGAATACTCTGCCATAGACATACATGCAGTCCCTCCCATATGATGTCACTGCAAAGTGTCAATAATTTATCATGTATTAAATGGGCTGTAAGTTTTTTTTTCATGCAAGACCACAAGTTTGTGAAATAAAAGTTCCATACAAGCCTAAAATCACAATTTATTCTGAAGCAGGAGTGCAGATAAAAATGTTTGCAGCAGTCCAAAGTTATTCTTCACTCTCCTTACACATTCTTAGCATCCTAATTATTCACTGCAGTTTTGGGACTTTTCATAACTTTTATTTTTCACTTTGTTGTCTTTTTTCCAATCTTTCTCAAACTTATGCTCATTTCTTTTTTTTTCATTTCTGATCAACACCACAGGGAGTTCACGATTCGGTTAGAGCTTTAGCCCTGCCTCCCTCTGCTCTCTAAAGATAAGACTTCCTGAAATGCTGCACGTGTCCTCTTGGGAGCGCTGTGATCAGGGTGAGGAGTTTAACATGAGGAG